GGTGGGGCTGGAGGTTGAGACACTGTGCCTTGCCCCCAAATCATCCTGCAAACTTAATATCTGAGGAATAATTTGAAACCCAGTAATTTATTCATTTATTTCATTGATACTTCACCTTTCCTCCATGCAGCACATTTCTTGGCTTAGAGTTTGGAAAGAAATTGCCTTCCTCCTCTCTGTTTGTTTCTAAGCAGATCTCACATATAGTCGTGGTGGGTTGTTTTTTTCTTTCTTCCTTCCATTTTACACCAGCCCCAGGTGCCAAAACTCAACCGTGTTCTCAGATCCCAGCTACTGACCTCCTCCAACGACTTTCTCCCACTATTGCTGGAATCCTTTGCTTGTTGCCTGTTATTTTCTCTTACACCAGGAGACCTCGGGCCTCAAATGCAGCCCTCCTTTTTTTTTTTAAAATGATATTTATTGAAAATTTTTAAAATTACAGAAAAAGACAAAGCAGAGAAAGAAAAAAGAAAAAAACAAAAAAGAGAAAGAAAAAAACAAACAAACCACATCCAACAATACAAATTCAAAAAACAAAAATACACCACAAACAGATAAAAATAAAACCAATATTCTCAAATCTTCAACTGTCATTACCTTCTTTCTTTGACCTCCTCCTCCTCCCTTTTTTTGTATCCCAGTTAATAATTATCGCAGCAAATCCTTTCCATATTTCATAATATTCTGTCATTACATTACCTTAATCTATTTTCATCTTATCTTATAAAAACCTTAAAACTTAAAACTTAAATCTTATTTTTACCCACTTCTCATAACCATAATATTCTTGCCTAATTCTTTAAACATTTTTGCTAGAGCCAAGTAATTTCGTTCCAACATTTTTCTAACAGTCATCAATTTTATAAAACAATCCTAGTGATAAAAAAAAGAAATAGAAACAATCCAATCTTCATCCAGCGTCCCTTCCTCCTGGTCCTGGGTTTTGTCAGTCCTTTTTATCCCATCGATCTAGCGCATTAACCTGGTAACCTTATATCCGAGGCCCTTAAATCCCTTCCATGTCCCTTCCGCAGCTCTTCTTCATATTCATCTTTCACTCGTGGGAACTCCAGCTTGGTAATGTTTTTGACCCTTTTCAGCAAATCAGCCCCTTTTCCATAGTCCAGACTAAACTCCATGTAGTATTTAAAAACATGTTTCAGAATCCCTCCAAAATTGAGAGCCCCCACAGCTCCAGACATCTCACGGCCCATTGCCAGACTCGGAAAGTCCAAACATCCCTGCATAGGGGGGTCTATCCAACCCCCCATTTCCAAATCAGTCCAAACTTTATCTTTCCTAATCTGGCTTTTTTCCAAGTTCTTTTGTCTAATCCAAAAGCTCATGTTCCTGCTGGGCCGCAGCTCCCTCCATCTCTGGCGCCCAAGATTCCGCAACATCCTCTTCTGTCATCTGTTCTGTCAGGGCACACTCCTGATTTAATTCCTGGGTGGGCTCCATATAGTTTCCCACTGCCTGTTCAAAAATTCTGACCGCATTAGTCATCAAATCCGTCTTCTCAGTTAACTGTTCCAGTAGAGCATTTATTTTGCGGAGAGCACACAACAGAGCTTCTGAATACATAGTCCTACAAGGTCACAAGCCTTTTCCCATGATTGTAATCTGTGGCAGCTGCAAGCTCCCTGGAATTAGTTACAGTTTCCCAGTCTCCCTCTAGGGGGAAAACTTCTAATTGTTCTTGCAACAAAGTTTCTTTTTTGAGATATTTTGTCAATATTTGTTCCTTTAAAATGCAAAAGGAAACAGTGGAATCACTATGTTTCTCTTCTTTTAGCTATCTGTCAAAAACGTTTGTCTCTGGTCAATGAGCTTCAAACGTCAGTCCTGACACCCCGCTCCAGGATCAGGACGGTGGAAAGTTACTTTACTTTAAACTCACTTCTGCAGGTTTAAACAGTCCGAAAAAGATCCCCCTTCTTCTCCTGCTGCCGAAGGGGGGTTCAAGGATTTTAAATGATGAAAGCCGATCCTTTAGAAGCGATTTTCTGAGCTCTAGTTACGTTGTCTTTGCTTTGTTCTGTCTACAAAAAAAACAGAAGGCTGACTTCCTGTTTAGACCTTCCCGTTTCGTACCAAATTGAAGTAAATTTTAAAATCCAATTCCTTTCTGCTCGCAAGTCCTTATTTAAAGTCCAATTGTTCAAAGTTTAAGTACTCACGGGTGCTTATTTTAGAAGCCAAATTGTCCCAGGAAAAAGGCAGCGCTCTCCGGCAACAGCTATGCGGCTTCGCTCCACGGAAATAGCAGTTGACTCACAGCACCGCGCCACTTCCCCCTCTTCGCTTCGGAGCCCGTTAGTGGGTTCCTTTGCGGGTTGGGAGGGGGCGCTAAGGGTGCCCGCCGAGTCCCATGGTCAGAGGCTTCATCCGCCTGTGATTTTTAAAAGGGTCCCCGCTTCGCCGTAGCGGAAAAGACCCGTTTCGCGCGGAGCTAGTCCCTCCAGTTCAGAGGGAGTCCACCATTGCCGATGGCGCCACCCCGGAAGTCCCAAATGCAGCCCTCCAAGGCTATCTGTCAAACACTCAGGACTCTCCCTAGCCACACCCCCTCTCTCCTTAGGACATGCTCCTAACCAGTGCTGCTTCACAAGTGTTTTTCCTCCCCTGGCTGAAATGTGTGTTCGAACCCTGATAATGCCTCCTGCTTGCCTGGAAAGGTGTGTGAGTGTGTTTAGAAACTAGCCTGATGGACTGAGGTAAAATGTATGTTCATTGCTCGGCCCACTTTCCCCTCAGGCCCTGCCCACCACTGCCATGCGCCCCCCCCCCCAGAAGGGAGCCTGGCCTTCGGGGGGGATGCCCCTCCCCCACTCTATAGTGTCAGATGCTTCGACCTCTCATCACCTCTTGCACTTCTTGAGCAACAGCTCAGTCTGTAGAGGCATGAGACACTTACTTTCAGGGTCATGGGTTTGAACCCTATGTTGGGCAAAAAGATTCCTGCATTTTGCAGAGGGTTGGACTAGATGACCGTCGCGGTCCCTTCCAACTCTACAATTCTAACAGCAGAAGTGTGTCCACAAAGTGTTGCAGAGAAGGAGAAGTCACCCAAATCTGCTACTGGCAGCAAACATGACATTATGAAAACCTGAACATACTCAGGTGGGGGCAGGCTCCTCAAAAGCGTACCTCTGCCACCAATCTTGTTAAATTCTTAGGCTTTAAAATATTTCTGCCTTAAACCGTTTGCCCTTTCAGTGACACATCGAACATGGGGCAGAAGGAAAAGGCAAAAGGCTTTCGGCAGGAATAAAAGTTGTCTTGTTGCATAAAATATAGAACAAAGGCCTGTGAGATAACCCACACAATCAGCTGCAATAACTGTGAATCATTGTTTCTGTGGGAAATAGTGGCAGAGGAGACTGCAGTGTGTAGGAAACGCATTAGCTGTGTTACATCATCCCATTAGAATGAATACAGATAAAGTAATATACCAGCCCAGCATGCTGCACATATAAGGGCATCCGAAGCCCTATGAGTAACAAGGGAGTGCTTGTAACGTGAGATGCTGTCAGGGCTGAGGTCTGTGCAAAGTTGTAACATCTCTTCGAGGAAAAGGTGGGATTCACTTCTAGATTAAAGTGAGCAAAGCGTTGCTTTGAATCCAAGTGTGAAAATATACTTTGACAAATGTCAAAAGGCAACCTAGGGAAGATTCTGTTGCCACTCACGTCAATGTTAAAACCCATATCGATCTCAACAGGAGCTTGTACTAGATCTGGCTCTGCTTCCTTAAGGTTCCAAGAAGATCTTTTAATGTTTTAAAGTGTATATCAGTTGTTTCGGGCTCATAAATGACACCTGGAAAAGTACTGGACATTCCTTTGGCTGGGATTTCCGACAGACTTGTATGTGTGCTAGCTCAGCATAGAATAGGGAGGGATAGAGTTGTAACATCAAGGACAGTCACCTCATTTCCAAATTGGGTGCGAGCTCCTTTGTTGAGATATTATCATGGACACTTGGGAGTGGTGTCTTGGGAATTACAGGCAGAATGTGCCTGTACTTGTCTCAATTTCTGTGGCCTCAGGAGTGAGAGGAAGGTGGCAAACCTATGCTGATGCTGCCCATAGTTACATATGTAATACTGTAAGTTAAGTTGAGCCAGTTGTTTTAATAGTTCCTAAACACACACAATATTACCCTGTGATGTGTCACCACTATTAAATGGAAATACTTTTGAAGTAGTATCTTGGAATTCAATATGAAATGCCGGTGGCAGCAGCAGCTTTTATCCTTCACTAAGGCTAACACATGTACCTGAACAGGAATCTCCTTTATCTAATGCCACAGTCTTGATCTGTACTGGGCCCCTACATGGGCGCTAGTTGTAGAAACTTTAAATGAATGTATACATCTCCTTCACAGTGCTTTGTCTGGCCCTAAGAGCAACAGCACAAAAGTTTTTCCCACTCCCTCAGCAATTCTTACACTGAAAGTTGCGATGGATTGGGAAAAGCGGCGCCAGTTCCACCACATGGGCCTGAAACTTAGAACCAATGAAGGTGTTGGGGTGCAGGCACTCTCACCATAGCATGTCCTCCTCAGATGGGCATGATGAAATATGTTCTCACAAAGAGGTGGGAAGGGGCCACAAAGCAATGGATATTTATAATCCCCTCCATGGGACTGCAAATAATTAGTGGCACTTTTGATCCACAGACCTTCATACAGGTTTGCTCTAGGAGTTCCAGTTGCCATAGAGAACATTGAAGTTTGCTCCCAAGTAATTGGATAGGTAGACAGTCGTTCTCAGAAGGTGCAAGATCCTGCAACATTCACAATGAGTTTGTTCTGTCTCCATCCCTCCCTAGTGTGACTTGCAGGTGAACTACAGTACATAATTTCATTATTCCATTCTCTGCCAAAACCCATGCTTTGTGAAGACCAACCTAACATAAAAGGGGGAAATGACTGATTTAATGGTGCTTGATTTCCCGCCTCCAAAAAAACCCCCTGCTACTTGACAGAGTATGGTTACAAAATATACAGATCTTTTCCTTGCAGAGCTAAAAGTAAGCTGACTTTTCATGATTGAAATTTTGTCATAGCTCTCAGAGATGAATGCTCAGTCAACTGAGCACAGCTCATTCTGTCTTGCTGCTATCGAGCTACTTTGAAAAGAGGCGAGTGGGACTCACACTCATATTTAACTGTGAAAAAATCAGCTGAGTAAAAGCTGTAGGATATCAAGAAATTTTATTTGTTCGTTGGGACTGGAACACATATGAAGCCAGTCTATTTGAAGGTAGCTGATGTTACGCATTACTATGACATTTCCTCTTTTGGATGCTTCATTGATTTCGTTCTTCATCTCAAGATCTCACTGAGTATATTGATCAGGGGGACAGTAACACATCCTCTGTACTCAATTCCTTTTGGGACCTGGTTTCACCACCCATGAATCTGTGGAGGAGTCCACCCAATTTTTTTTAAGCTTGCTGGATTCAGTGCCCCCTTTGACATACATAGCGACACCACCTCCCGAATGTCCTACCCTGTCCTTCCTGTAGAGTTTGGAAACCAGGGCAACGCTACTGAAGAAGCCCTCTCCCTTGTGCCTTCTTCTGATCCTGAAGGCAATTGGGGAAGGGCTTCAGTAGCAGATCTGAAGACCTGGGCAGGATGTGTCAAGCTATTCCTTGAGAGGACCTTACTTTTTGGTACTGAAAGCCAGTCTGAGGAAGGACTGTGGCTCAGTAGAAACACCATCACAGATGGTCTCAGTTTCAATCCCTAACAGCTCCAGGCTGGGCTGGGAATGTCCCTGTCTGTCTTGGTTTACGGCAGCTTCCTATATTCCGTTTCCCCTCTGTTATTGACAGCCTTGTCTTCTGTCAATAATTAGCTGAAAGGCTCGTTCACCTTGAGACTCTTTAGCTTTCTTGGCAGGCACACTTCCTGTTTCTTCCTCTGCTGCACAAATTATAGCTGCTTTTGGGTCGGCAAATCAGGAAGTCTGACGAGTGCTATTTTTGCACACTTCAGCTCCTTGTTTCCGTTCTCCAGAGACTCTTAGCAGTGCCTCTTCCCATGGCGATGGCAGATTCATTGGTACTGTCTGCTGCTGCTGCTGAACTGTAGCTCCAAGTCTGACCAGCAAGAGAACAATGAGCATTAGGCCTGTAGGCAACAAAATCCACTACACTGCAGCAAGTGCTGAGAATTACTGCATATTATCAACTCGAAGAGTAGGGGTGGGAGAGAACTGGCCAGAGTAATCATATTGTGCTGGTAATGAGGGGTGTGCAAGGGAGAGGGGAAGCAAAGTTTTGTTATTCCATTCATTTCAAAACTTCTTTAATTTCGCTATTCATTCATTAAAACCACATTCCTTTCATTATCGCTTTTATGCCATTGCATACAGACCATACATTTAAAGCACATTTCTGCCTGTTGGAAAATGAATCCTGGAAACTACGGTGGTACCTCGGGTTAAGAACTTAATTCGTTCTGGAGATACATTCTTAACCTGAAACTGTTCTTAACCTGAAGCACCGCTTTAGCTAATGGGGCCTCCCGTTGCCGCTGCAGCACCGCCGGAGCACGATTTCTGTTCTTATCCTGAAGCAAAGTTCTTAACCCGAGGTACTATTTTTGGATTAGCGGAGTCTGTAACCTGAAGTGTCTGTAACCCAAAGTGTCTGTAACCCGAGGTACCACTGTAGTTGTTAAGGGTGCTGGGAACTGTAACTCTGAGATGGATATACTACAGTTCCCAGGATTGTTTAGGTGAAGCCATGTGCTTTACTGCATGTTGCGCATGCAGCCTGAACTACAAAGTACCTTGTTCAAAGCTTCCTCAACCACAATTCCATGGGGTGCCATAGGCAAACCCCTGGAATCTCACAGGGCTCAGAGATTGGGGTGCAGTGTAACAGTATCTATAGCATCATTGTGTTGTTGCTTTTAAAGCCTAGAGATAACAATTTCCCTAGGATTTGAAACATAAGAACATCTACCACTTGAACTATAAAACTAACCATACTAGCTGGCAGGCCCTGTTAAATCCTGCAAGTGTTTATTATCAAAACTACTATACTAAGTACTCTCTGACAAGACTGTGGAGAGTAGAAGTTTATCTCCCTTTTCAACCCCCAATGGAAACCTCCCAAGAGATACTGAATTACAATTCCATGCAATGCTGTATGTTTCATCCTTTTTAAATTAGCATGTAACAATATTAATCAAATGCAGAGAGCAAAGATGCACTTGTAGCATTAAAGTGAATCAATACTTTTGTCATCTCATTCATCATTTACAAGTTATAACAACCCATTATACTTACCCAGGGCTACTTAGGGAGTTTATTGCTAATGTTAGATTTGACCCTAAATCCATAAGGCCCAAGTCCAACATAATGACTACTAAATTGCCATGGAACAGAGAGCTACTGCAATGCTATTCCTGCACATCGTTTTTGGGTTTATTGCAAAACCCACCTAAAAAAAGAAACGAGAGAGACCTCCTTGGCCACATACTGCTTCATACAAGGGACTGTGATTCTTGGACTATGTGCTACTTTGTGAAATTACTCCTCCCAGAATGACATTTTCTCCCTCCCATCTCTTTAGGTAAATGAATGTTGAAAGCTCATGTCTCCTTATCAAGCACATAAATGCTTATTTGCAAGTTTAACATCACTTACCAATGAAGATGGGATGCGGGTGGCGCTGTGGTCTAAACCACAGAGCCTAGGGCTTGCCGATCAGAAGGTCGGCGGTTCGAATCCCCGCGACAGGGTGAGCTTCTGTTGCTCGGTCCCTGCTCCTGCCAACCTAGCAGTTCGAAAGCACGTCAAAGTGCAAGTAGATAAATAGGTACCGCTCTGGCGGGAAGGTAAACGGCGTTTCCATGTGCTGCTCTGGTTTGCCAGAAGCGGCTTAGTCATGCTGGCCTCATGACCCAGAAGCTGTACACCAGCTCTCTTGGCCAGTAAAGCGAGATGAGCACCACAACCCCAGAGTCGTCTGCGACTGGACCTAATGGTCAGGGGTCCCTTTACCTTTACCTATGAAGATGGATAAAAACTCCCCTCCACCCTACACACAAACTGACAACTGATTGATTTGAAACTATATTTAAAATGACAGCACTACAGCCGCCAAATATCCAGCTTAGTCTGTCTTCTATTTCTACTAGTTTAGTAGATGCTGGGCAACACTGTCTATAAAGTGTACTAATGGCTATTTGGCACTAGCATGAGTCTGCTGAATTTTCATATCCGGATACTATTTTGACATGCTGCCAATATTTCCCCATGGAAAACAATTATGAGCTGTATTAGCATGGGACTTCATGGGACTATATAAAGCAATCTTCACAGTACAAAAGGCTTCCTCTCTGTCAAAGTTTAACAGTTAAATACTTAAGCAGTTAAGAGTTTCTTTTTGAAATGTGGCAAAATGCCTAATATTTTCTATTTTAAGCAATCTATATATAATACAGTGACTCCCAAGGACATTTGGTGATTGTGAATGAACAGCTGGCCAAAAAAACTTCAAAACACCATCCATATATAATCTGCTCCCCCTTTTTTACAATACTAAGTTCAATGCTAGTACAGTGGTGCCTCGCAAGACGAAATTAATCCATTCCGCGAGTGTCTTCGTCTAGCGGTTTTTTCGTCTTGCGAAGCAACCCGATTAGCGGATTAGCGCTATTAGTGGTTTAGCGGCTATTAAAGGCTTATCGGCTTAGCGGATTAGCTGCTAAAAGGCTATTAGCGGCTTAGAAAAGGGGGGGGGGAGCGAAAAAAAATCTCAAGACTCGCAAGACATTTTTGTCTTGCGAAGCAAGCCCATAGGGAAATTCGTCCTGCGAAGCAACTCAAAAACGGAAAACCCTTTCGTCTAGTGGGTTTTCCGTCTTGCGAGGCATTCGTCTTGTGGGGCACCACTGTATTAACTCCTTACTGTTGAGAGCGTTTCCCAGACCAAGGCTGTGTACACACTGTAACTTTAAAGAACAGTTGAAGCACATTCCCCCCACCTCAAAGAATTCTGGGCACTGTAGTTTGTTAGATGTTGCTGGCAATTGTAACTCCGTAGGGGGTAAACTACAGTGCCCAGAATTCTTTGAGGGAAAGATTGTGCTTTTGATGAGCTTTCAAGTTACGGTGTGTACACAGCCCAAGAAACACACCATTTACTGGGGCACTATTTAGGAAAGGAATGTGCTAACAGTTCCCATATAGAAATGCCCTGGATTCAGGAATGACCTACACTGCAGCCTAGAAGTTTATTTACTCTGGTTGCCCCCCAAAACAGCAGTAGTTCCAAAATGCTTTAATAAACCCAAGCGTCTTTGAGAATCTATTCTGCTGCTTTGTCACAGAGGGATATAGTTCGATGCTGTGTGCCCTGTCATCTTACTGTACTGTAACTGGATGCTGAGTTGCACCATTATCCTCTGTTCTGTTGTGGTCATGGCGAGAGATTATTGGGGGGGGGGAAGCACTTTAAAATACTCCCCTTCATTGAAATCAATGGGACAAAAATTGCTTACATCAAGTTTGGGACTATTTAGAAGTTGCAGTTACAAATGGTCGCATTTGGAGGCCAGGTTTGACAGATGGACGGAGCCACCCACCTGAAGTCACAATTATGTCAGTTTTTTTGCCCATAGCGATCCTAAGAAGCCCTATTTAAAGTGCTATCTTGCCCAGCACTTTTTACAGGACTTTGTGGGCTCTGCCAACCATTGCTTCCTGCAAAGACCTCCATTGGCTCAGCCAGGCTTTACCTGCTCCACACCTGATGTCTTGTGGTGGCTTGGTTGAAATGGCCTGGCAGGCCTAATTAGGTCTGTAAGCTGGAACATTCTCTACCCATGGTCTACAATGACTGGTGATGGCTCTCCAGGGTATGGGACAGGAGTCTCTCCCAACCATACCTATCAATGGCTACTAGCTATGATAGCTATGCCCTAGCCCCATTTTTTGAGGCAGGATCCTTCTCAATACCAGCAGCTGGAAATCTTACATAGGGGAGAATGCTCAAGGTCCTGCTTGTGAGTTTCCCGCACACACCTGGTTGGGTGCTGTGAGAACAGGATTCTGGACTAGATGGGCCATTGGCCTAAAACCGCAGCACTCTTCTTGCCTGGAATCACTTGCATGCAAGACGCATGCTCCACCTATGAGCTATGGGTCTTTTTGTGGGCAAGTGCATTGCCTGACAGGTTGCTTTTGAAGGAGCATCTTCCAGTGCCCATTTTTTAAAAATCGCCACGGATAATTTTGCTCTGGGGTTGACAGTCCCTGCCACGTGGCCTGGACCATGAGTTCTTCAGCTTGCTGTGTGGAACCTCCCAACCGATTTCACTTCCAACCTGATCTCAGGAAGGAGAAGCAGATGTCCAAGCAAGCCTAAACGGGGCTTTCCGTGTGCTAGCAAGCATCCTCCTCCAACAGCATCCTTTTATTTTACAATTGCCATGGCTGTCGGACGTTTGCATGGCAGCATCGGTGCTGGAAAAGGAGGTTGGTGGTCGGCGGAACCAGTAGCGCGTCCCGCTCTGCACCACCGAAGCGCCTCTGCAGCCCTTATATCACCGGCTCGCACTGCAAACCCCATGATACCCCGACCTTCTCCTTTCCTGCCATTGCAGCAGGACCAGAAACCCGCAGCCTTGCTCTCCCCTTTCCCGCCACTCTTTCCCTCCAGGAGCCGCCGCAGCCGCAGCACGGGACTCCTTCGCCTCGCTTCCGCACCGTCTCGTGCCTCGCCCTGGCCAGGGAAGGAGAGAGAAAAGGGAGAGGCGGAGAAAGGGCGGGGAAGGGAAGGAGAGGAGAAGGTGGTGGTGGGGCGGCCTTGTAGCAGCATCGCCATGGCGACAGTGACGTCAGCCCACCCTGGACCTAATTGGAGGAAACCCCGTGGCCCCAGCTGCAGAAGCAGCAGCAGCAGTGCACGGGCCAACCGAACTTGCGCGCCCTCCCTCCCAGCCGCCCGCGACTTTTCTGCTCACCTTCGCGGCGGCGCGCAGGAGGGCGATTGGCCGCGCCGCGCTGAGGGGCGGGGCACGGGCTCGGGCAGCGCGCGCCGATTGGCTGAGCTGCAGGCGACCGCGGGCCTAGCAGCGGGAGAGGTTCGCTTTGTGCCAACGCCCTTTTAGCAGCAGCAGCGGCGGGAGCAGCAGCAGCAGCAGCGCTGGTTCTGTGGCTGGAGACGGGAGCGGTTTTCTCTCGCTCTTTCTCTCTCCCCCCCTCCCTCCTCTCCTCCTCCTCCTCCTCCTCCTCCTCCCCACCTTCTTGATCCAGCCCCGGAGCGGAGCGAGCGCAGTCGACCCAGCAGGCGCCCGCCGGCCCGGCCTAGCGCCTCAGCGGACCCAGGTGAGAGGGCGACGGCGGCGGCCTTGGCGGCGAGGCGAGGCGCGCTTCCCGCTTCTCCCCTCCCTCCCTCCCTCCCTGGCTGCGCGCCTTCCCTTGCCTAATCCCTGCCGCGTCGTCCATTTTGTGGAGGCGGCGCGGAGCTCCCGGAGTCGTCGTCGTCCCCTCCGCCGCCGCCTCCGCCATTTCGTACCGGCCCTGCAGAGCCAGCCCCGGCATTTCCTGAGGGACGGCGGGAAAGGAGACGGGCGGGAGCGCGGCTGAGGGCAGGGCAGGCAAGGCTGGGTGGCTGCCACCCGCGCCTCACTCGCTCCCTCCTCCGCCTGCGGGGACAAAGGCAGCGCGGAGCCGCCGCCGCCGCCGCCGCCTTTTCCCTTTGCCTCCGTGGGAGGGGGAAGGGGGGGAATCGGTCGTTCTCTCGCTTCTCCCCCCCCCCCATCACCTTTTTATTATCCAGGAAAATCGGCGGCTTTTTATCTCTCCCCCACCAAAAGCTTCGACACTCCTTTCTCCTTCCTTTTTGTTATTTTGCACATCGTCCTCCTCCAACGCCAAGCGAATCGCCCCGGGCTTCTCCGCCTCTGCACTCTTCTCTTCCATCTTCCTTCCCACACCAGTCCCGCCTGCCAGGCATTGCTTAGCGATCTGCCCCTGAGAAGAGTTGCTCGCCCTCTTCTTCTCCCACTACACCTTGTGCCTTTTCTCTCTCTCTGCTCCTTTTTTTCCTCCTCCCCTTACCCGCCATTCACAAGTCCAGGTTGTAGGTCACCTATGGCGCCACTTCCATTCTCCTCTTCTTAGCCTGCTTTCTTGCAAACACTGCATGGGGTTTGTGGGTGGGTGGTTTTAGGACGTAACGTTTGGATTCTCTCTCCCCCCTCCCTTAACAGGAATCTTTTTTGTGTCTTGGGTCTTTAAAAGATCACAAACCAGTCTCTAGTGCCCAACTCCAGCATCATACACCTTGGATCAGTGCTACACTATTCCTGACCGCCATTTCCAAAGGCCTGGCATCTCCTGTCCACAAGGTGCTGGAAATCTCTTAGGGAGGGAGGGCCTAATACCTGTTCTGGACATGAGTGCTTCTTCCACTTATGTTATCTCCACAGGCCCTGTTAGTGTTCCCTGGTTGACAGAAATGTTTTGGGAATGGTACATTTTTTTGTCAGCTTGGTTTGAATTGAGGCTTTTAGTGACTGTTTCTCAATGGCCTTTGTTTAAGTTGCTCTGTCTCTTGTGGTTTGGATTTCCTAAATCTATAGGAGCTTTTTGTATGGCTGGTAACTCTATTCCTTAGGAGTACTGTACAGGTTTCAGAATATTCGTCTCTTCCTGTTCCAGGTTTTGAGGTGCCTTCTGACTTTGTGAAAGGCCCTGCTATTCCTTTCCCCCTACTAAATCAGTTGCCTTGCTGCTTATACCATTGCTGGCCAACATGGAAAAGACCGAGATGATTCAGAAAGCCAAGCTGGCTGAGCAGGCGGAGCGTTATGATGATATGGCTACCTGCATGAAGGCAGTGACAGAGCAAGGTGCTGAATTATCCAATGAAGAACGCAATCTTCTCTCTGTGGCGTACAAGAATGTGGTTGGGGGAAGACGCTCTGCTTGGCGAGTGATCTCTAGCATTGAGCAGAAAACTGACGGAAATGACAAGAAGATGCAGCTTGTCAAGGACTACCGAGAGAAAGTGGAGTCTGAACTTAAGTCCATCTGCACCACAGTTCTGGTGAGTTTGTTAAAAGCATACTTCACCTTATTATTTATTGCTGACTTACTGAGTTGAAGCCTGAGGCCTAGGAGTGGGATGAATTGCATTGTGTGAGATGTAGATTTAAAATGTAAGATGTTGAATTTAAATACAATATTTTGCCATACCTTGCCAGGAACAGTGAATGTACATAAACAAATGTTGACTAAAGTGAATTTACTGCAAAAGTGGGTTTCTACTGACAGTTACTTGGAAAACGTGAGAATGAGGATTGAACTGTAAAAGCTGCTTTATCTGTAATCAGTAGCAATGCAATCTCATAATGCCTTGTATTTAAAAGTCTGTATTTGATGAACTAAATAGACTGAAAAAGCTACATATTGGTTCCCCTGGGGTCATATCTATTGCTTTGTTTGTTGAAATATAAAAGCTAGTATATGCTAAACCTTAAATTCATTGAGTAGAGGCTATTCATGGAACATAGTTGGAATAAATCTCTGCTTCTAATAGTTTCACTTGCATTGCTCTTGCCTGTTTCTTATTTCTATGGGTTCTGGCAGTAGTTTCATATTACCTACTGCAAGTGATGAAGAGCTAGCACAAAGTTATGAAGAAGAAAACACAGGTTGTCTGTTTCATAAATATGTCCAAAGCAACAGGCAATACTCTTTAGGCATTCGTATTTGGTCTTGGATTCTTTAAGTAGCTATTTTGTTTTTAATAAAGCATGGTAAGTTGACATGCCAAAGCTAGAGTACAGTTTTTAATTGACCCACCAGAGTCTTCTGTGTTGCTGATAACTGTAGTAGTAATACTTGCTTTCTCTAAACTCACCTTTTTGTTGTTACAAATCTGCAGTCATTTGATACATTTATTTAAAATAATTTTTATATCTATATCTGCAGGTAGGCTAGGATAATTAGAATTCGTTTGAAGCTTTTCTTCATTTACTTAATGCCACCTAAATTTTGATTTGGATTGGGTTAAGGAGGTTGGCAACCAGTGAAGAACAAATGTCCTCTGGTGATTTGTTTCTGTCTGCAAAAAAGTGTTTCTCTGATCCTTAGGGCACCATCTCAACTCCTAGTGCATATTTATTTTGTAGGAAACATTGTACATGTTTGCTTCTGACATTTAATTCCTTGCACCAAAGGGGGCCTTTTTGAGTCTGTAAAATAAAAGACAGCATTGTATATTATGCAGCAAAGCACTTTTGAAGTTATGGGGAGTTTAAAAATGAGGGTCTATTCAATGAAAAGTAAAAAATCTCATTAGGCAAGCCCAAGCCCTTGGGTGTGTCTAAAGTAGCTCTTTGGATCCTAGCCACTGTCCTTAGTCATCTCTATTGCATACCAGCAGTACAGAAATGCCTTTTGATTTCAAGCTTTCTGGTCGAATATATGGTTATTTGGGGTGGGGTAAAGTGACAATGATTCTAATCTTAAAAAAAAAAACCCACCCCACTATTTTTGGTTATTTTTAACACAATTATTTTGCTACAAATGTAGACATTTATATTGGTGTTTCCTTTTGAACCGTGTGCATCCTATTCCATATAAAATTGTTATACTTGTCAATATTTTCCTAAATATATAGTAGTGCAGGAAGTATTCTAAATTTTGTCGGCTCAAGGTCTAGCTCTACTCTAAACTTCTCTTGAGCAGTGAACTGTTGGAAAGCTGTATAAACTAATGATATGTAACAAATAAATTTTGACAAATTGGTTGATACTTGGAAAACACAAGAAAAATCAGTAAGCAGTCATTTGTTACACATCTTAGAACTGAAGAGTGAAACTGCTTATAATGGAACAGATTGTGTGTCAATAGGACTTGCTGATTGGAAGGTCGGCGGTTCGAATCCCCGCAACGGGGTGAGCTCCGGTTGCTTGGTCCCTGCTCCTGCCAACCTAGCAGTTCGAAAGCACGTCAAAGTGCAAGTAGATAAATAGGTACCACTCTGGCGGGAAGGTAAACGGCGTTTCTGTGCGCTGCTCTGGTTTTGCCAGAAGCGGCTTAGACATGCTGGTCACATGACCCGGAAGCTGTACGCCGGCTCCCTCGGCCAGTAAAGCGAGATGAGCACCACAACCCCAGAGTTGTCCTTGACTGGACCCTTTATCTTTAACAGTTCATTCATAAAAATGTATATATGTTTACCCAGAGGTACATAGAAAGCATGCTAAGTCATTGTTAATCAGCATAGTGGAAGCAAAGGACTTTCCCTAGTGAGAAACTGAACATACTTTAAGCAGTTGAGGTGACTCATGCCCATTAAATGCTGTGTTAAAACTAATTACGCAGGTGTTTGTAGGCACAGTTGCATTTTCCAACGTTACTGGACATGATTAGTTGGTCGTTTGAGCACCATGAGGTGGTGGGGAACCTAAGGCCCCAGGCCTGAATGTGGTACTCCAGGACTCATATTTGACCGTGGGAGCCCCCACCCCTTGGTCCAGGCCACACTCACCACTCTTTCCCTGTCTCTTCCTTGAGTACTTTTCTCTGGCTGGAGTGTGTCATTGAATTAATAATGTCTTGCTTGTCTTGATGAAGGCTGGGGAGAGGTGTGTGTCTGTCTAAAACTTTTAACTGACTGGTGTGTAGCTTACTGTACAAAGTGGCCCCACCCACCCCTGACATGTGGCCCTTAGAAGCTTCCCCATGAGGAAATGTGACCCTTTTGCTGAAAAAAGGTTCTTTGCCCCTGCACCAAAAACAATGTTCATGTTCTGAAAACTAAAGTTTAGTGCAAGGACATCTTTCCTAGGAGTCTTCTGCTCACGTGCATTTTTTCTCTCTGAGCTTTTAGATAAGGCTGCTTGCGGCAAACTATCTTAAAACATTTTTCCAAGCAGGCACGATGATAGGAAAGTACTCCATTTGCAGAAGTGAACTGTGTATATCCCGTTTCATGACCAGTAGCTGCAGACTGCAGTCCTCAGTTGGGCATGTACTGTGGAATTTAGGCAGGTAAGTAGAAATGGTCTGTTAAAGAGTAGACAGGAAAAGGAAAGCAGACAGCTGCTTCATATTTTAGCTAGGTGGATTTTACAAAGTTAAGAAGATACTATGTCTTGGTAACTAAGGGAATTCATTCCAACCAAGGTTGGACACTTTTAAGTGATTATTGTGAGAGAATTGAGCATGCCCGTAGGTGAAATCTGTGCAGCTTAAAATGTTCTGCTTTATATTTCATATTTAACAATCACATTTTGTTGATCATATCTATTCAATAGTTTTGCTAGTCTTCTAAGTTCTGTGCTGAAATGTCAATAGCAAAACATATTGACAATCTACCAGAAAACCAGAGATTCCAAACAAAGTCTTATTGGTGGGAGAATTGAGTTCATATATTTTGCAGAACAACATGCTGTCAGTTTCCATTCAAATGAGCAATGCTAAAAAGGGTAGCCGCACTTGTGAATGGCTTGGATTCTTCTATCTTTTTTTACATAAAATCTGGGTACAGTGGAACCTCTAGTTATGTACGGTCCTCCTTATGAACGCTTCGGGTAACAAGCTCCATTAACCCAGCAGTAGATGCTCCTTGTTGCGAACTTCGCCCTGGGATGCAAGCGGAAGTCGTGTGGCAGTGGGAGGACCCATCAGCGAAAGTGCCTCATGTTAAGAACAGTTTCAGGTTAAGAACGGACCTCCGGAATGAATTTAGTTCATAATTGGAGGTACCACTGTACTTGAATATCATAAGCTTTTTAAGTCAGGTTCCGCAATGCATTCAACAAGCAGGAATGCCTAGTATCTATGTACCATTTTCAGATGTCGGAGACTAATGTAGTAACAGTTATTTTAATTGAAAATGGTACATAGATACCATAAACATGGAATAAAAGGATGTTCCCAGGCCTGTTGGTTAAAACTGAACACTGATAAATTGTATTTCTGAGAATCAGTGAGGGCTTAAATATACCAGTGCTTTTTAATTTTTAATATGGTTACTTCATGAAGAAACCTTCAATATCTCACCTTTTCACTGTTGTAGCACTCCTTATGATGTCATACAACAACATAAAATGACAGAATAAATGATTACTGAATAAACCAATTTAATATTTGTGTATGTTCATCTCATAACATGAATTCTCTAGGTGATACGCAACAATTTTAAGTATGCAGAAATATAGTTTAATATAATAAAACACGCAAGTATAGCAGGTAGAAACAGCTTAAAACTAGGGATCAGTATTGGGCCATTGCTACTAATGTATTGTTGGAGTCGGTTAAAAATAGTTTAGAAATAAATCTATGCAGTGTGCGCACAGAGGTTCTGATTAGGAAAGGAATTTTGATGTAAGCTAGTATTGTAATGAACTGAAATGCTATGACAGATTTAAACAGCCTTATGCTAACCATTTTGTGATAGGTGGAAAAGGGAGAGAATTGCCTTGCTGATTTTACTAAATAAAATTAGTTTTGTCTCGTGACCTTCAACAGCTATTTGGAGGTTTAAGCCTTGGTGCATGAGTAGAACACTGCATGTGCCCCTTAAGACCATTGCCATTATTGATAGGTTGGCTATCTCCTTTTTTAAAAAAATAAAACCTGTATTAGTGTCCTAGTTAGAGCTTGGTGTTACACTTTAGTAATTAAGAAATGATCAATTTGCATGCGTTAGTAGAAGGCACAAATCACTCCCTGGTAACAGAGAAGACTGTCAACCACTGGATAGATTACCACTGAGACTGAATGCAGGATCGTAACATACTTCAGTACTTGTTTTTTACTTACCATCCAAATCAAGAAGCTTAGTGCTAAGAACCAGAGTACAATTCTGAATGCCAAAAGCATTCTTCATAGCTGAATTAAAGTGCAACACACTATTATTTCTTCTCCAACCTCTCCAAAGTGTTTTTTGTGGATTTCTGTAGTGGGGACCTATTAGTTCATTAAACAAACACGTAAAAGATGTATTTGAACACTGCTACATCAGAAAACATAGCAAAGTAGTTTACAACATTAAAAAGGTGGAAACCATACAATGAAAGCATTAAAACATATCTCACAATATCTTTCAACATGATAATAATTTATTATATAGGGTTGCATGTAGACATGCTGAGGTCAGAAGTATCCAACAAGTTGGGAGTAGCAGTAAGTAATTGGATTGGGGGGGGGATACTTCAAAATTCACTTGAAATATAATTGTATTAACAATTTTGAAATATATAGTATGGCAGTAGGATCATGTGTGCGTCAGATCCACAGGTGAGCCAAAAATGCCGCAGAATGCAGTAACAGGGGCAGAATTTGACTTCTTTCAAACAAAAGTAGTTTCTAGTTCTTATGGCTGAATATATGTTTAAGATATGATTGTGTAAGCTATGATTGCTGAAATTTCAGGTGCCGTAAAAATTACTTGATAAATCCCACACCAGCCATCATAACAAGTGATCTTGTTCCTTGCTTAAACAGTTGGCCAAGTGCAGAATATTAAGTTGTGTTAAGAGTGCACATGTGGCCCTGATTAGTTAAACTTAAGGTGTGTTCCTAAGCATATTTGCTTGGAAACAAGTTCCATTTAAATGGACTTCTTTTCAAGTGAGAGTATTTGAGATTCAGCTTCGTATCTCTACTGCTGGAGCACTTAATGTTTGAGGTTGGTTCAGTTTCGCAAGCTGATTCATCTTTGCAATCTGATTCATCAGGGGCTTGAGAGTTTCTCACAGGGATGATTCATGTCATGTGTTTTTGGAGCAATTAAATATGTGCTGGTACTAATTTAGTATATTCTAGTTTACAGTAGAGAAGGGAGTTGACTATGCACACCTCTCACAGTACGGTATTGGGTTTTATTTTTATTATTAAGTTTGTATACCATTTATCAGATCACAGGGCGGTTCACAACATAAAAATACAAAACGAAAGCACAAAAGACATAATAAAGCAAAACCAAACCAATAACATGCCCCCCAACAAGGACATTCTATGGCCTCTTAATGTCAGTCAACCGAAAAGGTATGCTTATAGAGAAACATTTTTGCAACAGAGAGCCACTGTAGAAAAGGCCCATTCTTGAGTTGCCACATGCTTCAGCTGAAATAAACTTTGCTACTTGTTGAGGATTCAAAGAGAAAGTGAGGAGTAGATTAGATCAGGAAGTATATTACAATAAACCATAGTCCATAAAATTGACTAGTTGATTTTACATGCAGAAAAGAGTTGACCCTAGCTATTAATTGCTACTATAGGCTTACTGTACTTGAGGTTAACATTTGGCATTTTCCAGACTAGCTGTCTTTACCATCTCCTGCTGACATTTAGCCCTTGTTACCTGTCTGTGCCATGTATGTTTGATTAACCCACACTTTCCGCACAAAAGTGTTAGATGTTGCATCTGGTTAGACAACAACGAGACATTGATTATAAATCAGAGGGGTAAGTATGGAATTGGAATAACTATGCATATATCTTCTGTGGATGTACCTCCATCACCCAAAGCTGGAGCAAACATTTGGTATAGACTGAGTTGTCACTTCCCTTTTAGATTGATGGGCTGAGTAGACTACTAGACAGTATAGGCCAGTCTGAACTCTAAACCTGTCTCCAGGTAGGGCTGGGCAAACTCTTGTCTGAAACCCCAGAGAGCTGTTGACAGTGTAGACAATACTGAGCCTGGTCTGATTCAGTGTAAGGCTGTGTTCTATGCTCTTAGCTCTGTGAAGGAGTGTAAATTACATTTCCCAGAATTCTTTTTTAAAGAGAAGGGCAATAGCTCAGTGGCAGAGTGTCTGCTGTGTATTCAGTAGGCCCCAGGTTCCTTTCTTGGCATCTCCATGTTGGGTTGGGAAAGACTTCTGCCTGAAATCCTGAACGGTGGCTGCCAGTCAGTTTAGACGATGCTGAGCTAGATGGACCCAATGATCTGACTTGGTATAATGCAATTTTCTTTGTTCCTGTGAAATGTGTTATTACAGGATATACAGTATTAAATGGCATCTTCGTCATTTAAAAACAAAATGAGTTGAAAAACCACCTGCATTTCATTAGGTGACTTGGGGTGATAACCAGGGAGCACAGTCTTTAGCAGAAAGGCAGTATTAGTCATTTTGCAAGTGCATAAATTTGACTATAAATTATAATTGCTAAAATAACAATTATAGTAGCTCTGCATGTAGAACTTAGGTCTAACCTCTTTGCAAAAAAGCCCCATCCATGTTGGTACAGCTGGGCTAAAATGGCAGTCTGTAGGCTATACTGAGTGAGACTCCTTCCTCTTTTGCCTGAACAAATGGTTTATGTTATATTATTACCAGACAACATCTTGCTGTGTGCTTTCTTTCTTTAGTCAAAGCATTCAGATAAAGTAGTGAAGAATACATTCTGAAAGAAAGATACGGTGTGTCTTTAATTCTAATAAATATATGAACTGTAGAACAGAAGATTTATTAACAGTAGATTGCATTTAATGATACTGGTACTATATATTTGCATAGAAAAGCAGGCATTGAATGCAAACAATATTTTCAAAACTTTAATCTAAACATCAAAGGGAAAGATGACTGTATTGAGAAATAAAATTGCTCTCTACTTTCTGAAGCTTAAAGCATCTTTGTGCAGCTCTTCAGAAACTCAGAGCAGCTTAAGAGTCCGAAGACGTTACCTCTTCTTAGGCTTACTTTCTAAAAGGCATGAGACAAAATGAAGAGACGGGGAGGGCGGAAAGCAAACTCAAGCCCCCTAGTTCTTTGTTCTTCCAGCTGGAATGGAAGCAGTTCATGGAGGGGAGGAGCTAAAAGTTACTAGTCTCAACAGAGCTGATACCAGTGTCTGCTTCCATTCTCCCTCTGCTGTAGCATGATAATACTAGTCTCTTGGCAGTTAACAGTGGAACTTTGTGACATTTTAGAGCAATTCCATTTAAGAGGGGAGAGTTTATTCCCTGCTTTTGTCCGATTCCTTGAAAGCTTTGATACATATTCAAAATCAAAACATTTTGTACATAGGGTGTGAGTCATTTAATAATGAGTCCTGTCAGCCCTGTACAAGGACTTCTGCTCTCCTCCCCTGTGCATCCCTGAAATTAACTCTCTCTGTGTGTTAGGAGCACCCCTAGAACAGCATGTGGGGGGCAAGAGAAGCAAGGATTGTTCATCTGGTAAGCTGAAATGCTTGTGCTGATGGAATGATCAGAAGAGTGCAACACTGTATTTCTCCCTTAGCGGCAAATTAAGCATGGGATGAAAATACCATGTTTGACATGGGTGTCTTGTAGGGAAAATAGGTCTTCTATTTCAAGTTTTCTCTAGACTCCAGGACTATCTTGCTGGTCACACTTCTGGCTGGAAGAAATATGTGTGTGTTCTTTCAAGTTAGTTTCAAAATATATCTCTACTTCAGGTTCTTTTAACTTGCCTAGGTGTGTCTAGTTCTGACCATGCTGCTTCGTTACCCAACATGTTGATTAGCCTAAAAATTGGCTGTCCAGTGACAGAAGTCTGATACCAAAGAAGGTTCACAAACTTTAGTAGCTGCAGAGGATGTTAACCAGAACTTTAGCATGACTATTTAAGACTTTTTCTTGTAGACATACAAGGCTAATAGCCAAAGGTTCCAATTGGCTGTGCATACAGTTGGACTGTGGGTGACTTGTCAGGGCTTCAGACATCAACTTACTATTTACTAATCAAAAGCAGAAGTGACTTTAAATCTGCTAAAATAGCTGAATTAGATTGTTCTCCACTGTGAGGAAATAGAAAGCAGCTTAGTGGGAAGGGGGAGCAGGGAGAGAGCGACTGTGTGATGTATCATAGTGGTCCTTTATGTAGGGGTGGCTTTAGCTAAGGTTTATGCTTCAGCTATAATTTAAATGCATATTGTTGGCAAAAAATAGTTAATTGAATCTGTATATTCCAATTCAAAAAACCCTCATTAAACAGATCTGTGACTAAATCAGCACAGTTTTTTTAGCATGGCACATAAGGCAATAATTTCTATTTGAAAAATAAACCATTTGAACATTGAACTATTTGAACCATATTGAATATGGCTTGTGCAGTAAGACAATTGGCTGAAGCTGCTAAATACTTAAAAAGTAATCGTGGAGTGTCTGGATGGAATCATTACTTTGGGCAACTGTCACAGGTAGATCTCCTGGGATAAGACAATCAAATAAACTGTGGCTGTGTTGGTGGCAGTGGTTTGCTGCAAAGGTGATGGGTGTAGCTTTTATATTCAGTGCAGGACTTAGTGTGTTTTAAAAAGCTATTGCTTCAATTTCTAATGCAACACGGGTATTTATTTTGAGAAGGAATTAATCAAAAGTGGAAACAGTGGAAAAATAACTAGGAATAGTTCTACGGCCCCAAAATAAAAAAAAATCACACTCCCTAAACTTTATTTGTAAAACCTGTTTTTCTTGCGAGCTGTTGATTATGAATTTTTCTTTGGTAAGCAGCCTCTTATGTCAGAAAGTGATGTATCTCATAGTGAAAGAATGGGTTAATGGGCATGTGTCCACAATTCCTAAATGTTTGCTTCATACCTGACTCAGTTTTTAGTCCAAAAAGTAAATCTAATTTTGGTTACAACACTTCAATCCTTCATTTGTGTTGCCCATCTTGAAAGACAGTCTCAGGGGACAAACAGTGCCACTTCTTAAATTGAAACACCATTTCTCTTGCTACAGGGTCTTTGTCTACTTAGTGCATAATATATCAAAATGGCATTTTAGCAATCATGCATATTGTGTCTGAACACACATCTGTGGTAGTATTTCTGGCAAAGAATATTACTTTCCCTTTCCCTTACTATTGAAATTACTTAAAATTCTCCCCCCCCCTTTCATTAGGAGCTGCTGGACAAGTACTTAATAGCTAATGCAACTAACCCAGAGAGCAAGGTGTTCTATCTGAAGATGAAGGGAGACTACTTTCGATACCTGGCGGAGGTTGCCAGCGGAGATGACAGAAAACGTGAGTACCATATTAATTTAAACCTCTGCTTTACAGTAAAGGTATATCTAGGCTTATAAATAATAGTTACATGTTGTGTGTGAAGATAATGTTAAGAACCTGCTAGTTTGTCTCATAATCCCTTTTGCCTTGCTTTTTCTTAACAGAAACAATAGAAAATTCACAGGCGGCTTATCAGGAGGCATTTGACATCAGCAAGAAAGAGATGCAACCCACACATCCAATTCGTTTAGGCTTAGCGCTTAACTTTTCTGTATTTTACTATGAGATCCTCAACAACCCAGAGCTGGCTTGCACATTGGCAAAGACAGTAAGTTGACTTTGGGCGTGTGTGGGAAAGTTAGTTTGAATAAGGGAGCAGGACTCCTTAACCACATTTGCTTATCTTCTTGGATACTGAAATTGTATATATGGGTGTGTTCACTTTACCTATTCTTCATTCAGGGGACTGGTAGTATGATCTTGCTTCTACTTCCTCCTTGTGGCATTCTGTCACCTGATAGAGCATGCAGAATAATTTTAACAGTGAAAGCTATGAACAGGCACATCATTGATGGCTGGTCTTAAAACATTTTTGTTTTGAGAGGCTAATGTTATTGTCTCACAAGGGTTTCATTTCTAGGCCCACTTTGGGAAATAAGCACCTTTAGTCATAGTAGAACATGAGCTGAGTGAACATAATTTAGGTTTGATCTAAAGTGGCATCATTACAATATTTCCCCATATTGCATTATTGTTCTCCAAAGGAAAGCCTACATCCATGTATACTCCTCTGAAGAGTTGAATGTTTGAACACAACCACAGATGTATAACCCCAAGTTAAATACCAGCCCACAGAAAACCTAAATTGCCGTACATTAAACTTGTAGCAGGAAATGTTCACTGAGTACTAACTTCTCTTGCTTCTGAAATGTCTTCCAGAATAGGCTTTGTACAATGACTATGCTGATAACCAAATCTTGTTTATCCTATATCAAAGCAATTTATGTAAAAAAGAAACAGCCTAAACTTCTGAAGGAATACCTCATCTGATGGCTTGTTTTTAAAACATATCTACTTTGGGGGGTTCTTTTGCCTAAAGCGTAAGAATAATCTGAATGTCTTTCCTAGGCTTTTGATGAAGCCATTGCAGAACTTGATACGCTGAATGAAGACTCTTACAAAGACAGCACTCTCATCATGCAGTTGCTTAGAGACAACCTCACAGTAAGATGTGCCTGGTCTTTCTACAGTCATTGTGCTTAGACTTTGGGTTCCCAAATAGTGTCAGCTAGGTTTTTGGAGTAGTACTCCTGCTGCATTTATTAAAAGGGAGTTGTGAGCTAGGGTTGGGATGGATGTAAAACTGAGAATATCTCACTTCTGATAATACTGCTTGCTTCTAAAAATATTGCACATTACTAGATTGGAGATTGTACATCTAGGCTTGATAGACTTAACAGATATATTTAGAAATATAATAAGGTGCAAGTAAAATTACTGCTTTTCATGTAGTTTACCAGATGAAGCAGGTCACTGATTTTACTTTTGTGCCAGGCTGCTATTGAGAATGGTGTTGCAAGTGAACCATACCTGATTATGGCTGTTCTTCTTTCCAGTTATGGACATCAGACAGCGCAGGAGAAGAATGTGATGCTGCAGAAGGTGCAGAAAACTAAACTGCATATGGAGTGTCATTCCCCTTCTCAAGAAACCTTTTTACACGTCTCATTCCTTATAGCTCCACTTGGATTTCCTATAGCAAAGAGAAGCCATCCATGTGTATGGAAATCAATTTATAGTCTTTTCACACTGCAGCTTTGGGAAAACTCCATTCCTTGATTTGTGTTTTGTCCTGGCCTTCCTGGTGTGCGTTTACTGCTGTAGAAAAGTATTAATACTGGCTTAATTTCCATATAAACATAAGTAACTTCCAAACACTTATGTAGCGGACTAAAGTTTCTAGTATTTAAAAAGAAATCTGAACCAGTTCCTGCAAGCAACTGTGGTGGTTTGGTTTATTTTTTTGGTTTATTTTTTTTGTATTACAGTGATGAAATGAAAATGTAGTTAATGCAACTAAAGAGTGTTCAACACAGTTCAATTCTCCACATTCCCTTTTTATTCTGCAGGGGTTTCTTGGTGATTTGACTTTCCCGTGCTACTGTGTATTCGTTTCTGTAGGATCTGGGGTGTCTTGGGCCAAATGGGAAGCATGTCAGAGTGGCTTCCTATATGTGTGTACAGCAGGAGCTACTGAGTGTTTTAAATACAGGGATTCTTCTTACTCTTCAGTTGCTGCTGTTCAACTGCTATCCCCTCCCAATAAAATTTCACTTACACTCCTGCCTTTGTAGTTCTGGTATTCACTTGATTATGTACTAGAAGCAGCATGTTACTGCCAGAATACAGGGAGTGCCTTTTTGGCAGACTAAATTGCATGTTATTTCTTAACACTGGAATGGGGGCGGGGGGAAGAGGTCATATGTCCGAGTATAAAACTTTTCCATGCAGATTTGTGCACATGTATGAAGGTGTCAAGTTCGTCCAGTGATTGTTCCTTAGATAGATGGACCACTATTGTGTGTTGCTAATCATTGATTGTAGTCCCAAAAAAGCCTTGTGAAAATGTTAATGCCCTATGTAACAAAATAACATTAAATAAAATTACATTTTATAAACCACTAAACTGTTGCGCTTTGTAACATTTGCATGCAGCTTCATCTAGGAATAAATCCCATCTAAACTGTTTTACTATGCTGTAACTGAACAGTTTTCAAACCTGTAATGCTTGCATCGTTTGTGTGTGCGTTTTTGGGCCGTGTGTGCACTTCTCTGATGCATTGCATGGAGTGAGATGATGTTCTGCATTCACTAAAGTTTTTAACATATAGCATGCATTCTCTTACATATGTATAGTGCATTGCAATGCTACTGTTACAAGAGGTATTCATACAGGTAAATTGAAGCATTCTGAAAATACTACCCGCTTTAACAGGGGCCTCCTACCTAGAGCCACATTTAATTAGCTTTAGGAATGCTCCAGCATCAGACCAATCACCTGGACCCTAAATAGAAGCATTTCTAAAAGTAGCTTTTAACAGACAAACATACTGTGGCGTAAAAAAGGCAGAACTCAGGCCATGGGGAAAATGCTTATCCCAAGACTGTTCCGCATGCACTTGCATTTGGTGTGCTGGACCATTTACCACATAGTTTTGCCATGCTGGCTGTGCAGCTGATTGGACCTTCTTGTTGCTAGTCGCTCAATTTTATTTATTAAGACTGCTAATCGGTCACCTTGCAAATACACTCAAGGTGGTGAACATATATAATTTAAACCTGTAAGAACAAAACTGCATTGAACCAAATAGCTGGGTGAGCCAAAGCTAAAACTACAAATACATATTCCTTTCTGCCTTTCAAAGGTAAATTGGGAGGACTGGGGGGGAAGCTTATTCCATTGAGGGAAAATACCCTGGTTTTCTATGCCTGCTCTTAAACTTCTGGATGATGGTACTCAAAGCAGAGCCTGATCTGAGCACCACAGCTTGCATTGTGAACAATCTAAGAAGCGGTGCTCTCCATGTTAATGTGGGATCAGGTTGTGAAAGGTTCTAAATGCATGCAATATTTACACAGGCAAATATCCTGTGTCCTGTATATTGTTTGTTTTGGGACCAAAACCTCACTGCAACTCTCTTCAGCTTTTGTTACCTATGTTCTTTAACACCCTTTGTCATCTCAATCAGGTGCCAGTATTCTAAAGACAAGTATTTTCAGAAAAGGAATACTTGCAACATTCCCCTTCTTTCCCATATTCTGTCTAGTTGCTTCACTTGGGTTTCCAGTTGGGCAATTTTGCTTTGGTAGGCAGGCTACAAATAATTTATTATTTATACCCTGCCTATATGGCTGGGTTTCCCCAGCCGCTCTGGGTGGCTTACAGTATATATAAAAACATGGTAAAACATCAAACATTAAAAACTTCCCAATGCAGGGCTGCGGTCAGATGTTTTCTAAAATTAGGTAGTTCTTCATCTCGACATCTGAAGGGTGTTTCACAGGGAGGGCGCCACTACTGAGAGAAGACCCTCTGCAGATTAATGTCAGATTAATCACAAAGCGTGGTTCCCATGTTAAGGTATTACAATTGTAGGGTTGCCCTAGGAGAGCCACAAATTAATGGAGCTTGGGAATGGTTAAACAAAGGTTTAGAAATTACATGCATGAAACGATAAACTTACTGAGAATCTATAATTGGTGACTTCACACCTCCATAGTGGGCCCAATGGCTATAGCATATGCTGGAGTCACTAATGTGTGCTGCTGTACACAGGGAAATTGTGCCACCACTTTTAAGTGTACACCCTGGTGACTGCTACAGTGTAGAACAGCATGTGAAGTTTAGCATATTGGTGGAGTCCACATATTTGGTGTCATTGAGGATGGCTATGACAAGCGTGGGGATGAGGAAGCTTTGCCAAGTTTTGTGGCATAAATACTCCACTACTAAGTGGCATGTATTGTAGAAAATGGGAATAATGATGTGATCCTGTACATGCTTGCTTAATAAAGTAGGTGATGCTTGGGGGTTGGCTCCTGTTAACAGTATACACTGAATCTTCTCAGTAGTTAAACAAATGAGTCATTTGCTCATTTTCCGTCACCACTTCCTTTGAATACCTTTGAATTGTCATTAATGGTGAAGCAAAACTGCTTCCAAAGAAAAGGTTGCTTTTCACTTCCCCATCTTCTGTGTAAGGTTTTCCAAATCTTGCCCCTCCAGGACTAGTAACCCAGACGTTACTAGACCACACTTGGTGGCTTACCCCTGTGCGCGGCTTCTGAATTGGATGAGAACCTACAAGCAGCAACCTTGACCATGACCTGTGCTTAGAATCTTGAGTTTATAAACCTAATTTAGGAGTGCCCTCACTCCTGCCTTACCACATCCTTAAGAAAATTAGATAGCAGCAAGAATGTAAACTTGTGGCAGTTGTGAAGCTGTTATGCCTAAAAGGCTAGGAATGTTACGTGATCAAGGTAGAAATCTCTAGAAGTTCCCAATTTATAACGGGAACAGTGAAGTGAACCTCTTTGATCATTCTGTGACAGCCAGCAGGTGGCGCTGTTGATTTTTACCAAAACAGATTCGATGGAAATGCAAGTTTCTGTGCCAAAAGCCAAAGTGGAGAATAACCTTGAGGCCTGTGTTCTAGGTAAAAGGTAAAGGTAAAGGGACCCCTGACCATTAGCTCCAGTCGTGGCCGACTCTGGGGTTGCGGCGCTCATCTCGCTTTATTGGCCGAGGGAGCCAGCGTACAGCTTCCAGGTCATGTGGCCAGCATGACTAAGCCGCTTCTGGCGAACCAGAGCAGCCCATGGAAACGCCGTTTACCTTCCCACCAGAGTGGTACCTATTTACTTGCACTTTGACGTGCTTTCAATCTGCTAAGTTGGCAGGAGCAGGGACCAAGCAACGGGAGCTCACCCCGTCACAGGGATTTGAACCACCGACCTTCTGATCGGCAAGTCCTAGGCTCTGTGGTTTAACCCACAGCGTCACCTGCGTCCCGTGTTTTAGGTAGCCCATTCTAATTTAAAGGAAAGGGCAACCACTAGAGCTGAGTATCTTGTGCACTGTTAGTAATGAAGACAAAAAGCTGTTCAAAATGATTACACCAGTTTCACAAGGTGAAGTGTTCAACCTGGAACAGTCATAACTCCTGGCTCTTCCGAATGCTGAAATGTATCTATGATTGGGCAGGGGAAGTTATCATTTCTATCAACAGCTATAACTTAAGTGACCCTTCTAAGAATAATTGACAACAAGAAAGAGCCGATGACTAACTGGAAGAGCTTCACTACTATTTTTTACGAGTTCTGTTAATAATGAAGTGGGAAAAGTTGTGGCATTGTCTATATATTTAGAATTAAAAGGGCAGAAAGAACACAGTTTTTAGGAAATTATGCCTCTACCTGGTTACTTCCATCCCCAATATATTTATCACACTCCTTATCTTATTCCTACAGTAACAACTTTATTTGCTTGCTTCCAACCATATGTAATTACTTGCCATTTTTTATTAATTCTGGCCTAGTAACTCTTCATGCTATGCATGAAAAGGTCTCTCATACCTTTCTTGTTGAGGAAGGAAATGTAACTTGGGAACATGTGTAAGCAAAATATCCTGTGTGCATAATTTTTCATTTAAGAAGGCATATGGAACAAAAAACATGACAGAACAAAAATGTAACAAAGCTGTGGCAACTGCAGCTTTCCACGTTTCATAGATGCTGCTATAGGTCTCACACGTGGTCTGGAATGGGTAAGGGATGCTCTTTTATCTGAATGACTTGGGTGGCTGCCTGTGCAGAAATGAGAAGAGTGGCAATGAGTAATGGGTAGAAAAGGAGGAGGTGCTAATTGGGAGAGGGAAGAAGGAAACGTATTATCACTAGTCTCATCCTAGTTTCCCACACTCTGCTAGCCACATGGGGAGAATCTAAAATAGGACAGTATTTATCCACCCATTAGGAGGGGCTGCACATGGACAAAACTGGATGGCATCTCTTTAAGTGCTTGTTCCCAATCCTACGTTTGCCTGGATGAAGAAAAAATCGGAAGATTTACACCTTCATAACAAAAGTATTTTTCCACCCACCCGTCCAGATGGGGGAGGGCCTTGAAAAGTCCCTGGGATATGGAAAAAGTTACACCACCTCCTTGCAGACTGCCCTCTGGGGTTTTTTTTTCTGCCTCAACATCTTGTTTTTCAGTCATGGGGGAAAAACTCATGACTTAACCTAGCGTTCTTGAATAAGTCTACCTTCCTGGAGAGACCCTGTCTCTTATGAATGGGAATAGCAATAATTCACACACAGAAAAGCATCCCTCTATTCTTCCCTTTGCTTTAGAAGAAAATGTCTAAGGTGGCTAAGAATATGAACTTACAATAAGGAAAGCATTATCACGAGTCCATTTAATTTCACTGCACACAGGTGGTGTAGTGGCAATAAAGGTTTATTATTATTATTATTATACATGTTTTCATTTATTTATTAAAAAGCAATAGACTCACAGGAGGGAGGGCGCAATGAGCACAGCTGACGAAAACAAAAACCACTGGATTTGCTAACCGTGCAGTCAAGAGTTAGCACCTCGGAAATGCGCTTTAGATCCCCTTTAAAGCTGCACTCCTAAACACACACAGTTACTAGAGAGCAGGCACGGGGGGGGGGGAGCGGGCCTTTCTCAGGAGTAAATGTGCAGGGGGTCGCGATCCGCTTCTCCTGGTAAGGCTGAGCTAGACAGATGCAACACACACCCCGGTCCCTGTCCTTGTAGCTTTGCCACCTATTCTCCGACCTTAGTTTCTGTGTCTGCACGAAAATAAAAACCCAAGCAACCGTGAATAATAATAATAATATAATAATTTATACCCCCGCCCATCTGGCTGAGTTTCCCCAGCCACTCTGGGCGGCTCCCAATCAAATGTCAAAAACAAAACAGTACAGCATTAAATATTAAAAACTTCCCCAAACAAGTCCTTTCCTCTGCTTGGGAGGCATGTATCTGGCCGCTTTCCCCCTGCCGCTTTTAAAGAGGCTTTTCTCCCGCACCCCAAGGCCGGCGCGGAAAGGAAGAGCGCAAACGCCGCCGGCGCTTCAGGGCGTGACAAGGCCGCGTCTCGGCCTCCGAAGCGCCTCCCGGAGCGGGACAAAGATGGCGGCCGGCGTTCGCGCGCCCATAATGCTCCGCGGGAGGCCCAGGCGACCGGGCGGTTCTTCCGGACTCGGGGCGGCGGCGGCGGCGGCCTCAGCTGGGCATCGCTGAGAGAAGAAAGAGGGCGAGAGGACCGAAACTTATGTGAGAGAAAGAGGGAACGGAAGGGCTTGTCCGTCGGTTCCCTTCTGCTAGAGGAGGAGGAGGAGAGCCATGAGGCGCCGGGCGCCGCCGACCTCCTTCCCGCTCCCCGCCCTGCTCCTTCTCCTGTTGGTCTTCGGGGCTCCCGAGCTGGGGGCGCTGAGGCACCCGGCCGCCCCTTCCCCTCGGCCCGCCCCACAGCACCGGGGCAGGCACCGGCCGCCGCGATACGGTGAGTTATTTGAGAGAGAAAGAGAGGCGGACTTCCATAGACCCTTCTTTCCCCCAGGCACTTTTGGGGTGCGGGTGGGAAACTGGGGGGGGGGGGCGTCGCCAGCCAGACCTGCTCCCCTCCCCCTTATCTCTCTTCAGTTAATAGAAAATTTAAAATGAAGGATATGGGATATGCTGTGTTTGGCGGGGTTTGTGCTGGGAGAGTCTCAGGCTGCCCTCCGTGGCTGCTCCCAAAGCAGCGCGCTGGAAGGAAAGCCCAGCATCCGAGGTGTCTTTGGGGTGGAAAGGTCGCATACTTCTGAACATGCTTACTCGGAAGTAAGCCCCACTTCGTTCAGTGAGGACTTGCTCCCAGTTTTGGCGTGCCTAAGGTTTGCAGCCTGAGTCTTTTTTTCACCCCACTCCCCCCACTGCGTGTAGTGACTGGGTTTTGGAAACTCTGCAAACTGAGAAGCTGCTCAGTTATTTCGGTTTGGTGGGGAGGGGAAAAACCCCAGCCAATCTTAAACCTGATTGCGCTAGAGCAGGGTTTCCTAAACGTGGGTCCCCAGCTGTTTTGGGGACTGCCATCATCCCTAGCTAGCAGGACCCAGCAGTCAGGGGATGATGGGAATTGCAGTTCGGAAACAGCTGGGGACCCAAGTTTGGGAAATCCTGCTCTAAGAGAGCAGGGCTGAGGAAACAAGTTGCTGTCTGGATGCCAGTTGGACTGCCAGCTTCCATCAACCCCCCAGAGCCAGCGTGACCAATGGCTAGGGGCAGTGGGAGTGGTAGTCCAACCATGTCTCTCTAGGGCACATGTTCTTCTTCCTGTTCTGGGAGCATGGAAGGAAAGATACACAGTGCTGATGTTGCATGAATGTTAAATAACTGTAGTATTAAGCCTGTGAGGAAGTTCCTGGTTTGCCTCAGTGCTTTGTGGGAGGAAAAGGTTCTTGTACAGAGGAAGGGGCTGCTCATAGGGCTTTTCTGTGGAATCAAGTTGGAGGATGCTCAGAAAGTGTTGTTGTATTTGATTACTATTACTAAGTCAAGAGCTGTGGCTGCATATAGTACTGGTAAACTCTCACTGTTATATCTGTATTGGATTTGGTTATACAGGTCCTGAACCAGGTCCTGGACTGGGTGATGGGCAGAATAAAGGCCCTTAAGCTTGAAACTGAATCCTTACAAGACTGAGCCCTTGTTGGAGGGGTGGCTGTGTATGGGAACTGAGCAGATTGCCTGTTCTGGATGGGGTTACACGCCCCCTGAAGGTTCAGCCACATGTGTCACTGGAGGTCCAAGTGGCCACAGTGGTGTTATGTGCTTTCCACTGGCTTTGGCTGGTAATCCAGCTATGACAGTTCTTCATCCAGGATAACCTCACTATTGGTAACTTTAATAAAGTGCTCTAATTGGGGCTTTTATTGAGGTTGATCTAGTAGTTGTAACTGGCACAGCATGTAGTGGTTAAGTTGCTGACTAGATCAGCCAGTTGTGAGGATGTTACCCCTATTGCTTAAAGCAGGGACGTCCAACTCCCAATAGACTGCGATCTACTCATAGTATAAAAAACCTGGCAGTGATCTACCCATTGTCGTTGGATAGAACACCGTTGCTGAGCTTTTTTTTAGGAAGCCAAAGTTGTGGAGCTTTTTTGGGAAAGCCAGAGTTGTGGAACTTTCATTTTTTGTGGGGGGGGTGTGTGAAGGAGATCACTGAAGGGCCAAAGATGTACCAGGAATACCCCATGATTTACCAGTAGATTGCAAGCCACCTGTTGGACACTCCTGGCTTAAAGCATTACATTGGCTTCCAATTTGCTCCAGGGTTGGTCGAAACTGATGTTACTGGCATATAAAGCCCTGAACAACCTGGGACTGGGTTACCTAAGAGCATGCCTTTTCCTGTATAGGCCTGCCCGTTCTATGAGATCACTAGAGCAGGCCTTCCTGGTTGTCCTGCAGCCTGCATAACTTATCAGATGACAACCAGAGGAAGGGCTTTCTCTGCAGTGGCGTCCAACCTTTGGGATCATTTCCCACTAGGTTTCAGGCAAGGTCCAGCCTTGCATGTAAAATTGGCATGTCTTGTTTTTATGGAAAACAGTGTAAACCATCCTAGATTTTTCAGTGAATAAATAATCACACTTTCATACACTGTGGGATTTCTTGTTGATAAATGACAATTGATGTTTCAAATAAATAATGTACAATTCAGAATCATCACTTGCATTTGTATCCCACATGGCAGATAGTGAGTGAATTGTGTGTAGAAATTGGGGCCCGTGGTGAGTTGATTATTTATAACCTATGAGAAATTCAGGGATGTTGTAATAATCCCCTTTCCAATTGAATGAATGGATGAGTAATAGAGGCTACAACTGGTACTGTTCATGAAAGGTTGCTATGTATCTTTGCCTCTAACAGGAGTGCTCTTATTTGAACTTCCAGCATCCTCCTTCTCCAGGATGTTATCTTTCCTAAGGAGGAGAAGGAACTGTTAGGAGCAGGGGAAGGAGAATTTCCTTTGACTGGTAACTGGCTCCAGTGTGTGGCAACTTCTTAGCTCTAGGGTGATGATGTGGTAGCTGAGTGGTGGGGAGAGTGGGCAGCAGGGGGGGGGGGAGGTGAACACAAAACAAAATGGATCAGTGAGGCTGAGGAAATAAGCAAACCAAGCTGCTTTGAAAGATGGAGAAGTAGGAATATACCCCCTAATAGCTATTTCTGACCCCTGGTGATTGTCAGGGAGACCAGAGGCTGCCAAGCCAAGGGGATCCCCAGCTAGGCAGGGGATTCAGGGAGCTCTGGAAGGAAAACTAGGTGAAGGTTACTGTATGGTTGCCAAGCAGGCAAGGTGCTAAAGATACTCTGCCTCAGGTATGTATGTGGCATGCAAATGCTCACTTCTGTTTCTAGCTTCCATCTCCGCTCCCCGCTTGGCTCCTGTTTCCTTTCTTGTCATTCCCCTCTTTTTTCTGTTGCCGCTTCCTTTCCTCTGCTTTCCTTTCTTCCGTGTTCCTATTATATTATAACTATAACTATTATATTAAATATAGCACGGGATTTTTACATTTGTTGCATTCACAAAGAAGTTTGGAGATGCTACTGTATCAAAGCTGCATGCTGTTTGAAAGTGATGCAAAGTAGAATAAATCTGAACAATGTTGCAGAAAGAAGCCTGTGCATATTCCAAGTTGTTCTTCCTTGCTTGCTTCTCCCCCACCTCTCACTGTCCTTTCCATTTCAGCTTTCCCTTCTTCACCACTCCTGCCTCTTGTTGCTGCTTCCTCCTTCTGCCTGCACTCATAACCAAGAGCCAGGACGCTCATTTGGCTATAACAGTCAAAATGTGGCTCATACTGCATTTGCTCCCTGCTCTTTCGCTCCAACACAAGTAGAACAGCTTTTTGGGTTGTTTTTCTTTTACTCCTCCCCTTTTCCTAAATATGTTTTGTACTTATCTGTATACCTTGGGAGTTCACTCTACTCTATTGTTACCTTGCTTGTGTGTGTGTGTGGTGTCATTTTGGCTGTATAACAATGACACTCTTCTCTTCCTCTGAAGATTGGAAGTAGAGTTGCACATGCACCACTCTTTTCCTGTGGTAAGAGGCAAGTGGTGGCCATGTGATAAACAGCTGTCTCTCATCACCTAAGAGCTTCAATTTTGTATCTGAATGTGGGGAGTGGGGAGTGGGGTGACACTGTATTGCAGCCTTCCAAAAAAAATGCTCATTCCGTTTTCAGGGCAGGGAAAGGAAGTTGCAGTCAATTTTTCTCTTTATTGTCAGTACTGTCTTTACACTTGTAGTTCCTAATTTCACATGCAGCAATACACTGAAGCAACGTTGAAGTGCCACTAGCTCGGTGGAAGAGCATCTAACTTTGCATGCAGAAGTTCTCAGTTTGATACCGGTGGATCTGTTTAGAACAGGCTTCCTCAAACTCGGTCCTCCAGATATTTTGAAACTACCATTCCCATCATCCCTGACCACTACTCCTGCTAGCTAGGGGTCATGGGAGTTGTAGGCCAAAAACATCTGGAGGGCCAAGTTTGAGGAAGCCTAGTCTAGTTTAGAAGAACATTGTCTCACAAGGCAGGGAAAGACTGACAAAGACTTGGGAGAGCTGCTGACAAACAATGCTGGGTTAAGTGGAAGAAATATCTGATTTGGCGTAAAGCAGCCACATATATTCATCAAACAATATTTTTTTAGTGCCCTTGAGTGTCTTCTCATTTTGTGGGAAGGAATGGATAGGCAGTTGTAGGAGCAAATGCTGGTAGCTGATTACTTTAAAAAATTCTCTGGAATGGGGTGTGGAGTGTCTGGTTTCATTTCCTGGTTTTGCCATAACTTCCAGTATAACAACTTGCGTTATGTGTGCATCATGCTTCTTGGGCATGTGGTTTCCACACATCTCTCTTGAGAATAAAATCATTGACTTCTAAAGCACCTGTTTCTGGGCTTACTTGGAATAAAAAGACCTGGGGGAAATATTCCACACAAGAAAAACAGACACTATTGCTTGAATGCAAGGGCATTCTCTAAATTATCTTTACCCTGGCCTTTGACAGTTAAAGTATTTTGTTTTGTTGAACCTACCTCTCTTGCTTGATTTATGCTGCTCTGCTCCATTTGGAATGGTGTTGCTTGTTTTAAGGCTTCCCCTGTTTTTAGATTTGTGTATTGTTGTAACCAACTCTGAGACCTTAAGTTGGAGGGTGGGTAATTAAACTTAAATAAATAAAATAATGAGTGTTCAGACTATTTAGAGCTGAGCTATGCATTCTGCAAAACTCAGGTGCTGCTGCTTGACGGGACCACTTTTGACTGGAGGTTGTAAGTGGCAGATTTGAATGCTCTCAGTGTTAGCATGTTGGCCATAGGCTTTAGCATGACCTTCTCCCTGGGGGTGAAGTTTTGGACATTATTTTGTATAATCTAAACATTTAAAAATATTAAATGATATGAAGAAATGCTAACACAGAAGTTAATGTGTGTGTCAATAAAAGCATTCAATATGCTGCTGCTAAATATATATCCCTCTCCTTTTGTCCAGTTGTTGAATTCTAAGAATAACTGCTTCCCTTGAAAATAATATTAAAATATTATGCTTGCAGTAATAAATCTGCAGTTGTTATACCTGAAATGGACAGAAAATAAATGGAAACAAATTGATTTTAAATGTCACATTTTTAATTTATTTACGTAATGTGTTTGTTTGCCTTACGTATTAGTGGTTTAAACAAGCAAACATTTATAAAAGCCATTTGCAATTACTTTTGTAAATGCCAACTGTTATGGAAAGGTTAGAAATGGTTAGATTTTTCAGTTGAACTGATCTAAATACTGTTGCTCTTCGGAACAGATGTAAATAAGTCATTAACATGTCTCAGTGTAGTTTATGATTAATGACAAGTAGTTTCTTGATCAGGTTTTCAGTCTTGGGCATATTATTGGTCTTGGGATACTATAGGCATGTGGAAGCTGGATTTTGAAAGTGTGCACTACTTTGACTTGGGGTGATCGCCTGGACTTAGATTCTTGTCACAGATCAGCCTTTCTGGAGACTTCTAGATCCTAACTAGATACTATCTACCTTAGCATACAAAGACGTGTGGTTGTGAGGGCTGATGATGGCTCTATACTTGCCTTCTGTACTACTTATGTACACTAATTGGAACAATGTGTAAATGGGATAACTCTGATGTTAATATTTGCCGCTTAAATACAGAGATTGATGGCCAGTTAAGCAGTGGCAGGCTTAGTAACACATTTGGCAAAGGATGATTAATGATGTGGATGGCCAAAGTGGAATCTTTGAACATGTAATTTGCATAAATACCTTTGGGGTTTAACAGAAGTTGAACATTTCTGCTAATAGGCTGATTCTAAGTTTCTTGCATATTTTTAACCCTCACGATGAAAATATCTATCCACAATGAACACCAGCAAAGTGTGAAGCCCTAGGTTTTATTGTTCTTGTTTATCATCAATTTGTTAGTACGGTAGGTTATATTCTTGCTTTGTGAAAAATGGAGAAAAAAGCGGGTTAGATGGCGTAGACTAGAGAGAGATGAATTAGTACATCTCTACTGATAAAAGCTATGCATTAGAATGTGGTTCCTCAGCTCTTTGTGGAACCATCTATCTATCTATCTGCCTGCATTTTTTCAGTGGATGTATTTTGTTTTATTTCTATGCTACAGTATAGTAATCTACACTCACCAGGACTTTTCTTAGAATCATAGAATCATAGAGTTGGAAGAGACCACAAGGGCCATCGAGTCCAACCCCCTGCCAAGCAGGAAACACCATCAGAGCACTCCTGACATATGGTTGTCAAGCCTCTGCTTAAAGACCTCCAAAGAAGGAGACTCCACCACACTCCTTGGCAGCAAATTCCACTGTCGAACAGCTCTTACTGTCAGGAAATTCTTCCTAATGTTTAGGTGGAATCTTCTTTCTTGTAGTTTGGATCCATTGCTCCGTGTCCGTTTCTCTGGAGCAGCAGAAAACAACCTTTCTCCCTCCTCTATGTGACATCCTTTTATATATTTGAACATGGCTATCATATCACCCCTTAACCTCCTCTTCTCCAGGCTAAACATGCCCAGCTCCCTTAGCCGTTCCTCATAAGGCATCGTTTCCAGGCCTTTGACCATTCTTGCCTAAATAATTAATTTAAATCTTATTAGAAACCTCTGGTTATATTTCTGAGTCACTGATTCAGACTAATGCTTTATCCAGGGGAACTTGATGACTGGAATGATGAAATGGTTCACTATTTAAGTAGTGGGAAAGGGGAATTCAAAAAATAACAAATTCTATGACTCTGTTTGGACATAAATGGAAACCAGTTTCCTGCTATATGAACAAGCCATAGCAAATCTCAGGCTCAGGTTACATATTTCCACTTCCTCTTCCCCTCTCCTCTCTTATGGCTGCAAGGAGGTGCTTGTAAACTTCTACTTTGTTTTTCAACAAACCACAGTTCCCCATTGCATCTTAACTTGAGAAGCTGTGCATTGCTTAAGCTCTAGGTAGTGAACCAGGATCAGAAGCCACAATTTGATCATTGTTGCTTCTCATGAAATAGAGTGAAAATCCCTCAAGTTTAGCTCCTCAAATTCAAACATAATGGAGAGCTGTGGTTCATTTAAAATTGGAAGCTAAAGTTCTGAGCTCCTACTTCATGTGTGCAAAAGCAGTAGAGCGACAGTGGAGTGTGTGAGCTTGAGGCATGCCATGGATGATTGATGTGGCGGGAATTCTTGTCTTTTTATTACATCTAACAAGGACATTTTTCTAGCTGTTCTTTTGTTAAGCCTTCTATTTCTTCCCCACAGAGAATCTGGAATCTGTTCTCTCAGACTATGATATTCTTTCGGTGTCAAACATCCAACAGCACTCAGTAAGAAAAAGAGACCTGCAACCAGAATCCCATATAGAGAAACTCATAAGTTTTTCAGCATTGCATAGGTGAGGCATCTTTAGTGAGAAGTTTGACTTAATATTATCTTACTGATTCCCTTTAAATTGTTGATTTCTGTGTTTTTTCCTCTTTTTACGCATGCTTTTTTCTCAGTTCTGCTTTAATTTCAGTAATTGGCTTTTGTTTGCATTGTTGGGAGGCCTATAGATCAACAAATTTATTCAGATTATCATTAGAATTCTGTAGTGTACAGTTGCCCCAAGAAAGGTGTCCGTTCCCTTATTATTGAATGTTTACCAATTCTTATGCATTTGACTTTTTTGAGAAAGTAGAATAGCTATACACAGGAACAACTGTGGTAATTTGGGTTTCTGAACACCAAATCTTCAATGAGGAAGAAAGAACTAAGAGTGTGGAATCATTACAATCAGCAGCTACTGCTCTCTTTTATAAATCTACTCTCCACTTCAGCACATACAATGTATTTAAGCAAAATTGTTCAATTTGTATTATGTATGAATTTTAGAGCATTAAGCACTCCCCTTGAACAAACACAGTAGGTAGAATCGACACACACATTAAAAAAACCTTCTTTTTTTTAAAAAAAGTGTTTTTAAAACTACATTGAATTTTCCATAAGGCTCACCATCACTATCTACTGTCACATTGTATATTGTACTTAAAACACACTTAAAACATATTAATTGCAGCTGTATGGCTGAGTCCAAAGACTCAAGGTGTCTCTGAGCTAGGAAAGGGGACAAGGGTTCGGCCTCACAGCTGTGCTGAGCCTCAGGGACTCAAAGCACCTCTCAAGCTCAACTTGATACCAAATGTAATATCCTAGTGTATTTGGATCCATTAAATGTATTTGAACCCCAAATGTAATACATCAATGTGTTTGGATACATTAAAAATATATAGCTGATATAAATCTCAAAATTAAATGGAAGCAAATTATTTTACAGGCATTTTAAATTATACTTAACTTCAACTGCGGACCATTTCCCCAAAAACTTTCAAGCACTTATAGTGAATGGCCAAGGCAAGGAAACCGAATATCAAGTACAGTGGCAGGAATTTTTCACAGGACATGTTGTAGGTGAGTATAATAAGTTGTTTTCGGTGGGAGGGGGAAAGTATTACTGGATTTTTGTATTGTCATAAAGAAGTGTTTTGTCATAAAGAAGTCATCTCGTACTGGCATTCTATATTATCATGAGAACTTCAGACATTGTTACTGGTTTAATCAGACCATTTACAAATGGTGTCACGTAGAAGTAAATGAGTTTATACCTATTTAAAATAATCCTTTGGGGGCTAGTTGGCAGATGATCTGTGTGAATCAGAACCTCAGAAGTTTAAATAGTAACCATAAATTCTTGAAAAATTTATCTGAAATGCTATCTTCTCTAGAATATATTTGTGCATGCACTGTTTTTCTTAAGGACAAAAAGATGTTGGAAGTCATTTGATTCATGGAATGAGTGTGGCTAGATGTGAAGTGATATGCTTGTGACTAGGAGGAAGTGGTTGTTAAATGTTACAGCTGATGGTCTTTTCTTTCCTCCTCTCTCTTTACCTCAGGTCAGAGCAACTCCAAAGTTACAGCACACATAGGTGAAGACGACTTCACAGTGAGGATCAACACTGATGAAGAAGAATATAATGTTGAGGTACACCTCTTTATTGGAATCTACATGCAGACAATATGAACTTTCAGTCAGGTTGCTTCACATTGTTTAATATTTCTAGGGATGGAATTGCTGTTCGTTTTAACCCTATGTCAAATGTTTCTGCCAACTGTCTGTGGCTCTGTGGACTGATAGAAACAGCCATATTGACTGGGATGCTCATGTGAAATACTACATATGCAGGCAAAACTTACATTTGGTTTATGTACTGACCGTGCTGTTCCTTAAGGCTGGTGAACTGAGGCCTTTTGGTCAACTAATCTATTTAGTCTGCAGTCCTATATACACATATATATCTGGGGATAAGTCCCATTGAACTCAGGGGAGCTTCCTTCTAAGAAGACATGTATAGGATCACACTGTGAAAGACATACTTAGACATCTGTTTCTCTACCTGTAGCCCTTGTGGAGGTTTCTCAATAATACACAAGATGAAAGACTTTTGGTCTACAGATCAGAAGACATCAAGGATTTCTCACGATTGCAGTCCCCAAAAGTATGTGGCTATGTTAAAATGGAAGAGGAGGAGGAGCTTTTGGGTGGAGGGCTGAAGGAGAGTAAATTAAATAAAGGTGAGTGTTAAACTGCTTGCAATAATCTTTCGCAATCGAACTAGAATTTTTTACTGTACATTAATGTATGTAGTGAAGTGAGTCTTATGGACACCAAAGAGACAGAATGCATACTTCCTAGCACACTGAAAGAGACTTAAATGTAATTTTTATTTAAGACAGGCATAAAAACGATTAGGGCCGAAGATTTATACGATCTGAAGAGAAACCAGAATATTCTGACTCTGATGTGGAGGGAGCTTTTTCCTTACACTTAAGTAAAGCAATTATTTCTGTATAAAAAAATGAATAAATAATGAGAATAATAATAAATGGACTTGCTGCCTTTGGCCTTCTTTATGATACAGTAAGAGAGAGATTTAAAAATTAGTACTTCTTTAAAAATATGCTGGTGTGTGTTAAGAACTGAGAGCTCTTTTCCAGGCTACGGTGTTATGTGATTGCTTTTTAAAAATACATCACAGTCCTTTAGCTTGCAAAAAAAATAATAATAATGTTGAACAATGTACCGGATTCAGCAAATAAAATCGTTTCCTGAAAGCATAAGTTAAGAAGATCTTTCTCCTATTTAAATTTATTTAGTAATGTTATATGGTACATTGAGATTTTCAAAGAACTTGTATTAATACAATCATTTAGTTTTGCTAAAAAATAAACATAAACATTCAGAGGTATATATAATTGAAATTTATCCTCTTACATTTGGGTATTTTCAACATGTTAAAAAAATGTCAATAATCTCAAAGACACAGTATGTCTCCTGAAAATCCTAACGGGGCCCTAGGTTCCACAAATGTGCTTTGTGATGTTGCCCTATAGTCAATTTACATGTTTCCTTGTTTTCTACAACACTGAAGCTAAATAATTACTTTGTATACGGCACAGGTTTTAAATACAATCTGTTAATGTAATACAGTGGTACCTCGGGTTACATACGCTTCAGGTTACAGACTCCACTAACCCAGAAATAGTGCTTCAGGTTATGAACTTTGCTTCAGGATGAGAACAGAAATCATTTGGTGGTGGCGCGGCAGCAGCAGGAGGCCCCATTAGCTAAAATGGTTCTTCAGGTTAAGAACAGTTTCAGGTTAAGAACGGACCTCCAGAACGAATTAAGTACTTAACCCGAGGTACCACTGTACTCAATTCGACATAAACGATGTCTTAAATGGTGACAGCAACTTGGTATCTCTTTAATTGTCACAATAGCAGGTGTCCCTCGAAGAAAAAGAGCCACCCCAGACCCTTTGAAGAACACCTGCAGGATATTGGTGGTGGCAGATTATCGCTTCTTTAAGAACATGGGCCGTGGGGAGGAAAGTACTACAATTAACTATTTGGTAAGTGTTATTGTCTGCTCTTGATTCCTTGATGAAATATGTAAAAAAAACCACTCTGTTGTAGTTAGAAAGCTAATAGAATGTCACTGTTAGACATAAGAAGAGTATGTTTAAGTATTATTTTATGGATATGGGTGTGTTTGTGTAAAGCCTGATTTGGGGTAGAGTGCAATAATTTCATTTCACTTTTAATTTGTACACCGCCTTTCTAAATTACTATGCACAAGGCGGTTTGCAGCAACAAAATATGCAACAAGGAACACACACCGTGTAATAATCTGATCCAATACAAAAAGTCATAATGAAGCATAGCTTTAAAATGGAACAACTTAGTGGTACCTCAGGTTACAGACGCTTCAGGTTACAGACTCTGCTAACCCAGAAATAGTACCTCAGGTTAAGAACTTTGCTTCAGGATGAGAACAGAAATCACGCAGCGGAGGCGCAGCAGCAGCGGGAGGCCCCATTAAGAACAGTTCCTGGTTAAGAACGGCCCTCCAAAACGAATTAAGTTAATAACCTGAGGCACCACTCTATATGGAATAAAAGTAATAATCAAGAATCTATTATATTATAATAGTACATAATAAAATTAAACTCTCAAAACATCAGCAAATAATAATTAAATCGAAAATCACTCTTAATAATTGCAATAAATAACTACTAAACTATGACCAATAGAAATAACCTCAAGTCACAATGCATAAAATGGGCTCTCTTATGCTTAGAGTTTGTGTATCTTGTTACTTGGGGATACTGTTGATCCAATTTGATTTGCTGTTTCCTCCCACTATCTTGTATAATGTGTTTTAGCCTGAAGGGCTCTCCAAATGCTGAACAGCAGTTTAAAATATCATAACAATGTGTATTCTGAAAGGAAGCGGTCACGGTGGTTGCACATGTTGCTTTAATTTTATCCTCTTCCTCTCCCCCCCCCAAACCAACAACATTGGCAGTATTGCCTACTAAATCAGAGGTGGAGAACCTGGTTCGCTCCAGATATTGCTGAACTCCAACTCCCATCAGCCCCCGCTAGCATAGCCAATGACCAGGAATGATGGGAATTGTATCAATCTGTGCCACAGATTCCCCACCCCTTGTACAGAACTTTGGAAACCTCTTTCAAAGCTCCTTGAAAGCTTCCCTTGGGTTTTTCTTTTCTTTTCAAGTGTTAAAATATGTTTCAGAATCTACTGACAAGAGACTGGATCTGAATAACATCTCCCTTTTCTGTGCCTAGATTGAATTAATAGACAGAGTAGACGACATCTATCGAAATACATCATGGGATAATGCAGACTTCAAAGATTATGGCATACAGATAGATCAGGTATTTAGAAAATACTCCTCGGATAATGTTCAGATTTGATCACAGTGTATTTGTGTGTGTGTGTGTGTGTGTATACGTACGCACACCATTGAATGCAATGGACCTTATGAAAACATAGTCAATAGTAGTACAGAAGAGCAGGCTAGAGTGTCATTGATAAAATTCTTCATCAAGAGAAATCCAGTTCTGATGGTACACACGAACGATGTAAATCGCAATTTTTTGCTTGATATGTTTAATTATACAAAGTTGCATCAACTTCTGGTTTACTGGAAATTCTGGGCAGCTTTCCATACACTCCCCCCGCCCCCCATTTATAGTCAAAATTTTCTGCCTATAACTAGGATGTTCAACTTACAGTAAGTTTAAGGTGCATTCTACACTGATTCCATTTAACGGCATGCTTAATAGGTGCACAGCGTAAGCAGAATTCTGACCTAATTTTCTGAATCATCTGAATTATAAGGAGAAAGCAGTGTGTGTATCAAAAAAATTGCTTACTGAGGCATCTGAACTAAATTACTTAAATTATTTATATATCTTTTGAATCTAGATTATTGTTCACAATGAGTCACAACCTGTACGTTCCGGGGAAAGACACTACAACATGGCAAAAAGTCCTCTAGATGACCGTGAGGATGCTTGGGATGTGAAGGAGCTGCTGGAGGTAGGCTGCGTGTGTTCTATGATGGATACAATGTAAGCACCCCACTTATTAGAAAGGCTTGTCTTTCTAATAAACTGAATGCTTACTACAAGTAATACCGCATGCTTGCTAAAAGTAATACTGTGTGTTAATTATTTTAATCCAAGAGGCTTATCTAGGAGACTCCAAGTACCCAAGTACTTTATTTCAGGAATTTTTTTAAACTACCTGTTAGTAACTACAATTTAAAAATGATTGAGGGCAAGTCACTGTTTTTAGACAAGGATGATGGACCAGGTGATCGCTATTGAACGATGCTGCAATCTGCAAAGCTTGTTAACCAACAGTGTCTCATTTATGGAGTAAAAATTTTCTCTAAACTGTGTTTGGCACATTTCCCTCTTCACAGCAATTCAGTGCTGATATAGCCGACAGAGCTGCTCGCGTGTGCCTTGCGCATCTCTTTACCTACCAAGACTTTGCTCTGGGTACTCTTGGACTGGCTTATGTCGGATCTCAAAGGCCAACCAGCCATGGAGGCATCTGCCCAAAAGGTAATGTTTTTCCCCATTTAACAAGTTTGCTTATTGTTTGTCAAAGTGCCTAAAGATAAGTGTACATCCAGGATATGTACTCTTTTAAAACGGGTTGGTGGTCTGTAGATTTACTCCTTATCCAGAGGCTGTTCTAGTGAGCAGGAGTTTTGCTCAGCATCCCTATTGCATTTGCAGTATAGCTTCTTCATTCATGGTATCCAAGTTGTGTTAGTGGGACACATCATGGGTGGGCAAACTAAGGCCTGGGGGCCGGATCTGGCCCAAGTGCCTTCTAAATCTAGCCCGCGTGTTTTTACATGAGTAGAATGTGTCCTTTAATTTAAAATGCATCTCTGGATTATTTGTGGGGCCTGCTGGTGTTTTTACATAAGTAGAATGTGTCCTTTTATTTAGAATGTATCTCTGGGTTATTTGTGGGGCATAGGAATTCCTTCATTTCCCCCCCCCCAAATATAGTCCGTTTGAGGGATAGTGGACCTGCCCCCTGCTGAAAAAGTTTGCTGACCCCTGGTGTACATCACCAGTCCAACACTATGCGTTACTGATACTGTTAAGAGACAGAGGATACATTAATGAGGATACAGATTAGGGGTTTTTTTCCGGGGGTCGTGGTGGTAAAGGGCTTGAACTGGAGAAAAACCTAAATTTCCCCAAAACGTCTGTCTTTCAGCTATCTAGCATATCGTAGCCACTGCTTATAAGAATGAAGTTCATGGTATGTGTCTACACACTCCAGTGTGCTTTAATGCACACATGCAGTTCCTCCCCAGTGACTTGGTGGGGTTGTGCCTTGAGGCTACTAAGACAGGAAGCAATAATTTGCAAAAGAGGTGGTTTCAAATGTAGGCCTGCCTCTACTTGTGAACATTTCACCTTCTGTCCAGTTCTTGCTCTGAATGCCACCCATGTCATAAGGTCTCCACCAGGGTTAGAGAATATATTCATCTCAGCTGAATCTGATAAGCCACTGAGGACTGCAGATGTTCTCAATTTTAGGCAACAGGCAAGGTTATCAAGGCTGTGTAAATGAATCTTAAATGCTGTAACATGATTTTCTACCTTTTTTTTAAAAGCTTTTCCTAGTCCGAATGCTGGAAAGAATGTATACCTCAACAGTGGCTTAACCAGCACAAAGAACTATGGCAAAACTATCCTTACAAAGGTATTGTAAGGAGTTGTGGGAAGTGGTTTCTTAACATGCCTTACAATTCCCTTAGTAGCTTCTGAGTTGATGCCCTATTAGATCTATTTTTTATTTGTCCAGTTGGTTATTTTCAGTTGGTTTCAAAGCTTGTTTTCTGTAAGTCCTGCTTGATATTTTTGAGTACCATAGTTACCTCTGTGAGCAATTCTGTCCCTCTGTGGAAAGCTTTTGACCTTTTGGTGCCATTGTCAATCTGTCTCTTGGCCCTTCTCCAATTGTGCTGTGAGATGAAATTCTCTCTTACACTTCAAAGCAAGCTTTGGGCATCTTTCTTTGAAATGTTTATTTTCTCCATACATGTCCAGTATTAATTCAAAAAGGATTGTTTAATTAGCTCCAATTAGACACATCTTTTTGCTTTTATTAACATGGGTTAGTGAGGAGTTCTGGTGTTACACTGCCGTTTTCAGTTGTGTCATCACTGCCCCCCCTTCCACTTGAAGACATGATTGTGAATTATATTCACCTTTTGCTGCACCAATAAAATTTGAAGAACTTTAACTACCACTAGTGAGCAATCTGGCCGTTTCTGTGTGTTAAAGTAAAATTATCTGGTAGTCTTACATTTATAATACAGGTATTTAGAGCACTACACACTTCATTAGCTTCTCAAAGGCAGCCTATAAAAAACTGTGTGATGTTAGCCCCAGCTACTCTGCGTGGCTCCCAACAGATTAAAAACAGAATAAAACATCAAACATTAAAAACTTCCCTAAATGAGCATGCTTCTTTTGTGTATATATTTTTATAAGGAAGCCGATTTGGTTACAACTCATGAGCTGGGACACAACTTTGGGGCAGAGCATGATCCTGATGGCTTGCCAGAATGTGCCCCCACCGAAGATCAGGGAGGAAAATATGTTATGTACCCAATTGCTGTGAGTGGTGATCATGAAAACAATAAGGTATTTTTAAAAATCATCTTTCTTTCTTTCTTTTTCTCTCTACCTCTGTGTGTGTGTGTGTGTGTGCGCGCGCGCGTGCGCACGCATAAGTGTGTGCATGCATATATTACAAACCTATGTAGGCAACTTTGTTCCCTACATATGGTAGTGTTGAATGGAAAAGGGAAGGAACCTGGAGGTCATTATTTTACTTAATATTTGCATTGTCAAACTATTTTTTAAAAAATTATTTTGTAAGGAAGGACCAGTGTGGCAGAGGTTAAGAAAAGGAATGGACAGAGGAAAAGATGTCAAGCTGTAGATCAGGTTGTGGATGGAAGAGGAAGGCTAAGGCCTAGTATACATTGGAGTTATATGCCAACCAAGTGTCTACTCTGCTTTCTGAGTTCTCACCAGACACACTTGTTTCCTTTGAATTTGCAGGCAAGAAGGCTGCTGATGAGAAAGGAATAAAAAAAATTACCAGTCTCTGGCAGTTGAATTCCGTACCATATTTTGCACTTGTGCGGCAAAACTAATATTTATATATAGGTTTGCACAATCCTGAATTAGTAGCTCTCTCACCACTAATTTGTTTCTTCCTCTTCTTATCGACACTTTCAGATGTTTTCAAGCTGCAGTAAAGAATCCATCCTTCGGACTATTGAAGCCAAGGCGCCAGAATGCTTCCAAGAGCGCAACAACAAAGTATGTGGCAACTCCAGAGTGGATGAAGACGAGGAATGTGACCCAGGCCTCTTGCGTCTGTACATTGATCCTTGCTGCACATTTGAGTGCAAGCTGAAGCCAAATGCCAAATGCAGGTGAAGGGCCGAAATATATTTCCTACAAAAGGGGTGGTGGTGGGAAATGTGAGGCTGGCAAGAGAGTTTGTTTTCTTCTTTTTCATAGTTGGGGAAACACATGATTATGCTTATTTACTTTTATGATGCTGTTTATTTTAATAACATACATTATGTGACATGAGTTTAGTGAACAAGAGGCTAGTCCTTTGAGTAAACTCCGATAGCTCATATTTCTGTATTATTGAATTGCTGGTTGTCAGCTACTTAACTCATAGCAAAGATGTAATTAAATATTATGCCTCTTTTTTATTACTGGCGGGGTAATTGATGATTGCATGTCTAAATTAAGTGTATAGATAAATATTTTAGAACTGCAGTGTGTGTGTGTGTGTGTGTGTGTGTGTGTGTGAGAGAGAGAGAGAGAGGGAGAGAGACGAAGAGACATTTCTGACCCTTCCTTCTACTACTACTTTGGGTTTGTAATCCTGAATATTCAGATGTCTAAGTTTATTCTTTCTCCCTTCTCATCCCCTAGTGATCGCAATAGCCCCTGTTGTAAAGGATGCCAATTTGAAAGCGCACAGAAAAAGTGCCAGGAAGCCATCAATGCCACCTGTAAAGGAGAGTCCTATTGCACAGGTACATCACTGTAGTTGTTAGTTACTCATTCACTTTTTGTCTTACGCATGTTTAAAAAAGTGTGTGCCTGTGCATCTTTTGCTCTTTCCTAATTTCCATTTCCATCAGTACAGCGTGTTTACCTTGTTTTGGAATAATGGGAGTTACTTAACCTTAACGACACATTTTTAAGGCTGTCCCAAGAAAGGTGCATTCTAAGAGATGCATGTTTCTGACTTGGGAATCACCTGGCTGGGGGGCGGGGAGTGTTTGCATTAATGTGTGGCATTGCAATAAAGCAAAAATGCTTTGGCAGGCTGATTTTGGGATGTTAAACATAAACAGGCCTTTGCTATAGAACGTAAGAGTGGAGCTTTTTTGGCTCTGGGAACCAGATCTTTATTTGGATCTACTCCCGCTGGCCAACTTTGACAGGTGCCGTTGGAGTTGTTCATCCTGTATGTGGCTCTTTGGGCTGTGCTGATCATAGAACTGGCAAAGCCCTTTTTTTCTTATGACCATCAGCAGATGGGAAGCAGGGGCTGGGGGCGAGAAAGAAGCCTGCTTTTTGCAGGCATCAGCTGCGTGCGGGAGATGTCCTTCTTTCAGTCGATGCCTGCAAAATCTAGTATTGCCTCCTGGCATCTGTAGTAGGAATCTTCTTGAGGGAAGTCTTTCAGAGAGACTTGCTGTGTGAAGGAACTTGTGAGGACCTCTTACCTGTCCTTAGCAAGCCATAGAAATCCTAAACATGTCTGCTCAGAAGTATGTCCTGTTAAATATACTGGGACTTCATCCCAGGTAAATGGGGTTAGGATTGCATCCTTACTTTGTTTATTTCCAGATATTCGTATCCTGATGCAAGGCTAATTCTCACTAAATCTCTTCATAGGCAATAGCAGTGAATGTCCTCCCCCAGGGAATGCCCCAGATGACACTGTCTGTGTGGATTTGGGCAAGTGCAAAGATGGGGCGTGCATACCCTTCTGTGAGTGGGGGAAGAACCAGAGTTCATGCGCCTGTAACGGTAAGGAGGGTTCCCTTACACGATGAGCCAGGACTTATTTGAAATTGAAAACTGATTGCTCAAGCCACAGACATAGCAAAGTGAAGGAGAGCAGCATGCGTTTTCCCTTTAGAGCGCTGTTTCATTAGCTAGAGGTGGGTAAGGTCTCCTGTTAACAGGCACTAATATTGTCTGCGCTGGGGTCAGGTCAGGTAACAGCTTGAATGAACTGCCAGACTTTGTTCAACTCTCATCATCCTTAGCTAGCAGGACCAGTGGTCAGATTATGGGAATTGTAGTCCAAAAACAGCTGGAGACCCACGTTTGGGAAACACTGTTCTAGAGCTTTGGTCAGATGGTAATGGTAAATGTTTCTCTGCCAGTGCAACGAAGCTGTCTTCTATCAAGTCAGACCATTGGTCAATCTAGCTCAGTATTATTGGTAGAAGCTCTCAGGTTTCAGGCAGCAATTTTTTCCAGTTGTACCTGGAGACACCAGATAGAATATTTGGCCTTTTGCATTCAAGGCATGTGTTCTATGCCCTTCCCCAGTTCCCTGTCTACTCATTTACTTCTTGACCTTGTTTATGTGGCAGAGCTAGTACTTTCCAGTGCCACTCTTTGGAATAGTTGAAATAAAATGTTTTATTTGGTGTTGTTCTTGTTACTTGGGACTGATTGGTAAGGAAGCTTTAAATATCTGTTGCAGAGGGACTAATCCTTGGATATCTCCATTTCACTCTGGGTTTGATGAAGTTCCTTTTTTCTTCTTACCAGAGTGGAGGGTGCCGGTTCTTATAAATTTTAAGTTATCTGTGTTTGAGTACCATCAGGAGCTTGTTCCTAGAATAGTGTGGTCTTCAAGAGTAGACTAATGAATTGAAAAGCTGTATGATCAGCAAAGGGAAATTGCTTTTTCGTAAAGGAGTAATGCATAAATATCCCAAAAGCTAACTATGAAGTTGCATGTTTAATTTCAGAAACGGATAACTCTTGCAAGGTCTGCTGTCGAGACAAGGATGGGAGATGCAGCCCAACTGTTGATGACAACCGGAATTTCCTGTATTTGAGGAAAGGAAAGCCATGCACTGTGGGATTCTGTGACATGAATGTGAGTGTATACAGGGTTAGGATAATATTTTTCACCTCCTCAAAGCATATTGGTGCAAAATCAGAAAATAGATCACTGTGAAATTTTGTTCTTGTCGCATCATGTCCTAAAATTGGTCCCAGAGCAAAACCAAAATGGTCAACTTAACACTGTTGCTGTGGTTTTTGCATCATTTGCCTATTTTCTGGTTCTCCCCACTATCCATCTACCTTTCCTCCCTTTCTCTTTATCAATATCCATAGAACCACTCAAGTAGTTTCATATACCATATGGGACTTTAGGCAGATTTTTAAGCAGTTTTTGTTTATTTAAACTGGCCACCTAGAGCAAAGTGTCCAGTTAACACCCATTGAAACTACTTAATTTCCTAAACAACGGTGTGAATCTGCTCACTAAACAGTGTTAGTTTTACAGCTAAATAGAACATGATTTACTGTGTGTCATTTTTATTACCAGGTTTTGCATCTCTGTTGCACTGTGTACATTTTGCATTTTCTTTTCTTTTTTTAAGCTATGGAGGGAAATGTATTTAAAATATTCTCATATAGGGTCTCTTGTGACCAGTACCCATGGCAGTTTGATAGATTAAGTATTGGAATATAAGAAGCTGTGCACTGGGCCATTCATCTTTTCTTCCCCCTGCCCACCAAGTAAACTCCATCCTCACAAAAAAGAAATACTCAAATACTGATAGATATTGAGTAAAATGCAATACTTGCTTTTCAACACCTATGCTTGGTTGGTAGACTATAAATATTCATATTTGGGAAATCAAATTGGTTCCTTGTTTGCTTAGAAAATCTTTCTCTTAACTCAGTATATCTGGCAGAGGCAAATACATTGGTAAAATTCAATTTAAATTTGAAAAACCACTGTTTTTTATGCATTATGATCTACTGTTCAAACAAAACAAAATTACTTTTGGTTATGCCTAAAGTAGGCCTTCAGATTGCAGCCGAAGTGTTCCACCCACACAATATTCTTTGCCCTTTCCTCGCAATGTGACGCATGGCTGGTGCTCTTGGTCACACTTGTATTGAGCTCATAGTCATTTCATCAGGGGAAGAAAAGCCCCTTTTAAAGAAAGCTCTGTGTTTCTGCTCATGTCCAGCTGCAGTCTTAATTCACATCGCATATTTTCCTTCGAGAAGCTTCTTCAGTGTTACAATAGCATTGTCAAAACAAATCGACTCTGTAAGTTCCTACCAATTCATGCTGTGGCTTGAGCCTAAATATTAGGTGATAATTGACACCCAAGCACATAAAGGGGCTTCCTCCCGATCTTTACATACCCTTAAACCATAACTCATTCCTTCAAGATGGAATGACTGAAATTTACATTGGATAAAATGGCTTTCTAAGAAACATCATGTCTTGCAGGGTAAATGTGAGAAGCGTGTGCAGGATGTGATCGAGCGGCTTTGGGTTTTCATTGAGCAGCTAAGCATCAATACGCTAGGTAAGCTTCCCTTGAAATCCATAAACCTGTTCTTAACCTTGCTGTTCTGCATTCAGTGCCTTTATCTTTTGATTTCAGAGTGTGAGCACTGAAAGCAGGTGTTTTGGTTACCGATTTTTATGTCACCACGGGTAGTGGTACTTAATGTTGTTTTGTAAGTGGTAGCAGGAAAGTGCAAGACTGTACTTCAAGATCATACGTTGCCAAGCTGAGAAGATGCTTCTGGCCTCATGATCAAATCTAATGACAGTGGGTGCAATACAACTTGTATGGCAGTACAAAGCATACTGCTGAATACTTAAGTGACCTTGATAACACAACACGAACACGGGTCATTTTTGCATATTGTAGTTGAACTGTAGCCTATTTTGCTTTAAGGTTTATTTTCTAAGCACGTATATGTTGAGAGAAGAAATCAAGCATTGCCTTGCTTGGGTCAGGCTGGGATCTGTTTGGTGAGAGTTTGCTAGCAGAGCATGAAGGAGATGGCTGTCACAGAGAGAGAGAGAATCCTTCCATGGGAAATTTGGACACAAGAGTTCAAATCTGCCTATCTTGGCAAACAGTTGTTGATGGGCCTGAAATTGTCTTTAAAAAAAAATAAAAGCTACCTAAGCCAATGGTAGCCACCCCTACCACATCTTGTGACCACAAATGACTGAATTGATGTGTACATGCATGCACTTGTTCAGTGTAACAAACAACACTGCAGTGTGGAATACTCCACTCTTAAAGCCAGCTGTGCTTTACACCCAAACACTCCATTCCATTCCATTGGACTGTGTTTGAGGGGTGATTCCCTTCTGTTTATTTCTGTATTCTTTTATTTCTGAAAACCTTGGGGCTCCTCCAAGTCTTCTGATATCATCTCAGTGGCTACATAAAGAAGCAGCTTGGAGACTGGGTTCACTATTAGCATAGAGGGAATCAAGAACTCCCCCCTCCCCATCTTGAACTTGCTAGTAATCAATTTCATTGGGTGATGCTGGGTCCTGGTACTAGGGGAGGGACACTTTATTCCATGCTTTTATAATGCTCAGATTGAAAACAAATCTCCAGTTTATAAAAGCACGGAATAAAGTGTCAATGAAAGAACTCCCTCCCATAGTATGAGGAACCCAGCATCACCCAATGAAATTGATTACTAGCAAGTTAAAGTATATTTTACATTTGTGGAGATAAAGCTCATCAATTGGCTCAGCTGAGTTATTTATTAATTGTTTATTTCGTGCCAGCAGCACGCTATGGCATTGTACAGATTAAAATACTTAGAATGTTAGATCTAATACTGATATGGTGAAGACAATTTGGTCACACTTAATTGATTTCTGCATGTTTAGTTAAGAAGAGGAAAAGAATTCAGAGTAGTCTCTGAGAATGAAACTATCAGCTGGTTTAAGTCACAGCACGGAAACACATTGTAGAATCTCTTTCACTAAAGTTATGTAAAAACATTTTTAAGGCCAGTTAACTTGCTTGTGTATAACTTGTTTCCCCCTCAGCACAGGTAAAGTAGATTTCCAGAGTTACAATCCTACTATTTGAAAGTTGGCAGGTAATAAGGTAAAATGGCAGTAAAAAAGATCAACTGTTGTAGGGCAGAATTGAAATAGTTTAATTAAAAACAACAACACCCACAGAAGTCTTGGAGAACTAAGAGAGCGCTCACTTGCAATTCCACAACATTGGGAAATATAGTAACATTTAAACATTTTGAAGATAAAGCATTATATCCAACTAAGTCATAATCAGTTGTACTCATGAACATTTTCTTGGGTTTTTAAATTCATTCTCATCAACTTTAGTCCATTTCAGTGAGTCTACTCTGATTTAAAAACAAGTCATTCAGAATTGTATCTACTGAACAAATTATATGATCCTGTGACAGCAGATGGACTAGCTACCACTTGAAAAATATTTGTAGAATTCTTAACACTGGACGCAAATATATTTTGTCTGCCTCTGAAATTGGGTGTATCTTTTGTTTTTGCTTTTGTTTTTACAGGAAAATTTTTAGCAGACAACATAGTAGGATCTGTGCTTGTATTCTCCTTAATATTTTGGATTCCTCTAAGCATTCTTGTACACTGTGTGGTAAGTTTCAATTACAAACCTCATGAAACAGATCTCTTTAATTTCTGCCCACACTTAAATTAAAGACAGGTGTTTATATTTTGCTTCATTTATTAAACACAATGTGCAGGTGAATATACTTGAGCTTTACTCATGATAGTGGGTAGTTAAACATTTAGGGAATGTTCTACCCTGAAGTTAATTGGAGTGAACAGGGATGGGTGGGTGTCTTCCATAGCTGACTTGTTACATTTCCCTCTTTTTAATAGGACAAGAAGCTGGATAGGCAGTATGAAGAGAACACCAAATCTCTTTTTGGCCCCAGTGTAAGTTTGCTTTTTGCTGAATAATGTTTTCAGTATCCTATTTGTTACAAAACAGATGTGACAGAGGCTTGCAGAGACTTCTCAGTACTGAGAACTATTCATGATGTTTAGGATGAACAAATTTCCATGGAATAAATGTATCTTCCAGAAGTTGATACACTTATGGTAAACCACGCTGGAAGTTTTGTAGAATTGTGGTTTATACATCTTTTCGTTTTTAAGTCATGAACTTGCTTTCTGTTCAGCTGAATGCTCTAATTTTGTAGTACTAGGAATTCCTGTTCCCAGGGCATTTACACTTGTCTACTCTCATTATTTGGATTCTGCTTTATTTGAATCGGCTACCGTTATTGATAGATGGAAAGTTCCAAGCACCAAAACATCTATCCCCCATACTCCTCCAACATGTTAAAAAGATATTGAAGAAATTAAACTAAAGTTACTTCAAGATCCTAGATTTCATAGTAAATCAAAATTAAAGTGACTTGCTCCTCTGCCACTATTGATGCCAGGATTTGTATCTGCCAGAATTCTGGGATTGGTAGTGCTAGTCAGTCTTCTGCCATCTGTGTTAAATCTTAGTACTGCCTGGTAGCCCTACAGAGCATTTGTGGACAGCTTGCCCAGAGATTGAAGAGGTCTGGCACTGTGTTTTCGGCCACCAGTATTGTTCCGTAACTGTGCTGCTTGTTTGTGTCCTTGCAGAATGTTGAGATGTTGAGCAGCATGGATTCGGCCTCTGTTCGAATTATCAAGCCGCCTCCTGCAGTGCCATCGACTAGCCGGCTCCAGCCCCTGCAGCCTATTGCACCAGTCTCTGTGGCAGCGGTGGTTCCGAAACTGGACCATCAAAGAATGGACACCATTCAAGAGGATCCTAGTACAGACTCTCACATGGAGGATGATGATTGCTTTGATAAGGTTCCTTTCCCAAACAACAGCACAACTGCCAAGTCGTTTGAGGATCTTACAGATCATCCTGTCACAAGGAGTGAGAAAGCATCATCCTTCAAACTGCAACGCCAACACAGAGTGGACAGCAAAGAAACGGAATGCTAGTCTCTAGCTGCCTTTGGAGCTGTTGGCTCTGATGTGCAAAAATCATGTTCAATTTGATGAACTAAAGCCATTTCATTATAGAAATATCTTGTATGTGTATATATTGTATTGAAAAACAGAAACAAGGAAGTGACCTACTGCAGATGCTGGCCATGTGTATGATCTTCTTTAGTTTCAGTGTGAGTGCTATGTACACACAGACTCAAGTGTACTGAAACTTTTTGAATTTTTTTCTTGTAGTCTTGATTTGAACATTTCCTTCAGCCTGTGGCATAGAGGCATAATCTGCCTAATACCAATTGTTTCTTAGTATTTTTATAAAGTGCCTTTTTGTAGTTGAACAGCACTGCAAAGTTTTTAGAATACAGAAGCCCCAATATGTAGTGATTTACCTTCTTGTATTACAGCATTCAGCAGTATTTTTATTTTAAAATGGAAAAATGAGGTGAACATTTTAAATTAAGAAAGACTTATGAAGTGTTATGGGGGAGGCGTTAAGGTAACACAGCAAATCTGATAAATGTGTTCATGGTCATTTGAAACAGGACTTTTAATTATGCAATTTTTGACCAGCAGCTAGTAGAGACCTAAGCAATGTTAAAAGTTTCATTTATTTCAGCAGGGCTTTAAGGGCACATGACAATGTCATGGATGATGGCCTTTTTCTACAAAACCAAGTGGGTAAAAATGTGCATTGAAACTTTACTCCTTCAGCTGTGTGGGGAGATAATTTTATTCTAGCAAATTGCTGCCTGCCAAAATTTGATTAAAAATAGTGCTGCTGATCGTGGCTTTCGTGTGATACAAATCTAGAAAGGAGATGTCATGAAAGCATATAGATGTGTAATGAATACAGTTTTTTGCTTGTTTGGGGGGGTGAGGTCCAAACAGAGTTCCTGTCCACTTCCCCAAGCAGCCTGTCTTATATGGATGGTTTGGACACCTCCTGAGATCTGTAAGCAATAACACCTTCATGTCGGCTGCTGAATTCATGTGGTCACTCCCTATCCTTTCTTATAGTTGGGGGTGGTGTTGAGACCCTGCAAAGTTTTTTTCCCATATAAATTGGCAGGAGGAGACTGATTTCAAAACTGGGGCCTGTGACTATAGAAATGCATGGACAGAAAAAAGTGGTGTTACTGCTTAAATAACTATTTTGCAACATAATCATGTCCTACATTAATTTGTGTAAAATGTACACATTTAATAGCTGCATCAAAAGCCAACAAAGTATATTTAAAAAAATCCTCAGTTATGAAAGACTTGTATTTTTTCATATCTGATCAACGAAACATGTGACAAATGTGTCTTTTTCATGGATACTTGTTACACTAATACTTGAACTTGTGCCCTTTTGGTATTTGTATCTATAGTCTGATTTTAGATTTCTTACTTAGCAGTAAAATTTTGTGTGAGAAGTGAACTAATGCAATGTAATAAAGTGATTTTTATACCTCTCCTTAAAAGCGCTGTGTGCAAGCTGACTTCTCTTTGTAGTAAATGCACCTTCTGTAGAGGTGTGATTTAATCAAAGGCATATTACCATGATTGCCTGTAATAAACAAAGAATTGATTAGTTATAATTGAGTTCAGGTACTGTTCTTCCCTTTTTATTGCATTCTGAAATTGACTAGGATGAAGCATTTCATTTTAGTAGTTGGGTTAACACCAGCATTTTGTATGCTAAAGATAAGCCACTGAAATAGGATTATGGCACTGCCAGAACTTAATGTTATCTGCCATTTTCCAATGATATCCCACTAAATTATTTCAGCTCCAAGATTTAAGTGATGGCTATTGCCAAAGTTTTTATGAAGTGGGATTAATGTTGGTTTGTATATTAGACTTTTAATTAGACACTGGCCCAATTTTGCAGTCACATTAAATCATAAAGCATGATAGGAACAAGTCAGAGCAAACACTGAGCTCTTATGCTCTCCCCTTGCCCCGACCCATATTCTCCAATATAGCTGCAAGGAGTTCAGAATTAAATTTTTTCTCTACTACTTATGTCAACAGTAACCACAGTTTTGTTAGTTTGGACAATGTAAGTTGTGCTTAAGCAAAAATAGAAAGAAAAGCTTCTGAACTCCTCATGGCTGAACTAAAGCAGCAAGTGGAGACCCTTGTCAGGAAAACATGCTAAACTATGGTTTAGCATGATGTCTGAACACAGCCACTAGGAGGCTGTCAGCTCAGAGAGCCTCTCTAGTTACATTTAATTACAGCAACACCTTTCAACCCTCTCTTATGCTGTATCTCACTTCATTTATTTGTCTAGCAAAAGAGCAACACCACTGAAAACAGAAGTCTGTAACTACTACCATGCCTTGATCTCATTTCTCTGAATAAAATAGCCGCTTGCAGTCAGAAAATACATAAAGAATGTAGATAGGCCAATGATATCCAACAGTATGCAACCAAAGAGCACAAAGGGAAGAGCTGAAGGCAGCAATCCAGACTTTAAGCAACTATGTGGCTTTCTAGGAAATGGTCGCTTGCCTTAAATAAACTGATACCTGTATTTTATAACTAGAAATATTCACTAATCTTACATGCTGCGTAAAATATCTCAAACGTTTTTTGAATAGCCAAAGGCAGTTGAGTTTCAATATTTGAATAGGACAAAAACATCAAAGAACACAGTGTGGCATGAGTGTTCCAGACAAACTCAAAACTTACTTTTTGTTTTCCAATTGAATTTTTATTGAAATATGACAAAATATAAACTTCCCTTTATCTAAAGAATGTAAGAAATGAATTTGTTGAAAACTAGTAACCTTAAGTAAACCTGGGAGGCAAGTTCTTAAGTTTATGTGCTGCCTGGAGATAGTAATCTGAAATTACGGTAATTACAACTTACAATTCAGTTCTAGTGATCAACTTGCCCAGGGGTTGGCAACCTAAGACCCATGGGCTGGAAGCAGCCCACGAAGACTGTTTAACCAGCCCATGAGCCACCCCCAAACTGAGCCACCTGTTCGGTGAGCGAGTCCCCCCGTGCTGCGCTAAACAGGCACAGCGGGGGACTCTCTTCCGTGGCTCCGGAAATTGCTTCTGCGCAGACGCCGAAAATCACTTCTGCGCAGGCACGGTTTTCAGCATCTGGGCATGCGCAGAAGCAATTTCCAGCGTCACGAACATGCGCAGACGTGATTTCTGGCATTGCACTGAATCTCCGCAGGAGTGATCCGGCCCATGCCAGGTACGCCTTGCCGACTCCTGAACTTGACATTCAACCCGCTCACCTGCTATGGGCATAGGTACAGTTCCACCAGCCTCCAGCTGTGGAGTGATGCTAGTGTTGCTCTCCTCATCTTACCCACTAAAGTCAGTGAACTTCCTGCTGGGAAGAAGCTGAGATGACCTACGATCCAGAGCTGGTTCCACTGCTATGACTTAAGAGACATCAGTTCCAATTGCTATGCCAGCTCCAGGCTTCTAGCTGCCTCATGTCCTGGCTGGTGTGAACCTTGGGACTGAATATGGGAGTGGCTCTGCTGCCAAAAGTCTGGGTAAAAAGCTGGTCATAATAAAAAGAGCATATAAACTACTTGTGGCGTTATTTTTGTAGGAACGATCGAGACAGTAAACACAAGTAGCTCAATGTTAATAGGAGTTCAAATAATTTTAGCTAAAACACAAAATATTGTGTTAAGCAGCTTATGATACAGTTACTATGGAATTACTCCGCTTCAAGTTCAGTTGGTCACTGCAATTACTGGATTGTTTAAATATGCCTTAAGTATTGCTTGAGGCACTGCTACAGCTTAATGCCACTGTTTAATGAGGAAAAATTGAAATGATTCAGACAATCTAAAAATATAGGAAAATTTATTTTGTATTTGAAAAGATACCTGCTGTTTTCTCTCCAGCAGCCACTGTTTTATAACTTTTATAAATCATGAAGATTCCCCTGAAGGCTAGCTTCAGGGTTGAGATGATCTACATCACGCCAGTAGGGAAGCATTACAGGGAGTGCTGATGTTCTTTGTTCCAGGAGTGACCAAAGCTGGTTTGCTAGAAAATTGTTTCCTTCTGCTGATAAATGAAGTCCATCGGAGAGAAAGCAGCCAAAGTCCTAAAACGGATGTTTTCAAAAGATACAACAAACTAGTCTGGTGACTTTTTAGAAGGAAATGAAAGCCAAACACATTTAAGCAAGCTACTACTGTTCTACAGAACCACGGCATGGGTCCTTTGAATCAACATTTGCTTCAGTTTAATGAGTGTCCCAAATTGACACATTGTTTCTAATGACATTCTAAAAACTCACTATTAAAATGTCTAGAGATTGGTTGGGTTGTCTTGCCCAACACAAAGCAACCAACAAATCCAATAAATAAATAAAACGGGTCATACCTGGTTATTTTTTTGCATAAGTGTCCACAGATCAATGATGGAAGTGCCACAATCACTGGCTACTTTAACACATGCCTTGGCATATTCTCCTGTGGTAGAGTTGAGGCGGTTTAATTTTTCACCTGTTGAGAATTGGGGGTTGGCAGGGAGGGGGAAAGGTCAACAAAAGGAGGGCTTTAGATTTTTGCTTCTTGCTTTGATAAATCATAATTGTGCTAAGTCCACATCCAAATATAATTTGAATATGGCTTCAAGGATCCATAAGCCTAATTGCATGTCAATATGAACACTTGCTAGGGTAAGTCAGGTTGCTGAAGTAATATCTGAGCTTTTCATGTGGGCAATTTTGCTCCCATTTTGGTCTGACCTATGTTTGCTTTTATACATCTTCTGGAATTTTAATTTAGTTTATTGTGATTTCTGCTGTGTAATGACTTGATGTTATATATTATGCTTCAATGTATCTTGAACACTCCATGTATAATTAGAAAGTTGGAGTAGAAATAAACTCGAGTGTGGAAAGGACCTTCAGCAGTTTACCCTTAGCTATGGGCACAAAACCAGGCTGTTCTCAAGCCCTCCCTGCCTGCATTTCCCTTTGGAAAACACACTCCAGCTGCTTGAAAAAAAGTCTCCAGTGGCTCCACAAGATGCTTTTTGCAAGCCTAAAACCGTCTTGGGAGAGGGCAAGGAAGGGACATGGTGGGCTGGGCAGCGAGGCCCCAAGGATTTTTAGTTTTCCACCCCTGGAAACTCAGTACACAGCAAAATATTTTTGTTCACATACCTACTGCTGGATGGTGGTTTTTGTTTTTTTAAAATAATCGGATCTACATCCACAATGCTGCATGTTTTCATTCTTATTTTGAAGACGTTGGATGCACACACACTTCAGTTTAGTGAGGTGTGGATGATGGAACAAAGTTGGCAGAGACCATGTGAGCAGGCTAGTGAAAATTAACTTACAGCACTTCCCAAAACTACATTTGCCACAATACTAAAAATGTGTTAAGTCTATTTTCTTGCTGTACAGAAGCATCAGCTAATCAAGACATTTTGCTTTGCTTCTATAGCATTTAAATCATAGCATAGCAGTTCTATGATCACACAGCAATGGCCACCAGTTGTCACTTGAGACAGTTACTTCCTATAGAACATGTAATAGGTTGACCACTAGAGTGGTCAGAGCTTAGGTACACTATTTTCTTTTCTTCATCCAAAATGAGAGGAGATAAAAACTCTCTTACCTTTGGCAATGCACTCTTTTCCCCAAGCTGCTTCATGCAGGGGTGGTGGCGTCACCAAAATTACTTTATCCTCTGTAATGTCTACAGACTTGAGGTATTGTATCATACTTTTCAAATTGTCAGCATACTCATCCAGTGGCACATGCTGTTTAGGGTTCACATCTGTTCAGGGAAGATAGTTTACATTTAGGTAAGATGGTTCACATTACCTTCCCACCTGCATTGCTCTAATGGGCCATGTGTGCATCCATGCCCATTGATAAGCCAACTATATGTTTACATTACATCAAGCTGCAGAAGAGGAAGGGGAAGAAGGGATGCAGGACCCACACCAGCTCTGCAGAGAAGCCAGGCTCCTTCCTCCAACAACTATGTCCTGCCAGCAGCCATTACATCGGGTTTCAATAGAGAAAGGGAAGGGAAGTGGGGTCACTCCACTGGTGTAGCTGAAACCAACAACTTTGGGCTCCTCCTGGCCAATCTGTGACTAAGAAGTTATAACCTGAGGGTGCTTATCTTCTCCCTCTTAACCCATTTTCCTTTTATGTTGTGTCTTTTTTAAGATTGTAAGCCTGAGGGCAAGGACTGTATTTTTGTGTAGATATATTTAAGTCACTCTGGCAACTTCTTAAAATTTTTTTTTTATTATTTTGCTATGGAGTGGAATAGAGACAATTTGAATAAATAAATATTGAGCTATGAGTTATTGAGACAAGACAAGAAATACGATAAACTGTCATTTTAAGCAAATGTAATTCTACTTTTGCGTATAAATATTACACTATTAGTTAGAGGGAGATGAACTGAATAGGCACAATCTACGTGCAGAGACAACACAGCCCTGTTCTCTTCCTACACACACGCACAAACACAGGCAGAATGTTGAGGGAGATTTGCAGTCATGAGTGCCTCTCATTGTTTTACCCAGCTCTCCCTGTCACCTTGGTACAAGCAATCCTAGAATCAACAGTGCCTGCAGAAGTGGGACAGGGGTGCACTCAGTAGATATCCAACACCTACAGTCCACCAATGTCCGTGGTTTTATCTTGCGCTCAATTCCCTTCTTGTCATCAAAGCATAAGAGCCCTGTTAGATCAGGACAAGAGCTTGTCTAGTTCAGCATTCTGTTCTTACAGTGGCCAACCAGATGGCTATGACAGGGAAGCCAGCAAGCAGGACCTGAGTACAATGGACACTGAGGGTAGAGCATAGCCACCATGGCTAGCAGCCGCTGATAACCCAACATTGCCCACACTCCTGCCAGCAGTAACTGCGAGCTGTGAAGTGCTCACATGGCTTGGGTTGCACTTTTAAACCATAATTAAAGGTGTCTGCTTAGTCCCACTTTCCAGCCCTCTAGTTTACCACTCAAGCACTGAGCTAAGTGCATAGGAAGCTACCAGTGTTACAAGGCCAGGAATTTGCCGTATGTTTGGCCACAGAAACAAAGAAATGCAAAATTCATTGCTGCTTTAGTTAGTATTTTGTTTTATTTCTATGCTGCTCAGAAAACATTTTTTATTGAAAGGTAGCACATAAACCTTAAAAAAATACGTTTAAAAATAAAGTGTTTGAAATGCTAACTCTCAAATATCTGCAATTACATGTCTACTGCAACCTGATGAACCATTCTGGGGAAGAAGAGTGGGAAGGGGATAGTAAAACTATACTGCACCTTTTAAAGCACCATCATTGGCTCCAAAGAAGACAGTTACAGCAACAGTGTTCTTAGCATCAGAATCTTTGCTGATCAATCTTGGAAGAGCAATTTTTGCCCACCTTGTGTTATAGCCAGAGAGTCCGCGATTCAGAACATCACATTTTCTAAAAGGAGTATATTTGGAAAGAAATGTCATCCTGTAATAATACCATGCTCTGAATGTGGAAGACTAGTCAGCCGCCTGCACAAGTATCTACTTTCTTTTCCTCCACTCCTCACAGTAAACTACATTTCACAATGTTAAAACAGAATGCCCTATTTTCACAGCATGAGTGTGCACTTGTGCATCTACAGGCAGTATTCTCTCACATTTCCTGATTTATGTGATTGCAGGTTTTGTTTGCTTTACCTTCCTTTTAGTATTAAGCAATTGCTTCTTAAAAACTGAGGCTTTACATTTTCACTAACTGTTTCCAATAAACTTCAGAATTAAGAAGTAAAAGAACAAAATTATCAGGGGTTTTTGATGTTACGCATCAAACAAATGAAGGCTCTCAAAAGAATAATTATTTTCAGATTATCTTCCTAAACACCTGAGATATTTCATTTTTAAACCCAGCTGAAACACAACATTAACTATGTCTTACCTAGCCAAGCGGTGAGCAAGTGAGGCTCCCCATCCATTTTCTTGGAAGGAAAACTAAACGAGAGGAAAGTAATGAATATTTAACAAAATTAATTTAAGTCACACGTCACTGGACCAAATAATGCATTCCTGCCTGCTCTCCCTAGCATTCTGGTCTCTGTGGTACTGCTGCTCTATCATCACTCCACAGACAAGTCGGGCTTGCTGTTAAACAATATACCATATTTTTCCGTGTATAAGACTAGGTTGTTTTTTTAACCAAAAAATTAGGTTTAAAATTGGGGCTCATCTTATACACAGGTAGTGCTGAGGGGTATTTTCTTAATTTGGAGTCCCCAAAATTGGGGGCGTCTTATACATGGGGGCGTCTTATACACGGAAAAATACGGTACATCAGCTAAGGCTATCTGCTAGGACGCAGTACCACTTCTTACCTGGTAACTTGTTGCTCTAGCATTGCTCCCAAGGCACTAAATAGATACATACATTAAAGAAAGAAAGGCCAATTAATGCAATCAACAGACCCAAGCAGCAAAACTTTTCTTGAACCTTCCCAAGTGAGCAGCTTTGCATGTTTCAGTGCTTCAAAAAGCTTAAGCCCAGGCTTCACCCTACAGAGCTACCTTTCCTCCACCCTCCTATTCCTTTTTTCCTCGTGTGTTGCACAATTTTAAATTGTAAGCCTGATGGTAGGGACCCTTTTAACACCAATTTCTGCAAACAGCTCAGTGGGGGGGTGGGGGTGAGGCGAGAGAGGGGGGATTTAGGATGCAAATAAGTAAATAATGAATGAATGAATGAATGAACGAACTATAGGATGAATGCAAAAAATGATTGCTTTCCTTTCCATGGAGGAACATTCAGAAAAATCTTTGTGTTCGTATGCAGATTTTGTAAATTATGAGAGTAAAGACAGATGAAGGGCAGGGGGTCTGGCAACAGCAACCCCCCTGTTATTAACAACACCACGGTTGCTTTTGCACGGTGCCACTGCTTGGAGAGTTTAGAGGACGCCCCACTTATCTTTACCTGCACTGCAGTGGCAAGAGAAGAGGCCTCAACCTTGAGCCAGCCCTAGGCAGTTGCCATTGTATTAAACCAGCATTTCGAAAACAGATGCCCCAGTCCACCAAGGCTGAATCAACATACAGTGGTACCTCGGCTTACGAACTTAATCCATTCCAGAAGTCCATTCTTAAACCGAAACTGTTCTTAAACCGAGGTGCACTTTCCCTAATGAGGCCTCCCACTGCCGGTGCCCTTCCACCGTTCAGATTCTGTTCTTAGACAGAGGTACAGTTCTCAAACCGGGATACTATTTCCCATTTTGCGGAGTTTGTAAACTGAATCATTCTTAAACCGGAATGTACAAGCAGCAAGCTTCACTGTGTCTGTCTTTTAAACTCTGCTTCCTAAACCATTTCAGATGTGGCTCCCAGCCTCTCACACTCAGCTTGGCCTTCAATGGCACTTTGGGGCACCAGGTAAAAATGTACACCCCCCCCCGCCATGTTTTATTGGATGAAGACCAGTAACATTGCTTGGTGTTAACTGCAGCTGCTGAAACTTCTGCAGCTGCTATTGCATGTGTTAACACGCTGCATGCGTTCTTGCCAAATTTTGTGCACAAATGTATACTTGTGATTTTAAATCCTGTTAAGTTGCTGGGCAACCTTTTTGCAGGACGAGCAACTAACAACAACGATGCTGAGATGATGATGATAATGATGTTATAAGAAAAAAAATCTGCTCCCTTTCCCTTATGGGGTATTCCGGAGCTCGTATAGAGTCCTTAAGTGGGTTCCCTATCTGTAGGAAAGTAAGCCTGATCCTTTATTAAAGGAACTGTTGCAACAGGGTCACCACTCACCACACACAGGAGGGAGGAGAACCCTGAACAATAACGCACAAGCCCTTATATAGACTTTTGAAACTGCCTACCCTGTAGCCCAAAACCACCCCCCTAAAACATCATACATACATCACAGAAGGAAGGGGTCTACAGCAGAAATCATACCTGCCGGGATACCTGAGAGTGGTCACTGATGGCAATACCTGGGCAGTCTGGCCATTCTTTTGTGATGGTCAATACTTTAGTTCCCGAGTCCAGGTCACAGGCTTACTTTAAAAAGGTAAAGGACCCCTGACAGTTAAGTCCAGTCGCGAACGGCTCTGGGGTTGCAATGCTCATCTCGCTTTATTGGCCGAGGGAGCCGGTGTTTGTCCACAGACAGTCTTTCCGGGTCATGTGGCCAGCATGACTAAGCCGCTTCTGGCGAAACCAGAGCAGCGCACGGAAACGCCGTTTACCTTCCCGCCAGAGTGGTACCTATTTATCTACTTGCACTTTGATGTGCTTTCAAACTGCTAGGTTGGCAGGAGCAGGGACCGAGCAATGGGAGCCCGTTGCGGGGATTCGAACTGCCGACCTTCTGATCGGCAAGCCCTAGGCTCAGTGGTTTAAACCACAGCGCCACCCGCGTCCCTTTATTCATACATAAATACGCCCTTAAGACAGGATTTGCAAGCCAAAAGACAATAGGAAGGTTTTCCCCATTTAGTAATAATAATAATAATAATAACAATAAAAAAAATAAATTTTATTTATACCCCGCCCTTCCCAGTTCAGAAAACCGGGCTCAGGGTGGCTAACAACAAATTGAAAACACTTAATTGTAATACAACATAGAAGCAGCATAAAATACAGTATAAAAACATGAATAACAATAAAATTCAAAGTTCAGAAATCAATCTGGGGGAAATCCATCCAATAAGCATTAGATAGTCACCAGGGCTAGATGGCTGAATTGGTCCTACTTGGGCCAGTGAGGCGGCCAGGGGAGAATTAGCTGTGGGGTCTCAGAGCAGGTAATCTTCATAAAATGGAAGGGGGAGGGAAGAGAAGAGAAATAAAAGATCAGGCTGAATTCAAATTAAAGGCTAGGCAGAAAAGCTCTGTCTTACAGGCCCTGCGGAAGGAAGTTAAATCCTGAAGGGCCCTAGTCTCCTGGGACAGAGCATTCCACCAGGTCGGAGCCATCACTGAGAAGGCCCTGGCCCTGGTGGAGGATAGTCTGACTTCCTTAAGGCCCGGGACCTCTAAACTATGGTTATTCATGGACCTTAAGGTCCTCTGCAGGGCAGACCAGGAGTGGCAGTCCCATAAATATGAGGGCCCTAAGCCACAAAAGGCTTTAAAGGTCAAAACCTGTGATTCCTGCAGAGGGTTGGGCTAGATGACCCTTGGGGGTCTCTTCCAAGACTACAGAGCTAGGATTCTATGCAGCTCTGCCGGCTGACAGTATCAGCATCAGGAGAGCAAAGGCTGCGAGGCCACCCCACACTCCACCGAGGAACAAGGGCCCGTGGGTCCTTAGCCTCAGGTTACATTTGCCTTCCTTTACTGCAGAGGAGTATTTGAGTTCATTGGGAGTGTCAACATGCCTTTAGGATTGCTCTCCCATACTATTTCAGACACATGGTTCATATATATTTAGATATGTGTGCATTTATGAATACTTATTCTATATTTGAGACCTCAAAATTACTATAACAACAACAATGCTGATTTCCCCACCCAGACCCCACTCCTGTGTCTGCAGCAAGACAAAAACCAAGTCAGCTTCCCTGCCCGCTCTTGCAATTCTGCTTCTCAGGGGCTCGTGAACGGGTGGCGGGTGGGAACAGGAGCCGTTGTTGTCGGCGGGGAAATCAGAAGTGGGGTAGGACAAGGCCCTACGGCGAGGCGTCAGGGGCGACGCTTTGAGAAAGAGCAGGCGAAGGCCCCTGGGCCGGCCTTCGCCGTCGTGACCCGCCTTCCCAACCGCTGGCGGCGAGGAGGAGGAGAAGCCACCCCTCGGGAGAATTACCTCAGTGATGGAGTCTCCGAAGAGGACGACCCTCGGTGGGGACCACAGAAGCCGCCTCCCGCAGGCCTGGGCCTCAGAGAGGGCCATGGGAGTCGGTCGTGTGGGCGGCGGAGAGGCGGGCCGCTTTTGAGGCCGCTCTTTGCAGCGCTTGCCTTCCGCTCCGCTGAGCTGAGGAGGAGCCGCCGCCGCCAACAGAGGGGCTTTGGGCAAGGCTGCGGCTCTCCCCGCCGGCATTCAAAGGGGAAGTGGGGCGCGCGCGTGGAGAGACCCTCAGGCCTCTCCCTCCGTCTCTCCTGGCCGGGTTATAGCGAAGGAGGCGTAAAAAACCTGAAGGCCAACCCGGCGCACCTGGGGAGCCCCACACCTGCAGCAGCAGCAGCACACGAACGGTTCAAAGTGTGGCTGATTTAAGCAGCTGGGTGATCAGGGTTCAAATTCCACCCCCTGAGCTCCATGGCCTAGTCAGAATTTGAACCCTGATTTCCCAGCTGCTTAATCACACACACACAGTATTTATTACATTTTATGTTTTACAATTTAGAATATTCATTTAACCAACCTTAAAATATCATTGACTTCCCTTCTTCTCCTTCCATGGTTCATTTTGCATGACATAAATCCCTGCATATTTTATATAAACCAAGCCATTCAGTATTCCATTATTACATCTTATCAAAACTTATTTACACTGTTGAATTTATCTTAACGTTTCCAAGTGTACACAATTTCCCCCCATATATTCCATAAACATTTTCCAATCTACTTTAAATGTATGTTCTTCTTCTATATGTTAGATCTGCAAGCTGCACATATTCCATTAGTTTAAGTTGCCATTCCTCTTTAGTTGGGACCCTCGCTCGTTTTCCCTTTTTGGGTTAACAAAACACAGGCTGCAGAAGTGGCATGCATAAATAACCTTTTTTGACACCTCATAGGGCAAGTACCGTTTATTAAATTTCTATCCTACCTTTTTAATCTGAAGATCACAGGGCGTTTTACAACAGGAAAAAAGTGAAATATATATATGGGCATAGCCAAGGGGTGGGGGGCAGCTGCCCTCCACCCTAGATCCACAAACATTATTGTAAAGGACTCTTTTATTAGAGGTTATGACACTCCCCGTACAGCAGAAGCCTGCCCCCCTGTAATGTCCTCTTCACATGGGTATTTTTAGCCGTGATTTTACAACTTTGATCTCCTAAAAAAAGAAAATTTGGCTGCCCCCCCCCCAAAAAAGAATACTGGATACACCCATGAAAATATAGGATAATTAGATGAAGCGAGCCAGGTGTAGAATCATATGTGCCACCTTCAGCTTCTTGGAAGAAAGGTGGATATAAATTGTATTTATTTATAAAAGTATATATACACCACCCCCTCCTCAAAGGACACAGTGGTGTACATTTAATGGCTACTGAAGAAAATTAAAAATGGCTGCATAGGCCTGCCCCAGGGCACCTGCCAAATTGGTTGGAAGTATTCCACAGCATGAGGGTTTATTCCCTACCCCCTACAATCAACCCGTGTATCACTTTTAAAATAGAAACTGGAGACGCTGCATGCCCAACTTCTGGTTGAGGTCAGTCGGGCCTCTGTAAATGCAATAAAGAATGCTAACAACATTAATAGCAATAGCACTTTCCCACTCATGTTCCTAAGCAACTTTAGGGTGAAAGATGGGTAATCGATCAAAATAATAACTGGTATTCAGTTGCATACTGTCTGATGCTGGAGGTTATGCTTAGTTAGACCTGCCCTCCATGAAGTTGTGTTATCATCTACCCATCTCTGCCATTGCCACCCCCATACTGTGAGAGCAGGCAGTGTTGTGTGCAGAAGTACTTTCCTTTTTGTCCATCCGGAATCTTACTGCCAATGAATTTCATGGAGCAACCTCATTCTAACATCCATCTCAAGTCTCCTCCACCTCCTCCTCGTGTACTCAGTTTGCAACTTGCTACACAGCAAAACCTAGCTGCTATGCTTTTAACAGCAACCTGATATGGACAAATCAAACAAGAAAACTTTTTGCAAAGGAGCTAAGTGCTAAAATGCCAGGGTGGGGAGGGGAGACGAACCAAGAGCAGAGCAGATAAAATTTCTTAATTCACTTTGTTACTCTTGGAGTTAAGAAGCTAGCATTGCCAGGAACGTTCTGGTGCATGTATGTAATTTTAGGTCTGTGCGATAATTAATGTCTTGTAAGTCAATCAAGGACACAAAACACACACTAGGTCTAAAGAGGTGTGTGCATATATATGTATCTGTGTATGCTCTCATACACATTCTAGGACTTTCCCGAAATCCAACTGTGACCTCTGGTGTCACATCAGAGATAGTTTCTAGTGTCTTGGAGCAGATTCCCAGGTGGTGCAGAGGGCTATAGTTAAAAGAGGGAACTTCTGAAGCTTATTGAAGTTTCCACAAGTTACTTGCGATTTTGGTCTTTGTAAGTTTTATAATCAGGCCATTAACAAGAGACATATTTTTAAATATATTTTTAAAAGATAACACAATTACTTTGTTACAGAGGAGCTGTCCCTAACAATATGATGTTATCTTACACAAACAAGAGGTTGCATATTTCTGCTTCTTAGAACATATTAAAAGGCTCACTTCCTATAATACATTTCCATCTTATATCAACAAGTCTGCTATTGCCATCTGCTCACTTGGGGCTAAAACAGTTTTATGGCTAAGAAAAAAGGTAAACGTACTTTGTTAAAGAACATTTATTTTTTAAAAAACCACGTCAAGAATAAACGGATTTGTAACAATTTTTCTATAGGCCCCAAAATATACAATGGACAATCAGTTTATTGCACAGGGGTAATGGCATCGTAGAGTCGCTGTGCAGCTAACTCCACCATTTCCCGAAGAGTTTCATCATCATCTTCACATCCTGGTTCATGGTCAACAGTCTAGAAGAGAAGAAAATAAGAATCAATTTGCTAGTCTCTAATTTATTTCTCAGATCTTCTTGAGAAGACTCTGCATAGAAGCCAGACAATTTTTAAAAAATCTAAACACCCACCCACATAACTCATTCCATGAATCCAATGTAAATTTAGACTTAAATTCCCCTAACTGCTTTTGAAATGTGGTCGAAACTTTCAAAGGGCTACCACAAACCCCTACATCTGAGCCTAAATTGCTTTCTAGATCTCAGCCAAAGCCATACAATTATGTAGCCTCTTGGTCAGTACCATTGAGTTTAACAGCCTTAAGCAAGCTTGACTTTAATTCTAGGTGTTATGCCAGCAATAATGTGTCCAATTCATTCTTAATTCATTTAAGAGCACGCAGTCTCAAGAACTTTGACTGGGTAGGTGGGTGTAAAGAATGCCATGAATGCTGAATTTACTGATGCTTGGTTGACTATTTCATACCTATATAAAATGTCTATCAGGGAACATTGTTTGCCGTAAAGCAGCAGCATCCTGATGTAAGAAATGCCGGAGATCTGCTGGGTTGTTCCTCTTATATTGAGAGAAGTAGAGAGGGACTGCAGGGGGAAGGAGGAATCAGCAAAAGTTGCCTCCCCTCCCCACTTCTCCCAGCATTCTCCAGCATTCCTTACAAAACATAATTTACTGTAATCCTTCTGAGTATTTAATTTATACACAGTACTTTTTAAAATTAACAATAATTGCAAGTTCCTTTATGAGCTTTAGCTGGAAAGTGGACAGAAATTTAAGAAACAATTCTACATCACTCTATCATTCTATTTCACACTATCTTCTAGCAAGTGTGATCAACCAAAAGGTTAAGTGTTGAAAGTGGAAATGCAATAATGAATTGGAAATCTTCTGAAAAGAACAATTTATTCTGACAATGGTCACCAAAGTGCATGGTTAGATGTTAGATTTCAGAAAACCTACTGAGGTGCTGCATACATTCCTAATCATAAATCTCATCGGCTACACAAGACACAATACATCAGCATGAAATGTAGCTCTAAATACCCGTGTATCCAATGAAAGATTTGCTGTTTTTCCATCCACAGTGATGCTCAGTACATTATCTTTCTTAGCACTTACACAGTCTTCTCCAAACATGTCCCTAGAAATGAAAGACTAATCAGTAATAAACATAGAATGGCACCAAATTATATAACTATTTAACCACAGTGTTTTCTGTTTAGCAGTGTGATCCTTTGTATCAATTAATTAATTTCTATACTGCTTTATATTTTTAAGAAAAATCTCAAAGCGGTTTACAGCATATTAAATCAATAAATCAATAAAACAATTTGAAAAAAGTCAAATACAGAGTATACAGTCAAAGCAACATAACAGAAAACTAAAATATCATCTTAAAGAGTTCAAAATAAAACATTACAAAGGAGGTCAACTACAGAATACATATTTAACACAGCAGGGCTGGGTGAGTGTGGGCCCCGCCCCCTAGGCCAGGTGGAAAGGGCCTTGCAGGGAGCGGCCTTCATGCCTCACAGCCGGGCAATGTTCCTCTGGCTTCTTTTGCAAAAATAAGCCCCACTGATTTCTATAGAACTGTAGCCTAAGAATCTAACTTTCTGTTTCAAACAAATTTCTAGAAAAGAACCACATTCAAACCTTTTTAGAATGATTTCCATACTATTAAATGGATTTTAACACTTAAAAAATGTTGGGCCTTTCAGTATAACCTCTGGTCTAAATACAAGATTTTGAGAAAGCCCCCCAAATTAATTTTGTTCAATAACAAAGGTACTAAAATATATGATAGTCATCTTTTGTGGGAAAGAGAGGATAATGTGATGTTATAACTTACTGAAGCATAATCTCCATCTTCTTGTGATATGCATCTATCTCTTCTTTTTTAGGAATTTTATGTACCACAGCTGGGAAAAAACCATACATTTTACATTCCATTGTAATTGCCATTTGTTATAATGTAGCTGGGCTACATATATGTAGCTATAATGTAACAGGCATTAAACGACAAGGAAAATATTGGCACATACTACTGAGTTCCTACAAGTCTAAATGGTTTCTTGTACATTATTATGTAAATGAAGTTGTGCTTAGCTAATTCAGATCATGCTGGTGTGTGTGGAGGGGAATAGCTGGATCTGAACTTCATGTTGTAACTATTGGATTCATAGATATGCATTAGGTTATAGACAAGTATAATCATTTTATGGGCTGAATCCAGAATTTGCTGTCAGTTGTCAATTGAAGGGCTCCTTCTGTCCATGGAAGGCTTTTGATTCACTGGAGAGATCCTCCTCATCAGTGGGGCAGGGGAGGGCAGGTGGAGGGAGATGGCTTTTGCAGATTCTCCCTTCTTTTTGAGGTCACCAGTGCCACCTCCCACACTTTTCCAGGGGCAAAGGGGAGGAAAGAGAACCAACAAGGTCTCACACACCTCCTCCCTGTGGGTGTGAAATATGTATCTAAGCAAGACACCGAATGAGCTTTGTGATGTTACAGGCTTCTGTTTCTTAACATGAAATGAGGTTGCAGCTTATTGGCATTTACAGGAGAACTATTAACAGCATAACTTTTAATAATAATAGTTCTTCAGCTGATACATTTAGGAACCAGGTTTATCTAGTACCATTTCATTACAGATAATACTGTGAGCCCACATTTTATGTGCATTTAGCTTGTGCGCATTCAGCTTTATGCGCACGGCAGAAGTTTTAAATTTTTTTAAAGGGGGCTGGGTTCTGGGGAAAATGACTTTGGTACTTCCACTCGCCACTGAACCCATTTTGGATTTAGGCATGATTTCCAGAATGTAACCCCTGCGTAAGTTGTGGGCTTACTGTATGTTTCTGCTCTGAAGATTAATTTCCCAGAACGTTAGATTCTGAACATATTTGACCTATAGTAAAAGGTAAAGGGACCCCTGACCATTAGGTCCAGTCATGGCCGACTCTGGGGTTGCGGCGCTCATCTCGCTTTATTGGCCGAGGTAGCCGGTGTACAGCTTCTGGGTCATGTGGCCAACATCACTAAACCGCTTCTGGCAAACCAGAGCAGCGCACAGAAACGCCGTTTACCTTCCCGCTGGAGCAGTAGATATTTATCTACTTGCACTCTGACGTGCTTTCAAACTGCTAGGTTGACAGGAGCAGGGACCAAGCAACAGGAGCTCATCCCCTCACTGCCGACCTTCTGATCGGCAAGTCCTAGGCTCTGTGGTTTAACCCACAGCGCCACCCGCGTCCCTTATTTGACCTATAGAATTCCAATTAATAACATGTTCTATGATTGACATTTAATTTAGAAGAATGTCCCTGTGTTTTAATATACCTATTTGCACATGAAATTGACTTTAATAATGCTACATTATACATGCCTCAAAATCCAGTTTCATATTAAAGGGAGGAGTTTATATAATTCTGTTTATTTCAGCCCTGCTAAAAGTAATGGGAAGCCAGACAGTGGATTGTGTCTCAGGACCCTGGGCTTGGCAGAACTGTATTCTCCAATATAAAATTAGTTCACATCTTTTCACAGAAACACACACTATTAAAAGTATACTATATATAAAAATAAAAAGGGGGAATACCTTTATGAATTTTGGGATTGGACTGAACTTCCAGTATCACTGTTTTTACAGTGTCTGCATACATATCATTAGCAGGGTTTGCTACCCACTGGAGGAAGAAAAAGCAGAATGAGAGGAAAAAGAATAATTAAAGAGCACATTAATTGTTGGAATTCCATTTGAAGTAATTTTGTTTTTGGCTTTCTACATTTATTTGGTTTTGTAGCTGGTTTGAAATTCTGGTTAAGAGGGAAACTATGTTGGCTTTAACTATAAAGTTCAAAGTGGTTGCGACTAGGCTATTAGAATGGATATGTTATGAGTCTGCCAATCTACTACATTCATCATTATCGGCCTTGCTCCCTTGTCCCACTGACTTCAAAGGCTTGGTTACCTGACATTGTATGTGGGGGTATAAGATTATAGCACTCCCTCACCTCAGGAAGCCCAACTCTGTTTCAAAGCCACTTGTATGTTATCACAACAGTTATACAGAAACTTGTATTCTGTCCTTACCTCCAGCACCACCATACCCGGCTCTTGGACCACAGTAATGTTTTTAAAAACCTTCAAAGCTGGCTTATCCTGGACTTCTATTTCTTTTATGTCACCTTGAAAAATATAAAATACCACAATAAATGCATCACTACTTAAATATTTTTGGGGCACACTCTGTACATACCACTTGGGTGCATCTATTGCAACTCATGGATTCAAAATGGTCCTAAAATGTGCCCAACAATCTCTTCCAGCTGCACAGTGGGTTATGCTGGATGTTGTTTCAACAGTTTGTTGGCCATTACTGATCTTCTCATCAAGCAAGTTCCAATAATAATTTTGGAGAGACTTCAAGCGGCTTCCTCCAGTTACGCACCTGTTAGTTTTTGTAGATGATAATAAAGCAGACTGAAAGAGCCTGTGTATGGAACAGCTTGTGTTTGTGTCACAGTGCTCATAGCCAGATCAGTGTAATCTGTAAAAAAATGAAAGCAAAAAAGACAACATTTTACCCTAAGTTGCTCCAGCTCTGCTCATGTAAATTTCTGCCTGATTATTCATCTCCCTCCTCCCTACCAGCTGCATTGTCCCACACCAATTCCAGATTTTGGGGGCCCACATTCACAGAAGTAGAAAGGAGAAAGATGCAAAAGCCCCTTCCGTGAACAGGAACTCTATACTGTTTACATAAGGAAAGTTAGGGATCCAAACCAATGAAACAAGGATAATGTTTTCACTTTTACTTACTGGAGAGGTCACATGGAGCAAGTATGTGATAGTTAAAATTTCTCTTAACTAGTATCCCTGAAACGCGCTGCCCTTGTTCTGGTTTCTTATCTGCTAGTGAGCCCATAACCTAGAGAAATCACAAGAGAAAAACCAAGACTATATGTAAGAAAGTGTACGGGAATTGCAAATAGGATAGATATTTTTAAATGGGTGGTGATGAAAAACAATCCCCATTTGAACAACTGGATACGGCATCACTTCTCATTCTGTGTACTAGACCATGTACCAAAATTTCAAGGTGAATTTATCAGCAAGCATGACTTAAAAGTACCCATCAATTACAAAACTCCCTTTACAAGCTGCCATGTTCTTTCTCAACTTCAGAATGGACAGCCCACCAATAATCCCATGTGATAGTTCTCTATGTTATGATTGGCCTATTCTTGTCCTTTTCAGAATTACTAGTTCTCCCAACCTGAGTAGTGGCCCTGGGTGGGTTCATAGACAAAGAGTGTGCACATGCATGTTATTTGAAGCTGTTAATATATTTCAAAGGCTTCAAACAACTGCAACCCTGCAATATCCAACAGCAGATTATGGAACATACTGAGCAGTGTATTTGTAATGGGCTGTGGATGAGAGCAAGAACAAGTTTCCTAAACAAAGGCAAGAGGATGCTTTGCTTCATGACATAAGAGCAGTGCACTGTGTTCATCATCCAATATACTGAGTTGTCCTTTTGCAAGAATTAGATATATTTTTGAAGAAATAACCTTTGATGATGAGGTAAATGTGCATATTGTGATGAAGAAAACGTTAGCCTTTTACCTTGGCAAGCTTTTCTCCTCTGAAGTTTAGTGTTACTGCTTCAGTATTTCTAGGATTGTGGACTTCTATGTGAACTTCATCGTTATCCTCATATTCACGTATTACTGCCGCTTTCAGCCTGGCCATTTCATTCTGCTCACCATGAACCAATATCTGCATGAAAAAGTCATTGTTAGCTGTCAAAATATAGGCACTCCTGATGCGTTGACAGGAAGGTGGCAGCTTAGGGAAGAGGAGGAAGAGTGGTGGTGTCATCAATATGCACCTGTATCCTACACCTGTATATGACTGTGAGAGCCCCACAAACCAGAGCAGCTTTTTTGAGTGGATGCTATGGGCTGCAGTGGGGGGTGAAGTCAGACAATCCCTGAAGTCCACACAGCTCTTTGGATTGTTATTTGACCCTTTCCCACATCATCTCCTCTCCCTTTTTCAACCACTTTATTTTCCTGCCTCTTCTTCTATCTTCTTTCATTTCATGTTCGCTTGATTTACCTCCAAATCATTTTAGACATGTAAGTCACATATTTTCTTCCAGAAGCTACAAGCTTTACACACTGTTTACAGCAGCACTCTCAAGAAAAATCACTTTTGTTTCCAATGTGGCAGAAAACTTAAAAGCATAGTTTATCGTGGAAGAGGAGTGGTGCTGCAACTTTGAATTACTGTTCACCTCTGGCTAGTTAAAATGGAATTTGTTGAACTGGCATTGGGATTTGACAAAAACTGTACTTCTTGAAAATAACAAAAATAAACACTAACCACATGGGGAGGTTTTAGTGCCCGGATGAACTCGCTGGTTTGTTGGTAATCTGTGTGTGCAGAGAAAGAGATGTAATCCACAGACATCTTCAGCGGGAGTTTCTGTCCTGACATAGTTGTAATTTCTTCAGGTTCAGACATGATGTGCTGCAACAATAAACAAAATGCACCCATTATATTATTTCATTCAGAATATTTAATTGTTATTATGAAGATACACATTAAATATAAAGGTAAGGGCAGTAAAGGATCCCTGGACGGTTAAGCCCAGTTGAATTCAACTATGGGGTGTGGCGCTCATCTCAATTTCAGGCCGAGGGAGCCAGTGTTTGTTCACAGACAGCTTTCCAGGTCATGTGGCCAGCATGGCCAAACCGCTTCTGGCGCAATGGGACACCGTGACGGAAGCCAGAGTGCACGGAAACACCATTTACATTCCCACCGGAGCGGTACCTATTTATCTGTGCTTTCAAACTGCTAGGTTGGCAGGAGCCGAGACAGAGCAACGGGAGCTCACCCCGTCATGCAGTTTTGAACTGCAGACCTTCTGATCGGCAAGCCCAAGAGTCTCAGTGGTTTAGACCACAGTGCCACTGCATCCCTACACTAGATATATACATGTATAAAAAACAGTCAATACAGAATTCCTTCCCAGAACAAACACACAACATTTCTATTTAGCAAAATATTACTATTTTCCTATTCTAATGCAATTCACCGTGACATATCTAATCTCCTCTGGATATATTCCATCACTGGATTCCAACTTTGAGATTTTTCATACCAGTGTTTCTTTGGTATTCTTTCATTCAGAATAAAAAAGGTACAAACTGAAGTATGCATCAGATTGTAAGTACAGGGACACCAAAATAGTAGCCCAATTCAGTCCAGATTCCCTGGTAAAACAAGTATTTTAAGCTGCCTGCACTGCGTATTAACATATACCAGTAGTCAAAGTATACCTCACCTTAGCAAGTGTTCCTTCCACACAGTATCCTGCTATGATGACTCCATTCCTCTTGTCAGTACACCAGCTCTCAAATAACTCTCTGGATAAACCACTCTGCATCATACCGGGGGAAGCCATTACAACACTTGGGCCTATGTCATCAAAATGATCCATGCTCTAGGTAAACAAAGAATAATTATTATTCCATTTTATGAAAGTCAGAGAAAAGTGTTCCACCTTAACTGTTACCCCTGCTCTCAGGGACAAAAAGTCTTTTAGTGATGTATTTTTATAAAGGACCCTATGGGATCCTCAGTGAGCTCAAAGTATTTCTGCAGGGTTCTGGCAATGATGCCATATACATGAATCCCAGAAGGATGCTTATCAGAGGCATGTTTAGTGCTAGTCCCAGGTAAGAGTTGCTGGTAGACTGAATTCTTCTGAAAAGGGTTTGATGCCCAATTTTAAGTCAGAATTATTGTTCTTCATAACCTTTCTATACATTCACGTTACTAAAATTTCATTTATTCACACTGACCTTCAGATTACTAATGTGCTTGAATACAAATGGGTTGTTGATGTTGATTTGCTTGCGGATTTTATCATTCATGGCATTGACATAGGTCTGATACACGGCCATGCATTTCTTTGCCAGAGAGGAAGCATAGTATATAGGTATCTCATGAAGCTCAGGATGATTTTGCCAGTATTCATCTAGGTTTTTTAAAAAACAACAACAACACACAACTTTAACAAATTATGAAAACTAAGAACAGTAAATATAATTTAGATGGACATGTAGTTTTTTCAGACACACTGAACATGTAAAGTTGGAAAGAGGTGATGTGCAGGTACATACCTAAAATCAAAAGCAATTCTTGTGCTCTTCCCAAAGCAAACACAGGAATAAGACCTCTGCCTCCCCTGTTTACAATATCATGTACAGTGTTGCAGAATCTCGCCTCCCTCTCCTCACGTTTTTCATGGATGTGTGTACCATAGGTAGATTCCTAAGGCCAAAAGACACACCATTAAAAATAATGATGAGACACATGACCAGAATGGCAGTGTGACTATGCCACAATCTAGTCACAGCCTCACTATTCCTATTTGGGATTACTAAAAACTGCCACGGGATCTGCCACCCACACTCCAGAACATATGTAGACCAACTGCTCACAAAAATAGGAATTGCTTCTTCAAACCATCAAAAATGTAATGAGTTGTGTCGATCAGCATGGCTGTGGCACTATACCTGATCTCAAACATGTCTAGCATGAGAATTTAATAAACCAAAGCTAAATTTTGATATATTGTTGTAATTTTCTAAGACAAGAGTGTACAACTTATTTTGTATGATTAATCATGAATTGTAGTATGACGATAAACTTTGCCCTATGATTTCCCCCACAAAAAATATTCTTAAATCATATTCATCCCATATATACACATACAAATACACATATATGCCATTTAAGGGGTTTATTTTTCAAACTTGCAAAAATTACTTTTTGATCATACTTTATAAAATTACCAAAGAGCACTCCTTTTTTTAAAGTGCACGGCACTATTTGCCCACTTCCAGAGTGTGTTAAATAGAGGTGCCTTAGTTAGAAGGAGTGTGAACACTTTCTATGTTATTCGAGTTTTCACTTCAAATTATTATAGGAGAAGCTTACAATTATAAGAATATCTGGTTTAATATTGGGAATCTCAGCTGCCATCAAGTGCCTATCTTCTTGTCTTGAGAAGTCACCTGTGTATAAAAGCTTTGACAAAGAAACAATGTACACTGTAATTAGACAGAAAAACTAATATAAACCATTGTAAAAAAAAATTAACAGTTAGGTCAATGTCTATTGGTTCATCCATAGTCCTTCATGGACCAAGCAGTAAGTGCTTAAGGGGAAGCCTGTATCACAAAATATGATGGGAAGTTGAAATTTCATGCATACTACTTGAGCACTACAGATGGATAACCCTTAACTTCCAATAACAATAGCTTATACCAGGGGTGAAGAACCTTTTTTTAGCCAAGGGCTGCAATTCCCTTGTGAGCAAACTTCAACGGGCCACACTCCAGTGGTGGGCAGAGGCAGAGGCAAAAGGTGGGTGGAACAACCATAGAAATCTAGGATATGCTCACTGGAATTAAAGGAATCCCTAAGGATTGACTTCACATTGGCCTGGTAGTATCTACTTTGCTTAAGCTGGGTGACGTAAGTTGGATGTAATGTTTCTATAGGTTGTAAATGAATGAGATGCGAAAGCGGAACTTATTCTGCTGTTATCACTACTTCTGATGCTAAAATTACTTCTGCTGAGAGCCTGAGTATGTGCTAATCTTTCTATCCTGCAATAATAAAAGCTAGCAGTGTTTAAACCTGCTATTGTGTGGATTAATAGGTCCTTGGGAAGAACTGAAAATACCCATTTCCAAAAACTAAGTCCTTCATAATGGATCTGACATAGACTACATTCCAGTTGTACAGGTGCACACACATTTAGAATAAACACACATGAACACATGAAAGCTTCTTCACCCTCTATCCAGGCAAGCAAGGGGCATTATCAAATTTTCAGCCAGCAAGAGGTATTATCACACATTCCCCCCAAGCTAAAGCACTCAATGAAGCCATGGAAAAGGGTCAGTGAGGGCTGGGTGTGTGGCCAAATGAGTCTCAAGGGCCAGGCAGAGAGGACTGGAGGGGTGCAGTTCCAAGGTTCCCTACCTCTGACTTACACCATGGAGCTTTAATGTGACAGGTTTAATAGAAATGTGATGGTGAATAAATCCTATACCCACAAAACACACTGAAGCGGTAAATTAATATAAATAAAGGCCCACTGATAACAAGCCTACTTGGATTATCTAGTGAGCTAAGGAAATACCTTCACTCCAGCTATTTCAATCATAAACATGGCTGCTCCCAGAACGTGGCCTGCGTGGTAACACCAGAACTTGATTCCCGCCACCTCTTTCACTTCATGGAAGTTGATAGTTTCTATTTTGTCCATGCTTTCTTCCAAGTCCGTCTCCGTATACAGCATGTCATCTGCTGATATATTGCTGTATAAAATAGTAAGGCAAAATGTCATCCTGTTCCCCAGTTTTTGAAGATAAGATTGTGCCGGACTCAGAAGACGGTCGCCACAAAGTGCCCTTGAGATTACAGGGCAACAATGCAACAGGCAAAAATATTACACATCCATTGTTCAAATTACGGTATCATTTCACAAAAGTTTTATCCCACAAGTATGAGGATGAACTCACCTAACTTTGACGTAATCTGACAGAAGCCACCTATAAATTGCTTTTGTAGCATGGGTCATGAAGGTCCTCCCTTTAAAACTTGTCTTCTGCAGAAACCATGGCAATGCCCCACAGTGATCCAAATGGAAACTGAAAGAGGCAAGATCAGATTTCAGAATCTACCATGGCATGCAGCTAGATCATTTTTGTTTCAACAAAAGATCAAGTAACAAAATAGTTAACACTTAACACTTCAACATCAGCAAAGCTTAACAAATCTGTTACAGAGTCTCAGCATTTTAAAATAAAAACACAAAATCCCCCTCAGCCTTCAGCATTGAGCAACACATCACTTACTGACTAATCAAGAGGAGATCAATCTCAGCTGGGTCTATCAGATCGATATATGGAAGTGCATCCATTCCTTCTAGACCAGGGTGGATTCCACAATCAAGCTAAAAAAAAAGATGACCAATAATTGTATTTCTACAAACAACTAGTATATGGTATTAACACATACTTATACACTGATGATTGCTCTTTTACATCAAAACAGTAAAGTTTATGTTGCATCTTGATATTTCAAATATTTAAAAGCATGTGATCTTAGGTGTAACCCAAATGTTTCTCCTCTCATTTGAAGGAAATGGGTGGGGGAGTGACCAGCACTGTTGGCAATGCTCCATAAAAGGAACACAACTCTGGAAAGTTTCCATGTCAGCTCAATGCATCCCTGCACTGTCACTTGGACAGTGGCGGAGGTGAGGGCTAGCTTGGCAACCCCCGCCCGGCACATGCCTGCCCCAGGTGTTGGCAACCAACGTTATGCCACTGCTGAAAAGTGAGCAATGTGGTAGCCCTACAAAACTTCTGGGGAGGGCTTTCCTCAGTCTGGACACTGAAAATGAAAATGTCCCATGTCCATCCCAACTCATCAAAGTTCAGATAGTGTTTGTGTGGGCTGTGTGTGTGAAACAATACAAGGAGAGAGCCAGAAGAGGCTCATATGAAAGAAGGCAATCCTTCAGAGGTTTGCAGTGGTAGAATGCTTTGAATATTTACTGTCAAAGATGTGTCTACTGTGACAAAACGTTAATAAATAACTTAGGTCAATGATTACCATTATCTTCCTTCCTTTAAATTCCAGAATAATGCATGATCTTCCTACTTCCTGCCCTGCACCTCTGTGAAAAGAAAGTTGTGACAAATTACAAAAAACAATCAACAACCCACTGATATAAAAACAACTATATGTAACTGTCCAAGCAAAGTGATGTCTTTGGTTTAATTCCATGGCCTGATTTGGATGTAATGCTAAACAATGGTTTAGCATTATGTGAACAGCCCTGGGCAAGCCTCGGGCTCATGTGCTCCCCAAGGAGAATGGAAGCTTTCATGTTTGTTTTTAACAATACATCTGAACCCTAAACTGCAGCCAATCTTGTTCCTTCAATCGAGCCTACTATTTAGACCACATTTTGAAATAACTTCTGAGTAAAATGTATACAAGACTAACCACAGCTTATACATGGTTAGGCATAACATTAAAAACAGTTAGTTAACAATTGAAGCAAAAGATTCTGATCACCTCCTCACAACTAAGATGAGAGAGCCTGCAAGTCCAAGACTTGCCCAGGTTCATTCATATTGTGAATTTCAACTAGGAACCCAGTTCAACATCTGCACCCATTTTCAAAGAGAGGAACCAAAATAGGCAATAATGTGAAATGTGAACTGAAACCTCTTGAAAGCCGTGCTTTACAACAGCACAGTCCTAACTAGAATAAATCCTATTGAACTCAGTGGAGGTAACTCCGAGATAAGTGAAGATTGCAGCCCTAGTTATGTAAGTGCACATTTGGATATAAAGGCATACCACACTCTGTAATGAACTCAATTATAGTAAGAGACGTAGTTGATCATTTAAATCAACTCAACAATTATTCCTTCCATAGCTCATCAGATTCAAGACAATTTGGGAGAAATGACTTGCATTTCCTGCTCCTCAGATTTCTAGAGATTTTGCAGAATGTAATACGGAACAAAACAGAGTTGCAAATATGGCTACAGGGGTCAGCTAGTCTAAAACAAATTTCACAAGGACACCTGTCCATACACACTAAGCCTAGTCATTTTTGGCTTCTGCTGAGTCCTAAAGCAAAAGAACCAACACACCTCCAATTTACAATGGGTTTCCTGCCTGGTTGCCTGCAGCATATCCAGGCAACTTGGAAAATGGTTACTTAGAAGCCAGCTACAGAATGTGGTATTTAAAGTAAACAAGTCACAATTTTTATTCTAGCTTCATGCATGTCTATGGTGTAACTAAATAAAGTAGCAGAGATGATTAAACAAATCCAGGATCACAGTGAAACAGGCTCATTCAGACATTAAATTAATACAGTTGAATGAAAGGTCATATGTCTAGAAACAAGGATTGTAGGTCACCCTTAAAAGATAAAGGGCTCCTTGTTGGAAAACAGTGAAAGAGAAATGATTAAGGGAGATGATGGATTAAAAATTAAGCATGAGCTTCCAATGAGCTGTTGAAGCTAAGGCCTTGTCTAGACAAAAGATAAGGTAATCCTGTCATGAAATCAATGATGCTTCATCCATTTAGCTTAGCCAGCTAGAATGAAAGTTTCTACAATAATGGCCAAAAATTGTACAAGCTGCTGAGGCATATAAGGATAAATCAGAAAGTTGGTGAGAAAAGAAAGGCTGCTTGACTTCTTAGAGTAAATGTGATCCTTGCAGTGTAAGGTTTAGAGTAGATTCTATGTAGTAATGTATAAACTGGTTCTATCAACAGAGTGCTTTGAAAACATTTCAGGCTGTTTCAGACTAAGGAGCAACAGTTATTGTAGCAACTTACCAATAAAAGTATACTAGCCTACTTCCTAACATCTTAGGGAGGAAGGATCTACTGGGAAATGAATCACTAGATCTACCAAGCCCACAGAATGGTGGTGACTCAGCAATTAATAAGATGAGAGATACTGTACACATAGCCCTGCAGTGGGGGGGGGGGGAGACTGGACTTGTGGGGGCATGTCTCATGCCCAAACATAACAGGAAAACATAGCAGCGGCATGTGACTCAGCATTTTGCTCTGCCATCTCCACAACATTTCTGACGACAGGCTTCCAAAATAATACCTGACAGCCTGAAAGGATTCTCATTGCTATGAATGAAAGAAAACAAAAATTCCTATTGACACCTTGTCTCATGAAGCATTTGCCTGAAGACATAAATGCAGAATCCATGAATGGGGGAGAAATTCCACTAGCACTGAGTTTACATCCTCCAAGAGACCACTGGAAGCTGACAGACTTTGTATTATTGTCTTTATTTACAAAAATGCAAGCTGACAATAACTGGAGACACAAGGCAGGCAACTGCTACTAGAGAGAAGGCCAGTTACCCCACTCAGATCCCCATAGAGTTCCTGCACTCTCAGTGTGGGCTATCAACCAACTTATAGCTCTCTGCCATCTCTAAAAGTGCTCCCTCATCCACTTAACACATCTGTCACCTATCCAAGGCTTGACAGAGTATCTCATTCAAAACCAGAGACAATCTAAACAATCAAGGGACCATCTCCTGACTCTAACCATGATCCCCCATGAAGCTTGAACCCTGGACTGTGAATCAATAATTGCTTAACGACATCATGTTTGGGATAAATAAAACCTGTGTGTGTGTGTGTGTGAATGATTAAGTATGTACAGTGGTACCTTGGGTTAAGAACTTAATTCGTTCTGAAGGTCCATTCTTAACCTGAAACTGTTCTTAATCTGAGGTACCACTTTAGCTAATGGGGCCTCCTGCTGCCACCGCACGATTTCTGTTCTCATCCTGAAGCAAAGTTCTTAACCCAAGGTATTACTTCCGGTTTAGCGGAGTCTGTAACCTGAAGCATCTGTAACCCGAGGTACCACTGTATATGTTTGTGGCTGGCATCTGTCTTGGGAGGCAATGGAGGAGTGTGCTTTCGAGAGTGAAGTCAAACTACTGGAGAGTTACAGAGCCTGCTGTGGCTGTACAGACCAATACACTAAATGGGACAGCAATGTTTTGCTGCAGCTGGGGCAGATATAAGCATTTGGTTATGCTGCTGTAGATGCACCATGGCGTTTCTTCTCTCTGTATGTCTGCCTTCCTCCTCTGATTGCTGCTGTAGACACACACCTTGTCTGTCTTGTCTCCAGGGACTGCAGTCATCTGCAAGGGTTGATGTTGCCAGCCTTTCTCATGTCTCACTTGCAGACATCTTTGTAATGAAGAGCTGGTCTGGTGCCTGAAGCCAGCTCACTGCAGAGCGCTGTCCTTGGAGATCCTGCCATCTTCTATTCTGTGGACACGACCAAGCCAGCGTCGTTGAGACAGTAGTGCGAACATGCTAGGAATGTCTTCGTTTGAGATATGTCCCGCCATGTCATGCCCAAAATCTTCCTGATTTGCATACAGATATATAGATATAGATAGGGATGCTAGTGGCGCTGTGGGTTAAACCACAGAGCCTAGGACTTGCCGATCAGAAGGTCGGCGGTTCGAATCCCCATGACGGTGTGAGCTCCCGTTGTTCGGTCCCTGCTCCTGCCAACCTAGCAGTTCCAAAGCACGTCAAAGTGCAAGTAGATAAATAGGTACCGCTCTGGCGGGAAGGTAATCGGCGTTTCCGTGCGCTGCTCTGGTTCTCCAGAACCGGCTTAGTCATGCTGGCCACATGACCTGGAAGCTGAACGCCGGCTCCCTCGGCCAATAAAGCGAGATGAGCGCCGCAACACCAGAGTTGGCCACAACTGGACCTAATGGTGACGGGTCCCTTTACCTTTATAAATATAGATACTCTCAGAGGTTTTATTTATCCAGAACATGATACTGTTAGGCAATTATTGGTTCACAGCCCAGGATTGAAGATATCCTTCTCCTCCCTCCCTCCCCCTCTATATATATGAGAGAAATGCTTTCGGTGAGGGTTTGCAACGGCGGACATGGGAGCCCTTTAAGCTCGGCGCGCGAGGGGGCAGAGCGAGAGAGTGCGCACGCGCGCAGCAAGGGCGGTTGGTCAGCCGAAGGCCGCTGCGGCGCGCGGAACAGCCCGTGCGAGACCGTCCCAGCCACTCACAGGGGCCGAATCAACAGCTGGTCGCTCTCCTCGGCGGGAATGAACGCCTCGGTCCTTCTCCTCGTCGTCATCTCCGCGAGGAAGAGGCACGGCGCGCCCTCTTGGCTTGGCCCTCGCCGGCACCTGTACTTCGTCCACAGCCTCGCTCGCGCAGCCGGAAAGTGAGCGTTCCCTCTCCATCACTTCCGCACCATAGAGTCTCTGCGCTAAAAAAGTCCTTCGAAAAGTCCTAGAGCGGAAGAGGCAGACGGAGCGTAAGTTCTCCGACGCGACGGTTGCTACCCGGAAGCAGAACGGGGAGGGGCTTCCTTGTGCTCAGTATTTTATTGTGGTGGGAATGAAAGGTAGGGGTCATTTTTGGGTCAGGTAGGGGGTGATGCTCCTGGTGCCCTTTCAGTTCTGCTAAGAGCAGGATAACTGGGTCAGTCAGTCTCTGGCAGCAAAGCCAACAAAGTGTCTTGTGGCTCCTGAAAAGGCTGACCGACTTATTTAGGCAATATAAAGTTTCATGGAATGGAATCCACGTTACCGGATCTACGAAGTACAGTAGTACCTCGGGTTACAGACGCTTCAGGTTACAGACTCCGCTAACCCAGAAATAGTACCTCGGGTTAAGAACTTTGCTTCAGGATGAGAACAGAAATCACGCAGCAGTGGCACGGCAGCAGGAGGCCCCATTAACTAAAGTGGTACCTCAGATTAAGAACAGTTTCAGGTTAAGAACGGTTAAGTTCTTCACCCGAGGTACCACTGTATATTCGAAGGTGGCGAGTGAAAGAGGATTGTAAGGAGCGAGGTCGGAGAGAAACGAAATGCAGAAAACTCCAGGCAGTGGAAATGATGTTAACAGTGATCAAGCTGTTGGTTTTTGTTTTCTTTCCTTTTGGCAGGATTTGCGGCGACTGCAGCAGTGGCAGCTTTTTTTGCTGTGGTAATGTAGTGAGACGGAGAATCTTCATTTGCTGTATTTCTGCCTGCGATGTCCGCTGTTGACGGCATAAAGAAAAAGAGAAGGGGGAAAGGGGAGGCACCCCTCTTCTGAAATCATGTGGAGAAAATGTCAGTTCTAAAACGAGCCAGGCTCATTCCTTCCACGCTGCAGGTAACGTCAAGACAAGTACAGATAGCACTGTAGTTTTTCAGAACACCTTCCTCCATTAATTGTACTTTTAGTGGAGAAATGGGTTTCAACAAAAAATCTGTGTAAACCTGCATGTTAAATATTACGTGTTTGGAATATTTACAAACTGTTAAACCATAGAAAATGTCATGGTGATGTACAATAGCAATAAAATGACGACAAATAAAATAGATAAAGAGATATCACGTATTGCTTGTGTCTCAGCTTGTCCTTCTAGGAAAGTCTGTAGAAATTTGTTAGCATCCAATGAAATGTACACAATTTTAAAGGAAAGCATGGTTCTACAAGCATTCATACTGTTGACGGAGTAGTGACAGTAAGCATCTGCTTTTAGAATATTTTGAAGAACCTTTGTTTGAGTTTCGAGATATTTATATTCATTACTAATAAGCAGAGATCACAACCATGAAACATATATTTTGTTTTTCAGTTTTAAACTTGGCACTGTGGAAACCACAGCTTGACAGTCATTTAATGGCAGTTGCTTGACTCTGCCTTTTAACTGGCAGATTTGAACCTCCATAACAAATGTAAATATATATCTATGAGGTGTTTATGTGTATGTAGAATTGGAGTTATATTGGGGTGGCAAACAGGACTCTCTTTTCATTCTTTACAGTATTCTCACTGATTCTATGTCAATTTAAAAATGTTCAGAAAAGGAAAAAAGCGGCATAGTAGCAGCAGTTCACAAAGCAGTGAAATTAGTACCAAAAGTAAGGTAAGCAAATTTGGGTATGCCTCCTTGAAAATTGACAAATTTTAAAATATATTCATATCAGTCAGTTATCCCTTGTATGACATTGTGGAAGTTTGGCATCTGCTAAATGGTGCATTCAGATGTACATCCTGAAGATATTTAGAGTTAGGGATGAATCTACATTTACAAAAATGTTCATATCCTTTTTGTTATACTTGCTATTTCTTCATGCAGACTTGGCATTCAAATTGAGAATAATTGATGTTACTAAAGTCAACCAGCTACATTAAAAATTGTACATATTTTGTACCGTCATGACAAAGAAAAATAACTCCTACAGTTATCTTAAGTCCTATAAGCATAGATGCTGCCACTGAAAGTGAATTGTAAATGATGAAATACTGCATAGCTTGTGGAATAGAGAGAAAGAAGGAATTTAAAGTGTTCTTATTGTTGAAGGATGTTGTACTGCAATGTGATGTGTTATTCCGTAGCTGCATTTGGATGTAACAAACTATGGTTTATTGTTATAGGAATAAGCCTTCATTAATCATGCTTCTGGTTTAATTCATGCCTTTAATTCATGAGTTTATAAGAAAGCACACTTTTAAATATTATTTGACCTGCATAACTTCATAATGCTTTCATATGTATTCTTCCTTATCTAGTCAGTGGATTCCAGTCTTGGTGGGCTTTCACGATCTAGTACTGTGGCTAGTCTAGATACAGACTCCACAAAAAGTTCAGGTAGGAAATGGATGATGGCCTAAAGACATTCTGTTATTTGTCAGAATGCATAGATGAGTTTCATAACTAATTGAAGCTGTATCTAGAAATGTGAACATGCTGACACAGAACTTTACTAATTTTTTAAAGCAGAAAACAACACTGAGTCTGCTGTTACTTACAAATTATTACATCATCTGTGCATATACAAATAAAATTATGTAATATACACCTTTGCAGTATATGCATCACATTTTTATATTATGATGTCAATCTGTGTGATTTGTTGTCTTTTTGTATAGATCGGCTGCCTTTACTAATTTGTATAATTTCCTCTGTATCTGGTATTTCTATGGACAGGCAAAAAGCTAGACAGGACTTCAGAATCCTGTTTTGTTCATGATGGAAACTTTGCTGGGCAGCTCCTCTGCCTTTTGAAATTTCACTAGAAAGTGTCCCTATTTTCAAGCTTACATTTGGTGTAATGTTGTGGTCGTGCCATGTTCTGAGGTTTCCTTATGCTTCCATGTATCCAAAGCAACACACTTGGTTTTATGCTCTGTATTTGCAGAAACCTCTGGTACCCCAATATAAGAAATTTAAGTCATCCCCCGATTCAGTTCTGCTTTCTTGCAAGATAAATATTTTAATGTGGTTGGAATAAGCCCGGGGAAAACAATAAATCACTTTTAGGTGACACTTTTATTTATTTCTTTTTTTTTTTAAGAAAAGGGACACAATTCAACATTTTGTCCTCACGTTCTGTTCCCATCCTCCCCCCATATGCTCCCCAAATCTGTCCTGGGGCTTTCTCCAAACCTGTGGAACAGATTTTGGGACAGTGCAAGGGGGGAGGTATGGAGACCACCGTTGCACAACAGAAGTAATTCCAGTTACAGTTATTTAGATAAATACTACACTGAGTCATTTTAAATGGTTGAATGCCCAATAAGTTTGCCAATTGATAAAATGATGGAGTAATGGTTTAAATGTCTGCTTCTTTATAGGCCAGAGCAATAGCAACTCAGATACTTGTGCAGAATTTAGAGTAAAATATGTCGGTGCCATTGAAAAACTGAAGCTTGATGAAAGCAAGACTTTGGAGGGACCATTGGACTTGATAAATTACATAGATGTGGCACAGGTAAAGACTGACTTTGGCTATATGTCCCATGGGTCTTTTTATGGGGAAACTGTGGCCCTGGGAAACTATCTTAGTCTAAGCCATCTTTAAGAATTGGTTTCCAGTTCTGCTGAGTTCCAGATGACTGTTCCTCACTGGTATTGAAAGCGGGGCTGGGAGTCTGGGAAATTGGCTGTTTTTGATAACCTTTTTCTTGGTACATTGTAATGTCTAAACATTTGCTGTGGCTGATGGTCTCAAGATAGAATAGCTGAGCAAGGGTGTTAAAAAAAGGATCATGCTCCAGGAAACTTTGGCTTGTTTTTGAATCACTAGAAAGCATTTATTTCTGTTCTGCTTCAGAAACTTAGCGTGTGTGCAGTACCTTGGCTTCTGCGGTGTAAAATGAAGTAGCAAAGTACCGTATCTATTATTGTCAATAAACTTTCACAGAGCTATTGTCACTCTTTTGACTTATTTTGAAGGCTGTTGCTGCTTATTTATTTACATGAGAACATACAAGTTGTATCAGACTTGTTTTGTCATCAAACTGTCTCTGCCTACAATAATTCCTTTTTGGTTTTTTTTCCAAAGCAAGATGGAAAGCTACCCTTTGTTCCAGGGGAAGAAGAATTCGTTATGGGAGTTTCCAAGTATGGTATTAAAGTCACAACTTTGGACCAGTATGTAAGTTGCTCCTGGTTTTAAATATGCCTTATTCAATTTATCCAGTAATACCATCTCAGAATATTTCTGACGATAATTGTGATATGATTTTTTTTCTCCTGAAGATACCAAAATGGACTTTGATTATACAAAGAATTCCAAGTTCTAAGTTTGGTGTATTGAAATTTATATCCAACTATTACAGTTCTGTTTCTTTGCAGTAATAACCTTTTTCCTGTTAGACACACATTACCATCTTTTTGTAGACATTCTTGACTATAGTCTTTATTACCTTTTGCACAGTTCACTTAATAACAGATTTCTGTATTCACTCCAGATTTTTTTAAAGTCAATCAGTTCAAAAGCAGATGGTTTCTGGCTGATGTAGACAATTTTGCTACCTACAGAATAGCTTTGTATGTGATAGGAGGTAGAGAAAGTTATGGGTGACTGCCAAGGGAATTTCTAGATTTGGGAAACTTCATAATTTTAAGTTTTGGCAATTTGCAGTTCTGAAAATTGATGTTTTAATTTACTCTTAGGTTGTCTTTTTTGTTTTTGTGATTTATATTGTAATGCCCATTGGCTGCAAGCAATGAAACTGACAAATTAACACATGGCATTTTCAGGATGTTTTGCATAGACATGCACTCTACCTAATTGTTCGGATGGTCTGCTATGATGATGGCCTTGGGGCAGGGAAGAGTTTACTGGCTTTAAAGACAACTGATACAAACTATGAAGAGTACAACCTTTGGATATACCAGTGTAATAGTATGGTAAGGTTCATGCTTAATATTACTTTAAAAAACACTTGCTGGATAATTCTAGGTTGACAATAAGTCATAAAATATGCAAAGTGCTATCATATGCTTGTGCCTTATGTCTAGCTACATGTACTGGACCAAAACATGACAAAATAGGTTTGTACCATTGCGGCCTATATAAGGAAATGTTGTGTAGTCATCTTGTGGCACAGGCAGATTTCATGGCTTGGTCTGCCCTCCCATATTTTGCTGCCTGTTTCCCAGATTGCTAGAATAGAGACAGAATTAAGATAGGAGCAATTACATGCATATACTAGAGTAATACTACCTCCTACTTAAGACATGATTTGTGGCACCGCTATATGTGCAAGTGTCAGAGCGACTCTAAATTTCATGTGCATTTGTTCCTGCCACAGCCCTTATCTTCTGTAGCAGCAGCAGTGCAAGTAGCAAAAGAGCAGGAGCCCATGTGAAAATAAGATAGTGGCAGTTTTGTAATTTCAAATTAATTGCATATGCTTCCTTGGTACATTTATTTTCTCCCTGTCAATCACTCTACCTTACAGATTTGTGGGATAAAGTACCCCCTTAATTAAATCTGTAGCTTTATTAATTAAAGGTGGGCGGCATCACCAGTTCACAGGGCTTCAAGTGGAAATTTGAATCACTAGGAGAGCATAACACTAACCTTTATTCTCATAGCTTTGTCGCTGCCATATATTTGAACTTTAAATGCACCAGCCTGGCTTTCCAAGTGCCATATGTATGCTAGCAAATACTGCACTAATATCACTTGGTGATAGGCTTTGAGTTTAAATGCCCTGGAGCCCTATACTGGCAACTACTTGGTAAACGAGGGAAACCCAGTATACACGCAGGAGCTGTCCATCTGTTAACAAATAGCCTATCTGGAATATCAAACTCTGATGATACATTTCTGCTGGCAATTTCTAAAATAGCAACTCTTGTTTGCAAGTCACATTTCTGGACCGACCCCACTGCTCTACATAGAATGCTTTAGATCAGGGATAGGCAACATGGTGCCCTCCAGATGTTGTGGACTGGAACTCTAATTACCTCCGCCACTGGTCATGCTGGCTGGGGCTATTGGGAGTTGCAGTTCCAAGTACCTGGATGGCACCACATTGGCAGCCTAGCTAAAGATAGGAAATGTCATCAAAGCAAAGCATGCTATAAGGGAAATGCTGAAACTTTGAGATGGGCTTGAGGCTGAATGCTTCTTCATGTTCATGAAAACAAGTATGAGCAACTCTTTCTGTTTATAAAATGCAGGAACAAGCACAAGCTATTTGTAAGGTGCTGTCAACAGCCTTTGACTCTGTTTTAACATCCGAGAAGTCCTGAATTTCTACAGCTGCACTTCATGCTGAGAGGAAGGATTGCTTGCTGTGACTGCAGCAATTGGAGAAGAATGAAAACAAGTATTTTGGAGTAGATGTGAACTTTTTTGTTAACTGCTTGAACATACTGTTCAAAGGAATGAAGTTGTTGGGGTTTTTTGGTAAAATACCATTTGTTTGTTTCCCAAACTGTCACTCAGAGCTCAACTGCCCGTGCGTGAGTTTCTGTGCTAAATATCAAATCTTGTGTTTAAAAGATTTATACCATTTTTGTAAATGAATAAAAAAAATCAATAGAAGACGTGTCTTTCAAAATATGGCCTAATCTGACTACCCACAGACGCCATTGCTTTTAGCAGTGGCAGCAAAAAAGGAAAAGAAAGAAAGAAAGAAAGAAAGAAAGAAAGGGGTCGTCAGATACAGTAGGTATCCCTTTCTGCTGGTGGAGGGGGAGGCCTGTGCCTTGCCGCAGGTATGGAAACTTACTGCTACCCTGCTGGTAGTAATGACAAAAAGGGATTTAAAAGGAGGTGTATCAAGGGAGTCTTTGAATCAGCTGGATCCAAAGCCCTCTCTTTCCCATGTCTCCAGCACAGGGAGGAAAGTATACTGGCCCTAGAGCCTAGCATATCTGTTTGCCTTTCAGTAGAATGGCTGTGCCCTCCCACTAAAGAAGAAAAAACCCCAGAAAAATGTCATCTTCCATTTTCCATCAAGGATGATGAGCACAGCAGGCTTTGGGTTGGGCAGTTTCTATACTTTCCATTCTCCTGCTCCCCATACAATTGAACTGTAAATCATTTAAAGTCCAAAATAAGAGAGAACTCACATTTAAGGCAGGAGTTTGTCAGCAGCCTTCCGATTTGTCTTTAATATATCAAGGTTGAATAGCGGTAATCACTCAGTTTATTCTAGTGTGGCTCATCTATAAGTGCTCTCACATTCAATTAATAAAAAAAGTCAAGGTGAGGCTTCAAAGCTGTTTATTTTTCCAGTCAAGTGACTGGCTTAACGTAAGTGAAATTAATCATGCTCCAATTATAAATCACTGCATCCAGACACTAAAAATAAGAATTGATTTAGGTTATACAATATATACAGTTGCTCTGCAACTAAACAATCAAAACCATCACGTTGAAAATTATACATCTCAAGTAGCATTCTGAACTGCGTTTTAGGTATCTTATACTCCTTTTTTAAACATTTAAACAAAAATAATCTTACATGCTCACTAACAGTTTGTTGAACACCATCATCCCCTGTTGTCAGCTGTGAAAGAAGACCTGAACATTTTAGCATCTGTCATTCCTAAAAATCCAAAATGTCTCCTATTTAATTGGGTGAAATAGTGCCACGGAAACAAAAAAGAACTCTTGAAACAGTCTTACGTTACAAGCCTAGTGTCTGCACACTGCAGTGTGAAAAAATACTCTTACTCAAAATCTTTTAGTGGCCACTATTTAAGATTTTTCCAAAACAGCTGAAAGCTCACACACTATGGCTGGGCTCTAAACATCTAAGGCCTTGGGAATATTCAAGTCAGAGTTGAAAATCCCCTGGGTTTCACAAGATGTTTGCCAGAAGTCGCAACTTTCATCCGGGTGCACACAGCTATTTGCGCATTTCCTTGGATTCCGGCCAGTGTGAAATTTTAAGGGCCACATAAGCTTCCAAAGCATATGGTATTAACTAAAATTCTGTGTCAAAAAATACTGTACATAAGTGAATTGTGCAAAATAATGTGCCAATTTATTTGCTAGTTTACTAGGAATACAAACATAACCAATAGTGTCAGTAGCCAGACTGAATTCATCAGCAGCCAGATAAACTTGTAGTGGCAAAGTATTTTGTTTCCTAATATACATATATATTTAGTGGGAACTTTGAATATGCAGACTTAGCTTTAAAACTTGCAATAAAAGCATCTCAAAGCATTCCAGTTTGTCCCCATATACAATGCAACAGCTTGTACGAAAGTGAGTTTTAATATAAGCTCACTGGTTTGCATCCGCAGATCTGACAAGTTGCTTCAAATGTACCACTTTAGCAAGGCAGTTTGAGATACAGCATCCCATCCCAAATATAAATATACCAATTGGCTTGTCCCCCCCCCATCTGTTTCAACCTATGCTAGCCAATATGTACATAATTTCTGTGTCAGAAATTCAAAGTTCTCTTGATAAATCTAGAGATACAATAGTCACAAAACTTGTGATGAAAGCCAATGTGACCTGGACGTTGATATTCTAATCCTATGCTACCAGTGCACAGTTTTGGTAGCATATGCAAAGTAAAAACCGTTAACAATTATCACAATATACAAACATTAAAAGGACATTTTTGTAATATTCTGCAATAGTCTACCAATTTGGAATTATGAAATCTATTCACAATTATTAACAGTGTTAACTACCATGTTCAGGAACAGAAGTACACAGTGTGCATCTGCAAAGAAATAAGGAATTGCTTGCAAGACAGAAGTGTGTACCTTAATACAGAGGGTGTTTGGATGAATACCCTACTACATTGTCCTACGACAATAATCTTAGGTGTGAACATAGCCACCGTGGTTGTTTTTTTAAAAATAAAAATAATTCTAGACAACACATTTTTTTGTGTGTTCGAAGAAAAGAACTGCAACAAAAATTTCAGCAAATGTGTAATCCACATTTATTTACCAATAATATTGTCTTGGGTTTTGTTACCTCAATGATGACTTTAGAATAAAATATACATTAAATGTATATTTTGTATAGAAAAGTATGACCTCGTATTCCTCATATTTACAAATTTGAGGTAAACAGGTTCAGGGTTTAAAGTAAATATCTACATCCAATTATTAAAATATCTCTTTAATGGGCCTTTCTAGACAAACTTTTTCATATGATCTAAGTATGGAAATACTTGTTCCTTTTGGGTAAGTGCGAGCATGTTGCATTTCTCCACATTCGAACAGCTTGAAAAACAACATTTCCTTCTAGAGTTTATGCTCACAGATCACAGGAGGCAGCCCTGTTACCCTTTCCCTTGAAGCCAATTCACCAGCATGGGAAGATGGCAGAAACTGGATATATGACAGGTTCTGTTTCTGCTTGTGTTATTTCATGATAGTTCCCTGGAAAGAAGGGAACGCCACCGTCCCCTTGGGCTCAGGGGCTTTCCCCAGCTGGCCTAACAAGTCAGGGGAAAGAGACTTTACAATAACTTTTCCCTTGAGGGGATAAACAGAGCTGTAGCATGTACTTCTGATTGGAACCGCGTCCTCTTATTGAGTCTTCCTTATCATAGATATAGGAGAAGTAGGCAGGGGACACACAAGCATACTCTTCTTTCCTGGCTGCATAAATTGATGATTCTTTCCCATCCCTTCATCTATGGGACAGGATATTAGATCCTATTAGCACCTACATTAGGTCTTTGGGCCCCACTAGTGCTCTCACAGGAAAATGCACTGGGGTTTATTGAGAAATATTTTCTAGGGTTTGGTTGTTAGATCTGAATCGCTTTAATCATTGCTCGGGCAACAGATTTTGGTCCCTGGTTGGACTCCAGCTTTGCAAAACCTTTTAAAGCATTCTGCTCAGCTAAGGGTGGTTGGCAGGTATATCATTATCACTCATATGGAGTGCCTACAGCAAATCCCAATGCAATCAAAATGAATGAGGCTTCAGTAGGAGAATTATTGTGCTGGAAGAAAGAGCCTAGTCCTTTGTGGATGATGCTTATGTCTTGCCTGAAAACATAAGCCACCAAGCACCAGAGACAAGCAATCTGAAAAACTCTGTGTTCTGCCCTTTGTTATTACTTAGTGCTCTTTTAGGAGTTCTTTGTACTTTTGCAATGTAGTCAAGGACTCCACCCTCAAGTCCGCCAACCTCTTCAACTTAGCCAATCAATGGATGTGGACAAGGAATCAGTGATGGGTAGATTTTCTAGCCTCATGTTTTTGTAGTGTACTAAGTAAAGTGGAAGTAACTGCCACTCTTAAAACTGAGTTTTCACTGCAGCTACATTGTCCTGAGACAGCTCTCAAAGACACTGAGTGCAAACAAAGATCAGATATGCATTAGAGGCACCTGAAATTGGCACTGAAATGTAATATATTAGTGCAGTCAGGCCATTAATCTCTCTGCTAGTCTGCCCACTTTTAAAATTCTGAACCCTGTGGTGCGCATCAGAAATTCCCTTATTTGCTGAAGAGAGAAATTCTGGTGCATAGGTTAGTGAGAAAGTCTAAAAGGGAGATTTGAAATCAGTTTCACATATTTTTTTGGCGTTAATGGTTTTTTTATGGTCTTCCAGAATTCACAATAAAAATAGTTCAAGTGGATCTGCCTACTACAAAGTAAATCTTCCTTGGACGATTCAAAAACCTTAAGTTGCCGCAACAAAGAGTCCACAGTGGTGTAACATTCATGAAGTATCCTGGTGAAGCATCTAATTCCGGGCAGAGAGCTCCAGTGATACCTGGAAATGCAGTCTCTCCGCCTGCAACGAGCAGTTTAATCAACAATAAAGTGCACAAATGATACAGGGAAAGCTCCTTTGTGGTTGGGATCTCCATCAATGTGCCCAATCTGGAAAAGACAGAACATTTTTAAGAATTAAAAGGGTGAAGCTTGTCTCTATCCAATTAGGGGTCACTGAAAGTTGCCCTCCACTGTACTAGTTGCAACCATGTGCAATTGTCCCTCCAAACAAACAAGTCTTTAGTAATAAAGGAAAAAAGCTATACAGTCAAACGCCTTGGGAGTCAAACCTTTCGGCTCCCAAACGATCAAAAACCGGAAGTTAGTGTTCCAGTTTTTGAACGTTCTTTCGGAAGCCTAACGTCCGATGGGGCTTCTGATTGGGTGCAGGAGTTTCCGGCAGCCAATCAGAAGCCGCGCTTTGGAAGTCAAATGTTTCGGAAGTCAAATGGACTTCCGGAATGGATTCTGTTCGACTTCCAAGGTACAACTGTAGTTTCTTTACTATTAAACAATAAAAACCAGGCAATGCTGCTTTTATGTGCAAACTAGTTATTCAGAGGATAGGCTGAAACAAAATAAAGAATAGACGGTAAGAACACATGCAATCTTTCATTTAAAAACAAAGGTTTATTATTATTATTTCCTTCCAATTTTCACCAAAAGCATGCAAATTCAAAGTTCCAGTGGAATGATATTTCTTAAGAACTACTGGTCCTGACTGTAATAAACAGATTGATTGATTCCTTAAGAGGCCCAAGTGGTATATGACACAGGACAATAATAAGGGGAAGACATATATATTTATTCTCTGTTTTGAAGTTCGCTTACTTTCAAAAAAAATTGACACAGGGAGCAAGGAGCTCCTATTTGAGAAGAAACAAACCTTTAAAATGCAAAACTAGTTGTGTGATTCTTTGGATCCTGGCTTAAGAGGAAGGGACTGTATACATTATAGATAACAAACTGGGTTTTCTGAAACAACGGTGTTTTGCAATATTATTTTTTAACCATATGTGTTTCTGCAGAAAGGATGAGTTTCAAAAATCTGTATGGTTCAAATTCAACAGAAATAACGCTGCTCCTCAATATTGCGTTCAGTGGATACCTCTGAAAATAACTGAATAGTACTTCAGTCAGGGATTCAGTTCTGCTGGTTGTTAAGAGATCAGTTCCCACCAACATACATAGTACGTATGTAATTACGTACGTGTGTGTGTGTGTGTACACACACGACATACACACTACAGCCCTTGGCATGATTTAACTAATAAATACTTACCCACCACTCCTGATCTTCCTCACCATCAACTATGATGATATCGCCCTCTGAAAATGTAAGCTCATCTGGATTATCAGCTACGCAGTTATAAATGGCTTTTACTCTCTTGGGCTTTGTTTTTGACTGCAATACAGAGAAGAGCAACGTGTTGGAAACATAAACCAGGTAAAACAGAAAATACCATTAGCTGCAGTGAGAGGACAGCAGTTCACCACTTTTCGTCTACAAGAAGCTCAGGTAGCAGAAAATAGGAAGTCAGATAATTGATCCATTTAGCTTAGTACACTGACAGACAGCAGTTCTCCAGGGTTTCAGACTGAGGTGTCTCCTGGCCCTACCTGGAGATTGTACCTATCACCTGCTGCATGCAAAGCATGTCTGAACAACAACCTGCCCCCTACAAAAATTTCCGTACAAATATGCACACATGTTTAAAATCATCCCAATATACATGTCTGATCTAAAATACTTATCATGCTTTGCTATTCACAAATTACAAAGGGGCTCCCTTGTGCACCACCACTTAATTAATACATGCAGCAAAATAACCTACGAAGCTGCACTCGGTGCTTTTGACTTTCAGAACAATTAATTTGGAGGTCCCGCTTTGGGTTTTAATACACATTAAGAGCATCCAGCAAGGGCATGCTATCGCAAACAGGCATTTCATTACATGTACAAACAGCTCCCTGAACATCGGTGCACAGCGGAGCAGACATGTAGGACCTTTCCAACAAGGCAGAGTGCGCTCTCAATTCATTCGGTGCTCGAACTTTTCAAAGCAGTGACAAAATGTTGAGGCCTAGACTCGTTATATTAACCCCTGAGATGCCAGTTTGGGAAATAAGAATGACACCAGGAAGCTAGCACGAGGCATCTGGGAGAACATCCACCTTCTAGAATATTCTTTAATGGCGCCATTCAATCTTCTTGAAATAATGCAACCCCCATGGAATAATAACCAGAAATTCATGGAATTTTCAGCCCGCAGTATTTGTTTTATTACCTACCATATTTATGTCCAGTTAAATTTTCTGGTCAGCTTACAATGGCAATAAAAAATTAACTCACATTAATTTTGTGATCTGGCAAATGCCTCTGTCAGCAGGAGGAGGAGGGAGGTGATTTTTGCAGATTCCCCTGGAGCCAATTTTTTAAGGGGCAGTGGATCCTGCAGGGGACAGCAGGAATTCGAAAAAAAAAAAAAACCTCCTGCCTCTCCTTTTATTCCACTGGTTACTGTATCAAAAGCTCTCCTGTGAGAACAAGGCAGCCTTCCCTAACCTGGTACCTTCCAGAAGTTTTGGACTCCAAATCATCATCATCCCTTAGTATTGACCACACTTTTAGCCAGGGCTAATGGAAGTTGCAGTCCAAAATATCTGGAGGGCAACTGTTTGAAGACGGCTGGTACCAAGAGCACCAGCTGGATTCTGCCTTCTAACTTGTGGCTTGTTTCCATGGTAACTTTGGAAACCTTAGCAAAAAGTGGAATGGGTTACTTAGGCTGCAATCTTATACACACACTTGTTATTCTGAAGTCAATGGCGCTTAAGTATGAGTAGACATGCACAGGATCGTACTGCTCGTAGGTTATTTAGCGGACTTGGTTTAAAGCTGAATTCATCTAGCTAATGTCCTTTAGCTGAGGCCTGTACTAAAGCTTCAGCTAAGATGATTTACCAAGATCTTTTTAGCTAAAGCTCTTTAGCTCATTCTATATTCTCTCCCCCACCCCCCACCCCATTCTCTCTTTCACACATACGCAAACAAATATTATGGATTGACCTTTGTAGTTAGGAATCAAATGAAACTAGGTTCCCTGAAAGGGCCCAGTGTACAAGGGACCCCTAAGTGAACAGTATCTGCAGCTCACCCAACAAAAGTTGTTGGTTGTTTACAGCTACGCCACACTAACTAGTTGTCAGGGAACTGACATCGGAGCCAGAGGCGGAGGCTAGGCTCTCAAGCGATGCTGGAGAAGGGCCCAGCAGGGGGAGAGGCGGCTCACCGGCTGGGGAAGGAAATCAGTGTAACACCAGGGATAAAGGGGGGCAGATGGGGGAATCGGCGAGGGGGCTCCAGGACTCCTCGCCCGAGATCAGCGAGGAGAGCACGGGTCCTCCGCTACCCACGCCCTCCCTGCGCAGAAGACTTCTGCGCAGGGAGAGTAGGAGGAGACTTGGAGTCAAACAACTTTTATGCTGGAAAAGATTTAAGAAACGCCCACTGACGGATTCTGCTAGCGACTGAACAGCCACGAAGTGTAGGGCTGTCCAGACAGAAAAGGTTTAACAAGGCAACCTAGCCAGGAGTGGCACCAACTTGCGCACGAGCAACCCCTACGTTTATGACACTAGTTTCTAAGAAGTTTCTAAGAAGGACTATAAAAGGACCCATGTAATCTGAAGAAGTTGCTCACCCCTTTTGGAACCGTCAGATTCCACACAGTGCCTTTATTCCCAACGTGAAGAGCTGCCAAACACAAAAGAGATTGACCTAGATTCTTGACGACTTACTATTTGAGACTTCCTTGGCATTGGAGCTGGAGGTTGAATGTTTGCAGAAGGGACAACTTGGGATCCAGAAATCTCAGATGCAGATGAAGATGAAGATTCTCCTGTTATTAAAAATAAAGCAAATATTTTCAGTTAAAAGTGGCTCTTAGAAAGCTCTGTTTTTAGATAACATACTGTGCTACTTCTCTCTAGTGTACCAAGCCATTGTTTGTGGTTTCCCAAAAACGATCACTTTTTGCACTAAGTCCCATCAGCTGTAGGTCAGTTGTGTCAGAACCAAGGGTACAATCTACACATACAGAAGTTGCCAGGTTCAATCCCAGGTATCTCCAGGTAAAGGACTGGCAATGTCCCCTGTCTGATATCCTGGACAGCTGCTGCCAATCAGTGTAGACAGTACTGACCTAGATGGACCAATGGTCTGACTCGGTATTAAACAAGGAGAAGGGGACGACAGAGGACGAGATGGTTGGACAGTGTTCTCAAAGCTACCAACATGAGTTTGACCATGCGGGAGGCAGTGGAAGTCAGGAGTGCCTGGCGTGCTCTGGTCCATGGGGTCATGAAGAGTCAGACACGACTAAACAACAACATGTTCCCAAATAAATTTTTAAAAATAAAATACAGCAAAGTCATTGTGGTTAGGTTTTACTACCTCCCAAATAAACCTGTCAACAGTGCCAACAGTTGCTACTAAAGCAGGTAAATTAAAATCAGGATTTAATAATAATAATAATAATTACCAGAAGATTGCTGCAGAGATCCAGGTCCTTTACTCTTGGCCGACCTGTCAGGCCTGTTCAGGAGAAAACCAAACATGACTGCTCGTCATCACGTCTGCAATTTGCTGTGTCTAATTTACTTTTTGAAACAATAATCAGAATGGGATTCAGTTAATGAGTCCCGTGCAAGGACTTCTACTTGTGCAACAGGGCTTGCACACACATACACACCCTGCACACACACACCCCGCAAATGAATTGTTAAGAAGATCAGAAGAATGCCCAGAAGAGTGCAGAGGGGGCAGGGAGGAGAGGGACAATTATTCTATCTGGCAAACTGAAATTCTTGCCCCGACAGCAAGATCACCAATTGCTATGTTACTTCAGGTTATCAAAGTAACACTCTTAAATGGCATTTGCTGTTGGTAAGTAATTATCTGTTGTCCCCCCCCCCCTTGCTGCTGTCCGTATGGAACCTGCCCAACACCTGAACAGAACAAAACACAAGGTGAAATCTTCAATAAGGATTAAATAACTTCAATTCTCTATTAAATAGGGAAGTGCAAATGACATTTCTGCACAAGTGCAACAAAGCATGGACTGCCATAATCAGGCAACAAGGTGAGCACACTATCTTTCAGCAACCTGCAGATCTTTTAGGAAGAAAAGGTGACACATTACCCAGAAGCAGGCTTTTTCTGAGAAATTCTACTTGGAGGCTGGGGAGGAAGTGGCGGCGGCGTAGGCTTGGACTGTGGCACCACTGGCTGTTTTGACTGCTGGCTCAAAGCTTCAAGAACACTGGCTGTCTTTGCAACGGGAGGTGGTGCTGAAGAGAGTATATCTATATATATAAAAATGCATGTACAATAATACGATGATGGTGAACGCTGGAATGTTTGATACGATTCCTACAAACAATACTATTGCTACCTAACTTTGTAATTTCTAAAATGTAAGCCAGTCCTTCAAAAACTAAGGCTCAAGACACAAGGAAGCTGCAATCCTATACACGTTTCTGGGAGTAAGCCCCACACTGAACAGGACTTATTTCTGCCTGGACACATGCTATATTGCATTGTGAGAGCCTGGACAAACTGGGTTAGTTTTAACTATGGTTTAATTAAATGAGCAAACTTATGAAGTTGGTTTGATTCATTAAACCACAGTTAAGACCTAACCACAGTTTGTCTGGGCTCAGACTGTCAAACTGTGGTTAGTCAAAAACCGAAGCAAAAGCTTCTACTTTTCTTCTCCCACAAGATGGGAGAGTGCAGAAGTTTGAGACTCACTGGCTTAATGATAAACCAGAGTTTATAATTATGTCTGAACATAAACAATGCAGTGGGAGGCTCTGGCTAACTCATAGATTAAAACTGGAGCCAACAGTAGCCTACCTGCTATGAGGTACTTGTACTGGCAGTGAGGCTAATCTTCATGAGAGGTGGTTTAACATGAGTAGGTAATTTTAAGTCACACTTTTAGTCGTGCATCTGTAATATGCCTTCAGAAGTAACCATTAATAGAGGAACAAGGTGTTGAATGGTTTCTTTAAATGTAAAGGTTCATCATTGTTCCACTCGATGTGTATGTCTTTAAGGGGCCAGAGAAAGGGCCAGAGCAAAATAACGAGACCCAGCTTTACAGCTGTGAAACATAGCAGGTGCTGCTGAGTTGTACTGTTGGCAATTGGGTGTAGTATATAAGGAGCAGCACCTAGCTCTCCCATTACCCTGGGGGATGGGTTGGTGGTTGGGTCTGGTTTGTTGTTGATACATTTAGTGTAAATGGAGTTTTTGTTTTTCTTATTAAAACCTTCTTTAAGTTATTTTTGAGTCCCTTTTTAATGCATGGTCTCCCCAGCAAGCTCTCTGCAGCGCTACCATACTGCAAATAGCCAACACAAGGAACATTAAAACCACAATCTTTTCATCTTTTTAAAGAAACTTCCTAAAAGTTCAGGGAACAACCTGAATTCCTTGCAAAACTAATCTGAAATATCCCTTCCTCAACAGTGTGTCGCAGGAAGTCTTAACAAACAGCATGCTGAAGAAGCCAGATGGAAAAGCAGCAGGCTCAAAACTACATCCACCAGTGAGGAAGAAACATGAGTTGTGGAATGGGAAGTTGAGGCCAACCGTGATTAGATGCAGCAAAAACAAAGGAAGCAGTGGAAAAGGGCAAACATACTTGTAGATGTTACACGCAATGGCGGAACAGGGGGATGGACAGTTGGTGGATCGGATGAAGACCTTTGCCTGCTTATGCTTTCCATTCCTAAAGAATTTGTCTTCCACAGTGTGTTCGATGAAGGAGTTGTCTGAACAGCACTGCCAAGAAATGAAGACTGAACTAAAAAGAAAGGAAAACACTGTGTCATTATCATAATCACTGCTGGCTGAGAAGCGATGAGAAAACAGCACCTTTTTCTTAAGTGGACTGACTGGCTGTGAGCCAGAGGCACACGTACTTCTGCACAAGGACTGGGTCATTTCTAAGGACTTGTTCACACCTGAGTGTTTCATCACTTGGTGACTAGGCTATCACAGGATAAGCACGAGTGAATGAGCTGAAATGGACCAATCATCAGACAGAAGGCTTTTGCATCATCTCAGAACAATACTTTTCAATGGGGCGCACATCAATTGATGCATAAAGCGCCCCCCCCCATTGCAGCTGCTTGGCTCCTGCCATACAAGGCTAAGCCTATTAAGATTTTACTAAAAAAAAATAGTACAATTGGGAAGGAGAAACTAATTAGGTGTGGATGTTGTTGTGGACATCACTTTGCACAAAATAGGAGATGTGGTGCTTCCAAAATTCAGCAGCGGGAGTTGGTAAAATAGGCTGGTGGTAAGAAGCAGGCTTGTCTCCTCTTATCCCAGACAATGGGCTAATAATCTCCTGATGCAGTGGGGCAAAATAAGGCTGTGGTGGCTATTCTACCTGTTAGCTCCCACTTCCTGTCATCTGCCCTTCTCTTTTGCCTGCAGTAGCAAGCGGCTTTCCAGGTATGCCACACAGCAGTTGAGGCAAGGGGCATGTTGGCAGGGGAAGCAAAATGGGCAGAGACGGTCACTGCTATTTCTGTCCAGGAGGTCTTTATCCACAGAAGGTTTAACAACGTGTGTGTGTGTGTGTGTGTGTGTGTGTGTGTGTGTGTGTGGAATCTTAATAAAGCATATAAAGGTAAAGGGACCCCTGACCATTAGGTCCAGTCGTGGATGACTCTGAGGTTGCGGCGCTCATCTTGCTTTATTGGCCGAGGGAGCCGGCGTACAGCTTCCGGGTCATGTGGCCAGCATGACTAAGCCGCTTCTGGCGAACCAGAGCAGCACACAGAAACGCCGTTTACCTTCCCACCGGAGTGGTACCTATTTATCTACTTGCACTTTGACTTGCTTTCGAACTGCTAGGTTGGCAGGAGCAGGTACCGAGCAACGGGAGCTCACCCCGTCGCAGGGATTCGAATCGCTGACTTCTGACCGGCAAGCCCAAGAGGCTCAGTGGTTTATTCCACAGCACCACCTGCGTCCCACAATAAAGCATATGGCAAGACATAAATCTCTTTGAACAGTAGTAAATCGTAGTTTGCAGGTGAACAGTGGCAGATTTTTGGTTTTTTTAAAAGCAATTGTAATAGGAAAGAAGATTGCAAAATTTTTGTTAGTTAATGAAGAAGCAAGGCCTGCAGCCACATTTGCTGAAAGGAAGCGTTTAGCCAGACAGCACATTATTTATGAAAGCCACCAGGGCCTTATTTGGGTACAACCGACCACACCACTGTTAACTGTGTGAAGGGAGACAGTGGGGTCACCTCACCCCCTCCTGGCTGCTTCATCCCACAACAGAGCCCCCCAAGCTGCCCACAAATTGGGGGCATGTCTACAGCGGAGCTGCCTGACAAACATGTGCAGGCCGTCACCCTGAACATTCAGGGCCCATTCAGCTGCCCCATAGCATACATGCTATGTGTGTGGACGACTTTAGGGGCAGGCTGGTGGGCGAGGAATGCACACATGGCAAATGTACCTGGCTCCACTCTCGCAACTCAGACAGTCATGTAATCCTGAATGCTTCAATAGGGCTTCAGGAGAGAAAAACAATAATCTGTTTGTGACACGTGCTGTGTGACTTCATCTTTTTAAGCCATTCATCCTGAACAAAGGAATATTGAATACATATTTTTGTCCCCAATAACCATGAACCGTAAGTGCCCTTTCTTGCAGGACCTATGATGCCAAGACCAACAGGCGAAGGAGTGGGGGGGAATTTACCGATGTGTATACTAATCATGGATTTAAAGCGTGTCTACACACCTGTGTGTTTTTAGACACCAATTTCAATCACAGCTGTCATCTGTGAAAGGAAATTCAGCTCTGGCAGTGTTTCTTATAGGACTCCTATCTTCATCTCTAGATAGGCACAGCAATCCTATACTGACAATGGGAGAGGAACAGAGATATGCCACCGCCATTACACTGACAGAATGGCTGCCCTATGCAATGCATGTTCTCGCTGGATTGGGAATGATTGCCCTAGTAGCAATCATTCATGAGACTATGCCGCTGCTGACACCCACACGAAGAGAGCCAATGAACATATGATGATCAGGACACGCCCCTGTGCCCCAAATTGCACAAAACACGCAAGGCAATGCCCCAGCCCATAAATTCCAGAGGCACAGCTAGCAATAACACTGCTATAGCTAGTGCCCAAGCAACCCTTAAGACAGAGGGCATTATCCAACACTGCAGCTCCACTGGTGCAATCAACTTTCATGAGCACAACAAGAGTTACTGCTTTCTCTCCTTTCCCCTCCACCCTCACAATCATCACAGGAGGGTTGGGGGAACCTGGACCTGATCTGGGATGGGGTGGTGTGGTGGACATGGAGGTCCCATTGCACCGGCAAAACACATCCACACATGGCACAGCACTGGATGAATCCCCTTAAGCACCCCTCACAGCCACGATTTTGGAGAAAAGTACACAAAGGGGGAAGCAGACAATTGGGAGTCTATGGAGCATATACATTCCTCTTGGGACAAGGGTTCAAGACCCACCCAGGGAACATCTCCCCAGCGAAGCGGGGAACCAGGGCATGCCACTAGGGCAGCCGCAGACACACACTGGCAGCAGAAGTCACCAGGACTAGTTGGGAAGCAGAAAACCCACCCTGCAACCACCACACAACAGTTCCCTGACTACTTAGCTGCTGCAGGAAACGGGAAACAGACACATCACAGGGAAATCACCAGGGACAAGCCCTAGTTGGGTGCAGCAGCTCAGGTTTTACATGCTGAAAGTCCCTGGTTTCAATCCAGGGTATAACTCCACACTAAGAAATGATAAATGGTTCCATCCTCAGCACACCATGAGCCAATCAGAGGAGCAACAAACGGGCCAAAAGAATTGTAGAACTGGGAGGGACATCCGAAAGTCATCTAGTCCAACCTCCTGCCTGAGCAAACTTGCCGTTCTGGTGTCTACCCACTCCTGTGGGGCAACCCACCTGACCTTCTCCCCAGCACCAATAGGACAGCTGTGCCAGGAGTTTCCCAGCAGGCCTGTGGGGTGCACTGCCTAGGTACCCCCTAACTGTTGGGAGTGGAGTTCAGTGCTGGGTGTTTGTGCCTGGAATGAGGTACTTGCAAGGGTTCTAGGTGGAGAAGTGTTAACAACGGGCTCAAATTCCCACGAGTGTCAAGAGGGCAAGCAGTCTTCTGCCGAGCACTTGCGTTGCACACAAAGTGCCCTGGTGCTCTGCGTCTGCTCACCAGAGTTCTATAGGGGCCCAGTTCCACGTGACCCATCAATCAGCTCAGGGATGGCAGCCCCGTTTATAAACTGGCGGCGGTGTGCTGTGACTGGACACAGAAACGATGCTCTGTCATAGCAGCATGAGTGAGCCAGTCGTCTGCAAAGGGGCAGCTATTTTTACCCCCACCTCCATTTTAATTTGAAGTCAAGAAGGGCAGCTCCTATTGGTGCAAGGCTGTGCTTTTGACAGGGGCCCTGGCGTGGATCGAAGCAATCGAGGGTATCGTTGCAAATGTGCTGCCCACAACTCGGCCTCATTCCAGTCATTCTGCCAGTATATCCGAGGTACTCCACCAGCATCTTTTATCGCAGTAGCAGCATATCTGGCACAGTGGGACTTTCTGCTAAAGCTGCTACTCAGCTGGTGTAACTTCAGCACAGGATTGCACCCTGAGACATTGTGTTCTCGAGAACCAGTCATTTGATTATGTGATTCTTTTCCTTTCTTGTCCTCCCACTTCTGCACTGTGAGTGTCCAAAATAGAAAGTGCAGATTCATCCCAATTTGAAAGAAAAGGAGGAAGAGGAGAAGGGACCCTCCACCCTCCCATCACGAAGCAATTTATAGTTTCAATATACCTACCTGGAGAAAACAACCGTCAAGCTAAAATCTCCGAGAGAGAAAGAAAGAAAACTGTTGAACTCCACCTCCTGCAAAATGTTAGTTACCTTTCCCAATATTCCTGGGAGGCAAAGGAGGTGCACTTGTGACTGGTGCTGCAGGCTGCGAAGGAGGTGGGCTGCTACTGAGTATGGCTCCATAGGTCTCGTTCTGCAAGAGGCTCGGCATAAACCCTCTTTGCTTGTCCTTGGCTATATTGGCAGCATCTCTAGCCAAGGATGCCACGTTAGGCTGAAGCTGGCTCGATCCTAGCTGATAGAAGCTCACAGGCCTGTCCTCTCTTCGGTTAGGGCTTGGTTGCTTAAAAAGGAAGGAAGAATACAAGAGAGAATCAAGTGGGCAAGTGTTTCAAGACGGGATATAAAAAAATGCAACGCACACTAGGGAGCTAATATCCGTTTTGCTTTAACTGAGGCTGAAATCCTAAGCACACTTACAGTTGCCCTGGGCTAGTTCAGGAGGAAGGGCAGGATATACAATAGGTAAAGGTAAAGGGACCCTGATCATTAGGTCCAGTCGTAGACGACTCTGGGGTTGCGGCGCTCATCTCGCTTTATTGGCCGAGGGAGCCGGCGTACAGCTTCCGGGTCATGTGGCCAGCATGACTAAGCCATTTGTGGCGAACCAGAGCAGTGCATGGAAACGCTGTTTACCTTCACGATGGAGCGGTACCTATTTATCTACTTGCACTTTGACTTGCTTTCGAACTGCTAGGTTGGCAGGAGCAGGGACCGAACAACAGGAGCTGACCCCGTCGCAGGGATTCGAACCGCTGACCTTCTGATCGGCAAGTCCTAGGCTCAGTGGTTTAACCCACAGCACCACCCACGTCCCAATAGGATATACAATGAAACAGAGTAAAAATAAGTAACACTCGGGCGCAGGTGGTTAGCTTGTGGCGTCTACAGTTGTGGGAATCCAGTTCCCATCAGGCCCAGCAAGCACAGCCATTGGTCAAGGATCTTCTGGAAGATCACAGGTGGCCCATTAAATCCAGTGTTCCTGAGTAAAGACACATAGGCCCATACTGTTAAGGCCGTGTGTACTCACTGTGCTTAAATTAACAGGCATTTCTAACAACAAGATGTCACTGTTCAAAATTTCCATTGGATATACATTTAAAACTAGAATCGAAGAAAACATTCATTTTTAAAAAACCAACCACCTCCCAATGATTAATAAAAGCAAAACCATCTCTCTCTCTCTCTCTCTCTCACTGGAGGAAAGGGACATGTTTTAAATTAATCACTTGCCATTTTTGCTGACTTTGGTAAGAACTTTGTTAACTTTCTACCTGGTTTTGTTGTTGAAGGTTTATTTCAGAGAGACATGTGTCCCTATTAACTTCTGACTAAATCAAGGCAAATGGCTGGTGACTTTCTAACATTTCCCGATAAAAAGATCAGAGGAGCTGACCTCCATTTTTCTTCCCTACGAAGACGATTCTAGCCCAACTCAAAGGCAAATGAACACACATGCAGTGGCCACACTCAGCCATGTCATCAAGTACAGAAAAGACATTAGTTGTGTCATTAATAGCCCTTAATCTTCTTTTCAAGAGTCCCTGGGGCCTGAAAGCCTATTAATAGTGAGTGAGCAGCAAAATGCTTCCTAATTCCCACCTTCACCACTGAGTTGGAGAGCAGCAGAGTTGAGGTTGAACAAAATGGCTGAGTGAAAACCTTGAAAGGCAGGCACAGGGTTTTGCAATACAAATACCACTTCCTACTTAAAAGGGGAACCTTCTGTTATGTTCCCAGGTACAAGTTGCAGCATGTACAGGTGGGGATGGGAACATCCCCTGCCTGACAAACCTGGAGAGATGCAGCCAATCACTGTAGACCATACTGAACTAGATGGACCAATGGTCTGACCAGGTAAGGTGGCTTCCCATGTCCCTATTTGTTCTATAATCTCTTCCTTCTAAGCAGCCCTTACATCCATCATTCAATTCTATCTTCATCAGGAACACAATGGTAAATGAGTTTCGTTTATATATTGCCTTAAGTTAAGCTGACTTCAAGCCAGTGCAAGAAGAGTACAGCACCATTAAAATTATCAGTAATATTTTTTTACAAAGAACACAGTGATGATAATATTACTTTTGTTCCAGGCAGGAACATTTCCATTTTTTTTAACGTTGGGTTTCTGATCTTCTAAATGCATACCTGTAAATTTCCATCCACATCATCATCACTTTCATCCAGGTCTTCATGAAGTAATCGCCACTCGTATTCTACATGAACATGAGAATTAAGTCTTCCAGCCAGAGCTTGGGTGAGCTAAGGTACCAAGAATGAGACACCATTCAGCACAGTCAGCTACTATAAACTGCCCTGTGTCCTTTGGATGAAGGGCAGTATATAAATTTAATTAATTAATGACGTAAATTCCCTTTCTTTCACATTATGTGAAATCTTGATTCGTTTCTTTCTTTCTTTAGAAAAAGCAACAATTTAAGCACTCAATGGATGCAAGGTACATGTCTGTTGTTTTCAGGTATCTTGAGAGGTCAACTAAAACAAATATTTATTTACAAGTTTTCCACCATTCTTGACTACCACAGAAACCTCATGGCAAGCTTCTAAATAATCCAGAAACAGTTCAGCTTCGGAGAACACACAGAAGAAACAAATAAATCTTACCAGCTCTTCACAGCGCGTGTGTTTTAAGCGTTTAGCTATATCGAGCGGCGTCTCTCCAGCTTCATTGGCTAAAAAGCAATGGGAAGAAAACGTCACATTCTTTCTTGTCTGCAATCTTAGGTTGCTAAAAATGAATGTGACTTCTGAATCTGAAGGCAGAACTGGGGAGTTGGGGGGGGCAGAGTATGCATTTTTAGGAACCACTCGTTCCAACAGGAGACAGAAAAATGCTTAACTCCCCAATAGTTTAAAATGTGCTGCCTCAGCTTAGCGGAAACATTTTGCTCATAGTAAATATTCCATCATATTACCCAGTTGGATTCTGTGCCATTGGGTTAATACAGTATTTGTTATGGCAGGTTGAGAGGAGCTCCCTACCAGGACAGACTTTGCTTGTGTGCTCAAGACATGGATTCCATAAAACATATTTTGTTGCACTGTGCAAAATATGAGCAAGCCAGGGCTGAACTGATACTACCCTTGCTGGTACCTTTCCCGGGAAAATCAGAGGCTCACTATGTCAGGTTCCTATTGGAAGACCGGACAAATGCTAGAACATTAGCAGTGGCAAAGTTTTTATTGGTGGTTGCAAGAACCAATGATCCCTATATTCTGAACAAAATGCTTGTTTAACCTGGAGGTAGGCTGTAACCTGGAGGTTGCTTTGCAACGATTTGCTGGGTCTCTGGACCATAATAAAGATTGTTGTTGTTGTTGTTGTTGTTGTTGTTGTATTTGTTATAAACATTTAGAAAACATTCCCATAAGCTGCTGCGAGCTTATGGAATAGAGTGGGACACGAATTAAATCAAGTATGTACATAAATAACAAAGAACGGTGCCTTGCAGGCACTATGAAAACTCCATAAAAGCAGTGGTAACATAGTAAGCAAACATTTGACTTAACATACAAATTTCCACACGGTCTCAGTATTCTTCATTTCAAGTACAGTGGTACCTTGGCTCTCAAACTTAAGCCGTTCCAGGAGTCCATTTGACACCCGAAACCGTTCAGAAACAAAGGTGTGGCTTCTGATCGGTTGCAGGAGCTTCCTGCACTCAAGCGGAAGCCGCGTCAGACGTTCAGCTTCCAAAACCAAGGAGTGTGGTGGAGTCTCCTTCTTTGGAGGTCTTTACGCAGAGGCTTGACAACCATATGTCAGGAGTGCTCTGATGGTGTTTCCTGCTTGGCAGGGGGTTGGACTCGATGGCCCTTGTGGTCTCTTCCAACTCTATGATTCTATGATTCTATGAAAAAACGTTCGCAAACTGGAACACTTACTTCCGTGTTTGCAGCGTTCGGGAGCTGATTTGTTCGACAACTAAGCCATTTGAGAACCAAGGTACCACTGTATTGCCTTCTAAAGAGCTCTACGTTAAACATGTAAAGAAACTGGCCAAAGTCACTGCAAGCATCCATGTGCCCCTATCACCAATTGTCTGTGTGTGGCAGGGTTGCGGGATTGATTTAAAGAATAGAGGAGTCACTCTTTACCCTTTTACCTATTTCGATGGAGGCCTTCCCTCTCAGGAGCAGCTTGAGGCACTCAACATTATCTGTCAAGCAACAATAATGAAGAGCAGTGCTACCTTTGCCTGTCTGCTTGTCCAGGTTGCCACTATGCAGAAGCAAAAGGGTAAAAGTTTAGTTCATACGCACAGAGTAGTCTAACTCTCAAAAAACTTGCTTTCATGCTATCAACAAATATTACAGCAGGCTTGTTTTCGCTTTCAAACTAAAACCTTGCCTTTCTGAATTCAAATATGAAAATGAAAAGTGTTTAAATAACGTTAGAATTGCTCACCTGTTTTGCACCAAGAAGTCAACTATGTGGAGTGAGGTCCGATCAACAGATCTCACAGCGAGATGAAGGGCAGTTTCGTCTTGTTCCTGAAATCATATGGTGTGTTTTGACCAATAGCAAGCAAGGAAGGGGTGGTTTTTTTGGGGAGATACCTCCCTATTTTTTGTTACATTATGCTAAACAAAAATTTAAAAAACTTTACTATAGCTGGCTTTGGTCATCACTATCAAAATATGGCTTTGATTTAAGATAATTCATCCCTAAGTGATGATAATGTTAATTGTTCCAGGTCATCTAAACGGGGAAATGGTAGAAATATTATAATGACCATAAAAATAATATTTATACCCCTGCTCATCTGTCTGGGTTGCCCCAGCCACTCTTGAAATAAACTCATCTCAAGAAACCAAAGGAACATATAGGAAAATGTACATGCATAGGACATTTAGAGAAGATAACATGTACAGCAAAGCTTCCCAAACTTTTCATGTTGGTGACACACTTTTTAGACATGCATCATATCGTGGCACAGTAATTCAGTCTTACTAGCAAACTGGAGGTTAAGCTAACCCCTTTCCAGCCCTGGGAGGAGCACGGGGTGTATGTGTTCGTGCAACACACCTACACACTGCAGTCGACACACTAATGCATTGCAACACACAGTTTGGGAAGCTCTGACGTACAATATAGGTATTTATAAACCAATGCTACAAGCCTCCAAACTCAGAGGGGACTGTTTGAGTGCTTTGTGCTAAACAAGAAGATGGACAGGGCAGACATGTCAAAGCACAGAGAACTGGTGGGATCTGGCTATCCCTTGATACAAATAACACAGAAAGCTCAAAGCTTAAGAGTTGGGATGGTGCTGTTCTTTATTGGCAAAGAAGGCATATAGGGTCCAGCAAGTAAGTTAATTAGAAAAACAGCGAGCTGAATTATTTTATGCTAATTTATCAGTCAACTCATTAGTTTTACAGAACTAATTGAACAGTATTAAAATGTATAGAAGCAACTATCATAGTACTTCTAAGGATTAAACCACTCTGGGGATTTAGCACTTGGCTAATAATGGTTATTTAATTTTCGACTGGTACTAGGCTAGTAGGATGTTAAGCCATGCTTCATTAATAATGGCTAAACAGGATTTGTAATTGTACTATCAAGGATGGATCAATAGCACGTGGAAACTCAGCCACATAGCAGTAGCTGTGTGTGAATATTCTGTGTGCTCGCTTGCCAAAGAGAAGGAAGAAGAAAGAGGGTGGAGAGTGGAAGATAAAAGCAGGTTTAGCAGGAGGCCCAAGTTCAAAAAATTTGAGAAACAGAGATGCAGAAGTTACACTCATCCCATAAACTGCATTTTCAAAACAATAGACCTGAGATGGATCCAAACTTAGCCGTGTTTTGAACAGATCATGATTAATGCACGGCCCATTGATTTCAACAGGTCTACTTTAAGCATGGCCATCAGTGCTCCAATGCGGTCTGTGCACAAGCAGAATGGATTTCTCTTGCGCAATGGGATTTCACATTCTTCTCTTCCTCTCTACATGCCCTGAAAATCTGTTCTGGAGTATTGGGAAGCCCTCCAGATCAGTTGGGAGGGGGAGGGGTGTGCAGTGGGGAGGAGGCGAAGACCCCTTATGTAAACCGAAATCTGCTCATGGGATGTCGGATTTCACTCTATGTCTGGATCCATCCCCCTTTGTTTGGATTTTTGTATGCTCCCACCCATATCCAGTGGAAGGTACAAAATACTTTCACATTTATGTTTTACATTTTCTATGCTTAATAATGCAGTTTGATAACAGATGGATGAGCCATTTTGATAGATGCAGTTTTTCTGACTTCTTTTGCAAACAGTCATCCTTTTAACATTTCAAGTGAGCGACTGAGTTACGATCTCATTTCCACAAAAACAGCACATAACATGTTAACATGCCGGGAACAGAAGAAATTCTACACTTACATGCCCATTTGCGAGTGGAATTTTCTCTGTGAGATCCACATTCTCAGCATACACTTGAACCAATCCAAAAATGTCTCTGGTTCTGACCGCTTCACAGAGGCTCTGCAGTTTAGCCACGTTGTCTGAGTGTTTCTTCCTTGCATATTTTCTTTCAATATATTTGGCATTAATATAATCTTTTCTTGCATTCCTGAAATGAGGTGTGATTTTATTTTATGCAAACTCGAAATGAGACTCGCTTCACAAACAATATTACACAGGCTGCAATTCTTCAAATTACAAAAAAAGTCTGATGGGAATGGTTTGGGTTTCACTTTGAATGGCCTTGTTTGCATATCACAGTAAAGGGTTTACTAAGAATGCACCAATCTCATCCACTTTGCTTCCCTTCCCTGGCCCATAGGAGAAACAAACCACAATCCCTGTCTTATCATAGCATCAGAACTACTGATCATGGTTTATTTTGTTCCAAACAAACCTTGAAGCCAAACCAACCAACCTTGGTTGAGGATCATGGTTTGCTTGGAGCAAATAAAATAATAGTCCCTGGGTTTGGACATAATGCAAGGCCAGGGATCATGATTTGGTTTTCCCGTGTGCTAGCAGGGAGGAAGAAAGCAGGCGAAATTGGTGTGTTCACAGTAAACCGCTAACTATGGCTAACCACAACATGCAAACAGGGCCACTATGATCACTTCCCTCCATCTCTGTAACATATGTGAAAGTTTTGTAGTTATGACTGTTTACTTGTAGAAACAACAAACTGATTGATTGGGGTGAATGAATAAACTCTACTCGCTGCCATAAAAATCTGTTTTCTTTAGGTCTTTTTCAGGAAATGCATAAAATTACTTTGCAAATTGAATTAAAACTAATTGCAGGGTCATTTGATGGATGTGCTCTTCCAACAATTCAAGGGAAACCCCCTGCACTGAACTTAAAAGTCAGACTGTTCTGTTACCATTTTACATTATTTATCTTGAGGTCAGTTGCTTAAGTTTGCTGTCATGTGTGATTTAACATGGAATCTGTTACAGATTACAGAGGATAACTGGATCTCGTACGTTCCATTCAAACACCAGCTTTTAAGGCTTTAGTCTGCCTTTGTCTAAAAAACTGGAAAATCTGCAAGGTAATTTTAAGTCCCAACTTTTCTTCTTTGCTATCATTGGAGGCAGGGAGGAGTGTTTACCTATTAATTCTTCCTTTCTTGTTGCGCTGCTTGATCTTTTCAAGCTGTTCACTAGGTTACTTTTAATATAAATGAGGAACAGTGTGGTGTAATGTTGGACTAGGACCTGGAAAGCCAGAGTACAAATCCCAACTCAGCCATGAAGTTCACTGGGTGATCTTGGGCCAAGTCACAGTCTCTCAGGCTAACCTATCTCACGGGGTTGTTCTGAGGATACAAGCATGCCTGCCCCCTTGAGCTCCTTAGGGGAAAGTTGTGAGATAATTTTTTAAAAAATAAATTATTTGCTACTACAGTGGTACCTCGGAAGTCGAACGGAATCCGTTCCAGAAGTCCGTCCGACTTCCAAAACATTTGGAACCCAAAGCATGGCTTCCAATTGGCTGCAGGAAGCTCCTGCAGCCAATCAGAAGCCGCGGAAGCCCCATTGGATGTTCAGGTTCCAAAGAATGTTCACAATCCGGAACACTCACTTCCAGGTTTGCAGTGTTCAGGAGCCAAAACGTTCGACTCACAAAGAGTTCGGGATCCAAGGTATGACTGTATGCTGAAATTTTATTCAGAATGCACCTCAGCAGACCACGGCACCTTTCCCTGCCATTTCTTTACAAGCACAGATACCAAGAGTTACCTCTTACGTTTATAAAAATGTCACCAAACTGGATAGGAAAAAAAGATGTTTGATCCAGAGAGTTCTTGTGAAACGCCACTTGCAGGACGATCCCACAAAAATAAAGGGATGTGCGATTTTTTGCTGATTCCTCCTGTCTCCTGAAAAGCTGCTCCAGAGGGCTGGGGAAGTAGGGCAAATCAGGAAAAAACCCCACCTGCCCTGCTTCTTCTAAGTCCCTTTTGTGCACAGAAGCAGCTCTTATGTTTGTGGAAGGGAAATAACTATCAACTTTATTTATTTGTTGATACAATTCTGATCTGTTTTCAGTCCCGTTATTTTAGCTTTTTGAAAGTTTTACATTGTTATTCATTCTTCTGACTGATAATTTTATAGTTTTAGCTTTTTCGTAAATGGCTTTGGATTCTTTTTTTTTTTTACAATCGTGCGGCGTATAAATTTCATGAAATAAACAAAATAGGAATTTGTGTTCCAGCAGAAAGCCATCCCTGAAGTTTATGCTCACACTGTAAATGCTGCTGAAGTTCCCTAACGAGCAACTTGCTTAATTTATTGGGTTATGCCCAAATTTCTTTCCCCTCCAATTGCTCCTTTAAATGAAGCGAAGGAATTTTATGAGAAGGCTTTGAGAGTCACTTACATCTGTGTGAGAATGTGATCTGTACACATGTGGAGGTTGACGTTTTCAATTTGATTCCTAAAAATAGCAATTTAAGCTTATTTTAGTCATTAAACAAGGGTTATATATTGTGCATGACTTCAATGATTATAGTTGACTTTAATGACTATGGTTGCCAGATGTCCATTTACCAAAGCGTGGCATCATCATAAAACATAGCTGTTTACACACAAGGAGATCTTAAGCTTTAATTTGCTATCTGTTTTAAACCAGAATTAGTTGTTCCGAGAGAGTCATGATTTATTTATTTTAAAAAATAATAATTTAGCCTTGACACATGGATTGGTGGGATCCTTTTGCTAATTGAGCATTGCTGTATTTCAAGAAGTAAAAATCCAGACACAAAAAGTTGAGTTTTTTGGGAAATTTCAAAAATCTGGACATTTGGCCAAAATTGTCCCCAGAAGCTAAGTCAGGCATTGGAATCCCAGACAATCCAGACGTATGGCAACCCTAACCAATTAATGGGATCCTCTTTCCAGTCAAAGAGTTTATGAACTCAGTACTTTTTTGTTCTCCAATACTCTCCTTTTTCTGAGACTATTCTCTTTTTCCATCCTCTCTCTGGCAAACAGGAGCTGTTAATGGAACTATTGCTAATAAACATTCACATATATCCTCTCAGCAATCCTTAGAACAGTCCTATAAGTTCATATTCCTGCAGCCCTGCTTAAGTTTCATGCTGATTGTTGCCTATTTAGAAAGTGCTGACTATTGTGGGCTTTTCTGTTTCTATAAACTGGTCAACGACTGCAATAAATTCACCCAAATTGCAAGGGGGTGGTGGGCTTGGAGGCAGATAGAGCAGTGACTTGCTTCAGGTCAACTCGCAAGTTCATAGTGAGGGCAGTATTTGAACAAGGGACTGTCCAACTCACATTCTTAATCACTACACTGTAAAAGCTTTCCATACTTTCAATGTTTCATACTTACATATCACTGCTTGGGTTGGGTTTGACCATTTCATCTGCTGGCAAACAAAATTCCATAATTTCGTTAAATCCCGCATTCCCAATATTTTTGGCAAGCTACAAAGGGAAATATAAACACACCGGGCAAAGATTAACATAATCACGTCAAGCAACTGATTTCAGTAGCAACCCATTTTCTTGATTTTCCAGTGGAGAAAGAACTTAAGGTTAAAAAGTTAAATCTTAGAGAATTCTGGGGGTTGTATCCAAAGAGTAGACCCATTGAAATTAATTTCCACAACAAATTTAAGAACATTACTTTCAACAGGTCTATGTTCCGAGTAGAACGTAGTTGAATACAACACTGAATCTGTAGTTCCCTTGCCTGCCCAGATGGGTCCTTTTAACACATGAAACCAACAAGCTTTATTAAACAAAGCTCCAATAGCGTGACCGCAGTTCCTATAGAAACAATTTAGTCCTGATATACATATATATTTAATTGCAATAAAGGAGAGAATTTCTTCCAAGAAATTTAAAAGAGATTCTATTGTTGGATGATCTCCAATAGTAGCCATACTTAGACTTTGAATATGACTTACGTAGCTGTATACCATTTATAGAATTACAGTAACATTGTACACACACAGACTCAGTTTGCATATTGTGGTAAGCTGTTAAGTGCTGATCTGAGGTGTTTCGTTCCTCCTAACTGCTGTGCAGAGGATATAAATGACAAGGTTTAGTGTTACAACCAACCAGATATCATGGTTTGTTTTCTCCAAACAGACTTATCAACTGCGGTTTTTTGAGGACACAATTGTGGTTTCGTTGGGGAAAAACACAGTCTTTGTGTTATGAGAATTATAAGGTCTAAGATATAAAATAAATTTACCAGGCAAACACATATATAAATATATAAACCACATGTCTGAATCAGTACAGGAAAAAAGTCCTGAAACTATTTTGTCTCTCCCAAATTGACCTCAAATATTTCTCTGCAAGGACAAAGGAAATGGGAAAATCTCCCCATTGTCTCTTTGCTCACAAATCCTGTCTTAAGGGCCTATCTGTCTATGAATAGGGTGAGTCTGTGACCTGGATTCAGGAACTGAGTATTTACAATCACAAAGGAATGGCTAGACTGCCCAAGTAATGCAATCAGTGATCATTATCAGGTGCCCTGACAGACAGGTTTTCTGCTGTATACCGCCTCTTCTGTGATGTATGTATGATGTATTGGGGGGTGGCCTTAAGCTTACAAGGTGGCAATTTCAAAAAGTCTATATATAAGGGCTTGCACACCATTGTTCTGGGTTCCTCCTCCCTCGTGCATGTGGTGAGTGAGGACCCTGTTGCAACAATAAAGATCAGGCTTACTAGCTGCTTCGCTTCTCAATATTCTCTGGTTGGCCTCTGTTATTTTCTCCTACCGATAGAGAACCTACAAAAGGGCTCTATATAGGCTCTTGGGTACCCCATAAGGGAAAAGGAGCAGTTTTTTTTTTCTTATAACACTTTGATTCAGACATAACACTCTCCCAGGAATCATGGCTTGTTTCTCCCCGGTGCAAACAGAGAGGAGTAAAATGGGTACGATCTGTTTATATGTGGTCAACCATTAACTGTGTGTTACCATAATGTGCAAATACTGCCACCAGCTACACACCAACTCAGCTTTCGAATGACAGAAACATTTTTTACTTTACCAGCAACTCAGATGTTCCCAGCACATCTAACGTGAGCGACTGCATTCTGGAATAGTGGACGCCAAGTTCCCGATGGATTCCTGAACACTCAATGCAAGTTAAAATGCCCAGGTTTGTTGAAAGCCATGTAGGATCTGAAAATGATAGAACAGAGGGGAAAAAGAACATAAGCCACACAGGGTAATGAAATAACAGAATCCCTTCATGGGACATAAACCCAGCAATTAGATTTTGCATCCATACAAAGCAAAAAAAATGTATAAAGCACATGATTAGTTGAAGTTCGTTTTCACTGTATGGTTTTATGTATTATTGTAAACTGATATTTTTTCTAAGAAACAGTGGTATGTAAGTATTTTCATAGAGGGATAAATAAACCACAACTGCTGACTTTAACGGATGGGGCAAGGTTCTGGGGCAAGGTTCTGGGGCAATGTGGTGGAAGTGAGTTGTGGCGGAGGAGGAGAGTGCACCTCTGAATGGGCCTCTCCTGGGATTATCTGTAGGTCTCCGCTACACAGACAACTGCAAAACTGAAAATGGAAAAAGCAGCATCCGTAATAGTGTGAAAGCATTAAGGCATTTAAGTTGTTCTAACAGTAATCGATTATCCGTTTGGAGGGGAGTTGGTAGATATGTTTCTGCTTTTTATGTAAGGTAAAGGTAAAGGACCCCTGACCATTAGGTCCAGTCATGACCGATTCTGGGGTTGCAGCGCTCCTCTCACTTTATTGGCCGAGGGAGCCGGCGTACAGCATCCGGGTCATGTGGCCAGCATGACTAAGCCGCTTCTGGCGAACCAGAGCAGCGCACGGAAACGCCGTTTACCTTCCCGCCCGAGCGGTACCTATTTATCTACTTGCACTTTGACGTGCTTTCGAACTGCTAGGTTGACAGAAGCAGGGACCGAGCAACGGGAGCTCACCCCGTCGCGGGGTTTCGAACCGCCAACCTTCTGATCGGCAAGTTCTAGGCTCTGTGGTTTAACCCACAGCGCCACCCGCACCCCTTTGTTCTATCAGTAATCAATTATTCTTTTGGAGGAGGGTTGGTAGCTAGGTTTCTGCTTTTTTTGTAGGATTGTCTTAAATTGCATTAATTGTTCCATATGTTTATGATTTGTTATTAGCTGTTTTGAGCAACTAGGAAAAAGAGGTGTTAAGAGAGGGACCCAAAACTTTACATGGGAAATAGCACATCGTCACTTTTTAAAAAGTCACCTTGTGCCCCACAGTCACAGCACGTGTCATTCCCAGGCATCCTCTGTACATCAGAGATGATTTCCTTTGTCAGTTCTTGGACAATGTTGTTTTCTCCTGTGTTGTCATCACCTTTGAATGCATTATTTAAAGCTTCTTCTTTACTGTTCTGTAGCACCGATATCCAGCTTGAAAAACAAAACAAATCCCATTTCTCCGTTCAACTGGTAAAAATGCACTACTGTCCTCCAGAGAAAAAAGTTTAAAGGAAGGCAGACAAGGCTTACAAGGCTGAGCTTAGCTCTGGCTTACAGTCACAGGGAGGAGGCAAACGAGAGTTGACTCAAAACTTCAGGGCTGGCTACATGACATGACAGTTGCAGAGAAGGCTAAAAGAAAAACTCCCACTGGAGTTTAAGGGCTGTGATAGGTGTGTGGTTTTTAATGCTAAGGAAAGGAATTCTGGCTAGGGTTGAAAATCTCCATAATTGGAAATTTGGTGGCGCTACTGGAAGGCATTTGTTTCCTAAACGTTAAAATTCCATGGTTCCACATTTATTTACATTGCTGCCTGTAGATCCAGGGTAGCCAATATGGTACCCGTCAGATGTTGTTGGACCAGCCAAGCCAAGGGTCAGGGATGATGAGAATAGTAATCCAATGACATCTGGATGGGGCCACATTGACTATCCCTGCTGTAGATGAACAGAAAGTTTAGTCTTCCTAGCCTGTCTAAATAATGGCTAGAATTAAGGATTATCTTTCTCCGCAGTAGAGAAGCAGTTGTTTTATCTACTGTAGACACCACTATCATGAGCAAGAGAAACAGCAAAGAAAACAACAAAAACCACTATTAATGCAACTTACATTTGGCAGTCCTGTTCATCCTCTGCTTGGAAATGATACGTTCGGTCATCTACAGGAAGATAAAATGTTTCTAGTGTCGACTCCCAAAAATGTTTGGATAGTTCATCTCATCATAACAGTCATAACCATTTCCGAAATTCATGCACCAGATACTGGTGGTTGTTAAAAGGTAAAGGTAAAGGTACCCCTGCCCGTACGGGCCAGTCTTGACAGACTCTAGGGTTGTGCGCTCATCTCACTCTAGAGGCCGGGAGCCAGCGCTGTCCGCAGACACTTCCGGGTCACGTGGCCAGCGTGACGAAGCTGCTCTGGCGAGCCAGCACCAGCGCAGCACACGGAAACGCCGTTTACTTTCCCGCTATGAAGTGGTACCTATTTATCTACTTGCACTTAAGGGTGCTTTCGAACTGCTAGGTAGGCAGTAGCTGGGACCGAACGACAGGAGCTCACGCCGCCGCGGGGATTCGAACCACCGACCATGCGATCGGCAAGTCCTAGGCGCTGAGGTTTTACCCACAGCGCCACCCGCGTCCCTACTGGTGGTTGTTACTGGAGTTAAATTAACTGGGCAATACATTGCCCAGGGTTAAAATCACCCATATATGCAGGTGGTGCAAGTAGGATTAAGCGGCTGGCTCACGTATAACTTCCCTGCTGCTATGGTTGCTTATTCGATCAGACCAAAGACCACCAACAGAAAAGTTATTGCAAATGTTTGCTCAGAACTAGTTTAGCAATGCAGGGGTTAATACAATGACACCATCAGCAACTGTTGGTTGTGTAACTATTTTCCATCCATCCTATTTCCCTAATATACCTGGAATGTGAGTGTTCTTGGCCAGATGGGGGGAAGTCTTCCTACATGTTTTTTTTAAATGCTCAAAATAATGACATGCATTATTGTGGGCTTCCTGAAAGCATTTTGCTATCCACTGTTGGAAACAGGATGCTGGGATTGATGGACCTGATCTAGTAAGGACTTTATTTTTATTTTACAGCACAAGTTCCTCCTGACTCACTTCCAGCAGTTTCTTTCCTCCACCTTCCAACCATGGCAATACAAGGAGCTGTGTTTTATTTTATTTTCTAGAACCCTGATAGTGCCCTTGCCTGCTTTTCACTTGGGTGTTTTTTTTCTTTGCCACTTTGCTTTGTAACATTTGCTCTTTATTTCCATGGTGTTGTTTGGGGGTGGGAGGTGGAAACACCCGCCGATTTAAATATTTCAAGCCAAACACAATTGTAAAGAATGCCTCAATTTAGTGCAACCACAAGTCCACAGCATGTGAAATCGGAAAGAATTTTCAAACGTTTTCCGAAGGTTTCTCTCTCACGTTAAAGCAGACCTTTTAAACAACTAAGCAGACCTGTGAAAGCTATTATAAAAGACTTGTACAGTCTTACGGCTCTATCTCAGAGGATTGCATCATAGCATACGTCACACCCGTTGGCTCAGGCTGAGCCTCTACTGGCTGCGAGTGCCTACATACTTCCACTTTTCCAGAAACCTCAAGTCCATGCGGTTGCTTATGTCTCTCTGTGTAGAGTGCTGGATTAAAAACAGTGTGTTTGCCATGGACCAGCACTGAGGCCTGACTCATACACTACCAGAACAGCACAGAAGCCATTGCTTTGTGTTTGTGTGTCACGCCTTTCTAGTAACAACTGAAGAGAAGCAATCACACGGACAAGCTGATAGGCATGACCAAACAGCCGTGATTCCCGTGTTGTATCCAGTTAAAACGTTTGGAATTCTACGTTGGCAGCAAAGTCATATTTGCAAACTAATTTGCTTAGAAAGTTTGCCTTTGTAAAGAGAGAGAGAGATGGCTTGGATCTAAAGACCCTGCTATAGCCACTCATGCAGGTTCTTCCCCACCCACCTGGGCTGGCAGCCCTCTGAGAAGTGGTTTGAGAAGGTCAGGAGACTCTCAAGAGCAGCTTGTGGGGAGACACAGGGGGACTGGAGAAAAAGGAAACTCCAGTAGGCACATCTGAGTGGGAGCATCTCCCCCTCTCCCTCTTGGACATAGGGATCCAAGCCCCAGTTATGAACTATATAATTTGGCACAGCTATCAACATGAGATGCTTAAAGGTAAAGGGACCCCTGACCATTAGGTCCAGTCATGACCGACTCTGGGGTTGCGGCGCTCATCTCACTTTATTGGCCGAGGGAGCCGGCGTACAGCATGTGGCCAGCATGACTAAGCCGCTTCTGGCGAACCAGAGCAGCACACGGAAACGCCGTTTACCTTCCCGCCCGAGCGGTACCTATTTATCTACTTGCACTTTGACGTGCTTTTGAACTGCTAGGTTGGCAGGAGCAGGGACTGAGCAACGGAAGCTCACCCCGTCGCAGGGATTTGAACCGCTGACCTTCTGATTGGCAAGCCCTAGGCTCTGTGGTTTAACCCACAGCGCCACCCGATGCTTAGGACGGCGTAATTGTAAAAAAATATGTAGAGAAAAGATGCCTTAGGAAATCTTTGGCCTTCCATATGTTGTTGGACCATATCAACCTCATCCAGCATGGCTAACAGGGCTGATGGGAGTTGTAGTCCAACATCTGGAGGTCCCCCACCCATTGCTTTGGGAGATACGAAGTATAGAAAGGTTGTCCAGAACATATGCAATAAGATTGGCTGCAACATAACAATTTGGTGGTCAGTGAGCAAAAAAAGGAAACCCCCTAGAACTAAATGAAGGACAAGGAATGTCAGAAGTATGACAGTGTTAGAAGTATGGGATTTATCGTGCGCCTGATCAAGTTCAGAAAGATTCCTCAAGATAAAGGTAGCCATTTTGATCCCAATATCTTAAATGGGCAGAAGGTGTAGTATGACCTGTGGATAGTAGCCATGTGGGGAGCTGCAAAGAGCAGAGCATGTTCCTAACTAGAAAGCCAGATTAGGTGAACCTACAGAAAAAGGGGCAGACAGAAGCTGGCTCAAGGAACAAGTGGCCTATACTGAAAGAACAGTGCTAATTTTGCATCTAGAAGAAAATGAAAGAAAAGAACATCTGTATCAAAGAAAGTGGAGGCAGAATGTTGGCATATTCAAGAGAGGAAGGTGTGAGGAAGAGAATGGCACACACATACCCCTGTTTGCACAGTATGATCTTGACTTATATATCTTTTTATCTTTCAATAAAGAATATAAAAAACCTATTATATGTATAAGATGCTACAAAACTCCCGGTTCTGAAAGAAGAAACCCCCATGATCAAGAAAAGGAATTGTTGTTAAACATTAGTTATTTATAATTACATGACCTTTCTGATAATATTTCAACAATATATTCTATACAGGCTTCATGAACGATTTTGAGATTTGGTTGTGCAGAGAAATCAGAAAAGCATACCTAAAATAACCTGAATAGGGCACCCAATGATGGCTAATACAGCAACAAAAACTGAGACATATAAACGAATAGTTTATAGTGACAAACATATAAGAATGATATGTGAAATATATGAAAGGCAAAAATGTTCAAACAAAGCAAGCTCTGATAGTAACATATTCCAAATGTATCAGACTGAATTTTGGAATCTCACCATTAACTTGTTTTTCCCCCTGAAACAATATTGAGATTTTTAGAACTAACTAATAGAAAGTACCTACAACAAACCTACGTGATATGAGGTCAAAACATTTTTTCTCTTCTGGGTTTGTTTTCACTTGGCAAGTTAACAGATTGAGCTTTGCAGGAGGCCGGTTTGCCTGATTAAAGAAGAAACAAAACAAAAAGGAATATCCCTTAGTAAAAATGCATAAAGAATAAAGACTTTCCTGTTATCATGGATTTCTAAAGGGAGAATCCTCCTGCATACAAGACACCCAAGATAGGCCCATGGAAATTACCAAAATAGGCAGATATCCAGTTCTTTTGAATAAACTACAGGAAGTGGAAATGATTAGATCTAGGGCAAGTTCACAGCAATATGAACTGTAAGGAACGGGGCAAATTGCTGCTTCCTGTATTACAGTGGTACCTTGGTTTGCAACCGCTTTGGATTACAGCCATTTTGGATTACAACCATGTCAAACCCAGAAGTGTGTGTCCCTTTTTTTGGATTACAACCAATTTCTTATGTGAGGCCCCATTGGCGAAAGCACATCATGGGTTACAACCTGTTTTGGTTTCCAACTGGACCTCCGGAACGTTTTATGGTTGTAAACCAAGGTACCACTGTACAATATTAAGATGTGTCTACACCTCAGAAAGATATGAGCCTTGGGAAGCAGGTCAAGAATGGCTGGATAAATTTACTTTAGTTCTAAAGTTCCATTCAGAAATATAGTCAACGGGTACAACTCACACCACTGCCATTTATGCTTTATGAAATAATTGTGTGAGCGCTATAATTTACTCGGGAACACATCCTCCTGTTGCAACACTTGGCCGATACAGGAAGCATTTACTTTGGTAATAAAGGTGCATTAGACTAAGTTAAAATGATTTGAACTCTTGTAAAGGATCCAAAGGACAAGGTAACATTTGGCTCTCCGACTTGTTATAGTAGGCACTTGAGACAAATAAACCATTAAGAGTTATTGACACAATTAACATTACATGCAAATATTTACCATAAAAACATAAGACAAAGCAGTTCCAAGAGATGCAGCGTGAAGAAAAACTCATACTGACTATTGCAGTCGGACATTACACAAGAATATTAGTGGCACGTTTCATAAACAGTAAAGGCAAACAGAGATATATATTTTTGCATGTGTTCAACTCTTGACAACTATGGTGCAAGTAAATATTTGCAAAAACAAGGCTATGGTGGATTCCTCTTCCTAAGGATACATCTTTTCATCATGACTGGTTTATGAGAACATTATGGGCTAGTTTACACCAAACGATTGCATTCAGATTTTACACATGGTTAAGGCATGGGAGCAAAAACATTTAGGGCTCATCAACACTGGAGTGTAACATGGATTTAAAGCTGCTTGTGTCTCGATTTTTTGCAGCAACTGGTACTTCCCCAGGCCACAGATAATCCAGTAAAAGAAGAATATACAATATAAAAATGGTATGTTATCCAACTGCAGATGCACTGAATTGCATTGTGTGGGTGGACTTCTTTTTTAAGTGTGATAATGTTTCACTGGGTGTGGTCTGTCACCACCTCCCGTTCCTAAAGGCACATTTGTATTATTATTGTTTTTAAAACAACTCTTCTGCCTGGAATTACTCTTGCATAACCAGCTGCATTAAAAATAAAAATGACATTTGCCCTTGCAGGTACAGGAGGCAGGAAAGAAAACAAGGAGGAAAAGAAGGAAAGAGGAGGAGGAGGAGGAGGAAGAAGAAGAAGGAGGAGGAGGAGGAGGAGGTACAGCATATATAAAAACATAGCAAAACATCAAGCATTAAAAACTTCCCAATACAGGGGCTTAAATGAAAATGATTCCCAAACTTTCTTTGCCTGGCTTGGAGCGACACATGTTTTTTAACATCTCTTTTGAGCAAATTTAGTATATTAGAAAACCTGTATTTATTTATTTTTTAAAGCATTTTAAAGGTGTATGGCACAGGTAAACAGCTGTTTTCATGCCTACAGAGGAACCGTCAGATTTCCTTGCTTAGAACAACACACCTGTATTTTAAATTTATTTTTTTACGACTGATTTGCACAAACCTGGCATATTGGAAAACTCGTATTATAAAAACTGGAAGGTGGGCACCCACAGCTAAGCAAATAGCATGCATGTTCACAATGGACCTCAGGTTTCGTGAACTTACAGTGAGTGAGGAAGCACTAATTGAAGGAAGTGGGCAGCAACACAGAGAGTGAAGACATCCCATTCAAGCACCAGCTACAAGTGCAGACAGGACATCAAGCTACATTTCGGAGGCATAAAACCGAAAGCACTTGTGTGTGGATGGAGATGCACAAATGCACGCCCGGAAACAGCAGCCCAAGTACCCATGAATGTTGTTGTGTGGACAGAGCCTTGTCTGCACCAAGGCCAGTGTGAATATATTTACACCGACAAAACACAACAAAGTGGAAATTAGCCCCATGTCTCTTTGTGAAGCGAAAGATAATTGAATGTTTCTCTAGAGAAATAAAAGAAGAAACTAATTAAAACAGGGCAGGCGTAACCGAGAAGAAAACAAACAATCACTGTTTTATTTTCCATTTTTAACCACAACCACAATAACAACAAAGGACAATTTAAATGACTAGGAAACGTATTTGGCCACGGTTTCCATTGCGTTTAATTAGAAACTTGACCTGAAGGGTTTTGCTGAAAACAGCAGGTCAAGAGATTAGGACTGTGCAGACTAACTGCTGAATTCAGAGCTGCACCATAACATTACACTACAATGACATTATAATGTTGGCACAGCAAACAGAGAAGTTGGTGCATGTAAAACATTCTTTGGCCTGGCATTTCTTCCTTTAGATTCTGGAAAATGGAAAGTTCCTATCTGATCCACTGGATCAACCTTACTCTCTTTTTAGAAACAAAGGTAATCTTCAGAATCCAGCTCCAGCTTTGGTATTTGAAAAGGAAGATGTGTAGCAATAACTGACAGAGACAAGAAAAAATAGCAGAATCTGTTTGTATGTTAGAAGTAGCCGGGGTGAAGTGGTATGTGAGTGAGGGGTAAGGTGGGTGGCATTTATAGCACAAAATCACTTAAGTTTTGAAAGGCAATGCAATTTGGGGTGGAAGGATGACCCAAGTTAAGGATAGCAAAAACAAGGCTATCCCACATAACTAGATCAACATAATTGCACCAGAGCTAAAGCGCACATGAATAGAGGAATGTTCATCTAATGTTCTTCCAGGAGGTAGAAAAAGGACAATCTTTCTTTCTACAACATGGGAACTGGGAGGCACAATGCACACCTTAGAGAACGTGAAAGGTCAGAAAGAAATGGAACAGCCCCAGACCAAGATCAGTTCAAGAGCCGGTGTAACTCAGAACAGGAGCTATTTTGATGACCTAGCGCATAATCTCAGACGAACTATGGTCATACTAATGGAGTGGTTCTCCGCATGTGTCTTCATTTTTACCCACTACACAGTAGCCACGTATGTAGTGATATGTATCTGGCATTAAAGGCAAGGCCTACCAGACGTGGTGAATAACATTTGGAAGGCTTGTACCTTAACACAGCAACAATGGCAGGTGACCCAACAAAACACAGCGGAAAACAAGGAATGATGCCTTTAGTGTGAATGACTACACCAAAATGCCAAAGAGGAAGAATAAGTTTAAACAGTTCTGCGGGCCACAGAAAAGGTAGATGGGGGCTGAAAACCATAAAAAGAGCCAATCTAGTCTGTCAGAGGCCTGTTCTGAAAGGGCAAGGAGCCACAGGCACCTGTTCAAGGAAGAAATCCAGGGCATGCAGCCATTCTGATGATTCTTAATATGCATTAAGGCAAAGTAACCTCAGTCCCTGAAATGCATCAAGCATCTAGTGTCTGAGAAAAGTATAGATTTCACAAGTACCAGAATTTCTGCATCTGGTTAGCTGTCCTGATTGGATACTGGAGAAAAGGGCTTTTTAAACTTGAGAGCCACACAGCTGGCAAATGTGTGGCAGAATGTCCCAAGTGACAATAGGGTGGGTTGCAAAGATGAAAATATGTTGAACTGCTAAATTGTTCTTACTGATAGAGAACAATAAATTTAAATCGTGTTGATCTTCATTCCTGCTTGCTAGAAGGCAACGGCCAATATTTATCAGCTGGTAAAAACACAAGAGAAGACAAGTGTTGCTCCTTTAGTACCTATGTGTATTGTAAGCCAACTACACGAAGTCTGTATTTTGAGACTATCTATTTCACCAGAGAAAAAAGTCTGCACAAACTCGGGGCCATAGCCAACAAAGAAGTCACTTCTAGCAGTGTCCAAGGAGAATTATCAACTATGTGCACAGCATATAAATTATTCCCATTCCTGCTGTAAAGATGGTACTCCCAGAAAAGTATAGAAGGCCCTAATACAATTAAATTTACAAACAATGAAAGAAAGAAGAATTAATTTAGATCTTGGGAGAAGAGTACTTACAATCAGATCAAAAGACAGTCCATCTATCAACCCAATCCACATTTGAATGAACGGTATCCACTCTGGCACATGAGATTTTCAAAAAACCAACCCTGAATTCGAAAGGAATTCGAAAGGAATTTGGACTGCAACCCCAACCTTTTAGTTTTTACTTTGCAAAACATATTTAAAATCCATCTGGTGCTGGAAATTGGGGGCCACTTCACCTGCAACAACTATTTTATACAGAACATGTTATTGTGTAAAAAGAATATGAAAAAACCATATCCATATTTAGTTTCCTACACAGAAGCTGTATAAGGTTGCAACTTAAAACAAACTCAGTGAGACTTCTTCAGGGTGGACATGCGTAGGGTTGTGCTATAAGTATTGGAAATAAGTCCTAGGTAAAGCAGTTTTGAAAAGTCAGTGGCTCAATTAAGATAAACCTTCACACTCACACCATGGTTTGGAAACCAAACTGCAGTTTCACATACTCTCCCCCTCCCCTTTTTACATGTGGCGCTCTCTACAGTTTCCTGTGAAACACAAACCTCAGCTTGGGTACGCCCAAATTAGCAAGCTAACACATGCTTCAAAAACAGAATTAGAAACCATCATTTGAAGCGGCAGAGTTGATTCTGGCTGGGAGAACATGTGCTAATTATAGTTTGCCAATTTGGAATTTACGGCAAGCAATGGTTAGTGATAAACAGGAAACTGATGTCAGCAAAGCCATGTGCAAAGGAAAGGAAATGAGAATGTGTTAAGAAGTAAGCTTGTCCATAACCCGCCCCCCCCCCCAAGATATGGTTTTGAAGCTCATCTGAAATAAGCCAGTATGAAATGAGAACAAAGGGGGGAAGTATAGAGAGATAACTGTCTTGAAAAAGGTAGAAAGCAGGGTTGCCATATTTTGAAGAGCAAAAAAAGAAGACTTCTACTTTTAACTATGGGTCGCTATGATGACTCTAACCATTAAAAAGAGGACCTATGGCAAAGTACAGCTGTGCAGAAATGTTAAAGGCAAAGAGAAAACAGTAAAATAATCGTCTTTCACTGCTTCTTTCCCATTTTAGGTATCAAGCAGAGTTGTGAAAAAAACGAATAGTTTTTTAAAAAAATTAAAAAAATTAAAAATTTTTAAATAGATCTCTCTCATTCTGTTTTTTTTTTTGAAAAACAGCTGTTCTTTAAACAACATTGTCTAAATGATAACTGAGCATAATAATACAAGCATCATAAAATCTAATTCCATGACCTTCTGTCTCACACACTGTTGGTTGCATTTCTACATGGAAGAAGAAACTGGGACTAAAACGTATCTTTTGAGGCCAAGCATTACAAATATTACACAGTAGGTCACGCAATGAATCTATTATTATACAGACTATGAATATTTAGACAGTGCAGATATTAGCTTTCCATGCCATGCTGAGGAATGGGCAGCTTCAAAATGACATTAGATAAATGAGTGAAGAATAATATTTCTTAACGGCTGCTATTCACACTGGCTAGGTATTATCACCAGTGTTAAGAGGAAGAATGCCTCTGAATATCAGTGGCTGGAAGGCCAACAGAGGAAAGGGCTGTTGTATGCGTGTCCTGTTTGTGGGCTCCCCAGAGGTATCTGGCTTGCCATGGTGAGAACAAGATTCAAGCCCCACGTTAGGACAAAAAAATTCATGCATTGCAGAGGGCTGGACTAGATGACCGTCATGGTTCTAGCCAACTCTACAATTCTATGATTCTAAGAGGCTAGACCAGATGGGGCCATTGCTCTGATCCAACAAGGCCCTTCTTATGTAACCTGTCTTCCCAGCAAATGCCAGTCCTTGCTTACGACACGTTTTCAGTTAAATGACCTTCTTAACATCCTTAGAGGTGTACAGAAAAAGCCAAACAGGTTTTTTCCTTTATTTAAAACTGGTACCTTAAGCAGATACAAATTCTATAGTGCAAAAGGCATATTATTTATTATTTGTTTTATTTTTTCAATTTCTATACCGCTTTATAGTTTTAATAAAAATCTCAAAGCGGTGTACAGCATATTAAATCAATAAATCAATAGCCAGGCGATGTTCCTCCGGCCTCATGAGGAGCCTCTTCAGTAGGGCTGGTGAGTGTGGGCCCTGCCCCCTAGGCCAGGTGGAAAGGGCCTTGCAGGGAGCGGCCTTCACACTCGCAGCTGGGCGATATTATGGATGGCATTACCTGACTTTTTGTCTTAAGCCTATTCTGTGAACCGCCCCGAGATCTTGTGATGGAAGGGGTGGTTTATAAATTTAATTAATGAATAAAATAAAATAACAAACAAACCTTCTAGGTAGTATAAATGATCTATTTATCTGCGTGATTTTTCATGAAATATTTAACTGTGGAAAAGCACTGTGGTTTAGCATAATATATCCAGGCAACAAGATTAGATTTTGTTTTGTTTCCTCAACTGATTTAAAGATTACATGGCAAAATAATAATAATAAAAAAATACATCCCATCCTAACACCGGCCTAGAAAGTTCGAATTAACAGCTTTCATTCTAGCTGAGATGGGTAAGGGCCACAGGTCAGTAGCAGAGAATCTGCTTTGAATGCAAAAGGTCCCAAGGTTCAATCGCCAAATAGGCCTGGGAGAGATCCAGTGGCGTAGCGTGGGGGGTGCAGGGGGGGCCGGCCGCACCGGGCGCAACATCTGGGGGGCGTGCGCTCGCACTCGCAGCTCTCTGCCCCTACCTGGCTCACTCACTCTCTCTCACTGCAGTGCTGGCTGTGCGAATCCGATCCGAGCCGCTGGGTCGCTGCCCACTGTGGAGGGGGTGGGTGCCAGGCGTGCGGTGCGGAGAGAGAGCGAGGGACTATCTGGGGGAGGGACAGTGCAGCGGCCACCCAGCGCAGCGCTGAGCGCGGGAGAGAACCACACCAGACCAGCCCAGGCAGCAGTAAGAAGAAGCTGGCAGCGGCGGCAGGTTAGGGGTTAGGGGGCGCAAATTACTTGCCTTGCCCCGGGTGCTGACAACCCACACTACGCCGCTGGAGAGATCCTGCCCCAAACCCCGGAAAGCCACTGTCAGCTTGGGTAGAAAATATGGCCCAATGGTCTGACTCAGTATTAAGCAGTTCCCTGTGTCTCTAGACCCAATCACTTACTTTAAAAACAACAGGAATTCTACACTTAAAAGGATTTCTCTTACAAACATGATGCCACAATAGCAGATTATTTTTCAGAGCATGTCACTTATACTTTCCTCATCCATCTGCCCAGAACAAGAGCTCATTATTTTTAACAACATAGTAAAACATTTGGTTGTTTCCATAACCCATCATCAGGCACGGTAACAAATGAGTGGGCGTGTATTTAATTCTCATAGCAATTTGGCCAAGTTGTTGCTTTTTCGAAAAGTTAAGTGATCTCAATGAACATGCTCAGTTAAGGAATCTGGCTGATACTGTAACTATAAATACAGAGGCAGCCTAATTTGGCTTTTTTTTCCTATTAGCAACAGGCTGTGTGCATAGAGTACTATAAACAAATACTTACTGTACCATGGGAAATTGTAAGGAAACCATTTTTAACCGTGCACTTCCTCTTCTGCCACACTTTTCTGATTCTGTTTATTTTTTTTAAAAAAGAGAGAGAGAAGGAGATCTAAATTTTGGTATGACTCGTATTGTTGCAAAAGACTGCCAAGCTCTTTTTCTAACTTTTCTTTCAAAGCTACATACAGTGGTACCTCGGGTTAAGTACTTAATTCATTCCAGAGGTCCGTTCTTAACCTGAAACTGTTCTTAACCTGAAGCACCACTTTAGCTAATGGGGCCTCCCGCTTCCGCCGGAGCACGATTTCTGTTCTCATCCTGAAGCAAAGTTCTTAACCCGAGGTACTATTTCTGGGTTAGCAGAGTCTGTAACCTGAAGCATCTGTAACCTGAAGCGTCTGTAACCCGAGGTACCACTGTACTCATCACTTAAAAAAAGAAAAGAAAAAGCATACACACCCATCACTTTTCTTATAGAGGCTGCCATCTCTTTCAGTGCCGTGTTCCTTATTTCCCTGAGGTTGATGTAAACTATAAGTCGTACTCTGACGGAGCTGAGAATCCTAAAGGCAAAAAATAATAGATTGGTTACCAAAAAAACTCCACTGTTTCAATCCCAGCTCGAAACTCCATCACATTCCCAATATTCATAGCCCAACCAGCTCGGATGATGACAAATGATCCATAAGCAACTTTCACTTTTTCTTTTTTTCACTCTGCAGCAAAATGGGCCACTTAAAATCCAGACATCGCCACTATCAAAAAGACCTGGTTGTCCAGGCCCTCACTGGTGGACACAGTACTCAAGACTCGCAGCTCAAGTTTTTGGCAAAGGCTTTAATGTGCAGGTCAGTACGATACACAAGTCAGGTTACAAAGCATTCACAATTTGTTTTCAACTGCAAGCACGATGCTGGGGCAATCCTGTGGATCTGACAGTCCCGTCATGACTACCCTGCAAAAGCTAACTTCTTTAAATACCCCTCTAGACTTCTCAATAGCACATACAATCGGTAGCGACTCAAGCGTTGCTGCAACCGTTAATTTAGCTCCATACAGCGTCTCAGTGCACTAAAGCACAATCGTTTAGCAATTTGATTATGCAGAAATTCGTAGGTTTTTATGTTGCGATCTCACTGCATACACTTTGCAAAACCTGGCTCCCAATAATTCAGTTATGAATTTGATGCGAATGTATGTTCTGATAAGCCAGCTTTTGCTTACAAGGGAAAAGAATGGACTCTCAATGAGTAATTAAGTATATTTAAAACAATGAATACTCAACAGGGACAACATACATTTCAATTAATCTATGAGCAAACAGATCTCTCACACATCCTTCACAACACGGAATACAAGAGAGCCCAAGGGACTCACAGACGGACAAAAGCCAAGCAACTGGATTTCAGCAAAGGAAATAATTTTCAAACTAGCCTGACCTGCAACTAAACATTGCAGTGTGAAGTGCTCCAGTTAAGGATTTGAGACACTGCATTCCATTCCCCCCTCCTCCTGTTTTGTTTTGTTTTTCAAATTTCCACCCAACAGTCATTCAGCATTCCACTGAGCATGCTCAGTTTCCATTAGGCTGTTTTTGCCACATGGATTTTCGTTGAAAGATCTTATTCTATTTTATTCCAAACTTTGGTGTTCCCCCAGTGCCTGCTAATATTTTCCTCTTGTGAGTGGATGATGCCATTTTGGCTATAGAAGGATCAGCACTCAAAGAATTAAGATCAGTACCAGTGTATGTGCTTTGCCTTGATTTAATTTATCCACCTTTAAATAGCTAAAATGTGTTCACGCAATTTGCAAAATATGAAACAATTAGGCCAACAGATTATGTTTCAGAAAAGAAGACCAGTTACTTGAAATGCACATGACAATCATGCAATGTACCATTTACAAAAACATTCAAAGGACTTACTCTCCTAGACTTCGGTCACAAAAGGCAAATGCATTTTAGGAAGAAAAAAAGATCAGTTGCAGTGCAAAAAACAAAACAGTGTTGGATAGTACACTAGAGGGAGTCTGACTTGGTTTAAGACACATTAAGGCCCTAATAGCACAGATCTGAAGGTATCTTTTTTGTGCATGTACCCAAAACTAGGTATCCAAATTATCTATGCACAAAAAAATCATTTCCCATTCATTTTAGGAGTAGCAACTTTCCATGACCTTGCTTCATACATACCATTGGGGTACCCTGGGGATGTGCAGCCAAATGCACTTGAAAGCCACTCAGCATACACTTTTAAATCTAACAGCATCAGATACGACAAAATCTAATTATACATATAGTTTTAAATGTTTTACTCCATGCTTCTGAAGCATAAGGTGGTTCATCCTAATCAGAAATGGAAACTGTCCCCCTAGGGACATTCTAGACGACATTCAACAAAGTTTTACTTAGTGCAGATCCCCTGAAATTAATGGACCTAACTTAATCAAGTCCATTAATTTCAATCGGGCTACTCTGGATAACACTTAGCTGAATACCACCTTTTGTCTCAACCAAAACTCCTGCTCAGGATTGAAAACCATAAGCCAAAAAAACCAATATGGCCATATACACACAGCTGCGTAAACAGCTACAGATTTATTTGAAGCTCCACTACTGAAGAGGCCAAATGTTCTTCATTCCAGTTGAGTACCGTATTTTTCGTCCCATAGGACTCTCCGTCCCATAGGACGCACCTAGTTTTTTTGGGGGGAAATAAAGGGGAAAAAATTTCCTTTATTTCCCCCCCAAAACCAGGTCGGGGAAACCGAACCAGGTCGGGGAAGCATGCTTCTCCCCAGCACCAGCCTCCGAACCAGGTCGAGGAACAGCAGTATGGCGGCGCTCCGCCTCCCCGCTGTCCCCCGAGCTTATGGGGCTGGCCGATGTCTGCCTGAAGCACGGGGCGCTCTGCTTCAGGGCCCCTTCGCGCCAGGCGGCAGGCTGCTATCCGCAGCCTAGGGAGCCCTGCAGGAACTCCCGCGGGCTCCCCAGGCTTGCTGATAAGCTTCCTGAAGCCTGGAGAGCAAGAGGGGTCGGTGCGCACCAACCCCTCTCGCTCTCCAAGCTTCAGCGAAAGCCTGTATTCGCCCCATAGGACGCACACAGATTTCCCCTTCATTTTTGGAGGGGGAAAAGTGCGTCCTACAGGGCGAAAAATACGGTAATCTTGCCTCTTTAGCAGACTATGCCCAGAAGTCCACCCAATCACTGGTGTGACTTACAAGCAGCCACCCTAAACACTTTCAAAGAGGGAGACAGGCCAACTAAATTGGGAGAACTAGTGGCGAAAGCCCATGGACGCACTGGACTCGAGCCCCGTTGACTTGAACTTAATGGCTATGAACGTGCTGAACCGGAGACCTCTGGGCCACAACCCCCGGAAACACTCAGCCTCTAGCCACCAAGGGCTTCATGCTCCCTCGGGCCCAATTGCAGGCAACAGGAAATAGCAAAGTCGCTGGTATGTTAAACTCAAAGCTGGAGAATTGTTGCTTTAAAGCTCTCCAACCCACAGGAATGCGATGGAGCCCAGGAGAGGGAATTCAAGCCCATGGGCTCACAATCTTTCCTGAAGAATGGAAGGCTCTAAGGCAGCATGTGGACTGCATTGCTAAGTGCACCCCAGAAGAAGGAAACCCATGGTGACTAAGGGGTTGGCTGCGTCTAGAGATGTTGCTCAGTGGTTATGATCATTCTGGTTATACACATGTGGGAGCGGAAGGCCCTTAATTTGAGTAAGGAATGATCCTCTGCCTTAGCAACAGAATCTTCCTGTTCTCCACTGCCCTTTGTGAGTTTTCATTAGTCAACAATTCTACGCATAACTGTCCAGTCTCCTCCGCAAATGGACTTGAATGTCAAGACAGAAGTCAATTCATCATATGTAACATTCTAAGAAAGCTCGACAGGTTACAGCTTTGGGGAGGGGATGGTATCTCATAATAAATAAAATGCTCTCTCAATAGAGGCAAATGTGGGTGAAAGAGGTTTTTCAGTCTTGAAGGTGTTATGCACATATATGCACAATCTTATTGATGATATAATTTCTTTTAAAACAAAGAAGGAGGCTCTGCACAGACACAGAACCCTTAGGAGGAGCTGCATAGAGACCGCGAAGAAGTGTGCTTTTTGTCTGAAAATCCACATAGTTTACTCAAGTGTGATACAGGACCCACCGCATAGTATAGGGATGGAGGGACTGCAGTCCTCCAGATGTTGGACCACAACTCCCAGCATTCCTGAGCATTGGCCATGCTGGCTGGGGCTGGGGCTGAGGCAAGTTGGGGGTCTAACAACAGCGGAAGAGTCACAAGTTCCCTCATCCCTGTATAGCACTGGTCTTTGAACAAATTGCATAGATTTGACACGTTCAGGCAAAATCTGCTTTTCACTTTTATTCCTCTCTGGGAACTATTCCAAAAGCCATCGCATAGACACAAAACATGAACTCTCCCAGATTATTTTTTCTTTAAAAACAAAAAAACACAAAAAACCCCAGTCTACATTTCCAGATTCTCTACCATAACAAAGACAAGCAATTAAGCCTTTGTGCAAGAAATAGGGGTGGGGATGGGGAGAGAAGCTTTGCAGAAACCTTGACAAGATCACCTTGAACCCAGAACAAATTCATACAACCACTAAAACTATAAATGTTCCCATTAAATTAGTAAAAAAAAAAAAGTGTGTTAAATCACCTTACATGCTCACCTCTTTCTGCTCAACCTGAAGTGCGGTTTTTAAAATGTCCCTAAGTTGAATTAATTGCTTTCTTTCTTCATCCTGCACTTGCTTAATCTGCAGCGAAGACACAACAAAAGCTTGAAATAAACTGGGAGGGCTTCTACTTGTCAGTACAAACCTTGATGCAGAGGTGATGTTCCTGTACCCTTAAGCAGCACATCCACTGACACTTGGGAATGGGGAAGGCCAGGAAGGCCCTGCTCTCCCCTTCACGTGCTCAGGCACCATCACACAGATGCTTCTGGTTCCACTGGACAATCTCCTCCCCGCCCCATACAACAGTCGTATACAGTGGTGCCCCGCAAGACAAATGCCTCGCAAGACGGAAAACCCGCTAGACGAAAGGGTTTTCCGTTTTGGAGGTGCTTCGCAAAACGAATTTCCTATGGGCTTGCTTCGCAAGACGAAAATGTCTTGCGAGTTCCTGCGGGTTTTTTTCCTTTCCCCCCCCTTTTTCCCAAGCCGCTAAGCCGCTTATCAGCTGATCCACTAAGCCGCTTAACAGCTGATCGCTAAGCCGCTTATCAGCTGATCCGCTAAGCCGCTTATCAGCTGATCCGCTAAGCCGCTTATCAGCTGATCCGATAAGCCGCTTAACAGCTGATCCGCTAAGCCACTAAGCCGCTTATCAGCTGATCCGCTAAGCCGCTAATAGCGCTAATCCGCTAATGGGCTTGCTTCGCAAGACGAAAAAACCGCAAGACAAGAGACTCGCGGAATGGATTCTTTTCGTCTTGCGAGGCACCACTGTAATAAGACCAAATACCCTGCAAGACATAACTAGGAGAGGGAGGGAGCCAGGCTGGCTGGCTGGCTAAAATACCATCACATGGCTGCTGTGAGGTGAGAAATTGCCCTTTCTACTGGTCCTCCTCAAGGTTTGCTAAACCTTGTCCATCTGCAAGACAGCTGTTTTGAGCTCATAATTTAAAAAGTTGTGTTTCTTTTCTCTCTCTTTCATTCTATTCTCCACTCTCTCCTGACTACTGTTTCTTTATGGGTCCATCTCTTTCCCCGCTGAAATTTTTAGAAGTTGTGAAGGTGTGTGCTGCTTTTTATGGCTTTATTTTGTTTTTTATTATTATTAATTTTAAGAGACTCTCTGGAGTCTCCAGTTGGAAAGCAAAGTATGCAAATGTAATAAGTAATATGAGGGAGATATGGTTACTTACTGTGTGGAGATCTGTGGAGAGCTTCTCTATCGATGGTTTTAAACTTTCAACTGCTTTCAGGCCATCCTGAAAAAAGCTTTGGAAGAAAAATAAAATAAAAAGGAGTACAAAATTAACTTAAGATGCCTGAAATTTCCTGAATGGAAAAGACAAAGCATTGATCAGTGTGTGTGCGTGCGCACGCAACACACTAATTAAATTTGAAAATCTGTAAAAAAACTTGATCACAAAACACATTTTCTTTAGGTGCCTCTGCGATATGGAATCTACACCCTTTTTGTGAAACAAAAGGAACAGGCAAGATTCAGTAGTCTTAGGGAAGAGGACAGTTGACCTATATCTCTTGGGCTCCTGTGGGATTTTGTCTTAGAGATTTTCATGACAAGAGCAGAATTCAAATGTGGAAATGGAAAAATGCTATCTGATGTTTTGAGAAAAGGCGCTGATTAAAATATCCCCGTTGCGATATTTGATGCAACAATATTTCACCATCACTATTTTACCAACTAACCCAAACTTAACAAAAAACAAGAAGACTGAAATGGTACAAAGGGGTTTCAAAACTCTCTTACGTAAAATAAAAATACGCTCTTCATGACTTCATTCTGGAGTTTCTGGCTGTCATCCATAGTAGTCATTTAAATTCAGGTAAAGGAACAGCACCCATACAGATGTATTGGGGATTTTCACTGCTGTTCTGCCCAATAAGGCAAGCTTGCCTTTCAGTTGTTGCTGCCTGAGAGAGCTGCAGCAATTGAAACCACAAAGAAATCTCTGTCTTCTTGTGTGTAATTTTCTGAAACACATTTAAACTCCTGCTTTGGATCATGGCCACACAACAGTTGTTTACAACCAATATTATATTCTCCTGGGTTTCTATAGGTTCATTAACATGTAAGTCAATATATGACCCAAGCCAGTTTTTGTGCCTTTATGTGAGACGTGAGAACAGTGCCAATAGTTCACACTGTATGCACTGAATCTGGTAGATAACTAAGGATGCAATCCTAACCCCTTTCCCCCTTCCTGGTGTGACTCTGCGGAGTGGCACCGCCACTGCCACCATCTGCTCTTGGCAGTTATGGCGAATAATGTTGGGAGAGAGGCAATAGTGTCTGATCCCTGCACCAGCTCCAGGTGGCCCACAATCCAGGGTTAGCTCAGTCCCATTTTGCTCTGTTTCAGGTCTTTCCATGAGCCTCTACTGATGGGGATACTACCAGCTGGCCTCTTTCCCATCTGCCCATTTGGTGGCCAGCAGGAGGCTGATTCAGCTGGCAAAATTGAGCAAAGGGACACCTCCATACAGTTCAACTCACACACACACCCAAAATCCCCCAGCATAAAGGAGATTTGGATTGCTCCGTCTGCCATCAAAGCAAGCCATGTTTAGATTAGACTTGGCAGTTGCTTGTGCTTCTAAAAACTTCCATAGATATGCAGAAAAAGAAAGGCCTTTCCTTCCCATTTTTATGTTAGGGTCATCTCTGAATGACAGCAAAGAAACATGGAGCGCGTTATTCATCTCGGAGCGCCATATGCATAAGGGAGCCCCTTATGGAGCTCTTGACTGGGAGGGTTATATTTATTGCTACTGGTAGACACAAAGGCTTTGCCTTTGAAATATTGACATTTGGAGTCCACAGACATCTATGATTTGGGAGTTTTATACAGAACCAAAGCTCTATCGTTCTCCCTGTCGCTGCATTACCTTAGCTAAGGAAGGTCTGGAGAAGAAACCTTTGGTTCCATGCTCATTCACCTGACTAATCGTTCAACACACTGGGCTAGAATTCCTTTCTCTTTTTGAAGGCAGTAATACAAATATTGCGTTTAAATAATGCATGGTTTTTTTAATCAGTTGCTGCATGATTGTCCATTACAGGACTTAAACCTTTTGCTTTGGAATAAAAACGTCTGGAACATCTCACCGGGGGGGGCGGGGGGGGATCACATTTCATCTTCAAGCTCTGCAGGGCAATGCTAAGTCTGAAACTTTATATATTGTGTGGTGGAACATTATTTTTCCTGTTAATACCAGGCACTTAACAACCATCAGCGGCCTCTTTTTGAAATGCTCGATAAATACTATGCATTTGGAATACATTTTTATGGTTGTCCCTTTCCCATTGTTTGATCTTTATCCCGTATGCCATTTCTTTTCTTTTGCTGTGCTTTTGGTTTTATTGCGTCTGTATATTTGAAAAAAATGCTTCATAAAAATGATTCCACTCTAAAAAGACAATACTGTACAGAACGGAACAAATCACAAAATGCGTATTTCGATAAAGGGGCATGGCTCAGAGGGACTGAATATGTTCTGCAAGCAGAAGGTTCCAGGTTCTAGGGAAACCCAGCCAGATGGGCGGGGTATAAATAATAAATTATTATCATTATTATTACAATTTCCAGCACCTCCTGGCAGGGGTGGAGAGACCCCTGTCTGAAACCCCAGACAGCCACTGAACAGCAATGTGTAGACAATGCTGAGAGATAGATAGATCAATGCTCTGACCCAGAATAAGGCAACTTCCTACATAAAGTGTATTGGTGACTTGACTGGCTGTTAAGTACTCTACTGCCTCTTTTAAAACATCCACCCTTTGGGAAGCGGGTGCTAAAAACGAGTGAAAAGCCAGGGCTCTTGGCGCCCTGTTCCCAACGGTGTGCTTTTCCCACCCCTGTGAAACAGAACTCCTGTCAGTCGCTAGACACATTCTGCAAAATACGAGGGGTGGTATAGCTGACATGCCTCATTCCATTTCGCAGATTACTAATCATGCCAAATGGCCATGTGGAAATTACGAATGAAAGACAACTGCATGGCTTGGTATTATCTGAGCCCAACGCCTCATTTCATTTGAAATAATACACCCAGCCGACCATAATTGACCTTTTAAACCATTCAGTCTGACGGAAGAACAGTAGTGAAATATACGTACAGCTGAGCTTGACAGATTTGTACATGTCACCTCCAAAAAAACATTAGCGCTGCTATTCTGTCAGAGAAAGTAGGAAGAACAACGTTTCCAGAGAGCGTACAGTTACCAAGAGATAGAGAACGTACTTGCACTGTGCGTGGAAATACTTGATCAGGTTTTGAAGCAAGTCAACTCCTTTTTTAATCTTGATCTCATTGACTTTCAGCAGGTACTGTTAAAATAAATAAATAAATAAACAAGGCACACAAAAACAATTATTAATTACTTTTTCAGAATGAGGGTCATAGAGCTAGTGACAATTAAACCATTTTAATTCTGAACAGTTCAAAGAAAAGAAATAGCATTTTTTGGTGGGTGGGGTGGGAGGAATCCACCACAGATGGAGCAAATGCTGAAAAGGTTTTCTTCAGCTATCTAATGTAAGCAAGTGGAACGATAGGCCATGGTCCAAGGAACTAGTTCTGCACATCCAGAGCTTTATTATACAGTGGTACCTCGGCTTACAGATGCTTAAGGTTACAGACTCCACTAACCCAGAAATAGTACCTCGGGTTAAGAACTTTGCTTCAGGATGAGAACAGAAATTGTGCTCTGGCAGCGCAGCAGCAGGAGGCCCCATTAGCTAAAGTGGTGCTTCAGGTTAAATACAGTTTCAGGTTAAGAACAGACCTCCAGAACGAATTAAGTTCGTAACCAGAGGCACCACTGTACAGCAGCTCCCTCTGCCACACGGCAAACTACTTTTTGTCTTTAGTGAACTGCTTTGTGAGGTCCCCCTGAAAAGCAGTATATAATGAATCTTAAATAAAACGAACTACTTTTGAAAGCAAGGAGCATTTCTAAACAATTTGTGGCACAACACCGAGGATTTTTCAGATGATTATATCCATAATTCTCTGGAGTACTGGGGACATTTTTAATATATGAATAAGACCTGGTATTTAATTTAACATGACATGAAGGCTACCTAAGTCTTCAACTTCAGTTGTAGTTTGGCCCTAACATCTAAAGCATACAGTGGTACCTCGGGTTAAGTACTTAATTCGTTCCAGAGGTCCGTTCTTAACCTGAAACTGTTCTTAACCTGAAGCACCACTTTAGCTAATGGGGCCTCCTGCTGCTGCCGCGCCGCTGGAGCACGATTTCTGTTCTCATCCTGAAGCAAAGTTCTTAACCCGAGGTACTATTTCTGGGTTAGCGGAGTCTGTAACCTGAAGCGTCTGTAACCCGAGGTACCACTGTACTTGCTTGGAAATTAGCTTAGTTGAAATGTATGAGAGTCACACTGAACAGAGTGGATTTACGATTGTATTGTTGATCATGGTATCTCACCCACCATGAATGTGGGCACCTGGTAAAAGGAAAAGGTAAAGGAACCCTGTGGGCACCTGACAGACACCCAGCTCATGTAAGCAAGGGACTGCATTGGTGCTGCTATTCCCTCTTCCTTTAATTAATTTACTACATGTAAGGTCTCCAGCACAGCAGATTCAAGTTTAATTTACTGCGCAAACAAATCTTCTTTAGTAGCTCCTCACAAATTAAGACCAAGTATATTGATCCTAAGCGTCTAGCACTAATCAGCTTTGTTCATGTGAACACAGTATCAATTACTCTTCATTTTGGAAGCCCTATTAAAAATACAGTCAAACCATGGATTCTGAACACCTCTGTTTCGGAATGTTTCAGCTCCCGAACGCCGAAAACCTGGAAGTAAATGCTTCGGTTTTCGATCGTTTTTCGGAAACCGAACATCCAATGCGGCTTCCGCTGGATGCAGGAAGCTCCTGCAACCAATTGGAAGCCGCACCTCGGTTGTCGAACATTTTGGAAGCGTTTGGAAACAGTTTGACAAGTGAGGTTTGACTGTACCACAGAAACTATATATGACTTGCAATAAGCTTTTATGCACACACACCAAGTGCTTTTTCTTACTTTTCTACCTTACAATACCACATTGGGAGCTGCTATATTTCTGGTGGATATTTTAGGACTGAAAAGTTATTCGTATTTTTATATGGTGGCGGATAAGATACCAGAGAAGGAAAACCAGAACAAACCCAAATCCACACATTAAAATTATCTCTCTATGTCACAGAGCTCCTAACACATCTTTTTATATTATTTATGGTGTCTAAAACTCCCCAACTTTCTGCCTTAATTTTCGCCATGCGAGTGTTTTCTGCTTCTAAACTCCTATAGGTGTCATCCTATTAGTGCGCTCTATGTGGGGCTACCTTTGAAGGTGACCTGGAAACTACAACTAATCCAGAATGCGGCAGCTAGACTGGTGACTAGGAACGGCCGCCGAGACCACATAACACCGGTCTTGAAAGACCTACACTGGCTCCCAGTACGTTTCTGAGCACAATTCAAAGTGTTGGTGCTGACCTTTAAAGCCCTAAACAGCCTCGGTCCAGTATATCTGAAGGAGCGTCTCCACCCCCATCGTTGTGCCCGGACACTGAGGTCCAGTGCCGAGGGCCTTCTGGCGGTTCCCTCACTGTGAGAAGCCAAGTTACAGGGAACCAGGCAGAGGGCCTTCTCGGTAGTGGCACCCGCCCTGTGGAACGCCCTCCCACCAGATGTCAAAGAGAACAACCACCACCACACTTTTAGAAGACATCTGAAGGCAGCCCTGTTTAGGGAAGCTTTTAATGTTTGATGGATTACTGTATCTTAATAATTTGTTGGAAGCTGCCAAGAGTGGCTGGGGAAGCCCAGCCAGATGGGCAGGGTATAAATAATAAATTATTATTATTATTATTATTATTATTATTATTATCCGCTTGGTCAAATTCTTTCAAGTTGAAGAAACTTAACACTGTCAAATCTGAAGATATTCTGCTACACCAGTTTGACTCAGACAATCCTCAGATCATGGTCTGGAGGGACAGACATAGGCTAAGAGCTCAGTGTTGTATCTCTACCTTTCATCAGTGCCTATTAGCCACAATGCCTATGTTGGAGGCACTATGCCTCTGAATACCACTTGCTGGGAATCACAAATGGGGAGAATGCAGGCCCACTCAGCTCCCTTCTGTGAGCTTCCCATGGGCATCTAGCTGGCAATTATGAGGCCAGGATGCTGAACTAGATGGGTCATTGGCCTGATCCAGCAAGGCTCCTCTTATGTTTATTTTCTCTCCTCCATTTCTGTTTATTCTACATATATAGTTTGCTCCAACAACCAAATAGGTAAACTGTGTAGCCCCCAAACTACAAGCCAACTCCAACCCATTATTTCAAACAATAGTTTGCAGGTTACTGTCAACCATAGTTTGCAAACTATGATCAGAGCTGCCCAGAAATGTGAGGAGAGAATTGGCACGTGAGAAGTGAAAAGAGAAACTACATTGAGGCGAGGGGAACTCGAAGGTAGAACATTCCCAGTCCTACTAATGGTGGATTCAAGGACAATCCACACAGGGCTACTGCCACACAAAACCAAAGAGCAACCAAGTTTGAAACCAAACCATTACAGAACAATCCCTAGGCAGCAAATTCATTGCAGCCCTTCAGGGCATGAACAGCTCTTTCCCAACAGCTGTTAAATTTCCCTACTTAACCAAATAAAATGAGATTTTATTTTTCCCCATCTCTCAACAATACTGCAGCAGATGGCAACTTGAATGGGCGCAGGAGACAATCCCCTAAGCCTAGGATGGGAATGGTTGCATAAAGGATTTGCCTATTTGGTTTGTTTATAATCTGCGTGCACACACACGAACACACACAAAGGCTTCCTGTGATGCCAGTTTATCATTGATAAAATAACTGCGTAAAAAGCAAGAAATTCCTTCCTAAAACTGGAACCATCCAGGTTAGCTTCAAAATTCCCTTCAGCACTTGCCACAGAAAATAAAAATAAAATAAAATGTTCCCTCTTACCTCACACATTTGTAATTGGAAGAACCGCCTCTCTTTCTCCATCTCTTCTGCTATTTCAGCCCCACTTATTTCTGTACGTATCATCCCGTGTAATTTAGCGTGCTCCTTTTTCTCTTTCTCTATTTTTGTCCTGTGTGGAAGAGAACCAACAAAAGGGCCATCAGCCTGAAACCTCATTCTTTCACTTGTTTCGGTTTTGTTTCAGGGTTGTGCTCGACACTCTAAATTAAACGGCAACCCACCCAGTATAGTGGAGCCGTCCTGCTGAGCTCAATAGTACTAAGCTCCAGATCAACAGAGTTTTACGCTCAAACTAAAATGCTCCTCACTAAAATCAGGCCAACCTGCACAGGAATTGCTAAATTCCGTATTGAGCTGCAGGTGTGTAATCGGTTTCCCTTTTTTACAGCTATGGAGCCCTTGAATAGTATGACGCCATCATCAACTAGGTGTAGGGTCTAGGGAACAAAATGGTTTTCTGAAATACTCTCTGAAGAGTGGGACTGGTAATAGCCTTTTAAAAACATGCATGAGATACCAGTACAATAAAGTATCTACAAAAGAGACACACAGGCATTCATTCTTGTCCTTGCGAACGAAACAATGAGCTAAAAAACAACAACCCCAAATCACTTATTAACAAAACGTTGAGACACTGAAAGGTGGATGGAGTCCACTGCGAATTAAGATATCTCTGAAGCCAGACCCAGTTGACCACCTCTGTGTGTTAAGATTATAAAATTTCTTCACTAAGTTACCTCACAATCCTCAAGAAGTAGTTAATGGAACATTTTACAACTAAGTGGCAAACAATCCTCACAACACAGTCCACATATTACACACTCTTTTTCAGCTGCTACACTTCCTTAGCCAGTTCTGTGAGCCAGCTTTACACAGCGCTCCCTTGTCGGGCCGAGTTTACTTTCTTTGAATGAAGCCAACCCTTCCCCCATCATCCCAGAGCACAGCTGTCTTCCCTTCCTGTTCCTGAGCCAACTTGACATTGCAAATGCAAGCCAGAAGGGCTGGGTTGGAGGCTTCCGAGTCTTAGTAAGCAAGCTGCCCTGATTACCCAAAGGTCACTGTCAACCAACATGGGCAGCAGTAGTGCAGCAGAGAACAAAACAGCAACACCAAAACCTACAACACATAACTAGGTTACTGGGATTAGGGGGCAGGAGTCTTCATTTTGCACTGACATTTGTGTTTACTGGTTCCCGCTGAAGCCACTGAACCACATGCGATAAAAATCAAAGGCACGTTGTATTTGTTAAAATTATTTGTACCCAGGAATTGCGGAGGGGCAGATTCTTAAAAGAGGGAATTAGGCTCAGTATAAAAAGGATGCATACTGACACAGGGCACAAGGTATGATTCACACTTCTGTGATTCAGGAAGGGACTTGTTGCACTAGGATGCTCTAGGCACAAGCCTGTGTCTGGTATTTCAACATTTTCATACATATCTATAATTTCAGACATATGCAAAACCGTGCAGCGTAGAGAAGTGCTGAGAAAGGCTTTTTTATTCAGAAAATGTAGGCAGCGCAGATTCCTTCGTTTGCATCTGTTATACACTTGCATAAGAACTGACATAATGGGTGACATCCGTACTGTCATCATTTCCTCAAATGTGGATGCTTCAGACCATTTTAACAGCACAAGGCACTAAGGAAGTAAAATACTCCATTCCCAATCTTGCATTCTTAGTTCTGGCAACGTTATCAGAGAACACAATAGGCAATCATTTCCCTCTACGCTTGCGTTTTCAATAACCGTAGTTGGATTAGAAGTGGGTCCGCCAACTGTGGTTTGGGCTACCTGCAAATAGCATTAACACCGGAGCACATGTAATGCTAACCATAGTTAGCTCTGAAATGGAATAAGGAATGGCTAAGCAAGAGGAGGGGTGCACAAGGTTGCCAGGTGCTATCCTGACTGCTAACCCATAGACAGGAGATTAGGCATTATAGTTCTGCACCAGGCCATTGTGAAAGGGTCAACAGTTTGTTTCTTGAAAACAAGACCAAAGGAAGGTTTGCATACAAGGGCAGAGGAAACACTATTTACCGTTTTAGTTACTATCCGCTGTCATCTAAGGCTACTGAACCAAAGCAGTGGATGCATTTAATTAAACCTCCATTGCTTACAAGGATTAAAGAATACACAGAATCTCCAGGGTTGCAATTCAACCCCTTGGGCAAACTAATCATCAATTTATATAATTTCTGTTAAAGAGGATGTCTGGAGCCAATCTTACACAGGCAGCACAGAAACCCAAGTATTATCTTTCTCCTTCTCTCTCTCTGGAAACTGAATTCTTGGAAGGAGTACACAGCAGCTATGTAAAAAAAACAAACAAACCAGCTCCTTACAGAATAATTTATTGTTCAAATGATGTTCATTATATGTTTAACACGGGCACGTTTACTATAGTCCTCTAGCACAAGGTACTTTCCAAGAGTTGCCTCTGAGCACAGCATTTTTTTCTTTCTGGCAACATAACTCAGATCCATGAAAAAGGAAGTGACGGTACCCTTGCTGCAGGCAGGAGAGGGGCTTTTTTGTCTATTTGTTTTAAAGGCTTTTGTGCTGCAAAAGTTCCACAAAAGAGCTGGGATATTGCTGGAGGGAGAAAGAGTTGTTTCACTTAAAGGCCTCGGTCAGCCTAAAAAGCTTTCTGATTCAGATTTACAGAACATGGTGAAAGGAAGCAGGGAAACGATTTCAAAAGGAAAGATCATAACTCCATACAGTCATACCTTGGTTCTCGAACACGTTAGTTGTCGAACAAATCGGCTCCCGAATGCCAAAAACCCAGACATAAGTGTTCCGTTTTTCAAAAGTTTTTCGGAAGCCAGACGTCCGACACAGCTTCCGCTTGAGTGCAGGAAGCGCCTGCAGCCAATAGGAAGCCGCACCTTGGTTTTTGAACAGTTTCGGGAGTCGAACGGACTTCCGGAACGAATCAAGTTCGAGAATCAAGGTTCCACTGTATTCTGAAAGCTCATTGTAGAGTCTTTTATAATGCTTAAGCAGCAGACATCATAGCAAACCAGGGTCTTCTTCAAGAATTCTGGTACATAATTGGCATCTGAAGCACGGAAGAGGCAGTTTGTCACAATATCAAGTTTTAGTGAGAAGGCACACTCGAGCTTGGGAAGCCATAGAAATGTAGGAGGCTGCCCTCTACAGAATCAGCCAGCTGGTCCAGTTAGCTCACTTGTTGTCTATACTGACTAGGAGGCTCTCTAGAGCTACAGACGAGGGCATTTCTCAGTCCTTCCAGAAGATGCCAAAGACTGGGCATGGCATTTTTGCATGCAAAACACGTGCTCTGAGTTTACAGCTCCCTCCTGTCTGCTGAGAGTGCAAATTATTTTCTTCTACTGTATATGCTTTGTCTGCATACCATGCTGTTAATGTTCAATCTTATAAAGGACAGTCTAGCAGAACAAAGGCAAAGCGAGCACTCAGATTTTAAACCCAGCCAGACCTACTCACAGGTCCACAGTTAATTACTGGCACTTTTATCATAAAGTATTGAATAGTACTGTTGCAACAACCACTTCGAGGCATTGTCAGAAGTAGCTTTTCCTTTAGTGCAATCACAAACGCATCACCAAGAGGCTGGTATTTCATCCGCGTATAATAAAAAGTGATGGCAGCCTTGCTGCAGGCAGAAGGGGAGCTTTTTGTTTGTGAGCTTTCAAGGAAACATGCACTGCAGTGCTGCATGGAGAGTGGGAAGCACACCAGGCTTTTAAATAAAAAACCCACATCAGACGTTGCGCAAAATGGTGTGAATATTGCTGGAGGGAGACAGGGCCATCTCATCCAAAGGCCTCCTGTAGCCTAAAAAGCTTTTTTGCTTAGGACTTCCAATTCACAGAACATGGTAGAAGGGAGTAGGGAAGCTCTCTCAAGAGAAAACATCATAGAAGAGTGTCTTAAAGTATTCCATGGATTTGCAATAACAACACCATCCAAATGAAGGAGCTGCTACTGGGCACGCCATCTTTCACCCCAAAAACCTCAACTTTCGTTGGGGGAGGGCATACAAATGTGCTTCTGGTTTGCTTTGGTGCTGAAATAGTTGTTGACCATTTTTACTGATGTTATTGCTATTCTGCTAGGCATTGTGTTATCAACACAGCTATTCTACTGTCAACTTCACCATTGTTCTATGGTCTCATTATGTGATCATTGCATCACCTCCAAACATCACTGCCTCCAATATATATTAAATAAACTAACAGATTTCACTTCCTTGAACACAGAGGTAAATTTGGCAACAAGCAGACAAACTCTGGAGAAGCCTTGGACAAGGTAGAAAATTTAACAATGGCTTCCAGTGGCTAACAGATGGAGCTTTCATGCCCTGCATGGCTCTGTATTCCTCCTGCCGCTTTTGTCTACAAGTGACTACTGGTCTCCTAGACCCTTTTCCATCCTTTGACTGTCCCCTTAAAACTCTACTTCTCTTATTTTTACAAAAGGAGTATTAAATACAAAATTGGTTTTCTGTGCCAGGGGCAGATGTGGCTCATCAACCTGGAAGGTAGGCCATGCAGGAGAAGGAAAACTCTGATCCTAAACCTCCGTTGCCTTGCAGGATATCTTTGGGAGAAGAAAGGCTGAGGAGTAAACCCAACACAAATCCAGAGTGGAGTGCCTAAGATGGCTGTATGGTGCCTTGCACGCCTCCTTCTGGCAACTCCTGCAGCCAAACGTATTGCTCTGATTTCCTTTGAACCACATCAGCAAGGCCGAGAGGGGTTTGTGGGTGTTTTTGTCTGGGCAGCTCAGGACCTCCAAACACACTGCCCAGGCTTGCACCTCAGGGAGGTCAACTCAGTGCTGCCAACACAGTGGTTTGACTTCACCCCTGGAGGTGCAATGCATTGTCTCTCAAGAAAGATGGATGCCAACAAAAGTGTTGTAGCAACATGAAGCTAAACCAGCAGGATTTCTCTCCCTTCACCTGCTACACACGTTGAAGGAAACTAATCTTTCCTGACACAATCGATTTATCACTGAAAGGCCCACTACACTGCACAGTAATAAGATTCTGAGTTGCAAAGCAAATTTTCAGCACTGTGTACCAACAGGTTCATACAATGAGAAGGATTCCCAGTGGTTGCTCCACTCTTATTTCATCTCAGTACCTATTCAGGGGTTTTTTAAAGCTAGAATCACGCAGCATTGGGTGACTTTACCTTGATGTATTTTACTGTTCCTGTGCTAAAGACTTAGCCAGATTACGTATTCTTTTGAAACAGTCATGCACAATTGTTAAAAAGCAAAATAACGCGTCCATATGTTAAAAGACACAGGCACATTCAAAATGGTTTTTACATGAGAAAGTATTTGTTTCTTAATTGCTCCTGAGGAAGTTCCTTGACTCAAAATGCCCTGGGCCTTGATAAACAAAGAGATTCCTGTGCACCTTTGAGATTTCCTCATTTTCTATACTGGTGTCGTCCCGTTTCTCAGCCAGTGCTAACCTCTCAAAATAGCAGTTTAGGAATCTGGTATTGAGAGCTCATGAACAGGAAACTAGTATAAATCATACAAAACCAATGCAAGCATATATAAAAAGCATACTAAGTACTTCTGGTAAGGTATTAGCACACATATGTTTTCAACTAATTTTTTTTTTTAAAAAAAACCCTTACAAAGAAGTTATACCAAGTGATAATCAACAATTAGAAAGTATATAAAGTCCCTCTGATTTCAAGGGGACTGAAACATGTTTGCCACTCAAATACTGTATCATCAAATGATGGTTTGCAGATGTCAGACACTGCGGCTCAAGCAGTGACGTAATTTTTTATATCAGTTTGCCTCACCTCTGCACAACACACCTTTCAACTAAGCCACCTAACCAATTCAGCTTCAAGCCATTAAGTAATAAACACACACATGACTGGATCAGTCTCAGGTAGCTAAACTGGAACTGCACTGACCTAAATCCTTCATGAATTAAAAACTTGGGTTGCAACTCTACGCAGTCCTGAGTGCGGTGAATGAAGTGGCTCTTCCTTCTGAACAAATGTACAGCTATTTAGCAACAAATCCAAATTACTGGCTATTTGACAGAAAGAAAATACATACACTTTTGTTTCATAGTCTTTCCATGCTTTATCAAAAGGTTTCTTCAGATCCTGCAAAAAACAAACATTTTTTAAAGGTTCATTCTGAAGCATCCTTCAAATCACCCAAACCAGTATTTATTTATTTTTGCAGTCAGAACACCTTTGTCACCCTTTGAACACCCACAGGTTTTGATTCTTTCCCTAAGCTTCTAATGACGTCCATTCAGTGGGAGATTAACCAACAGGAAGTCCAACATACACCCTCCACTGATTTCTGTGGGAGCAAAGATCAGTAGACTGACCCAAGCACCTGCTCAACACCAACGTGAACTCTGGGTAACTCAAAGTATCTGAGAGATAGCCGGGTCTGAAGGAGCAAAGCAGCTGTGAATCTCCACTCCATTTATATGCTATTTCCTATCTTGCAGACACTCCCTGGAGTCTTTTCACCCCATCTCCTCTGTTGGCCAATCACAAAAGTAGCTCAAGCAGAAAAAATAATTGAGAGAGAGAGAGACTTGAATATTTGGCTCTATCTTCCTTGCTCCACTCTTCTGATCCCCTTCCTTCCTTCCTTCCTTCCCTCCCCCCATGGAAATGCCTTTCTTGCCTAAAGCCACAGTGTTGAGGCTCCTTGCCCCCCAAAGATGGTACTTTTATATAATATATGTAGCAGAACGACTCATTCTTATCTCAGTGGTACACAAAACCTTTGTATGTTCCATATCCTGTTTGCCACTTAAATAGCAATGCAGACCCTATTACCTCCAGCTTACCTGTAACTACATCCACTGCCTATGGCACCTCAGATTCCACTTACCTGAGTCAGACTCAGACCCTGCTGCAGCCTACTGCACAGCTAAGCTAAGCCACCAGCCTGTCAACGTTTTGTTTTTGTTTGTTTTTTGCTTCCAGGATTCTCCCTGAGGAGAACACTGGAGGCAGGCCTTAAGCTGACAAGCATTCTACACTGTTCTCCTTTCCGTTTACTGAGGAAGGGAAATAAACAACCAAACTGGGAAATTGTGAGGTCATTTAAACATGGATACTTTGATAACTGTGAAAGGTTGAGTTCTGTTTAAAGTGTCTGAGAGGTGCATGGGACAGAGTGAACAAGTCCAACCCTGCCCCTCACAATATCTCCCAAAGGAGAATTCTGGGTGGGAAATAGCATCGAAACAGGCCCTTGGTGCCTGTTAACGCATGCTAGCCAAAACATAAATATAATTTTCCTGTCACAGCAGAGAGGGGATCTTTGCAAAGTAGTGTGCATGTTTTTAAATGGGTAATAAATCTTTAAAATGACATAATCATTGTTTTATGGTCACTTGCAAGCATCTCCAGCACTGTTTTCTTTCAATGCCCTATAATATATGATGTATTTTCAAGCATTTTGCAAAAGTCAATAAGCGAATTCTTCATTTGTGTTTGAATGTGATTATGGTGTTTACTATATAGATATTAAATAAGAAATTGTCAGGGCTCCCATCTGCCCGGGAGCCATACTTCTTAACACCAGGGAAGCAGAATATTCATTGTTTTAGATACTCAACACTTAGAAGTACTAGCTCAAAAAAACAAAAAACATAGCAAAGCAAAGCAAATTTAATTAAAATACTATATCTAATACTATGGATATGACGGGTTGTAATGGGTGGTTCTCCAGCTGAAATGTGCTTATGCTGACAAGAACAACAACATAATATACAGTGGTACCTTGGTTTGCAAACAGTCTGGTTTGCATACATTTTGGATTACAAACACGTCAAACCCGAAAGTACGTGTCCAGGTTTGCAAACTTTTTTTGGATTACAACCCATTTTGGGGGGAATATGAACAAATTTCTTTAGGAGGCCAAATTGGCGAAAGCGCACCTTGGTTTACAAATGGACCTCCTGAATAGATTATGGTTGTAAACCAAAGTACCACTGTATTGGTAAAATATATAGATATATACAACATACCCCTTTCACTCCTTTTAGATCTCCTTTCAGCAAACTGTCCAGTGGAAAAGTGATGATGTTGTTCATGTTCTGGATCTATAACAAGAATTGCAATAGTTTTAAAACATGCTCGCTCTTAGGCTCAGTAGCCTTACTTTGCCAGACAGAACGAGGAGCGTCCAAACCTTGGGGAGAAGCAAATCAAAGAGAGAACAGTGTGAGTGCACATAATATATCATTATGAAAACGTAGCAGAGATAGCTTTCTTGAGCAGGCACCGATTCCTTGGGGAGACCTCATGGTGCCTCTTCCTGTGCTTTGGTCCCTAAGAGGTGCAGGACTCTAGTTTCCACATTTGAGGAAAGGGAAAAGATAATGGCAGATTCCCTTCTTAGAAGTTTGCAGGCAGCCTTATTTCATTATTACTAACTCACAGTGCACAAGGTGTGGCTGTTTTCTCTTGCTATTGCGTTAAATTTTAACTTCATCCAAATAACAGCGCAGGCATGCTGGCAACAGATGGAACATTATACTGTATATGTGTGTGATCAAAATTACAGATCCATACCTATAAGTGTGGCTTTCTGTATTTTTTTTTAATCACTAATTCACCTGATGCACTCTGTAGTGGTCTGTGATCATTCTCTACTTAACAAACTGTTTTCCCTATAATGATAAAAGCACAGAGGAAATAAAGGTTTTGAAACAGGTGTCTAAGCAACTGTAGACTACAGAATAAAGCGAATCAACATATGCCAGCAATAAATAACAATTCAATCTAACGCTAGCATCAAGAAGGGAAGCTCAAACCTAAAGAGACCATCAGAATACAAAAATAATTGGTGTTGGCTTTAGCAAGAAACAATCCAAAAGAAAAACAGGACTTCCCAAAGTTTTTTTCTATCGCCACATAATCAAGGAGCCATTTCAGGTGCAGCACAAGGCCATGGGTCAGTTCATGTGCAACACTAGACCAAACCATGGTCAATGTCTAAACCAAACCATGGTTTAGTGTGAATGCCTAAGCGTATGAGCTCCCAAAGAGGAGCAAAACCAACTACCAACTCAGGTTCAGAGTGAAGCAGCCATGATCTCTTCTTTAGAAGCCAGCACAATTGCATGTTCCTGCTAAGCCAAGCTTAGCATTACATGCTAACTAGGTCAGCGGCTGCATTAACATGTAACACTAAACCGAGGTTTAACAATATGTAGATGAGCTCCAATGAGTTGGCTGCAGTATTCCAACACATACTGCTACACTGAAAGTCCCTTCATATGGTGCGCATATGAATAGATCTGTAACCACAATGGATGTAAGTACGACAAGATGGTTGAGGGGTATGCTATCAGCATTAAGTAAACTTGTCCATACAGTCTTCCAAAGACAACCTAACCAAAGTTACCTGAGACTGTCACCATACAATTGTCCTAAAGAAAGTTGGAGGCAGTTTACACAAGTGTATTCAGTGATCAGTGCCAAATGAATGACAGAAGCTTTGGCAAGGAATAATACTGCGCTCTGCCAAGGAAAGTGTTTAATTACTTTTTTCTGGAAAGTGCTCCACATACTGATATCAAGGCAAACAATAAAAGGGGTTTCACAAAGTGCTTGGAAATATTATACACACAACACAGAAGTGAGCTCTCATGAAAAAAAGGAAGAAAGACACAATGTATTAATTTTCAAGTTGATTAAACACACACACACAATGACTCTATTTGAAATTTCATTTTCATGAGTGGAAACTAAAACATAACAAGTGTTTTTGAAAACAAGAGTTTAGCAAGAAGGCTTGTAAAAACGGTAAAAGCTAGGAGCTGTTTTAAATGGTTTTAAACTGTGGAATTTCAAAACTAAGGTATTAGGTTTTTTTTTAATCTAACCAACCCAATGCTCAACAGAGCCTATTCCACTACTCATTTCATAGAGGACTGCAGGCTAATTATTACAAAAGATCAACAAAAGGAATCAATCACAAAGGTGATGCGAGGGAAAGGTGCATTTGGAGAAAATAAGTGTCTGGGGGAAAGGGATGTTGACATTTGTCCTTATATACCCAGTCCCTGTGATGTTTTATAGTAAGCTTTAAAAAAACCCACAACCCACTGGTTTTATTGGCTTTATTTCAACCCAAACACTCCTAAATCTGTCCACACGCTGTGTACCCCTTGCCACATGTCTGCTAATATTTGACATCTGCAGCACAACACGTTAACTGTTTCCATCTGATATGAACTTCATTTAAGGTTAGCTACGCTACACTCACTCCTACTGCCTTCCCTTCCACCTCTCCTTCTTGGTACCGTTTTACGATTATGCTCGATCGGTCAGTGATTAGGTATTGTTAATGGCCCTTCAATGCATACAGTTTTTCTCTGGATGCTGCCATCATCTGGCATCTTATGTGAGTCTAGGAAACAAGTACCGTATTTTTCCATGTAAAACATGCCCCCATGTATATTACGACCTCCTATTTTTTGGAACTACAAATTAAGGAAATGCGGGAAATTGCCCAGAGTTGTTGAGCTTTTTTTGGGGGGGGGGGGGTTGCTGACAAGCTCCTGCTCGCGGATGCCACCAATCACCTGTCTACACTATCCGTGTATAAGACGACCCCAATTTTTTACATTTATTTAAAATGAAAAAAATATCGTCTTATACAGTTGTACCTCAAGTTACGTATCCCTCCGGCTACAAAAACTTCCGAATACGTAAGCGGAAAACCCAGAAGTATATTTCTGGGTTTTTGCCGCACGCGCACGCGCAGAAGCAGTGGAGCGCTTCTGTACATGCACAGAAGCACTCTATCGCCATGCATGCGTGCACAGAAGTGGTCAGTCCAGTTGCAGAAACCTTGGGATCCGACCGCAGCTCCGGAACGGATCCCGTCCGCAACGGAGATACCACTGTACACGGAAAACTACAGTACTTAGGACAGGATATAATTTTAAGTGCATTGCCACAGTACTCCCAGCTGTGCAGGGATACCACATTGGCATTAAAGATAAGTGTGCTGCTAATATGTAGAGTGGGATGTTACTGAGAAAGGATTTTTTTCAACCATTGGACAACTGAGAAGTTGACAGAGCAACTCACACAAAAATGCCTTGCTACTCACTCGAGGCACTAAATATTACATAAGTGCTGTAATACTGGAAAGGGCTTGTGAGTGGCACAGCTGTCTTTTTTTAAAGTATCTTCTTCCAACATCCGAACAAACACTATCAGTGCCATTCAACACAATCATACTGTGATGCAATGTGGAGACCAGGTCAAAATGACTCATCCTCTTCCCCCATTTTTCATTCCCAGCCCCCAGGAGAGGGTTCGGTTCAGTCAGAGGATAGCAATTAGTGTTATTAAGGGTTGAAAAAGAAACCAATTATAAAAGAGGCTGGAAGTCTCTCCTTGAGACGGCTAGATAACAAAGTTGTCTTTACAACCATTTACAATATCCACTGCATGCACACATGAAACATTTCCCCACAGTAATCAGATTTCAACTCTATAGACATTCACATTTCCAAATTAAAGCTCTGTTAGCTAAGCTTCAGAAACAGCTATTCGGTTTTCTTTTTAAAAAAGCACACCACTAAGTCAAAGTATATTCTACTGCACTTCCTCAGATGCCACGGGAAGGTTACTGCAAAATTTGAAGGGTAGCTAAGCTTAATGTCTATCAAAGCTTTGGACTTTGTATGAGATCAAGTATTAAAGATTAATTTATTCTGGTTAAGAGCTAAAGCTACACCATTCAGTTCCAAGTCTACATATAATAATAGTTTTAGGGAGGGCCAAATTATTTCATACCAAGTTTTTGAAGAGCGCCGTCAACTCCTTTGTAAATACTGCAAATTTTAGAAATGCTGTTCCTAAATCTGGATCATCCCTGCAGACGCAGTTTCCTCCAAATTTCTCCAGTGCTTGAGTGTACTGTTCTTCATTTTCAACATGAGCTTCAAAGAGAACAAAGATTATGTTAATTTCAATAGCTGCAATACGGTCTCCACTAATGTAAAATATCCCCTGCAGTTGGAAAATAGTTGCATTTGAACACTTTCAATTTTGTATTTATATTTTAAACATTTGTTAAGATTCAAAGCAACCCACTAGATAAGTCAACGATGCATAACAGATAAAAAAAGATCTCCAAAATGGAGGTAAAGGTCGTTAAGGTGTCATAACATGCTAACAAAAACCCCTCTATTCCTTAGATCCTGGCAAATCAAACAGCTTAATAATTTAATAACAATCACTTATGTCTTATACATAAAATTCTAACAAAAACTGGCTAATTAATTAACAATTACTTAGTTGCCAGTCCTGCCAGGAAAAGTGTCCCATTTCATTACAATGGGGAACTATCACTCTGCAGCAAAATGAACAACGCTGCATGTATAGGTATATACAAAGTGCACGTACAAAGTGTATGAATCAGGGTCCAAAGTATCAAAACAGCTCTTACAAAGGTAAACAGATGCAGAACATAGTAAACAGATAACATACAGGAAAAGTGAACAGAAAATTCCAAACACTCAAAGATATAAAAGTAAGCCAGCCTAGAGAGGCAATCGTCCTTTCCAACACTGTCCCTCTAACCTAAGTGTGCACAATGTTTTACCCACGTTTGCAAAGGTTAGGAAGGAGCTGCTGTGGCCAAAGCTCCCTTGACTGGTATAGCACTTTGGGGGGCTGCAGTGCTAAACCCATGGGAACAGTGCCTCAGGCTCTGTTTGCTGCAAGGTATTCCCACCTCTGAAACATTGCAGTCTCCTTTGCCAGCAAGCATGCCCCACAGTTTGAGAACTACTCTAGTAATGTGCAGTTCTAGTGTTGGATAAAAAAGACCGATCCTGGGATCTTCTGAATGCAAGCATGTGCTCTACCACGAGCTACAAATACTTTCCTCTGTATTTTAGGGTTGTCACACTGGTCAACTGAGAGTTATTATATTATTTGCCAATTGTCAATTAAGTTGTCACTTATTGGATATGCTGTAGCAGTGGATTTCCTTTAAGGAGTAGGGCTATCTGACTTTTGAGATCCCTTTCAACTTTATGGCCTTGTTCACACATCATAGTGAGCCAAACTATATAGCTTGTGAGCTTGCAAGGCCCCTGGAGAGGAGCTCAGAGCTGCTTTGTTCATTGTCAAGTCCTTTTTCCCTTCCGATGAGCTAGGCCAAGGTTTGGCTCAGCGTGTCATCCAAACCAGATCTTGTGGTTAAACTCCCTCCTCGCCAACCGCAAGCTGTATCCATGAACAAACCTTGGCATGGAAGTAAAGAAGAGAGGGAGGAGCAAAGGGTCTGTGAGCTCCTCTCCAGGAACCTGCATGACTGAGCAGTCCTGATAACCCATAATTTGGGTCACCATGATGTACAAACCAGGCCTATAATTCTGTAACTCAATGAGGCCAAGGCTGCCACTGTCTTGGAAGCAGCTTACCTTTCAAATTTTGTTGTGGTTTCATTTGCTAGCAATGAGGACTTGCTAACCCAACACTACCCAGGGACAATCTAGCTACATAGCTGTGAATCTCATACAGGCTGCTTGGTCTAAGCTGCAAAGATCTCCAAAAGAGAAACACAAGCCTTGCAGAAATCTTTACCTCAACACTCAGAAGGAAAATGAATTGATATTGAGTGTGCTTTCAAACTGCTAGGTTGGCAGGAGCTGGGACAGAGCAATGGGAGCTCATTCTGTTGCGGGGATTCAAACTGCTGAGCTTCCGATCGGCAAGCCCAAGAGGCTCAGTGGTTTAGACCACAGTGCCACCCGTGTCCCTCATATATATTAGTAACTTTGTATCAGGTGATCAATCAATCAATACCTAACTTATAGCAATTGTTTACATTTGTTTTTATAGATGTCTAAAGTCTCTTTTTTGTTTTAACAAAGTTAATATTTTTTAAAGACTTGGCCATAATTTGATGGCATTTGACTGGCCAAATAACCAACTACATGGCAGTTACAGCTAGTGTAGGAATTACCATAAGCATCACTTGAAACCTGCATACAGATCACCAGGCTGCAGTATTGCACTCAGATGGCATAACACATTACAGTGGAACCTCTACCTGCGACCATAATCCATTTCGGAGGTCTGTCTGGAGGTCAAAATGGGTCACTGGGAGAGGCGCCGTTGTGCGCAGGTGGCGATTGCCCGCTTCTGCGCATGTGCAAACGGCGATCGCCACTTCTGTGCATGCGCGAACGGCAGCAAACCCGCTGGTTACTTCTGGGTTTGCCATGGATGTTGGGCGAAATGGACGCAAGTGGAGGCGGACATAAGAAGACGTTTGATTGTTTATGGAAAGTTACTTTCAAGTCAGGAGAAATACAATGCTCTATTAGTGAAACCAATAAAACTAAGTTTGAGGTCTTTGCAAAACCATGACTAAGCTTGTTGGCTGTGGTGCAGAATTACTGTCTACAAATGTCTTCACAATGGCCCAACACTTGCTCCTGGCAAACTGTTATCTGCAAAATGGAATCCAACTTTATGAACACACATTATCATGGTTTGGACATTATGCTAATCTATGATAATTGATATACCCAACCACAGTTAAGACTAGCAACAGTTTGTCCAACTTTGGGCACAGTGTTGTGGTTAATCAGAAACACAGGATAAAGCATCGAATCACCAGTAGAGGAGCGGGGAGTATTCAGGCCCAAGGCTCATTCATCTAACATTAAATCACAGTTTAGAGTTACGTTCTAACAAGGCCACTCCCTCTCTCCTCCTCTTTCCAGGACTATTTCACTCTTACTTCCCAGTATCTACTATGATTCTATATTACTTGTGTACCAATTCAAAATTTCCATTTTCAACCCCATGCCAAACCATGTTTTCAATCTTTGATTTGTGGGGAACCTATGGATTTTATCAAGCATAACTTGCATCAGTGCGTACGTAAACAAAGAACCATGGTTAACTCTAGGAATGGAAAGCACTCAAGAAAGAGGCAACATAAAGTGCTTATTCATGAGCTTCTGGTTGGCAAACCAGGGTTCATGGGGAATCAGCATTATGTCTGCACCAAACACGCCTATAACACTTTCACAGATATTCCCAGCAAATGCATAAGTAGGACAAGTTTTCAAATGCTTAGTTTTTAGCAATGTAGTTCGACTGTACATACCAAGCCCAGAAATATTTATGGCTTTTACGGATTTCTTCATTTTATAAAGAACAGTTCGGTCAACATCCAGTGCCTATAAATGAAGGAAGATAAGAAGAAGCTTTAATATTTATAAGAAATCAGCTCATTTAAATGGCTACCAGAAAAAACACAAAAACCCTTACATAATGCAGTAATATACTGACCAGCTATTGTTATAATTTAAATATATTTATAGAGAATGTTCATTAGAGGATCTGGTTAGCACACTCCATTATCCTCAGGAAAAAAGGTGGTGAGTGTTCTCCAGCATGCAAAGCAGATTAATTTGCCTTAATAGTCCCAACATGAGCCGTATTGTTAGCATTCCTACAATTTTGATCTAATATGGAAATTTCCAATAGAAATCTGGACTTCCATGTAGCTGACGTAGCAAACAGACCAGTATATTAATAGCAACATTAACAACAGACTTCCATTGGGTTTTATATGATTTATTTTATTAGAACACCTGACCATATTAACTTGCTGCCTGCTGTGATCCAATGAAGCAGACACAGCTTTCAATAATGCAATGTTTTCAACCAAGGCAACATATTCATGAGCTTCCAAGAGCATCATGAACGCCCTATCAAAGAAATTAAAAGATGCTCTAATGATCTTGCCTCTAAGCATGAATATTAAAATAATGCAAGGCTACCAAAAGCCAGTGTAAGTGAAGCAGAGCAGGCAAATCAGTAGTTTAATTCTCAGAAGAGTGACAAATCTTCATTTGGTCTAGAACACCACCAACCCATTTCCACAATACACTGCAAACAATGCCAGTGTTGTGTCGACGAAGCTTATTTTGTGCCTCACGGAAGTCCCTAGAGGTTTGTTGAAGTGCCCTTTAAACAGTCTCTACTATCTACAAGCTCTGTTTTCATCCATCTGATGAAAGTAATAGCTGAAAAACAGAGTTGCTCAGTGAAATATATTAGTGGAATATATCTTGCATGATTTCCATTCCTTAAATATGTTAGGTGTACCTCAAAAACTAAAATACTTCCAAGAATAAGGCAGACTTTTCATAAGAAACCCTCTGCACACTAACACATACGTATAAACTTGTATTACTGTCACCAAACTCAAAATATAGAGAAAATACATAATTTGGCATGTGTTCAGTTGTTTAAATGATTTGTGAATTCAAAGGATTTAGGATTCGGGGGGAAACAACCCAGCAGTGACATTGTATATGTATATGTACTTTCACATGTTTATAATATAAAACATCACTGTAACCAGCAAAATTCATGTCAAACTGTCAAAGATGACAGCAGTATACATGCTTTGTTTTGTTCTTCACAGGATACATTAAGCATTTAAATCACGCTGAAACCCTGCTGGGTTATGTATTTCTGTACAGTACACTGAATAATTAACTTTACTACAAAACAAAAGGAAACACACACACAAAAACTGGAGTTTCCAACCAAAGCTACCCAGACAGCCATGTAAAATATGCCCTGTTCTTTCCTTTGTCTGTTTTCACTTTTAAAAATAATAATTTTAAACACGAGCATTTCCTCCAGTGATTTCAGTGGAATTGTTCCTTTGCGGCAGCGGGGTAATTGAGTGGTGACTAAGTAAAGCTTTTAAATGTCTTAATGGGGCTTGGTTTTTGTGTTTCACTCTTCTTGTGTGAAGAGCATTTCCCTTTAGTCCTTTCAGTGCCTTCGCTCCTTCCCAGCACCTGCAAATAATTTTCAAGGAAGCTCACGCTATGCATTTCATCTTCTGCTTTAAATCTAAAAGCATATGGATGCTTCCTTTTTAACTCTAATAAAATGCATGGCAAGATGTTTTCAGTTCCCATTCAGTTCCTATGTCTCTTTTGTTCTCCAAGTGTCAGAAACAATGATTCTTAAAATGGCTTCTGGTGATGCCTTGTAGGACAGCCATGTTCACTGAGGTACCGCACTTCTCCATTTTCTTTTAAACTGGAAGGAATACGTCTTTTGAACATTCAAATATCAAGTCAAACCTGATGTTAGTTATAACATCTGGAATATATCTATATCTATATCTATATCTATATCTATATCTATATCTATATCTAAGCACAGCAGTCCCTTAACCTGCTGCAAACAGATCTATCACACTTCCCAGCCAGGGATCTTTAGGATAGCATATTATTTACATTATAATAGCATATTATTTACATCATAATAATAATAATAATAATGTGATTAACAGTGATAAGAAGTAATAATAAGGTGATTAACATTGGTTTTAAAAAACAATGTTAACTTCCTTGGTTTGGCTTTGGTCTCAGCAAACAACACACATTTCCCTCCTTCCCAAGCCAAATTCCAAAATCTGGACCCTGTGGAACACCTGATGACAGCAATTGGAACATGACAAATTCTGAAGGATTCATCTCAGCCATTGGAAGCTCACAAGCCCCTGCACCCTTCTTCAACTCACTTCCATTTCCTCAGAGATGTGGAAATGGAAGTATCACCAGAGGCCTCTCTGAGAAATGTCCATTCCCCCCACCCCCACACACTGTGATTCCTTGAGAGCTGTAAAGTCAATACAGTGGAACCTCATGTTAAGTACTTAATTCGTTCCGGAGGTCCATTCTTAACCTGAAACTGTTCTTAACCTGAAGCACCATTTTAGCTAATGGGGCCTCCCACTGCCGCCGCATGATTTCTGTTCTCATCCTGAAGCAAAGTTCTTAACCCGAGGTACTATTTCTGGGTTAGCGGAGTCTGTAACCTGAAGCGTCTGTAACCCGAGGTGCCACTGTAGTCCAAAGAAATGGGCCCTGGAAACTGGCACTTTTTGGAGCACCTGACTCCTTAGTATGAATATCAAGTTCTCCAGAAACTGTATGTTCCAGGGTAGCATGCTCATAACAGCATCCTTGGCACAAAGGAATGCTGTTTATGGATCCTGAAAATTACTGATGACTCCAGTGCCCTGGAAAACCACATTCCACAAGGCCCCAAACACCAGTGGTGTGGTCCCGCCCCCCCAAGACTTCAAAGCACCAGAAGACAGAGATGTGTGCAGTCACACGCTGCATTGAAGAAAAAATTCCTGAGGAAATGTAATGCAATGTAGTGAAGTACTATAATCTGGACCAGGCATAGGCAAACTCAGCCCTCCAGATGCTTTGTGACTACAACTCCCATCATCCCTAGCGAACAGTACCAGTGGTCAGCGATGATGGGAATTGTAGTCCCAAAACATCTGGAGGGCCGAGTTTGCCTATGCCTAATCTGGACATATTCATATTCCGAGCTAGTGCATTTGAATGTTACAACAACTCTATTTGCAATGGAGAAAAAGAAATAATATTTAACTCACAGTGCCCTACACTTATTATAGATGTGAAGTTTAAAGTTTCATTTAACACCTGATTAAGATTAATAAGGGAAGCGGGTGGCGTGTAAATCACTGAGCCTTGGGCTTGCCGATCGGAAGGTCGCGGTTCGAATCCCCGCGACGGGGTGAGCTCCTGTTGTTTGGTCCCAGCTCTTGCCAACCTAGCAGTTCGAAAGCACGTCAAAGTGCAAGTAGATAAATAGGTACCACTCCGGCGGGAACGTAAATGGTGTTTCTGTGCGCTGCTCTGGTTTCGCCAGAAGCAGCTTAGTCATGCTGGCCACATGACCCGGAAAACCTGTCTGCGGTCAAACGCCAGCTCAATCGGCCGGTAAAGCGAGATGAGTGCCGCAACCCCAGAGTCGCTCATGACTGGACTTAACTGTCAGGGGTCCTTTACCTTTACCTTTTTAAGATTAATAAAGATATGGCAGCGGAGAGTGTCTATACATATCAAAGATGCATTCCTCAATTTCTTTCTATTTCAGTTGGTGTGTAAACCTTTTAATAAAGTGGTACCTCAGGTTAAGAACTTAATTCGCTCTGGAGGTCCATTCTTAACCTGAAACTGTTCTTAACCTGAGGTACCACTTTAGCTAATGGGGCCTCCCGCTGCCACTGCGCGATTTCTGTTCTCATCCTGAAGCAAAGTTCTTAACCCAAGGTACTATTTTGTGTTAGCGGAGTCTGTAACCTGAAGCGTATGTAACCCGAGGTACCACTGTACTGCAAAACATTTCAATTACCCAGGTTTTATTTTATAAGAAATATAGAAATGCATCAGATCTTAAGAATGTCCCTTTTAGAAACACATTCAACCAGCTTTTATTCAGAGCAGCACCCACTAAAGTTAACGGGCCTAAAGTCGTCACGTTCACCAATTTCAATAAGTCTACTTTGAATACAACTTACTTGAATCCCACTCCTAGGGAGGAATTCACCATACTGCATGTCAATCATTCTGTTCATGCAAGCTTTTCACCTTGCCAAGCAAGGCAACCCCCACTCTCCTCCCACTGGGTGCTATTCTGTGCGCTCTCCCGCCACCCCCCAAGCCAATTTTGGGGGTGCACGGGGGAGAAGGAAGGAAACTTCATTGCATTAGTGGAAGTCCTTGTACAGGCTTCTGTTAGCAGGCCTAATTAGTTGAATCCTACCCCCAGGGTTGTATTCAACTCAGTCCTACTCAGAGTAGACACAATGAAAATAACGAAGCTACATTACTAGGACAAACACTGAGCACCACCTTTACTCAGAAGGAAAATTGCCCTGAGCCTTTCTCTCCTCTGCTAACACTCAGTCTACACCCAGACATGTCTAAGTTACATGCCAGACAGACAGACCATTACAATGAGTCACAATATTGTTCCATTTCTTTACCGGGTTCATTTGACACTATTTTTACAACCACCAACATAACCAACTTGTGTTGCGCATCCTGGTTTTTATATCTGTGAAGCACTTCAAACAAACCCAGAAAAATAACTATTAGTTATACAGATTGGCACAAGCAGGTGTAGCGATTTATTTTTAGCTGCCAATTAAGTGACTAGATTTCAGGTTGAGGGTGCTCCTGTAAGCAGTTCTGGTTAATTAGCCATAATTAGAAGTTATAGTCTCCACAGCAACCTCCGCTCCGGCACACATCGAGAAGATATTTTAAGTGATCCATTGAGCTGGGTATTCCAAGTGCAAAGACTCTGAAACTCGAACTCAGAAGTTGTTGTTGTTGTTTAGTCGTTTAGTCGTGTCCGACTCTTCGTGACCCCATGGACCAGAGCACACCAGGCACTCCTGTCTTCCACTGCCTCCCACAGTTTGGTCAAACTCATGCTGGTAGCTTCGAGAACACTGTCCAACCATCTTGTCCTCTGTTGTCCCCTTCTCCTTGTGCCCTCCATCTTTCCCAACGTCAGGGTCTTTTCCAGGAAGTCTTCTCTTCTCATGAGGTGGCCAAAGTACTGGAGTCTCAGCTTCAGGACCTGTCCTTCCAGTGAGCACTCAGGGCTGATTTTCTTAAGAATGGAGAGGTTTGATCTTCTTGCAGTCAGAAGTAGTAAGCATAAAACTAAGAGCAGTGTCCTGCCACTGATAGGAGGCTTTCATCCAGTGGAGGCTCTGACAATAGATACTTTTGCCAATATACTCTTCCTCTCAGCAGTTCTCCATGCCACCTTCCACACCAGGTCACAAAGCTCACATGTAGGGTCAAAGCAGACAGCAGACCAGACCTTGGACAGCTCCTGAAGCTCTCCCCTTCTAAGGTAGCTACAAGAAGTTGCAGTGGGGAGCTACAGAGCCAACTGGGGCCTCATGTGGGCAGATAAGGATGAGTGCTGTAGGCTGCACTTCACTGGAGGAACTGGTTGGGTGGCTAAAGGGCCTTTGCCTTATTTAGCAGTATTCTAACTTCTGCAAGCAGAGACATCACCTTGCCAACAAAGGCCCGTATAGTTAACGCTATGGTTTTCCCAGTAGTGATGTATACAAGTGAGAGCTAGACCATAAAGAAGGCTGATCACCGAAGAATTGATGCTTTTGAATTATGGTGCTGGAGGAGACTCTTGAGAGTCCCATGGACTGCAAGAAGATCAAACCTCTCCATTCTTAAGGAAATCAGCCCTGAGTGCTCACTGGAAGGACAGGTCCTGAAGGTGAGACTCCAGTACTTTGGCCACCTCATGAGAAGAGAAGACTCCCTGGAAAAGACCCTGATGTTGGGAAAGATGGAGGTCGCAAGGAGAAGGGGACGACAGAGGACGAGATGGTTGGACAGTGTTCTTGAAGCTATCAGCATGAGTTTGACCAAACTGCGGGAGGCAGTGGAAGACAGGAGTGCCTGTAGGAGACAGATCTCTGAGTCAGAGGATGGAGGCAGGACTGAGTTCTCCTTCTTGGCTTCTGCCCAGTGAAGCTACCTTTACCTCTTCTGAGTCCTCCACCATGCACAGCAAGGCCCCCAGCTTGTGAGTCATCACGAGAGGCATTTGAAATACATATTTTATATCAATGTATGTACAACATTTATAAATATATTTTACCCGTAAATAAGCAATTTTAAAAACCTGTTTGGGTTTTTTTTAATGGAGAACTACATTGAAAAATTCAGAGAACTGCAAAACCCTGCGGATTATGAATTGCATTCCAATGTACACAACAGCCGGGGAGGTGTGCGGATCAGACCCATTTGCATAGGAAAACATGGAAATTAAGTTCCTCAAAGGTCCCCAGTGCACAGATAAGCAGCGCAGAAACATGCTCGAGCTTAATGTTCAGCAAATAAGGCATTTCTCTCTAAGAACAATGTTAACAACACTTGCGGGCCCTATAAAACATTTGCTGCACCCAGGCTGACAATTACCTAGTGTGCATCAGTCAAGCATATCATCACGTGGTTTCACTGCACAAAGAATCTCCCTTGTCCTCTTCAAGAACCATATCCAGGTACTTTAAAAAAATCCAACAAAGGATTTTAGCACACTGAAAGCTATACAGAAGAAGAGGGACAGAAGCATAGAAGAGGGAACAGAGGAAAGTTATTTTTTTATTTAAAATTATAACTTGAATTCATCCTAGCAGAGCAGAAACATGAGAGGTTTCACTGAACTGCTATAAATAGTAAGGATAACATGGCACTGAAAATATCCATATGTTGATAAGCTAAAGATATCAAACTCTGGATAGGAGCTTCCTTATACGGCCACTGTCATGTACTCCCATGCTGCTCCCCAAGATACACCATTGACATACATGAAACAACAACAATAAAACCAATACAGTGGTACCTTGGTTCCCAAACGCCTTGGTACTCAAACACTGCAAACCCAGACGTAAGTGTTCCAGTTTGCGAACTTTTTTTGGAAGCCGAACATGCTCCGTTTTGAGTGTTACGCTTCCAATTTGAGTGCCACACTTCTGTTTTGAGTGTTACGCTGAGGTCTGTCTGTTTTAGCTATTTATTTTGTGTTTTTGTTTTTGTTGCTCTTTTTGTTTTGTTTTTGTGACTGTGTGGAACCCAGTTCAACTACTGATTGATTGTGTGACTGCAGTACATTGTTTATTGCTCTCATTTTATGGATCAATGGTCTTGTTATAGTAAAATTCATGTTAAATTGCTGTTTTAGGGGTTGTTTTTAAAAGTCTGGAACAGATTAATCCATTTTGCATTACTTTTTATGGGAAAGCGTGCCTTGGTTTTGGAACGCTTTGGTTTTGGAACAGACTTCCGGAATGGATTAAGCTTGAGAACCAAGGTACCACTGTACTAGATTTGCATTGTTACTTGACCTATCCATTGATATTTTTTTAAAAAAAAAACCAAACCCACTCAAGGTTCTAATTGTTCATTTTATGTTTTTAGTCAATACCAATTACTGAGTAACACTGAAATCCTAGCTATGTCTACTCAGAGGTAAGTTTTGCTGAATTCCATATGGTTTATTCCCAGGTAAGTGCGGTTAGGGTTGCAACCTAAAACTCTTTACAGCCCAAAAGGACAAGTCAACATGCATCTTGGAAAATTTGCCCCATAATTTGCTTTCAAATGGGAAATCTGGCCATTGCTAGACGTAATGCCATCTCACTGATACTAGGCCTTGCCCCTCACAATACGTAAAATAAACTTCTCGAACAGCAGGCAGAGTCTAAGCTCCACCTGCGCCATGCAAGACGCCATCATACTAGACAAAACTCTATGAATCTGGCAAGAATCTCTCTGGGGAATTATAGCAGACCATTCTTCTACATTAAATTTTTATTTTGTCACTTTGCTAAATGCACATTTTACAAGACAACTTTGCCAATAATAGATAAATAAAAATACTATTGAAATATTGTTGATCCATTCCACCAATCTAGTTAATTTTGTCTATACATGATATATAGATACAGTCACATACACACAAAGTAAGAAAATTGATTTAAAAATGGGTTTTGCTGCATTATTATGTTTCTCTCATCTATCAGGTGTCTTCCCCTCCCATAACCCAATACTTTCCTTCATTTTCCTGGGCCTGTCCTTTCTCCTACAAAATATTTTTTGCTAGGTAATTGAAACATACTAGCTGGAAAGTCATAGCCATGTCAGCAAACTGCCTATGAAGTCTGTGTCTAGCCACACAGAAGATGCTAAGTAATTGGAGGGGATGAATTAAAAGCAAGGCGAAGCCACCAAACAGAAGCCCTGGCTTAACAGACCTCAATGAAAAAAGTAAGGCAACATAACAGCACGTACACATGAGCTAACAGATCCCAGGAAGACAAAAGACCATTCCATTATTTTAAAAATGCTCCCTTATCCATTTGCCTTCCCAACTTGATGTTGGAAGCAGAACAGCAAGGATCAAGTCATTTAATAATAATAATAATAATAATAATAATAATATTTTTATTTATACCCCGCCCTTCCCGGTTCAGAAACCCGGGCTCAGGGTGGCTAACAACAAATTTAAAACACTTAATCGTAATACAACAAAAAAGCAGCATAAAATACAGTAAAAAAGCATGAATAACAATAAAATTCAAAGTACAAAAGTCAATTTGAGGGAAATCCATCCAATAAACATTGGCTAGGTCACCAGGGCTAGCTGGCTAAATTAGACCTACTTGGGCCAGCGAGGAGGCCAGTGGAGAATTAGCTGTGGGGTCCCAGAGCGGGTAATCTTCATAAAAAGGAGGGGGGGAGAGAAGGGAAATAAAAGATCAGGCTGAGTTCAAATTAAAGGCCAGGTGGAATAGCTCTGTCTTACAGGCCCAGCGGAAGGAGGTTAAATCCTGAAGGGCCCTAGTCTCCTGGGACAGAGCATTCCACCAGGTCGGAGCCATCACTGAACAGGCCCTGGCCCTGGTGGTGGATAGTCTGACTTCCTTAGGGCCCGGGACCTCTAAACTATGGTTATTCATGGACCTTAAGGTCCTCTGCGGGGCAGACCAGGAGAGGCGGTCCCATAAATACGAGGGCTTAGGGCATTTGTAATGTGATACCTGATGCCTTATCCTCTGGGGTCCATCATGCCAACAACAGCCTGGGCATGAGAGCTACAGCACAAATATTCCAAGAAAAACGAGTTTCTCATAATGGTAGAACTTCAAGGGTATCAGTGGTTACACCAGAATCTATCATTATGGTTATCACAATTATTTTTATTTATCTATCTCGTTTATAAATCACTTCCCATGAGGCATCCCAAAGCCTTTTTCCAATATAATAAAAACATATTATAAAAACATATTACATATTATAAAAACATATTTTTTTAAAAAATAGAGAGTTTAAAATAGCAACAGCACATACATAAAATCAATTCAAACCCAATACCAACTGTGATAAAGATCTCCTTTCAGAATCCACTTAGAATTTTTAAAAATCCATTTAGGATGTAGGGTCTGGATCATGGATGAGGGGAACCTTGTAGCCGTTCTCATTAGCCCTGACAAGCAAGGCCAATGGTAAGCAATGGTGGAGGCAGTTGTCCCGCAACATTGGAAGGCCACAGGTTCCCTATCTCTAGCCTAGATGAACACTGTGGCACCTAGCACTAAAAATCTAAGTCAAAATGAATTAATCAATTAAGTAACTTGTATCAGACCTATTTAGGCTTTCGTTATTTTACAATGAGTCACAATGCCCTCCCCAATGCACCCTTAGCTTCCCCTTCCCTTAAAATTCCAGCCCTATGCCCTGCTATGCTGCCGCAAAATGAAGGCCACAGTAGCTGAGCTCAGAAAATTATATGAAATGGTGGCAATTTATACTGTTATGGAATATATTGCACATGATGCGCCATCATGTGAACAGTACAGTGGTACCTCGGGTTACATATGCTTCAGGTTACAGACTCCGCTAACACAGAAATAGTACCTTGGGTTAAGAACTTTGCTTCAGGATGAGAACAGAAATCGTGCTCCGGCGGTGCGGCAGCAGCAGGAGGCCCCATTAGCTAAAGTGGTGCTTCAGGTTAAGAACAGTTTCAGGTTAAGAACTGTCCTCCGGAACGAATTAAGTACTTAACCCGAGGTACCACTGTACCACGTAACATTTGCGTGGAGGTTGGAGGAAGCCATTGTTATCAGTCTTACCCGTCCTTAAACCTTTCCCCTACCCTTATCATTAAAGCAGCAGCTTGCTAGTTAAAAGCAATTAGGTGATTCCCACCCCTCAACTGTTACTAGATCAGCAACAACAATAAGAGTCATTCTCCTTGTCTGATAAGAAGAGCTGAGGCTCAAACCAGAGCACCATTTCAAATTTAGATAAGAGATAGTATCATTTAGCCATTTAGTGTGCAAACCAAAGATACAGGCAACTCCAGAGGCATGCTCACATGTGGTCTGAAACCATGGCCCAGTTCACACATCACGTTAAACCGTAATTCCAAAAACTATGTATTTTTTAATGCGTACAAACATCATGGTGGCGCATGCTGCCGCTCCTCCCTGTTGCACTGCCAGGAAACAAGTCAAAAGTCTGGCACGCCATGACAGGCTCATGGCTTGTTTTCCCCAAACTATCCACAAGCAGTAAGCCAAGAACAAACTTATGGGGGGGGGGAGTGTTCCTTGAAGAGAAACAAACCACGAGCACAGGTTCAGATCTCGTGGCAAGCCAGACTTGGCCTTGTTTCCTGAAGGTGCAGCAACAGCAGGAAAGGAAAGGAGAGGAGGGAGAGCTTTTCTCCAGTACGCACCACCATGCTTCATTTTTATGTTGTTTCTAACTATCTTTTATTTTATGGGACACGGGTGGCGCTGTGGGTTAAACCACAGAGCCTAGGACTTGCCGATCAGAAGGTCGTGGTTCGAATCCCCGTGACAGGGTGAGGTCCCGTTCCTCGGTCCCTGCTCCTGCCAACCTAGCAGTTCGAAAGCACGTCAAAGTGCAAGTAGGTACCGCTCCGGCGGGAAGGTAAACGGCGTTTCCGTGCACTGCTCTGGTTCGCCAGAAGCGGCTTAGTCATGCTGGCCACATGACCCGGAAGCTGTACGCCGGCTCCCTCGGCCAATAAAGCGAGATGAGCGCCGCAACCCCAGAGTCAGTCATGACTGGACCTAATGGTCAGGGGTCCCTTTACCTTTAACTATCTTTTAATGCGGTATATGAATCTAAGATTGCCATATTTGTGTGTGTAAAGGAAATTCTGGACCTACAGCAACCCTAAGAACCAGGCCAATGTGTTGGGGCAAAGAAGGAGCTCAACCACCTAATCAAAACGGTTAAAGGCCTCAAATGTAGGACGGGGAAACGCCGTTGAGTTAAAGTCACCAATCTTTGGACAGCCTCTCACCAATCAGTGTTGACGTTCTCTATACAAACAAATATAAATCAACCGCAGCATGCTTCTGACTACACACTGCTGGCTTTGTGAGCAAAGTTTTAATGAAAACAGCCTTAAGCACCTGAGACAAATTCATCAATAGCTTGTCCACATAGATTCTTTCTAGTCATCAATCTACCGCCTTCATATTTCCCTGGCTTCCTGCTTTCTTCTGCCTGCTAGCAATGACCTCTGAAACCTGGTACGGTTCTAAGATTAAGATATGAAAGTCTTACCCCACTTCACTGCTACTCTGAGATAAGCAAGGTTAACAGGCTTGCTCACTTTTGACTACTACAACACTGTATTTATTGCTTGCGAACGTACAAATTGTGACAGACCAAACAAGCAGAAAACAGGAGGTTTACTGTGATTGGGGGTGGAATATAACACACGTGCAAGACACTTTTCTTATTTAGTGTATGACTCAGTGTTTGGGTTTGGAATTACTGGTGATTGATTGCATGATCATAGCAGCATTGGCGCTAGGCACTTCTTAAGTCAAGAGTACTTACATCAATGGCATAAGCCTTATTAGAAGAGACTAAGAGGAGATACGATAGCCATTTTCAAATATCTAAACAGCTATCACATGGGAAATAAGAGCAAGCTTGCTTTCTCCTGCTCTGGAACGTAGAACCCAAACCTATGGATCCAAGATACAATGAAGGAGTTTCCAACTAAACATCAGGAAGAGTTTTCTGACAGAAAGAGCTGTTCAACCATGGAGCAGACTCCCACAAGAGGTGGTGGACTCTCCTTCTTTGGAGGCTTTTAAAGCAGAGTTTGGATGGCCATCTGTCATGTATTATCTAGTTGAGATTCCTGCATTTCAGGGGATTGTACTAGATGACCCTCAGAGTCCCTTCCAACTCAACAATTCTGTGATTCTATGAATTAATGTACCACAGTCCTAAGAAGAAAAATGCTACAAGTGTACTGCAGAACAAGCAGTATTAAGCCGTCCATATTCATAATTTGTGTCTGACCAAGTTCTGTATTGTATTTCATAATCTAAATGAGTAGATGCATCTCACAGAATGCTACCTAATCTGCAGGACCAGAAAAGATTTGCAAGGAGTCCTGGTGGCAGCATGCTTTATGACGTATCTCAGACGTGAGCAAAGTCTACAGAGGTAGTGTGGGCTGGCCCTACTGCTCTTTATTCTTTAGCTAGGCTACAGGTAGACTCCCTTCTGGTCCAGACTCAATGAGAAAGGCTATGGCCTCATCTCCACATTTGTAGCAGTATCATGCCACTTTAAACAGTCATGGCTTCCCTCAAGGAATTCTGGGAGCTGGAGTTTGTTAAGGGTGCTGAGAGTTGCGAAGAGGCCCCTATTCACCTTAGAGAGCTGCAATTCTCGGAGTGGTCTAAGAGTCAATCCCACTCTCCCAGCAAACTTTCCAAATTTAAAGCACACGGCTTTCTCCAAAGAATCCTTGCTGGAGAGGAGATATGAGCTGGCAACTTTTGTGACCAGATCATTCTCTTCGATTATGCAGAAAGTCAATTCGAATTGTACAAAAAAGGGAGTAAATGCAGTGTTCGCTATAGAACACAATTCAAAACTGCATTCAAAAAACCATGGTAAAGTCTTTGCTTGTTTGATTCCTTGTTTATTTACAAGTGTGGGGTGCATTACTTCATGACTTCCCCTTGCTCCATGACGAGTTTCCTAGGCTTGTAACTTGTTTCAGACCCACGGGAAGACTTTCTTGCATCAGTGAGCAACACAGATCAATGGCCACCCTGGCTGGGGCTGATGGGGCTTCTGGTTCAAAACATCTGGCAACCCACATTGGCTACCCATGTAGTAGAGGCGTACCCCTTGCCTTGCACATGTTCCCAAAGAGGACCAGAAGCCACCACGTCATACCAATCCATCCTCAGGGGCAGCACCTATCAGTCATCTTGCTTCCTTTGGGAACCATTTCCTTTGCTTCCTCTCAAGGAATAACAGCCTCTGAATGCACCAAAATCAGGAACAATGCTGAAAGCAAACTTTCGGGTTTTGAAAATCCACAGGAGAAAACAGGAGATGATACTTTAAACAAGACAGCCACACACACCACTGATTCTACCAACATTTATAGCCGCAAAAATGTTCGCTGTATCGGATTTATTTGAGCTTCCATAAAATAAATGCCAGTCTCCAGTGTAAGACGTAAACTCAAACACAGCAACAGTTCCGCCCTTCCTGCAACAGTTGGCAAGCATGTTAAGTGGAATCAAACTAGACAGCAAAGGAAGGTTCCTTGTGCCAAGTTAGGCCACTGGCCCTTCTGTCTAAGTATTTATACTGGCAGAAGCTCTTCAGGGCTTCAGACGGGAGCTGTTTTCTCAGCTCTACCTGAAGATGGCAGGGATTAAACATGGGAATTTAGCAGACCCACCTGTGCATATTATAAACTGATTCTTAAATAACTAATTCATAAGGTGTTTTTAAAAAAGTGATACAGAAATATAAACCAGGCATTGGTCTAAGCACACCTGTCATAGACTAATGCCTTTCCATCTAACTTTCTCTTACAAATGATCCAACTATGCTGAATGCTCTGAGGCCGGCTCACTTTGCCCGATATAAGAAGCAAACAGTATACAAAGCAATGGCCTGATTCAATGCCATCTGGGCCAAAAAGGACTAACACACATTCCTATATGGTTTGGTTCAGTGTAAACCATTGGCTACAGTGTACGCAGAAGTCACTATGAATTTCTGTCCCATCATACCTTCAGAATTTGGGAGGGATTGTGCATATATTTTCTAATTGTGGAGCTAGTCTCATACTTCATGAGGTTGCTGGCAATGTTTAAACTTTGCAGGTTAAAGAGTCTTATGCAAAAGAACTCCACGTGTTCTCCCAAAAACTGTGATGTCCAATGATCCCTTCTAGCTCTTGACTGTCTACTGAGGCTCTTACTACTCCAACTGGGCATGGCTCTCTTCTGGGTCTTAGTCGGAAATCATCCCCACACGTGCTACATGAGACCCTTTTAATTTTAACTAAAAGTGCCACTGGCTTAAAACCGGGACCAATAACTGAGAGAGATGGCAATGATGAAGCACAAGTGAGTACAGGTATGTGCATAATTCAGGGCCCTCCTTTTCCTATTTAGAATCTGGCAACACACTCACACAGTTTATACATGATTGAGGGCAGAGCAGATACAAATTTAATACACATGCATAATGCATTATTCAGTGGTTGCAGGTAAAAAAAATACATAGGACTTGCTTCTTCTATGTGGAAGTGTTTGAAGACTGGAGGGCAGGGAGCAGTACCCTACAAAATTTTCTCTTAATTTTCTACTTCTGTGTCAGATCAAAGGAATACTTTTTTAAAATGAAAAACAGATGGAAGAGCAGGGATTATGGACTTGTGAAACAAGGCTGAGTATTGCACTAAACCGACTAAAACAAATTACTTTTGCTGGAGAGGAGATATGAGCCGACTACCTTAGCTGCCAGATCATTCTCTTCCATTATGGAGGAAGCTTTGTATTTGTAGCATATTTGTATTCTACACAAATACAAAGAGAGGGGAAATTCTACTTTTAGTTGTATTAGGTACAACAGGCACCTTCTGTACCCCATGGAACGAAATGAAGTAAAATAAGAACCCAGCAAAATTCTGAATCTAAATTAGGGAACAGGGGTCAAGAAAATGGATATATGCATGGCAATGAAATTTCCACTCTTCTGCCTTTGTTCAAATAGTAATCCTGTCTGATTGATAGGGATTAAAATGATTAGTGAATGTATGCTGCTTCCTAAATGGCTTTCCTCAAAATAGATTTCACTAGGGCTGTTTCCCCCCCTTTTTTTGTAAAGTAAGTTTTCACTGAAAATGAACCAGAGCAAATAATGCATGCTTCATGTCCACATTGCTTTCATGCTCCCTTATTTCCCCTCTGCGTCTTTTAAAATACATAACAAAAGCTTTTCAGGAATGCACAACTAATTTGTTCCACTACAATCTCTTCAGCTGTTTTAAGGTAGTCACATACATACTTAACATAATGCCTAGACAAAATTATAGACTTCCAGCTGGAAAAAAAACGCACCACAGTGATAATCTACTCTTTACTCTGGTGCAAAAAAAGGGGGGCATCTGCACAGCAGGTGGTTTTATACAGCACACTACAATTCCTAGACAATGCTAAGGATTAGGAAACCAAGTCACAGCCTACGCTCTAATTTCTGGCTTTTGTTGGTTTAAAGTCAGATGCTAACATTGAGGATGCAGCTGTAGGAACAGACATTAAAGAAACATGATTGCCAAGAGTAACAGCTGTAACATTTGCACAAATGAACTAGACTAGACATGTGCAGGAAAAGTTCAAAACTGATAAACCAATCATTACAAACCCTTGAGGAAAAAGCATTCACTGGACTGGAGGACCAAACCTACCAAAACAACAAAGAATACCCACTCTCTGTTCTACTGCTACCTTTCGATATTTGCATCTTCTCTGCACTTGTAAATCATGGGCTTCTCAAGGCTATTATGAATGGTTAACAAAGCTTCGCAGACAAAAAACAACGAATTCTGCTGTTTAATAATGACGTCATAACCAATAGATGTGCATCCTCTTATCCATATTGCCTTACTGTCATCCAAGAGCCAGCCTACTGAATCCCTTCGGATTAGGTCTTAGATCATTATCATCACACACGGCCTCACCAACAATGTGTTTCACTGGAGCATTCGTTTCAGACAGCTTGCAATGGTGCACAGGATAAAATCAGCTGGAAGGAGGCTGCAACCCATTTACTGAGTTTGTTATACAAGAGTTAGATATTCATGCACCTCTGCAAGTCAAAAGCAGTTGGCAAAGACCCGCAAATCATTACAGAAGGGGAACGGCAAACCTGCATAAATTCCACACGCACACCCATTGTTAAACTTAGCTGGGTTGTGGTTCAGAAACCTTTTTTAGCGCAACAGCATCTTGATCACATATCTCATCAATAACTTGTTTTCCATTAAGTAATATATTCCAAAACATTTATGAATAAGGTCATGGTTGGTAGTAGCAGCCGGCAGCAATTGCTATCCTGGCTTCCCAGTACAATCTGTGTATTCATTTACATCCCAACTCTTTCTCTAAGAAGCTCAAGGTGCCATACATGGTTCTCCCCCTCTTCATTCCTACAACGACCCTATAAACTCAGTAAGTTAGGCTGAGAGATAGTGACTGGACAAGGTTACTGGGTGGGCTTCATGGACAAATGGGGATTTGAACCCTGGTCTCCCGGGTCCTAGTCTGACACTCTAACCACTACACCACACCGGCACTTACTGAGAAGGAGGGGCATGGCAGCATGGTGAGGGCAAGATGACAGGAATATCAGGCTGGCTCTCCCACCGCACTCTCACAGTGCTGAGCTTCCTGCTGCCTTGCACCTCCCTCTCTCCCTCTTAGTAAGTGTTGGTGTCGGGAAGCCTGTAAGACTGAGCAATGAAGCCCCACCTGCACCTCCCCACTGGGTTTAAAGGCAGTATGACATTTTATTTTGGATATAATTATGAACTTGTGATTTAATGTGATAGGACAAATACTTGTACCAAGCCACATTTCAAGCTGCAAAGCTCCCATGTGCTTACTCTAAACTTGATCCTGAACGGTACATCAATTGGTAAGCTGCACTGACTCTGCATTGGTTAGTCCAGTGGTTTTCAACCAATGTGTCAGGGCACCCTGGGGTGCCTTGATGATGATCAGGGGTGCTGCGGGCAACACTAGCCTCTGTCCCTCTTTCCTTCCCTCCCTCCCTTCTCTAATGCCCTCTTGCATCTCTGCCTCCCAAAGGCTTGCACAGCTGTTTGTTGCAGCAGCCCTGCTGCCGCCACTGCTGCCTACCCAGGTAAGGTGCTGGCCTCACGTTCACCTTTGGCCACTTTATGTTGGGCCACTAAGGTTGGGGGCCTCCTCTCCCCAGGCCCCTATGGGGCGATGTGAGGAGGCACCTCTTTTTGGGGCAGGGAAGGCAGCTCATAGACCAGGGGCGGCAGCAGCAGCGGTGGCTGCCCGGAGGACTCCCAATGAGAGGGGAGAGGAGGCTGAGGGAATATTGCACAAGGGAGGGTGTTCAAAAAAGGGGGAAAGTCTGCCAGCTCTGCAGGCAAGGAGTGACATAACTGAGCCCCATAGGTGTACAGCAGAAAGAAGGTAGTTGGTCAAGGGATCCCTGGACTCAAAAAGGTTGAAAACCTCTGGGTTAATCCATGCAACTGTACGTACATAATCTACCTAACACTTCTGTAAGCAACTGTAATATAGCTGACATCAGAGAACTGCTCCTTTACAGACCAATGCTAAACTTGCACTCAGCACTACAAAAGACAGAATTAATTAGAAAGGATTGAGAAGAAAATACCAACCCTACCACAGACCTCATTTTTTGTGTTTTCCTCCAAGGCACCAAATCTAAACACATGCTTAAATCTCTGCAGAATCAGCAGGAATCCAAGTCATCCTGAACGCTGAGGTGAAAACTGTCCCCAAGAAGCACCCCACATATGGCTAAAGTAACCCCTCAAAAATCGAAAGGAAAATCTACTGCAAATGGTCTGCATTAGGTATGCACCTGAATAGAATTAATTCTTCTAACAATCCAATCCTATGCAGAGAAGTGAAGTCTTCTTTGTTCAGTGGGTCTTATTCCCAGACAAACGTGTTGAATTGCAGCCTAAGCAAGACAAACTATTAAAACGCAGGCCAATGAATACTTAATTATTGACAGTTAACTAATCTCTGGATAGAAGATGTTCTCAAAAGGTACCATCCAAACGCTTTGCACATATATCCAATCTCCAGAGAAGTGAAAAGGAGTGGTACCACAATTCTTTAAAAGGAAATTTGGGGGAAATTACTGTCATTTCCCCTTGAACTGTTCTTCTTCCAGTTCCCCAGCCCAGCCCCATTCCTTTGAAAACTCAGTTCTCTTGTTGCTACTGCTGGATTTCCAACATCTGTTATTCCCTGGATCCTTTGCTCTTGAATTATCTGCTGCTTCCTAGAATTAATCTAACCAAATTGCTTGCTTGTCCAACAACTCTCCATTTCCTTGATTTCTTCAAACTATAAACCACTAGAAGCATTTACACACGCAATGTGAGGTCCCTGCACCATATGGTTGGCCACAGTGGGAAGAGAGTTGCAGACTAGATGGGACTTTGGCCTCATCCACCAGGGCTCTCTTCTTATGTTCTTATGTTAAAGCACTTTTGCAATATGTATTTTTACATTCAGTTGTGACACACTGACTGTTGCTAGTCGAAACAGAAACCATCTCCTCTTTTTATGGCTACGTCAACACATGAGGAAAGCTGAGGCTAGCCTTCCCAAACCAGGTACCTTCCAGATGTTGTTGGACCATCACTGACCATTAGCCATGCTTGCACTCATGGAAGTTGTAGTCCAAAACATTTGCAGTGCACCAGTTTGAGGAAAGGGCTGGCCTACGCTGTGCTACCCTCCAGCTGCTCTATTCTATGCACAAAGCTCACACCAAATTGTTCCAGGGTGTGAACTCTCTTACCTGAGAGTTGCTTGCTCACCTGCATCACCCTCACAAGTGGCAAGCAGGGCCTTTGCCATATATCACATTCTGATGTAAAATACTGTAGCAGAATCTGTGGTGAAATGGTACGGCTCATGGTGAATTAATAAATACAAGCTGCCATACATACCCTGGATTTGGCATTGTGGCACACCACTACTAATGCCCATTCAGAGTTGTTCATGCTTGGGCCCCAATATTTGAATCCACTGAGCAACAGTGCACAAGCTAAAGCAAGCCAGAGCACAGTCAACTTTCTTCTGTGGCAACCATGCGCTTTGTAGTGAGGCAATGCGTTTGTAGGCCAACAGCTAAGTTTTGCCATTGTTCCACCAAGAAATAGGGATGGGCTGAGAGAAGAAAAATAGCTGCTCCATCTTCTATCATTTCTTCCACTGCTAGCACTATTTGGAGACAATGCCACAGCTTCTTCAATTTCCAATTTGTCCAATCCTTTCAAGCTTTTAGGTCCTGTGCTAAGTATTGTTGTTGGTTCATGTCCACTCCCTACATTCATCACCACTAAGAAAAACAAACACTGACCTAAGATTATTCACATTACTGTTGTTGTACCCATCAGAATTCCTAACTAAAGCAACCTGCCTGCATTGGACGCTGCCTTATGCCAGTTCAAAGCTCTGGACCATCCAGTTTAGTATTACCTACACTGACTAGCAGCAGCTCTCCAGGGTTTGGGGCAGGCAGCATGCCCAATCCTACCTAGAGAACCCAAGAACTGAACCTGGGATCTTTTGATCTATCACTGAGCCGCAGCCCCTTCCAATCATTATGATAACATGTGGGTCCACATCATAATCATTTACACAGAAGCTATGTAGGAAGACTGTGTAAGAGATTATGACTCTTAAGTGGAAGCAGGAATAAAACCATGCAATTACATTATTTTCTAGCAAAGCATACTGCTTTGTTATTGATGCCATTCTGTTTTTGAAGGCAAACTGCTTTTTTTGCAATTCGTAAGGAACATAGCAAGCTAGTTGCCTTAAACTGAGTCCAATCCATTTGCCCCTCTAGGTCAGTCCTGCCTACAGTCCAGTTTCTCAAACTTGTGTCTCTAGCTGTTGCTGGACTACAAATCCCATCATCCCTAGCTAGCAGGGCTAGTAGTCAGGGATGGTGGGAGTTGTAGTCCAACAACTACACTGACCGATGGGGGCTTGCTAAGGTTTCAGGCAGGGAGCATTCCCAGTCCTACCTAGGGATTGAACCAGGATCCTTCTGTAGAAAACGCTTAATACAAACGAAGTTTTAATAACAACAACAAAGTTTTCAAGAGTTCAGAAAACTCCATCACTGGCACTGAAGGTAGCCACAACACTGTTAGTTATGCCTCATAGCTCTTTGTACATAGTAGTTCTGTTTAATAATTAAAAAATGTGGTTTTACTTAAAACTTGTGCAGATGTATCTAGGATTTAGGCCAAACTTTAACAGGAAATGCAAGCGGGGAGAGGGCAGAAAAGTGAGAGAAAATAGCAACCCATTCACAACTTCAGATCTTAATTACAGAGATCTTTTAGGAAGAAGAAATGTCTATGAAAAGGAAATTCCACCTCCTCCAGCTCCTAGTTTGTTTGTTGTTATTTCATAGAATCATAGAATCATAGAATCATAGAATCATAGAGTTGGAAGAGACCACAAGGGCCATCGAGTCCAACCCCCTGCCAAGCAGGAAACACCATCAGAGGACTCCTGACATATGGTTGTCAAGCCTCTGCTTAAAGACCTCCAAAGAAGAAGACTTTGTAAGGACTAGGCATCAGTAGCAAGGTTAACGGATTAAATCTGATATTTAATCTGTTAACCTCAACCCATTGCCCCCCCCCCACCTCCGAGGTTGCCTTTCAGCATGATTTTGTGACATGTTTCAGGACCAGAACTAGCTTACAGAATTTTTTCCATACACGCCTCTGGACAGCAGAACAAGACAGCTATTTAGCTACTTTAAAAGTCAAGGGTTGAAAAATAAATGAATTCAGATTTCTAAGTGCCTACCTTGTACACAGGGGAAGAGAAATACTCTGGCAAACTGAACTAGATATTTTACAGATACGTCACATTTACATGCATCCCACACGTTACACGCAATGCAGGCTTCAAGAGATGCACTTTCTAAAAATGGAGCACTGGGATGACTGACAGGATTGACCAGGGCTAGAATGCTAAGAATTTCTCCTTTGTTGGGAAACTTGATCAACAGGTTTTCCTTTTTCATTGGGATAACTGATTACCACATCTAGGACCAGAAAGGAATTTCCTCCAGGTCAAATTCATTACACCCTGTTAAACAAGCTTGCTTTAATTATCTGGGTCTCTTTTACTAAGCTTGTTCCTTGAATGGCAGGCAACTGTCCTGTGGAACACCTCGATCTGTCCTGTACTCTGCTGTGCACAATAATATGAACATAAAGTCAATCATTGGGAGTGCCCAATATGGAGAACTTTGCTTTGATTTATCAGATCCAGACATCTTGTATATGCCTATGTAACTCAGGATGCATACTCTGGAACAGTGTCTGAAATTCAATACAGTCCCACAAATAAAAAATATTATTTGTTATATTTATTTATTTATTGCTTACTAAAAACACACACACGCAAAGCAACGTACAATTAAAGAATAAAATACCAAATAAAGAGCTTTAGAACATTAACTAAAAGTGCTCATCCTACAATGACATGAAAAGGAAACATCTGACTCCACCCAACGAAAAGGCAAACACCAATTAAGAGCAAAATAGTTATTATCAGACACCCTGTAGTAATGTTAACAGTAGTGTCTATTGCTGCAATAGGTTTGCAGTGATTCCCTGAATGCTTTAGTAAGACAGAAAAGCCACACAAAAATACTTCTTTTAGTTTAAAGACTTCTCTGTGTGAGTGCACCACAACAGAAAGAGAAGCTCAGGCAATCACTCCAACAACTTTTTAAAAGGAAACGTCAGTATCAGTGGAAAAGAAAAGAACTCACTCTGAAACTCACTTATAGATGGTACCTAACATCAAGGAAACTAGCGCTGATACACCCAGGAACCTCACCAAAATGCTGGAGAGGATGCACCTTCACAGGCACATACCTCCGCATGTGGTGGAAATATCCCAAAATCCAATTCTTCTGGACATCAATCATACAAGATAGATGCAAAATAACTAAGCAAGTATTAGAATTCACCCCAGAACTGGCCCTACTAAACATATTCCAAGCTAATAATGCCCACTTACATTATAGAGAGTTCATAACCCACCTGCTCTCAGCAGCCAGAAGCATCATAGCCAGACACTGGAGAGACCTTTCAGCAGTGAGCATGGACCAATGGTATCAAACAGTACAGTGGTACCTTGGGTTACATACGCTTCAGGTTACAGACTCCACTAACCCAGAAATAGTACAGTGGTACCTCGGGTTGCATACACTTTAGGTTACATACGCTTCAGGTTACAGACTCCGCTAACCCAGAAATAGTACCTCGGGTTAAGAACTTCGCTTCAGAATGAGAACAGAAATCGTGCTCCAGTGGCGCGGCAGCAGCAGGAGGCCCCATTAGGTAAAGTGGTGCTTCAGGTTAAGAACAGTTTCAGGTTAAGAACGGACCTCCGGAACGAATTAAGTAATTAACCTGAGGTACCACTGTATGGGAAACAGCCTTGTTAGAAAAACTAACCAATAAACTGAAACTGACACGGGGACAAATAGAAGACGCCTTCACCCCAGTATGGTTCCGCTTTATCACATACATAGCCCAACAAGACAACAACAAGAATCCACCAACAGCATACAAATCAATCTGGCTAACCTGATCCAAAACACACACACACACACACACACACACACACACACCCCACTCACACACACACAAAAAATCTCACTACAGCCAACCAAAGACAACCAACCACACCCTAGGCCGCCCCCAACCTCTCTCACCACCAAGGAAATACAACAAGCGAATAGTAAAAGAACACATACAAATGACAATGACACAAAACCCCACACATACACTAAGGCAGTGGTGTCCAAACTTTTTTCAAAGAGGGCCAGATTTGATGAAGTGAAGGGCCAAAAGGGCCAACCAGAGTTGTTAACCTTTTTTTTAGGATTGAAGTTGTTGAGGTTCTTTAAGGATTTTACCCCCAGAAATAAACTGACACAGGGACCAGATTAAACCGACCAGCGGGCCGGATTAGGCCCCCAAAACAGACTTTGGACATGTCTGCACTAAGTAGAATAATAGAAGCATAACTACCCCACCCCACTCACCACTCTCCCTTTTTTCTTCCTAACCTAACACTGTATGCAACACTAACGTCTCACAACAAATGAAACCTATCTGTAGAAATACAAAACTCATCCCAAAATGAGATTAAATCTCCTTCATGAGGTTCTTCATTATTAAGAAAAATCCACTGATCCTATCTCCGACCTATGGGACACAATGGACAAGCATAGATTCATCAATGCTTTACTGTGTCACAATGGAAGTGTGAACTCAAAGAGGAAATTGGGTAATGTGACAAGATCATCAGCATGCCAACGTTTGTTGGGAGCTGCTGTGGTTTATTGTTGCAACAGAAAATAACAATACTTTTTTAAAAAAAGAAATCAAGAAAAATCCACTAAAACCTGCAGGCTGAATTCTCCTTCCCCATCCCCCACTTGGAAAAAAGAGACCTTCAGACGGCAGGTAAAGTACCTAAACAGGTTTCCAGTATTTCAGTGACTCATCATTTGCTGTAGCTTAGTCTTTCCAGCCTAGTTACTGTTTTACCTGGCGCAAGCAGTCCTGCTGGCATTTTAATATCATGTACATAAACAATACAAGGCACAGATACACTTTCTGAAATATGTTTGGGAAGCATTATGCAGGATCAGGCCAGGAGAGCAAGTTCTTTCAAACTACTGTCTCCCCCTTTTTTTTGCAATTAGAAATTGGATGGCCTAATTCTAATCATAGCATCATCTCTACAGGCTTGAAAAACCTGCTAAATGGCGTTAATACTGTAAAGGGTGTGACCTGTATTGCTGCTGCAGAAAAGGCTGCAGAGATTTACACTTTGAAAGCCACAGCTATTTAGGCACTTGATTCTAGGCTAAAATGTACTCAGTTTAATTAAGCCATTTCAGAATCTCAGTGTGACCAATTCAGAACGGCTGATGTTTTGCCAACTTTTACTGAAGAAATTAATACTAGTAGATGAGCAGAGACACTTTGCCAACACAAGCCTCAATTAATGCAGCTACGCGTAATTCTACTCACCCGTAGTGAGCAGTTCAGTAAATGTTTAGTTTTATTAGCATTTTCCTCCACCGCACAGCATGATGTAAGATATTGTCTTGATATACATGACAATTAACAATTTCATACTACTGTCCCCTGGAAATTTCTATCTTAGCATTCAAAACCAAGAGAACAGTTGAGATAAGGCATACTGACTGCACTGCTTTGGAAACTAGCTTTCGACTCAATATGTGACCTGCACCAAACATCTGTCAGACAGATTGTGTAGAATCAAGCATGCTTTAGGATTGCTTGCTTATTTGTTTGTTTAAACAGCCTGTTTTCCCATTTATAAGGGAAACAAGCTTTCGGCATGTTTTTAGAGAGGTCCCTTCACACTCAAAAACTCAAATTTATCGCCACTCCAGAACTGTGAATGACACTCATTCACAAATCAGGATGCTCTGACTTCTGACTCATGAGATTAAAAAAAGAAATCTCATGATTCTAAGCTACAAAGTGACAATTTGAATGCACTCTTTCTTTGCTTCTTAAGTCATTCCAGGCTTTATAACTCAAATGATGCTGCTGTTCCTGGAATAGGAATTAATAGTTTCTGTGAGTATTTTCAATTCTGGACATCATTTCTTAATGCGCACCCAAAATTGTGGTACCATAGACAAGAGCATCTCTCTGAAAGAGAGTTTAATCTCATGTGGTATATATGAATGCGGTATGTATGTTCTTCAAAATCATAAGCGGTACAAGTCTTTTTAAAGTAAAAATAAAGACCTGTCACTCTCACAAAGCCCCAAGACACAGGAAGTGTTGGCTAACCACTTGAGAGTTATTTATAAGGCCAGTGTCTGCAGAACTGTGTCTAAAGGTAGAAAGGAGGATGGAATTAATATTATTTTTTATTCCTTCAAGCTCTGTGATCCAAGAGTTATGAGAAAAATCCTGGAAACGGAATCATTTCTTCATTGTTTTAGACTGGGATTAGGCAATACACGGATAGCAGGCCACATTAGCCCTTCCAAGGCATTTCTCCATCACATGGTAACTCACCTGCAGGCCAGTAAACCTGGTGAAAAGAAATGGGGGAAACTTGTGTACTTAGCAAGCTGTATGTTGCTATTAACCTATGCTTTTGCTTCTGAGCCCCCATGCATGTTTGCTCAGAAGCAAATCCCACTCTGTTCAATGGGACTTGCTTCCTCAGCTCATGTGCTTTGGATTGCAATTCAAAAACTCTCAAAAAGTTTTCAAATCCCAGATTGTTTTAATAAGTGACACCTTCCCCCGCCCCAAAGGACTGCTTGGCGTTTTTCAAGATTCAAAAAACCATATATTTTGAAAATATAAAGGTTAAGAGCAAATTTGTAAGGGGGAAGGGATTTCTTCACAACAGCAAAATAATACTTCCTCCAATCTGGACCAGCTAACTTGAATTCAATAGTTTTTCATCTTTTGAAGAAGAATACAGAACCCTATGAGTCTACCATAACAAAGCACTGTAGTGAAAAAGACAGACTGGACACATTGCTTTTTACAAGTTAAATGAACACTTTTATGAAGCAGCCCAGAAAGGCTGTGTCATTCAAATAAAAATGCAAAGTAACTCCAGAGTTTATATGTGTCAGTGAGATATATTCAAACCATATCTGGATGTGCCTCGATATTCGTTTACATGCCACTGACAGTGAGTGAGGGAGAGCAGGATAGTATTGATCCTAGAAATAGTCCAGTTTTTATTTGGGAAGGATTCTGCAAGAGATGTTGAATATTTAGACAGATCACATCTCAGACATTCTTTCTTTTCTGTAGGGTAAATCCCAATGAAGGTACACAAAGAAGCCTAAAACTATGATTTATTTATTTTATGTTTAAAAAAAACATTACGCCAAAGCAAACTGGCTACACTCTTCACAGGGGTAAACAAAAGCTAATCCAGTGCTAAATCCCTTTGCCTTTAAACAGTACTGTGCATAGTGAGAAAGTGCACCTTTCACTTCTTTTGTGTGAAGGGAAGAGTGCTTTAAATCCCATGTGCCAGGGTCTGATACAACTTAATAAAGAGAAGAGGGAGGAAATGCTGTGGTGTTAGTAAAGGAGGAGTCCCAAGGGGACAGAGGCTTTAGTAAAGCAAGTTTATGATCTTGTATTAGTAGTGGTCAAAGACCTAACCCTTTTGTTTTGGTGACATAGGCATTTTAATTCCTATAAGGAATACGAGGGATGGAATACTCCATGGGTCTCCAACATAATAGGCCTTGAAAGGGGAGAAAAGATAAACACTTTTTAAAAAATAGACGTTACTTATGTGGATCTGCAGCATTTATTTAACCCCCTCAGTCCCCCAGATGGGAGAGAAAAAAATATCCAGAGTAAAGCTTACGGTCTGATCCTATGCATCTTTCTTTACTCAGTAAGCACTACTAGGTCCAACGGGACTTACATCTTAATAAGTAAAGCATAGGAGGATAGACAGCTTTGGGATCAAGCCCCAGTGAACACAGTGGAATATAATTTCTAAGTAAATATGCTTAGGGTCAGGTTGCACATCTCCCAAATCCCATCTTTCGGAACAAGCCACATTGGAGACAGCAAAGATTGCATATGTGTGTACGCGCACACGTTATATATATACACACACACTATATATATATATATATATATATATATATGGTTTTACATATATATATGGTTATATATATATATATATATATATATATACACACACACACACACACACACACACAATATATATATATATATATGGTTAAATATATATATTTGGAGAGTTCCTCTCCCCACTGAGACGGGTTAGAAAATGCCATCAAGAAGTCTTTCGGGAGGGTGGGGGCAGGTTTCCAAAATCTTTGTGTCAGGAAAGCTCATTTGTAGCGTGCAGCTCGTTTAGAGAGGGGGAGAAATGGTTGAAGATAGCCTTGCCCAATACAGTACAGGTGGATATATGGTGGGCCCCCTCCTCGGGGAGGGCTGAGGGAATTCAAGCCCTTTGTGGCAGAAAGGCAAAAAACAAAATATAATAATAATACCCCACCCATCAGTCCCAATATCGAAAGCAAAGAGTTGCTAGAGAGGTGTATTCTGAGGAAAAACGATTTAGGAAAAAAAAAAAAGGCGGGCAAAAGGGGAAACAGGAGAAAAGAAGGGGCTGCCGTGATTGTCGCCTTTCTTCTCCCCCCCCCCCCGCCAAAAAAAGCGGGGCATAATCCTCTCAAGGAAGGCACCAAAGGGGTGCTGAGTCGGGCACGGAGCCCCCTTTGTGCCAGAAGGCGGCAAGAGCGACGGAGGAGAGGGGAGGAGAGCGAGCCTGGGCATGGCTGGCGGCTCCTCCATGCTTCCCTCTTGCAGCCTCCCCACTTCCCCAGAGAAGCCCCATAGCCAGGCGCGCAGGGGGCTAGGGAGGCACCCGGAGCCCGGGGGCTATGGGGGCTGGGGCGGGCTCGGTGCGGCGGTCGAGCCGCCTCCTCCTTCCCGCAGGCCAGGCGGAGGGGCTGGTCTGGGTCTGGGTCTGGGCTCTGCCCCCTTTCGGCGCCGCCGCCCGCTCGCTCGCTCGCTCACCTCCTCGATGGCGGCCACGGTGTTCCGGCACTGCACCATCCGGGTGGTGAAGTTGGAAGCGGTGGGCGACTTGTAATCCTCATTGGTCTCGGACACGAATTCCGACACGGAGATCTGGTCCGGCATGGCGGGGAAAAGGGAGGGAAGGAAGGAAGGAAGGCAGGGAAAGAGAGAGAGGAGGAGAGCGGCGGGGCGGGCGGGCGGGCGGGCAGGCAGGAGGCTCCTGCAAGAGGAGGGAACGGGGTGGGGGAAAGCGCTGGAAGGAGGAGAGAGAGAGGCAGAGAGGCAAGGCAAAGGCAGGCGAAGCTGGAGCCTCCCCGCCTCACATCGCTCGGCAACCGGCTGCGGCGCGATCTCCTTTGCAAGAAGCGAAGCGTCAGTGGGCGGGTGGGAGGTGATTATTGTGAGAGAGGCAAGCGCGCACAGACACACACCCGCGCGCGCGCCCAGACGCACGCGAGGAAATGCCCTAGTTTTTTTTTTTATGTGTGTGTGTGTGTGTTTCCCACCCCCCACCTCCAGCAAGGGGGAGAAGCAGACATACAAGCCCTCCCCTTCTAATCACGCACAAGGAGGGCGGAGATGGGGGGCGCAGACTAGACACACACTCCTCCCACTGTAACGCGCGCGCGGAGGGAGAATCCAGAGCCGCCGCCGCCGCACACGCCCCTCCTAATGCCGAAGGAGAAACACCTCCCTGACCGCGGAGGAGGAAGGCAGGCGCTCACCTCTCCGTGGTCACGTACAGGGAGGGGGATAATAGTGTGTGTATTAACACACACACTCTCTTTTTCATGTACATGACAAGAAAAGACTCTCCCACATCTCTTCTCCCCCCCCCCCTCGCCCGCAGAGCTGCTTTTACGCAGCGTTTTCATTCACGCCTTTCCATCTTCGCATCCCCTCATTCTTCCAAAGAGCTCCCGCTGAAATGCTTCTCAGTGGAGTCGCTTCACCTATTCGCTAATCGGTAACCCTTTGAAATCAAGCGAGCAACGTGAACGTGTGGATGTTACCACATCTACTGTGGGTTGCCTGGAGGTCGTAACTTTTGAGTTAACACCCTGCTCTTCTTAATGCAGTGCTCTTGGGAACCTGAAGAAATCCAAGGCTGGATGAAGGTGTGAATGGGAAAGAAAGAAAGAAAGAAAGAAAGAGAAAGAAAGAATTGGCTTTGAGGTCATGCGAGGAAACTCGCTTATATTTGGGTTGGCTTATTCACACATGCAAGTTCACGCAGTCATAAAGTTATGAATCACACATATTTTACGTGGCAAATATTTGTTTCTCGCTGTATGCACCGTGTACTTCAGTGTCCTGGCAACGTGATTCACCTTGAGTTCTCATTAAGGTGTCAATCCTTAGAAGTAGTTTTGAGAAAGTCAAAGATTACTGATCTAAGTATACTCAAAATATATTGGGAGAGCAATCCCCAGACGGTATCTCCCCGAGTGTGAGGGGGGAATAAATAGCAGGTGTGTATTCAATAGACTGAAAGCTGCCATACTGAGTTAGACTATTAGTCCATCTAGCCCCGTATTGTTTACACTGACAGGCATCAGATCTCCAGAGTTTCAGAAAAGGGTCTTTTGCAGCCCTGCCTGGAAACACCAGGAATTGAATCTGGGATTTTTTGCATGCAAAGCAGCTTCTCCAAATCTTGGTTCAGTCTGTAGAGCAGGAGACTCTTAATCGAAAGGTTGTGGGTTTGAACCCCACGTTAGGCAAAATATTCCTGCATTGCAGGGGGTTGGACTAGATGATGCCCTTCCATAAGTCTTCCCTTGAGTCCACTCTACTTTCTTATTTAATGGATATGTGCTCAGAGCTTCCAGAAGATTAAAGTAAGATTAAAATACATAAATATAACAAATTACCGTACGTCATACTAAAGAAAACGAAGTGGGGAAAGAAAAAACAACTTTGCCCGGCACCAAACGGTAAACAATGTTGGTGCCATGTGAGGGCTACCATAGGGAGGTAATTCGATAAGTGGGGTGCCACCACCGAAAAGACTCTCCAGCCACCACCTGCCTTACATCAGTTGGCAGGAACACCTGGAGAAGAGCCTCCCAAGATAACCTTGATATATGGTCCAGTTTATAGGGAAAACGTGTGCCCAGTATGGGATCACATAGGCATAGCTAAAGGCTGAGTTACATTGAGGTACATGTGCACATGCATCTAACATGAGAGCTGCTTCCTTGATGATGCAACCCCACCACAATAGTATTTTTTTTAAAAAAAAATTATTAGAAATTTAAACAAAACATATTATCCAAAAATATCACATCCTTAATTTTCCCCATTTTCCTCCCTCCCCCCACCCTCCCATAAAGGACCCCAACCCCCGCCAACTCCCCTCAGTTCCAATCTTTGGTTTCTCTGTGAATACTGTTCTCTGCATGTTACAAAATTGTATAAATCCTTAAATTGTCTAACTGATTATTGTCAATAAAGAGTTTGTGAGTGTTTATTCAAAACCTGCCAAGGAGTCCAATTCACTTTGTTGCGACATCAAGTACTTTGTAAAGGGTTCCCATTCATCTTTAACGTCACAGTTGTCCTTGTCCCGTAGCTTATGTGTCAATTTTGCCAGTTCTGCATAATTCATCAATTTCTCTTGCCATGATTCTTTAGTTGGGATTTCTTCGTTCTTCCAACCTTGTGCTATTAAAACTCTCACGGCCGTTGTCGCATACATGAAGATATTTTTCACCTTTTTTGGCAGGCCTTTTCCTACAATCCCTAACAAAAATGCTTCAAGTTTTTTTACAAATGTTAGATGGAACATTTTCTTCAATTCATTGTATATCATTTCCCATTTTTTTTTTATTACATTACAATCCCACCACATATGACAAAATGTCCCCTCCTTTTCCTTACACTTCCAACATATATTTGAACTAGTTTTGTACATTTTCCCTGACTGCACTGGTGTCAAATACCATCCATACATCATCTTCATATAATTCTCCTTCAACAGGGAACAATCTGTAAATTTTAAACCAGTTTTCCTTAACTTTTCCCAATCTTCCATCATAATGTTGCCCACCACAATAGTATTAACTGGCATCAAATCATGTAGGGTTTGGGATTTTTTTTCACCCATTGCTGATCACGTAAGTGATTGGAGGAAACCTACAAAAATTGTCCAGGCTTGCAGTTTCCTTAGTCATACTCAGAAGCAGCATGAAATCATACCACAAGGAAGCAGCTCCCGCTGGCCACAATGAATGGGCCAGTTAATAAGTCTGTCTGCCCCCATAGCCTGGATTCAGCCCTGAAAATCAGTAGTGTTATGTACTGAAGTTCTCACCCTGGGCCAGCAGGGGGATACTGTAGATAGTTATGCAAATGAAGGATCGAAAAGTGACGTTCAGTGATTGGATAGTTTTAGAAAATGGCAACAGTTACATTGTTCTGGAGCTCTATATAAGCAGGCTGACTGAGCCCTCAGTTAGTTCTGTTCTGATATCTGAATAAAGAAGAGCTGTTTGAAGAATCGCTGTGTCGTCTGCTATGTTCGCCCACAACTTAACACTGGCTGGACAAGCTGATCGCCCAAGGAGTTTTGGAGCTGGTTGACCACGCCAAGTGGGAAACCCCCATCGTCACGCCTGTCAAGCCAGACGGGTCGGTGAGAATCTGCGCTGACTACAAGTGCACGATCAACAAGGCACTTCAGCAGCACGCTTATCCGGTTCCTGTTGTCCAACACCTGCATTCCCTGGGTGAGGGTAAGGTCTTCGCTAAGCTGGACCTTGCCCAAGCCTATCAACAACTGCCCGTCGATGATGCCACTGCTGAAGCCCAGACGATCGTCACCCACCGACGGGCATTCCGTTGCCGCCGGTTGCAGTTCGGGGTGAGTGTGGCTCCTGGCATCTTCCAAAGCCTTATGGAGCGTCTCCTGCAAGGGCTTCCAGGCGTGGTACCATATTTTGATGAGGGAGAAGTGCCAGATCGCCGTTCCACAGGTAGAGTTCCTGGGCTATCTTATCGACGCCTCCGGCCTTCACCCGACCACATCCAAGATCCGCGCTATCCAGCAGGCCCCCATCCCAAAGAACAAGACGGAGTTGCAGGCGTTCCTGGGGCTGCTGAACTTTTATAACATGTTCCTGCCCCACAAAGCCACGGTGGCTGAGCCTCTTCACCTCAGCACAAAGACGCCTTGGTCCTGGGGTCATCGGGAGACAGCGGCCTTCAACGCGGTCAAGGCTCTCCTTTCATCGGACCGTGTGCTGGTACAGTACAGTGAATCCAGGCCGCTGGTCCCTTCTGGCATCGGCGCTGTCCTTAGTCACCGTTTTCCAGACAGAAGAGAAGCACCGCTCACCTACTTTTCCAGGACGCTATCTCCGACGGAACGGAATTACAGCCAGCTCGACAAGGAGGCACTGGCACTTGTGGCTGGAGTGAAGAGGTTCCATGAATACCTCTATGGCAGGACTTTTGACCTCATCACTGACCACAAGCCGCTCCTGGGCCGCCTCGCCGGTGATCGTCCAACTCCACCGGTCCTCTCGCCGCACATGCTGCGATGGACTGTTTTCCCGGCTGCCTACCACTACCAGCTTGTCCATCGCCTGGGAAAATCGATGGGCTATGCCGACGCCCTCAGCCGTTGCCCTCTTCCAGCATTTGTGGAAGACCCGGCTCCAGCTTCATCGCTCCTCCTGATTGAGGATCTTCTGGCAGCGCCTGTATCGGCTGCCACTGTGGCCTCCGCATCTGCCCAGGATCGCACCATCAGCCGTGTGCTCAACTGGGTGTGGAGGGGGTGGCCACAAGGGCCTTTTGCATCGGAGTTCCAGCCCTTTGCAACCAGACAACATGAACTCTCGGCTCATCATGGCTGTCTGCTGTGGGGAGACCGCGTCGTGATTCCCCAAAGACTCCGTCAACGCGTCCTGGAGGCTCTGCACGTTGGCCACCCGGGAATTGTCAAAATGAAGGCGTTGGCTCGGTGTTACGTCTGGTGGCCTAACATGGATGATGCCATCACTGCCTGGGTGTCCGCCTGTCAAGCGTGCCAAGAATCGAGGCCTGCACTACCGGCAGCTAAGGGACACACCTGGGAGACGCCAAAGACACCCTGGTCGAGGGTGCACATCGATCTGGCCAGCCCCTTTCACGGCCGGACCTTTATGGTAGTGGTGGACGCCTATTCCAAATGGCTGGAGGTGGCCCTGATGCCCTCCACCCCTACCGAGGCCGTCATCCGGGTGCTGTGAGGCCTGTTTGCGACACATGGGTGTCCTGATGTCCTTGTCTCCGACAACGGACTGCAGTTCACGTCAGGCGCTTTTGAGCGGTATCTTTTGGGACTGGGCATCCGCCATGCCCTAACGGCACCCTTTCATCCATCCAGCAATGGGCAAGCGGAGAGAATGGTGCGCTTGGCAAAAGAGGCACTGGCGCGCCTGGACCGGGGAGACTGGCACGAGCGGGTCGCCGAATACTTGTTCGTGCAACACATCACCCCTCATGCGGCCACAGGGCGGAGTCCTGCTCAACTGCTTATGGGCTGACGCCTCAGGTCACCGCTCGACCGGCTGCACCCAGACTTTGCCGTGGCCGAACCCCCAGGCTATGCCAACGCGTCACGGTCATTTGTTCCAGGAAACCAGGTCTTTGCCCGGAACTATGTGGGGGACATTCCTTGGGTGCTAGCCACAGTAGTGGGAGTCACTGGACCTCGCTCGTACCAGGTGGCACTCGAAGACGGACGCTTGTGGTGCCGGCACATAGACCAGCTTAGGCGCAGGGTTGGGGACTTGGACACTACCGTGGTGCCCCCAACTGCGCTCGTGGCTCCTGAAGAGACACTTACAGATGGCGAGGCTTCACCTACACCTCCCTCACAAACTGCCAGCGTGGAGCCGAACCAAGCCGCTTCAGAGGGTCTGCCAGACTTACCACAGGCTCAGACCACTCCACTTGCGGAGGCTCCACCCACAGCAGCGGATCCAGGGGATTTGGTTTCAACGCCACCTAGGGTCGCACCACATCCTCAGCAAGAATTGTGTGGCCCCCTGGACTTGGCTACCAGTCCCCGGCGGTCTGGCAGAGTTTCCAAGCGCCCAACTTATTTAAAGGACTATGTTGTTGGACATGTATCACTGTTGGTCTAAGTATGGGAAATGTAACCGATATGCTTTTGTGCCTAATTGAACCATTACGTGTAGTGCTGTATATAAGGAAACCATTACGATTATAGCTAATGCCTTATCTTGGTGGGGAGGGGTGTTATGTACTGAAGTTCTCACCCTGGGCCAGCAGGGGGATACTGTAGATAGTTATGCAAATGAAGGATCGAAAAGTGACGTTCAGTGATTGGATAGTTTTGTATGCAAATGAAGGATCAAAAAGTGACGTTCAGTGATTGGATAGTTTTAGAAAATGGCAACAGTTACATTGTTCTGGAGCTCTATATAAGCAGGCTGACTGAGCCCCTCAGTTTAGTTCTGTTCTGGCATCTGAATAAAGAAGAGCTGTTTGAAGAATCGCTGTGTCGTCTGATATGTTTGCCCACTACTTAACACCTACTTCCCCTGTAAATATCAGTGCAGGCAGCTCACCTGTGTACAGGAAGATTTACTTGAAAACCACTAGCGGAGGCACAGTACAGAAATGAATGCACTTATTCCTTGCTTCGGTTCAAGGAAACAAATGTACATTTTTAAAGTTGGAGTCTGCCCAACGGTGGTAGTTAACACTT